CAATGTGGTTGTCTTTCACACAAGGCGCAATGCTGTCAAACTATCGTAGACTATCAAAAAGATAGAGCCGTTCAACGATAATTGAACTGAATGTGATTGCCAAGAGCACCCGATCCCGTCCCAAAAAGTCTTGGAATGTCAATTTTCCTTCCCCCTTCATGATTTTTTTTTTTTTTTTTTTTTTTTTTTTGATGAAATAAAAATGAATAACCCGCTAACTTGCTATTACTATTGCTGTTATTGCTCTTTACTCCTGTTGTTCTGGCTGTTTCAGCTGTTCTGGCTGTTCCGGCTGTCCCGGCTGTCCCGGCTGTCTCGACTTTTCTAGCTGTCGAGTCTTTGCTAGATGTGACTCCTTTGAAAGCTGTAGAGCCTTAATGGTTTCCTCTAGTTTGAGCAACTTTTGACGGATTACAACCATCTCGATTACGTCCTGCAACCCTTATTAGAGCAATATAATAAAATAAATAAAAATTAACAATTTTTTTTTTTTTCTAATTAGCTTGGTGATAATTAGATAACTATGCAATTAGCCAATTATGAAAAAAAAAAAAAAAAAAAAAAAAAAAAAATCTTAAACCTTGCAAAATGCAAACACAATCGATGATGAGAAACGATAGAACAAATGCTCTACTTTTTGCTCTGCTCTACCCTACTCTGCTCTGCTCTTCTTTGCTCTCTTCTGTTCTGTTCTGTTCTGCTCAACCCCTTCATCTTCAACTTCATCTTCAACTTCAACTTCAACCCCAACTCGATTATCCTTACCCTTTTGAAAAGCACTCTGAGCATTTCGCAGCGGCATAGGCGCAAGTGCACCAAACCACAACAATGGATTTGGATTACGCTCCTTCTTTTTCTTCTTTTTCTTCAATGCTTCTGTATCCTCTGTTGTTGTTGATGCTACCGCTGGCCCATTTATGACTGTATCGTCCAAAGTCTCAACAGACGACGACGTAACGGATTTATCGCCTGTGTCAATGATTTTACTTTTGACGTACTTGTCATCGTCTACAAGTGTGTTATTATCATCATCGTTGATTGATGCAGATCCAGACGATGATGGTACTATTGCTGCTCCACCTCGTCGTCGTAAACCTGAAGGGACATCCCGGGTTTGAAATCCAATTAAATCAGGAATCGTTGCCTTGATCTCAACTTCATTGGCCTGTTGTTCGCCTCTTAATGCTTCGTCCCCTGCTTCTTCAGCCTGTTTGGCAGCCTGCTGTTGTTCTGCCCACAAGTCCTGTAGCTCAATGTCCGTTGATCCTTTTACTTTACTGAAGTGAATGAGGTGGAAGGACAAGGAGAAGGATGAGGCAGCATAAGCACATAAAAGTGATTGGAAAAGTGAAACAATTGACCACTATCGTTCTTTCTACAATTACTAAAAAAAAAAAAAAAAAAAGGAACGTACACACCACGAATTGCCTTCATCCGAAGATCATAGCAGTCAGCAGACACATTCCTTGGACCCATGATGTACTTTGCCTGTGAAATATGCTCATGACCCTAGAGAATGGAGACGGATGGTCAGAAAGAAGAATTCTGGAACAGCGAGTATATCAACCAGCTGATAAATCAGCAGTAAACATGGAAAAAAGAAGAACCCGTCCCCGTTAAGGCACAGATGTGTGAAGATATAAGGCTAGAAAGAGATAGAGAGACAGAAAAGAAAGAAAGAAAGAACAGTAGATAAAAAGAAGAGGGAAAATGCAATGAATGAGCTTAACCTGTTGTAACTTTTCCGAGAGGCGATTCAATGCAGTAAGGTGCTCGTCAATGAGATCCATGTATTGCAGGACCAATGAATCGAGTTCTTGACAAACATCAGACGCAGAGAGTGCAGGCATGTTCAAGTTTGTTGTGAGGGTGATGCTGAGGCGGTGATGAAGGAATGGAGCATTTATTTAGTTGGTCACAAAGTAAAAAAAAAGACCATTGATAAGACGCGTTTGATTTTTTATCCTTTACCTTTACTGCGATGCAATTGCATGCACATAAGCAAGCAAGCACGTGGATGTGATGTGGTAATCCAATCCACCGAAACTAATTCCTTCCGTCACTTTCCCACAGTTGGATTCGAACTGAATCGCATTTGTTTTTTTTTTTTTTTTTTTTACTTTCTTTCTTTAACAATGGGCAAAGCAAGATTCTTACTGTCATTCTTCTCTCTTTCTCTTCCTTCCTCTCACAAACACACTCACTCTCTTTCTCCTCCTCCTCCTTCTCCTTTCCATTCTCCTAGAACCCGTTTTACTCATTCATATAAATAAGGCTCCATCTCACTTTTTTTTTTTTTTTTTTCTTTTTTTTCTTTTGTCCTGTCTCATTCACGGATTCAACTACACCGGTTACTCATCATGCCAACCCCTGCAATGTTCACTCGTCCACCAAGCCCTCCTATCATCAAGATCCCTGGTCATTTTGGTGACATCATGTCTAGGAGGTATGTCTCCGGAGCCACATTAACATTCATACTGCTGATTTAATTTTATTTAGTTTGTTAGTTATTTATTTATTTATTTATATATTTATTTATTTATTTTTATAAATTCCTCCATGTCTTCATACATTCCTTTAGGGACACGACTTTGACTCTACCTGAAGGCTTTACTGGTCAAGAAAGGATCATGCTTACTGCTAATGGTAACCTGCAGCGTCTTATCAGGTAATAACAAACAAAATTTTTAAAAAAAGAGAAAAAAAAATTATATTCCGGAAAGACAAGGGATTGGTTTTTGAAATGGCATTTGGTGCACGGTCGATCTTCTTTTTGATCTTTTTTCACAGTAACAAACAAGTAACAACCACAACAATGATCATTATCACTTTATCATGCATTAGCGCATACTTCAACAAAACCGTCTCCATCACCATCCTTGAAAATACTCGAGTGCCTCTGCTCCCTGATGAGGATCCGGCCGTCATTGCTCGGTTCCAACGTGAGGTCAACTTGCTCTGTAATGAGAAAGTCGTCTGTAATGCTAAATCCCAAGTCCTGATCAAAGATCAAGCGGTCTATGATCTCGTGGTCGAGAAGGGCGTGGGAATCGGTCAGATCTTTCGGTATCTGGATAAATTACCCTCGTTTGAATTACATGGCCTCGGAAGGACCGACAAGACCTTTTGGAGAGAATACTCTCTAGAGATCCCTGGGGTTTATTGTCGGTTACTCGAGGTCTTGCCTTCCTCCTTATTTGATCATAATTGGTTGGAAAAGGAACCAGAAGACATCTCTTGGGATATCGACATTGGCCAAGGACAGATGACATGGATCAATCCTGATCTCCAGGACTGTCGAGTGTCTAAAGTCTAATGTCTCATGCCCAATGTCTAAACATCTCATACATAGAACCTTTAGATGAACTTTTTTTTTTTTTTTTTATTTTTATTTTTTTTATTTTCATTCCCTTCCTCCATGTATTATATTATTCTACATAAAGCAAAGAGGTAAAAAGAAAGAAAATAACAACGATTATAATAACAACAATATTAATAATAATAATAATAATAATAATAAAGGGTATGTTCCTTTCTGATACCAGCGTGATAATTAAAAGTTACAAAAGTTTGTAATTAACTCTCCAACGGTGGCAGCCATTTCTCTGTATCTCTCTCTTAAGCAGTAGCAGCTATCTATCGACCACATTAAACCATTGACTGAGTTGAAGAACCATTACATATATATGCCCCCACCAAGATTCTCTTGGGTAGCCCGTGATTGTAGTTTTGATGCTGGTCATAGTTTCAGCTATAGTAACATAATTGCTGGTGTTTATATATATATATACATAAATATAAATATATATATAAACATCTATACAACATTTGTAGGGCCTTCCTGGCTCATCAGCTGTGATTTGATAACTGTTTACTCTTCAAACCTGTAGACTCTAGTTCATTTAGCTCCTAGTCATCTCTGAGATTTTATTCAGTGATCTTAGAGTTTAGGGTGGTCAATATTTATATATACAAATAAGCGCAATTCTAAAGCTTGGGAGTGGAGGGAAGCTAAAAAAAAAAAAAAAAAAAAAAAAAAAAAGAGGAATAGCCTAGCTGGTACCCTTTTACGTTTTGATAGATCCTTTTCTGTAAATCCTGCGGTAGCAAGTAGAATGAAAAGAGGTTTGCTTACGACAACGAAAAGATAACGATAGCGCAAGGGGGGCAATCGATGACACAAAAAGCAGATCGACCTGGTAAAAGTATGAAGACGATCTGACGCGCATTGTCCTGTTTGAATTCGAAGTTTCTCTTCTAAAAAAGACGTAACGATTGAAATCCATCCTACCCGGTTCCTCCTCGTGTCTTTGGAAAGATTGAACTGGAACACTCAAACGAAAAAAAAATAAAAAAAATAAAAGTCGATATCTCTTAATGATGATGATGAAGATGAAGGAGAACACCCTTGTTACATGTTATACACACATGTACCTTCAATGCTGCAAACGTTTGATTGTAGATGATTACTTTTTTTTTTTTTTATTAGATTAAGCTACATGACTATTCATAAATTGATTCTAACGTTTTTTTTTTTTTTTTTTTTTTTTTTTTGCATGATGTTTTATATTCTATGTGTATATTTCTCATATTTCTCATATTATAATTTGTCTATGCAATCAGCATCAATAGAGTCGCAAACATTGCAGTGCCTGTTGAAAGGATCATGAACGATGATGCACCATCCCTCTTCTGATAGATGGTATGGGCACTGCTACGACTACGACTACCGTTAGGTTGGATGACCGCTCCACCTGGGACGGGCTCTCCAGAGAGACCCTCGACTCCCAAAGATGCATTGGACGGGTTCACAGGTGCAAGCCCGATCCTACTTGCACCTGGAGTGAAATCATATACAGTATAGACCTGTCTCAAGAATGGATCACCAAGGATGAAGATCTCGTAGTTGCCTAATGGCATCACCATTGAAATACAATTAGTGCTCCCCCGGATCCTGGCAACGTAATCCAGATAAGGGACTTCGTATTTGATACCGTTGAACGTAATGCCAAAGGTTGTATTCCCAGTACAGGGCACATTATACACTTGATCGCTTTCAGAGAAAACTGCTCCCGGGAGTGTCGCATGGAACGCTCGGGCAAAGTCTATAGGCACTGCAATGAAGGAGGTACCGGTGTCAAAGAGCCAGGGCGATGTTTTGTACCCTGGCACGGGTGTGTTTCCTATATAGGCTCCATCAGCATCAATGAACCACATCCCCCTGCTCGTACCAAACCCTGTCGAGATGGGCACGTAGTTCAATGACCCTGTGTACTTTGTGCTGTCGATCCCTCCAAACAAGAACGAACCACCCTGTTTGTTGACCAGAGAAGGCGTCAAATAGACAGAGAAGACGTTCATGTCCAACAGTTTTTCCTTGAAGATTGTTTCCAACGGTGGGATCGCATTCGTTACTGGGGACGTTGGCATCAGTCCGACCAGACCGGCGATACCTGGCCCATATGCAGAGAGATCCAATGCACTCCTTGTTACATCCAGAATCTGTTGGTCATGGATGACTAGACCTCCAATGGCCACTGTATCCGCCACAATCGGTCCTGCGCCCCAGGAGCCATCACCATAAGTGATATTATAGGAAAACGGTGTCTTTGAGCACGTATTACAGGTATAATGGGGCATTGACTCGCAAGTGCCTTGACATTGGTCGGATGTAATAACGATCATGTCCGAGCCAGTGTCAAAGACCACCTCGAACGATTGTGGTGGGGTTCCGAGGCTGATGATGCCAGTGTAGCCGAGATTCCTGGCATTGGTGAGGATAGAGTTGCCGAGGTATTTGGACTGGATGAGATGGCCAGCACTTCCATTTAATTGACCCTTGGATGTTGAGGCGGTCGGAGAGGGCTTGGTGACGGTTACTTCGTATACTGCAGCGTCAGCAAGGGGACTGGAGGTGAAGGAGGAGAGGAGGATAGTGTTGATAATCAAGAAAAGTAAGAAGGAGAAAGAGTTACTCTTGGCAGCAGTAACTTTTCCACACCTCCTTGATTGGTCTGTACTTGTGTTGGGGCTGAAAGTTTTATTGCATGAGGTTGTCATGGCCATGTTGACGATTTGCAGCGACTGTTAACGTCGTCTGCTTTCTGACAGACGAGAGGAGGAAAAAAAAAAAAAAAAAAAAAAAAGGAGAGTTTTCAGGGGAGGAGGAGTGAGGGAATAGGTCTGTTATTGTAGACAACAAGACAGCAATTGTTGTTTCTAGGAGATTGAAATGAAGGCTAGATTAGGGGTTGAAAGAGATGGATTGAATGAGAGGAGAGGAGAGGATCAACGAGATGGATGGAATGCGACAAAAAAAAAAAAAAAAAAAAAAAAAAAAGCTGAATACCATACCAACCAGGTGAGACAACAGTGGCAATTGAGAGGAATGAAGGTTTAAAAATATAAAAAGAACGTGCTCTCACTCTACAACAATAGTTTGACACTTTTTTTTTTTTAATGTCTGAGCAATGAAGGAGAGGGTGCAGTTACTTGCAAGTACAGTAATACAGGTGTACAGTAGTATATAGTCAAAGGATGGTAGATGAAGAAAAAGAAAGAAAATAGAAAACGATAGAAAACAAAGGGAAAAGAAAGAGAAAAGAAAAAACAACATAGCCCGAACGGAACATCAATGTTGAGGGCGGAACATGGTATGGTCAATGATCCCATGGCCATGTGTATTCTTGTATTGCACGCGGAAAAAAAAAAAAAAAAAAAAAATGGCTGTGTGTTTCCATGTCATTCTTCTTCAGTGACAGTTGCAGTTTCTATTGATATCATTAGGGGCAATATGATTTATCCGGGAAGAAAAACGCGTCCTATTCTTTGGCCTATCCAACACCCTCCAGGCCGGAAAATAGTTTGCCACCCTAAAAAATGTACAAACTGCCATATAAAGACGCAGACAAATATACATCAATGAAATGATATGAAACGAGAAAACGTTAACGGGATAGTTAATTGATAAATTGGACCTGAAAGACATAGAGTAGACTATGGACGTGTTCAATTGCTTCTAAACACGCCACTGATTCTAACGTACACTTTTTTTTTTTTTTTTTTTCCCACTTGTACAACCCAATGGCCAATAAGGTGTTGCTTCTTTATATACATCCTATTCTCGAGTTATTCTTTAATAAGTTGATGACAACATTTGTGTATGTGGGGTAAGAAGTCTCTTTTGAGTGATTGCTTCATAGAAACCTAGGACCCTCACTAAATTCAGCATTAATGTGCGTCATGCGTGCGAAAATGAAATAAAGAGAGACAAAAGCATCATACCGTAGCTTTTTTTCTTTTCCTTTTTTTCTTCTTTGTCTCCTTTTTTTTTTTTTTTTTACTTTCTTTCAACTCATTCAGCTCCTTTCATTTCAGTTCATTCACACGCTCTCATCGTTCATGAGCGTCTTCACAATACCTCTAGGCCTGGGTCTTACTGCCGCGGCACATATACACCTCTGTCACACAAGCCTCACTCATGCATACCAGCAGTATCAGCAGCATGCCGACCATTCAGAGCAATGGGGGGTCGATATCCTCATTCAGTCACTCTCGGACAGAGCCTTGCTCTCCGAGCTTGTTAGCCTCCTAGACCAGACTTTGCAATGCGTAGACGGTGATGAAAACCATAGTATGACCAGGACTAGCATCAGAACCAGAACAGGAACCAGTACAGCAACCAGGACAGGAACCAGAACAGGAACCAGAACAAGGACCAGATGCAGTAATAATGAATGCACTCATCATCAGTTCCTACAACAGTTACGATACGCCAGATTAACCCCTTCAAGAACAATATCAACGTCGTCAGTAAGAAGAAAGACAAGTTGTCAGGCCAATCATGACCCTGCTACCACCAATATAACCCCAATGCCAACACCAGTGATCACTACAGCTCATCAAGATCAACAGGATAGTAACAGGAATGAGTCTAGGCGGCATGACCATGACCAGCATGCGACTGTTGCTGAGTTGAACATTTCTGTTGGTAAGGAGTTTTTTTTTTATTTTTTTTATTTCCCCTCTACCTTGCGAGTGAGGGAACTTGGCAAATGTAACCTCTCCCCCTCCAAAGAGTAAAAGTGTTCTGATTGACATTTTTTATTTTTATTTTTATCTTCCATTCTCATCTTAGAGCAAATTGAATTGTGGGTCAAGGCATGTAGGGAGCTACGGGTGTCCCAGGAGAGGGGTCTACAAAAGACCCTTGCCCAAATGGGCACGAGGACAAACAATGTCATTCGCCCATCACCACTTAATACCCTTAAAACAAACTTATTTGTGTCGCTGGTGTATGTATTTGTATTTATATCTGTATATTGTATTATATTATATTTATATGCAGTATAATTTAAAATGTCCTCTTTTGTTTGGGGTTTGTGTTGTTTGTTCTTTTTCCTTTCTTTGTTCGCATAATGCATATGAGAGCATAACGTTAATATATTTGACCCGTGGGATTTTTTTTCTCATAAGCCTTTACTTTTTTTTTTTAAAAAAAAATAGGTTGGGTGTTACCACGGCAACATGTTACTTTGCCTCTAAATTCTCATGGCAATATCTCTTGACAAGTCAGAGTTGTTGGTCATTAGCGCATACTATCTATCTTCAACTCCCAAGGTCCTTATTCTCTGCTTCCACGTTGGTGAGCATCATTCAAGCATCAATCTCGACAGAAGATGCTAACAATGACACTAGTACCAACACCAGTACCAGTATCAGTATCGTACCTACTACAGGTTCAGCAAGTACAGGAGCAGCAACAACAACAACAACAACAACATCCTCATCATCAACATCATCGTCATTAGAATTACTCCCGCTAGCACCTACAGCCTTCATCGCAGGAATGCATATCTTGACGGCCTTGAGACTTCGTTGGACTCTTCAAACCATTAAACAGCACACAAAAGCCCAAAGGACGTATGTGAAACGTATGAGACTCCTCATATCAAAGTTGTTTATCCGTGAACAGCGATTGTCCTACTTGCACCAATATATAAAACCTCAACAACAGCAACAACAACAGCAACTACCTCCAGAATCTTTGGTACCATCATCACTGTCATTGCCAGCAGCAACACCACCCTCACCAACCCCGGTATCACCCCCATCATCTAATCCGTTTAGATGGCTTCATGGATCGCTTCCTCTAGACCAAACGTCTTCTAGACAAACACCCGGCACATCATGCAGAACTACGCGTATCTCAGACTTGCTTCGGTCTTCATCATCATTATCGTTACCATCAAGCGATGGTACCCTGGAAATAGATATGGCTGCATTGGCTCACGAACCCAATCTTCTTCTTTTGAACATGGACATGTTCATACGAAACCCTACAGAACAGAGCAAGGTCTTGAGGATGGAGTTGGAGGCGCTTAGAAAGGAATTGATGGTTTTTCTTGACTGAATTCTTTTAGAATACCCATTATTGTGATCATAATAAACAAACTTCTTTCATTATTATTATTATTATTTTGCTTTCGTTTTTATTTTTTAATCAATATCATCTGCCTAGAGGACGTCAACAAAAGAGAGGAGGAAAGAGAGAGGAGAGAGTTGAAGAGATAGGGGAAATAAAAAAAAAAAGACTGTACAAAATATATTCATAACCTGACAAGTGCTGAATGAAAGTGAGGTAGGGTGCATTCTCCTAGACTCTGATTGAGAGCGCGGGGGGGGTTTTTTTTTTTTTATTTTTTTTTGTTCGTCGAGATGACCATAAAGAGGGAGCTTCGCTAAGAACGAGGACTCTTGTTTGGGGGAACTGTAACTGTGGAAGGTGAGACACGCTTCTTTTTGTTCAAGCTCGATATACGATCCGGATTTGGAGGATGAGGCGCTTCTTTACCGGGAGGGGCCAAGAAACGATGATGGAGAATCAGGACACCATAGATGATTGCGGATAGGAATCCAACACAGAGCGCAAACACATTATCGGGGACCATGGCTCCCAAGACTGCCGTGCCCAAGAAGAAATACTCTGCACGGACTAGAAGACTCCATAGGAAATAAATCCAAGTATTATTATTATCATTATTATTATTATTATTGGCCTCTTCCGTAGTGCTTCTGGTACTGGTATTGATACTGCTGCTGGCGAGGTTGACGTGATCTACAGGGTTGGAGCCAACGTTTGTAGCGGCTTTCACAGACTGTCCTTGCGGTCCTTGTGTCTGTTGGTCCATTTTATCTCCTCCAGACTCAGATACGGTGTTGACTGAAGAATTTGAGGTTGAGGTTGAGGTTGATTGTGGAGCTGTGGTGGAGTTGCTTGTGGATGCTGAGTCAGCAATACCTGCACTCTTCTCAGTATTCAAGGATACGTCTACTGGAGTTATGGTTGTCGTTGCTGTTGCTGCTGTTGCTTCTATTGCCATTGGAGAGGCAGACGAAGCGTCGAGTTGAATAGGCTCTTCCAAATCAGGAATGATGGAGAGTGGCCTCGGCTTCAGGTTATAATTGGAAGAGTGTCGATCCTCAAACCCCTGACTCTTTTGTGAAGTATACGACAATGAGAGCGATGGGGTAGGAAAGAGCGATGATGTATTCACGGATGCCACCTTGGGTGTTAGAGGCGGCGAGCGCAACCCTATGGGTGCCTGTGTAACCTCCTGCTTTTCATTCTTTCTCAGATCCACATCGCTAAAAGTCGGATGAATAAACAAGTTCTTCAGCGCGAGACCAGCAGTATTTGTTCCATCACCTTCTGCTGCTGCCGTTACTGTTACTGCCGATGTTTCTGCTGTTTCTGTTGTTGGTACAGCTGCGGTTGCTTTATCTGCTTCTGCTTCTGCTTCTGCTTCTGCTCTGGCTTGCTTCAGGTTCTTCCACCATCCAACCGTTGTTGCTGCATTTCCGGCAGCCTGAAACTTTTTTCTCAAAGTCTTGACACCCATTTTCAGGTCATCCAAATCGTTCGTCAGGCGTCTACTCCTCTTCCTCCTGGTCACCGACCCGGTCGCTGACTTGGGTGAGCCATCTGTTCCTTCTTCATCCTCGAATAGGCCTGGTTTACCCTGGAGTTTGAGCAAGTGATCCTCCACCAGATAAAGACGCTCGGCTTTATCTTGCATAACATTGTCCAGCTCTTGAACCTGCTTATGAAGCTCATGCGATTGAGCATTAAAATCATTCAGACGCCGAGTGATCCTATCGAGACGTCCTTGGATCATTGCCTCCATAGTAGATCGAGCGGCCTCAGAATCGGCTCGGGGTCGAGTCTTGAAGACAACTCCACCGGAGCTCCTGCTAGAGCTTCTGGCTCGGCCAAGGACCGTGTTATTAGTATTGCTATTATTGTTATTGCTACTATTGAAATGGTATGATGGACTGCCTGAAGGAATTGGAGGTGCCGTCAACGGTGGAGGAGAGAGAAGAAACAAATTGGCACTTGGAGGAGACGTGGCTTTGAGAAGAGAAGAGGAAGTATTGAGAGTATGGATCTTGACAGGGTTATGTCTTTTAACGGACCGTCTTGGTGGTGGTGAGGAGCTTATCATCGAAGGAGATGTGGCCGTGATGGCGGGACTAGGTTCTGTCATAGAATCGTTCATGGTCTCTTTTTTTTCTTTCACGGGTGTGTTGTTTTAAAAGGAAGGAGAAAATAAAAAAATATATATAAAAAATTGTTTGAACAGCAATTGATATTCTGATAAAATGATAGGTTGAAGATTGATATTCGTTCTAGTATAATCAATAAGGCAAAGCCAAAAAAATGTGTGGGATCGTAATAAAAAAAGCAAAGCAAAAAAAAGGTTAACGACGTTAAAATATAGAAAGTAATAGAGGTGAAGTAGGTAAGGAAGGAAGAAGAAAGGAGCAAAGAAAAAAAAAAAAAAAAAAAAAAAAAAAAAAAAGGTCGCTGAAAGAAGAAACAAAAAAAAAAAAAAAAAAAAAAAAAAGTAAATAAGAGCCTTTAACAATAAAATAAAAGACCGAAAAGGACATGTCGAGGAGAGGATCATTGGCATGTTTTTTTTGTCCATGCCATGGCGTAATGTTGTGTGAGCAGCTGAGCATGGGGCAAGCAAAAGAGGTCAGGGATAACTTTACATCAACGAATTTTTGTGTTAATTGGAACCAGGCAAAGCACATGCAAAGACTATAGACACAAGGAAAACAGGGGCTGAAGTAGTTGCTCAGATGACAACCATGTATAATGGACCCCATGTTAATTGTCAATGCCTTCTCTGCAGGGTAAAAAAAAAAAAAAAAAAAAAAAAAAAGGAATGTTTATTTTGATGATGTTATCGCTGTTTGTCAAAGAAGCAAGACGAATTATCTCAATTAGAATGACTTGATCAAGGCTTAATTCTTTGACGTCTAGTCAAAGCGCCCAATGCAATTTGTGGGTTCTTGTTGGCACAACTGGCACAACCCTGGAAAAAGAAAAACAAAATAAAATAACAATGATAATGATAATGATAATGGTAATGATGATTATGAATCCGCCGTTGCATATAATGCTTTTGTCAGGTAAACAACAAGGTCATCGACATGAGCTTAGGCATAGTTTGGCACGGCATCAGCTGCATTGACGCATACTATCTTCAATGAATTCATACACGTGCTTAGGCACTTTCAAGGATCACAAGGATCTTGATCCTGTCTTGTTCATCCTCTATTCCCTAAATTTGGTGTGAAATTAGTGGCTGTTGTCATGCAGCCGCAGTCTTCGTGGGATCGCTGATCAGACCTTTTCACATTCAAACAAATCCAAACCTCGATTCATTCATCCCTGTCACAGACATGACAAACAGATCACCATCGCCTGAGACTACCTCCGAGGCGCTTTCAGAGCTGTCCTCCGGTGACAGTGACACCGGTGATACCAGCACAACCTTTGATAATAATAGCCAACACCCATCGACGATCCCGCTTTGGTACAAAAAGGAAACCTTGACCTACTATCCACTTGCTGGGATTCGTCCTATTGAACCCACATATTTGTCCATTGCTGATCAGGAGCCTGCTCTACTAGATATGGGGCCTTTTCCTCGAAAGCTTGTCGTCCTTGATCTCAATGGCACATTATTTTATCGTTCATTTCATCGGAATCGCAAAACAATTCATCAACGTCCATTTTTGAGGACTTTTCTAAACTTTTTGTTCCAACGCTTTCGCGTCATGGTCTGGTCCAGTGCTCGTCAATCCAGTGTTGATGCCATGTTGGAAGCAGGTTTTGCAGACCTGAGGACCAATCTGGACAGAGTCTGGAGCCGAGAACACTTTGGAATGGCTGCATCTGAATACAATCGCAAAGTACTGACGCTCAAGGATCTGAGCCGTGTATGGATGGAGATTGAGGATGAGCGGAAGAATGCCGCAGAATCGGAAATGCGGCCTGGCGGCAGATATGCAACACGATACGATCAAACCAATACAATCCTAATCGACGACTCTGTAGACAAATCACAACTCCAGCCACAAAACTGCATAGTGGTCACTAGTTTTAATAGGGCTCAGTGGGACCTCGGGAAAGACGAGGAGCTGATTAAAGTCATGGCCTATATGAAGCAATTGATACCTCAACAGAACGTGAGTGCATATATGAAGAAACACCCATTCAATTCAGAAAGTAACGAATTTGATGAGTTCCTTAAAAAGTATCGGAAAAAGAAGGAGAAGGTGTCGTTGAAAAGAGCGCATAAAAAGGCCAAAAAGAGAGAACTAAGGCAAACCTACGAGGATGAACATACCAAGAAAATAGAGAATATCCTTGATGATGTGGCTCCAACAGAAGACTCTAAGAGTTCATTGTCAAAAGAGGTATCAATACCGGTTCTACCGGCATCTACAGGGGCAGAATCGAATCCCCCTAGTCCACAACCGGAATTACAGTCAAAGCACCAACTAGCAAAGATATCAGGAAAACGCAGCAGATCAGGATCGGGGGATAACAGACAAAAATTAAACAAGCAGCACAAGAACATGTAATAAAACTTTGGATTCTTTCCAGATTTGGGAGGCAACTTTGTATTCTTTCAAACGCGTCATGACATCGAATTTAACTCTGAATTAAGGCTACAAAACAATAAATAAATGGATGATGAAGAATGTGTGAGAGAGAGAGAGAGAGAGATACAGAGAAAAGATTATATGCGATATCTTTTGTTGTAAATTGGACTCATCTACATGTTCTTGTCTATGCCTATTACCTCGACAATGCTAATAAAGGAGGCTATTGCTGCCAGGTTCCCATGTGATGTCTTTTTTTTCTCTCCATGGTCACAGCGGGAGTGACAAGCTGACAAGCGTAATTTTTGAAATGCATGATATGATTGAGATGATTACAATATGCCTGTCATTGCGTACGCACTAGACTCGACCCGTGCATTTGTACTGAGGTCGACTTACACATTTTTTAGTGCCCTCTAAAAAACATTACGGAATTTGCTTCTCTCTCCTTCAACTCAACTTTTTTTTTTTTTTGTTTTCTTTATTCAACTCACCTGCAGCAACTCCTATACACTACTCTCATCCTCACCCTTTCTTATTAAACCATGAAGACCACTTTCCTTGTGGCCGGACTCTTGTCTCTGGCTGTCGCCTCGAACGCCGAAATGGCGCGGTATGTGTCAACTCATGTTGGAATTGACATGCATTACACGTTGTAATGGAGCACTGCGCTATATTACTCTATGAATAAGAAAGAACCTCCTCCTCAACCGAAATACAACTTTTTTTTTTGCGATTGTTCAATCTTTTTTAGTCTTCAAATCAAGAAAACGGAGCTTAGTCCTGCTGAAAAGCTCCATGCCTATGCTGGCACTGGCTCCTACTTGGCACAGAAGTACTTTGGTTCACCTGCCCGTAAGATGCAGATGGACCAAGCTAACCAGATTTTCGGTCTTGATGCTGAAGGCAAGCCATCATACGGAGTCCCTCTCTCCAACTTCATGAATGCTCAGGTAAAACAAACGCAACCCGGCAATCGTTTTCTTTTTTTTGTCTTTGTCAATGGTTCTCTTCCCCTATCTCTATTCTTTTTTTTTCCTCTCTCCCGCACATCCCCTAATTTGGATGGGAGCGGTGTCCCTGTCTGTGCGATTTTACCTTTGCACCGATTTTACCTTTGCACAGAAGAACTCCTTCCCCCTAAAATTTGCTTGGAGAGGACAGAAGATACTGGTTTTTACAATGAAATGAGAAATGCTCACACGACCAGTGACCAGTGGCCAGGGACACCATGACGTGTATCTATTGATGACAATTCATTTCTCTCCATACTTATATTTATAAGCGATGGAGTGTCGTCAGACCGCAGTCATGGTCTTAGGAGGATTAGCTCAGCTTAGTTCCAGTGCCAGGCCCAATTTCATATTTCTGATGTCTCATTTCATTTTTAGATTTATAGTAGCATCTATCTAACACTCTAAATTACTTGGCATTTTTTTTTTTTCCCTTTCTTTCATTTAGTACTATGGTGAGATCTCGATTGGATCGCCTCCACAGACCTTCAAAGTTGTTTTCGATACTGGTTCCTCTAATCTCTGGGTCCCTTCAACCCACTGCAACTCCATTGCCTGCTTCCTTCATAACCGCTATGATTCCAAGAAGTCGTCGACCTTTAAGGCCAATGGCACTGAATTCGGCATTCAGTACGGCTCTGGATCGCTGGAGGGCATTATCAGCAATGACAACATCGAGGTTGGTGGTGTTGTGATCAAGCACCAGGACTTTGGCGAGTCGGTCAAGGAACCCGGCCTTGCTTTTGCCTTTGGAAAATTCGATGGTATCTTTGGTCTCGGCTATGACACCATCTCTGTCTTGGGTGTGGTCCCACCCTTCTACAACCTTGTTAACCAAAAGTTGATTGATGAACCCGTCTTTGGTTTCTACCTTGGTCAGGCTGAAAGCAGCGTTGGTGGGCAGATGACTTTGGGTGGTGTGGATTCTAACCACTTTGAAGGCGATATTGATTGGTACAAAGTTCGCCGCAAGGGTTACTGGGAGATTGATCTTAACAAGATTCAGTTGGGCGATGAGTCTGTTGACCTCGAGGCAGGTGCTGTCATCGACACTGGTTCGTCATTGATTGTCTTGGAGACTGCTCTTGCAGAGATGATCAACAAACAGATTGGTGCAACAAAGAACTATGCTGGTCAGTACGTGGTTGACTGTAACCTTGTCCCTTCTTTGCCTGACTTCTCATTCTTCTTTGGCAAGAAGGAGTACAAGCTCTCTGGATCCGACTATGTCCTCAATGCTGGAGGCTCATGCGTTTCTGGATTCATGGGCATGGATTTCCCTGAACAGCTTGGCGATCTTTGGATTGTTGGTGACGTCTTCTTGCGCAAGTATTACAGTGTCTACGACCTTGGCAAAGATCGCGTTGGTTTTGCTCCTGCAAAGTAAAAGAAGAAAAAACAACAACAACCCACAACAACCCACCCCTCTATTGTCACTGTACTATATTAGATTCAACAAAGGCCTGAAAGGGAAGGGAGGAGATGATAAAGTGTACCTTAAAATCACACTTGAAACGTTCCACCATCTCATATTTTGCATCTAGTTGAATAAATTGTAAACACTCAATATCAATTATAAAAAAAAAAAAAAACTGATTGTATTTACATCAATGCTCATTTTCCTTGATGGTATCTTCTGGCCTATATATGGATATAAACATGTCATAGCAGGCTCGACCTAGAGTTATTGAAAGCATGCCAGCTTCCTTTTTTTTTTTTTTTTTTTTTTTTTTTTTTTAAGGTCAACCATGTTATAAAAGAGAGCCTTCGTGCGCAAAGAAGATGGTACGTGATCCACTCATGTTGTAAATAGTAGGTGTATCTTTGCTTAAGGGGCAAAAAGATAGACACAAAATCAGGAAAGGACAGAGCAAAGAGTGTCAACAAGAATAACAAGAGAAAATAGAGGCAAATAACCTTGACGACAAACGGCGCTATAAGATGCCAAAAGAGAAGATGGGAGCTTTATAGATGAGCTCACAAACTGGGTTACCGGAAGATGGGAAAAGATAAATGGCAAGGGTAAAACTAAAGCTTATGGTAAAACTAAAGCTTATGGGTACAAAAGATCTGTGGGTAAAACTGAAGACTTTATTGAGAAAGAAGTTCTTTGGCTTTTATAACTTAGCCTACAGGCCTGACTGTGATGCTTTCTAGGTGAGGTGGACTCACCTATAGCTTATACAAATATTCTTTTAACTGTGGATCGACGGAATGTCCCGATTAGTAGATACAAAATAAAAATAAAATAGTTATAATTAATTTTATATAACTATTAATGACCAGCCACAACACTCAGGCACAACACGTTCAAAAAAAAAAACAACGCGCTCAAAAAATCTCTAAAAGAAGTACGTTCAAAAAAGCCTCAACGATCATTTTCGCGTTCATGTCTCATATTTCAACTCGATTTCTAGGTAAAGGTTGGGTATTTTTTTCAGTAAAATTGACTTTTATTTTTACTTACAGGGAAAAAGAAAAGTAAAATATCGGTAAGCATATATGTTTATATATAGTCCTTTTCACTTGGTCACAACTTGTTCGCTTGCAAGCTTGTCCCGCTGTTCTCTATTTGCATGCAGAGTCGACGTGGCCAGAAGGGGTCTGTGGCATTGATATTAACTTATGAGTCATCATATTTTTCTTCCATCTTGTCTTCACTCTAGCTTTCAAACAAGATGAGGGTCAAATTCACAGAGTTCCTTCAAGTAAGTAATAGGAAAATAAGAGCTATCTTTTTTTTTATCATCTATCTTCGTTTCCTAACCATCTGTGAGTAATCTTCTGTCTCCTACAAGGAATAGATGCGAACTCTCTCGATCCAATGAGAACACCGCAGCTTCTTTCCCCCCTGGAAGCCGCTACGAGGAGATGCCAGGTGCCCTGTTGATTCATTACTGGCCACTATATGTAGTGATTGAAGCCTTTGAACAGGTCTATGGCCTACTGCTGTGACGCCAGACATCCCACTGACTCGTTAACTGCCCACTATACTTAGCAACACTATTCATAGTGACACTATACACAGTGATGGAAACCCTTGGTCCTTGACCTTGGTTTCAGCAACCCAGTCGTATCGAGTCTGTCGAGGATGCTCTTGCCTTTTTTTTTTTTTTTTTTTTTTTTTTTCTCTCCAAGACATGGTTCCGCCTTGGCTCCTACTATCTCCTGCCGGCTCGCCAAGCCTGACTACAAGTTGCCGCATGTTCTCCATCTCGGGAGAATGGACAGGGATGTGATTGTTCTTTAGCATAATATTATAAACGCAAGGCCTTGGTTCAAACCTGCAATCTGCAACTCGATATCGAGACCGATTTTAACCATTGTATCATATACTCTGAAAGTAATATTAAGGTCAATCAAGGCTTTGCCCATTCGCACCCTCAGATTCTTAGCAGTTATCGGGCAGCGGTTTTTGTCGAGAGACGTGGATGAAGATATCGTGGGCAAGACTCTCAACGATGTTGTTTATAGTTTGTTGGAATATTAAAAAGTATCAAGCATTAAAGTCGAATAACAAAAAGCATCAGGCATTAAACTCGAATAGCACAATAAACAATCCCTAGCTGGTGCAATTTATTCTTTTTTTTGTATGTTCTCTATCATCAATGGAGATATTGAGGTAAAACGATTGCCTCAACCATGGATGGTCATGTGTCACCGTGGGTCGCTCCTCGACAGCTTTCTTGGTGTTCAAGTAAATTGCCTAAAATTATAAGGAATGCTAAGTTAATACAAAAGCGTCTGCTGAAATAGGCCTTGACAAATAATTCAGATTCTAACCTTTGCAGCCTCCAGAATTGGCACTGCCTCTGCAATCCTTTCAAGAGTCTCCATACCCTCGAACAATGTAATCTTGCCCAATAATCTAGGGAGATAAAGGGCTTCGCAATCTAGGGACATTACGAAGATCTTCATTTGACCCTCTAGGAATGTAAATTAGTACCACTCTGTCTCCATTTAAATTTCATAGATTGTATATAATAAGGATGTAACATACTTTGGACAGGCAGACCCAGGACCTTTGGGTCTTTAACACTGTTGACGATCAAGAGATCTAGTGCCAGCTTCATTTCAGAAAGTAATTTTCTGAAATCTTTGTCAAGGAGATCTTGGGAGATTTTTGGAAGTTTTACCTCTGTAAGGAGCAGAGACAGACCGTTGACCAAGATCGTACTATCTGCGCTAAAGGACTCTCGATAGTACGCCGCTGTCGGGAAATCAAAGTCGCTAGAATAGCGGAGGCGTGTTATACCAAGAGTGAAGGAAAAAAACATGTTAGCATCCTACAGAAATGACAAATACCCGGTAAGCTCACTACTTACCAGAGTCCCACGGTTTCTGCAATGGCGCGCAGGTAGGGCCTGACATACAAAATGTCGTATGTCAACTCGTTCAATTTCCTTGGCGATGTCCAATACATCGCATCATCAAGGCTATGGAAAAAGCTCTTGAGCATTTCACTTGCTCCTTCCCAATCCTCTTTGAGAAGATTGCGGATCTCGGAAGGAGATTTCGACGCCTTTGCTTTCTCAATGCAGGATTCGTTGAATGCCAAATCCTGCTCACTCAAGGCCATCTCAGACCTTGCAACCTTGAAAAGGGAATTGATACGACCCTTGTACTTCTGAATATATTTCTCCATAAACTCCTTCGTGAAAATGAAGTTTAAGGAGCTAGAAAATCATTAGAAGGGTTGTATCAGCATCACGACCTTCAGCGTGTTCTAAATAAACGAGGGTATATATATATAAAGCACTTACAGAATATCCTCCGAAGAGAAGAGTGTTTTTTTTTTTTTTTTTTTTTTTGAGAAGAGTGTCCCGGTAAATAAATTTATTTAGTATTACGTGCATTAACTATGCATTAATATTTATCATGCGGTCAACGTCCAATAAACGCGATAAATACCAAAGGATATTTTTATTTAATGTTGTTCTAAGCACTCAGGCACCTTTTTTTTACCTTTAATGAAGATCACGCCATGCAAGAAAAGATTGATTTGTAATGTCAGGAATGAATCAGGATGAAGCTGGCAATAGGAACAATAAATTGAAGTTCATTTTGCTTCTCATTCTTTCCTTCCTTCCTTCCTCTTTAACTTGTCTATATCACAAACCCATGTCCTTAGATCTACTCGCTTTTCACATTACTTGCATTATGTCATCCTCCAACAACGCTGCTTCCTCTTCTACCAGCAGAGTCGCTGGCAAAAAACGTGCTCGTGAGGAATTGGAAGAAGATAAGGGCGCGAGTCGCCAGACCTCGCCTTCACCAGACGGTCCACCTGCTGATCCAGCGTTCCACTACGTGCCATGGGAGCGTCCCGCCAGAGAAGTGAGCACGATTAAGAAGCTTTTTCTGGAGAGCGAACTCTGCAATTTCGGGGCGCGGACAGAGAGTGCGCTCTAACAGGATAGAGATGAAGTACGACCTCGCAAGTACCTCTTTCTGGAGGGAGGACGACAACTCGATTTATCCAGGAAATCCATGAAACGTAATGATTTTGATATATTCTGGGTACATGAGCGTCGTAACCTGATACTAGCTCCTATTGGAGTTATGCATCGTGTAAATAGTAACAATCAAAGGTGATCTTAGGTGGAATCGAAGGTCAAAGGATACTTTATTTAGCTATAACGTAGTGGACTATTTATACTGATTGTTTTTTTTTTTACTGGCGGCAAGAATGACGTGGGATTGGGTGTTCAACAACACGCAATGGGATAGTTAGCGGTAGAAGTAGGCTTCTTCATCCAAAGCTGAGCAAACCATTGAAGGCAGAAGTGAAAAGAAGCCTTAATCGAGGAAAAAGAGGGCTTTGCAGTCATATTGATCTTAGACCCGCATATTCGACTTCATTTAGTTTTGTTTGTGTGGCCAGTGCATGTTTGTTTGCTCCACTGAAATCACTTTAGACTATCACCCTATCTCAATTTTTTGATTTTATGAGAAAGGAGTGTGTAGCGAGCCTTAACTGATGACACTGATACAAATATATTTTTTTGAATACAGTCCTGTACATTTATAAGGACTCTTCCTTATATCAAGGTGTTATCTTGAGCACAATCAATTCCATCGATATACAGATATCCAAGTTTCCCGTAATCCGTTCTAAAGCTTCCACCCCATGTCCCAATGCAGTGTGCTTCATCCACAACTACTGCAAGCAGTCGGTTCGTCCAACGCCGATCGCTCCAAAGTGTACTGAGCGCATTGCTCGTAAAGAGGATCTCTAGTGAAACGAATATGGCTCGATAGTATCCACGTAGCAATCTTTAGATAGGAATGAACAGCTCGCTCTTGAGATGAATGCTACTGACGCCTAGCAATGCCAGCTTTTCGGCTTGCTCGTCACCCAACACCTTCAGTGGTGTAACGATGAGTATAGTGATTTTTGGCCAAAGTATTAAAGGAAGGAAGTAGATCAACGTCTTCCCCCTGCAGTGCCAGCAGATAGGTTGCAGTCTTGACGTTGTCCTATCTTGATCACAATCTCAAGCTGTTCATCTTTTAGGTCAAACCCGAAAGCCCTCTTCGCCTCTTGGCGAATATCCTCGCGGATCATGGGAGAAGTCAAGTGTTGTCCGTACATTTTTTTTTGTATTCTTGTAATTTATTTAATTTGTAATTTTTAATTTTTATTTTATATATTTTTTTTAATTTGAGAAATAAAATTTATTTAATGTGCAGTGTGCAAAAGTGAAGAGAAGAAAGAGGGAGAAAGATGAAGAGAAAAGAGGAGAGAGGAAGAAAAAGAGAAAAAGAGAGGAAGAAAAGAAGAAAAGAGAGAAGAGAGAACTTTGGAGTGAGTGCAGACGGGAGTAATCGGGGGAATGAAGAGTCTTTCCCTGCTCATAAACGACAATGACAAAAAAAATGAGAGTTGTTCCCTACGACTTGAACGACATTTGTACCAAAAAAAAAAAAAAAAAATTTCTCTGCGGTTTGTGGACTTAGAAAAAATTCAAAAAAGTTGACATAAGCCACACAGGCTGGTGACGAGCCTACCATCATTGTTTTTTACAATCACACCCTTCATTCATTACCATCTCTCTTTTACTTAATTACTCTACTTCTAAAATTTACTTCTCATCCTCTCGCAATTACCACTTTCTTCTTTTCTTGATAGCCTTCATATATAATCGCTTCTTGTATTTCATTTTCAGAATTTTATTTCATTGCGCCACCATTTTTATTTGCGATTATCAGAGTTATCAGAGGTAAAATATTACACTTGAATTATATGACAACGCACCATTTAAGCGCTCTTTACTGTTAATTACGTAAATTAATTCTCTCTCTCTCTCTCTCTCTCTCTCTCTCTGATATTAAACCTAAGCTACTGCATATTCATTCTATCTTCCCTCACTTAGCACTCCTGTCATTATTTCTCTCTTTCTCGAAAATCACGTATTTCCACTTCTCGTAAGTCTTAGATACCCTCAATTCACCACTCCTATATTTCCAACATATGGCCTGTATATGCCCCCTGCATGTCCCCCAATGAGCTTACCCTCATTGCCCGACAGCAGCCCGCATGTATTCCCCATTTCCTTCTGTCATTGCCCGACATACTGCTCGCATATGCCTCCTATATGTTAACATTCGAATACTGTCAATGTACAGCATACAGCCCGCATATTGCCCCCTATATGTCCTCCAATGTCTTTATTAGTGTTTCCAACATATGGCCTGTATATGCCCTCTGCATGTCCCCCAATGAGCTTACCCTCATTGCCCGACAGCAGCCCGCATGTATTCCCCATTTCCTTCTGTCATTGCCCGACATACTGCTCGCATATGCCTCCTATATGTTAACATTCGAATACTGTCAATGTACAGCATACAGCCCGCATACTGCCCCCTATATGTCCTCCAATGTCTTTATCAATGTCACCAAACTTTTGGGGAGTATTTCCAATTCAATCCCTATCTAAAGTCTATTATTCCTATCAACATCTCTTTTTGAGTTCACTGCTTTCCTTAGTAAAACAAGTACACTATCTCAATAGATAAATGGAGCAGATGCCAAAAAGCCTGTCAAAGGATGTCAAGCCTAAGCACTGGAAAGATGAAATTGATTCCAGTCGAGTAGGCGCTGAATATTTCTTATCACAACCTGCACGACCTGTCTTTATTCCAGCAAATTATATCCTTTCGTGCTTTGGGGCAGGAGGACTCAGATCAGCTATTGTCAGAATGGTCGCAGTGGATGGATGATCTTGGACGAAGCAATTATGAACATATTCGTCGAAGGGCAAAGTCAGCTGGGATCATGACAAAATATGACATCGACAAATATTATAAAACAATAGAAGCTAAAACCTGGAGAGATGAGATTGATGCAAATCGTGAAGGAGCTGGCTATTTCCTACTACAGCGTGGACGCCTTAACTTTAATCCGACAGACTATATAGCCTTTCGAAGATTGGAAAGGTCAGAGTCATATAAACTACCAATAGAATGGTCACAGTGGATTCTGGATCTCAAGGAAAGCAGTGACGAGCATGTCCGTCGGAAGGCTGATGCGGCTCCTATAATGGGAAGAGATGACATACACGGATACTACAAGAATATTATTGTTGATGAACATGAGCTGGAGATTCTTGGATTATCATCAAAGCAAACAATTGGAGGGAGCCATCATCTTGCATCCCTTCTGGAAGATCGACAAGGTACAATACATTCAAGTCTTTCTGATAATACTACTAGCGATTTAATCTTTAGTTAACTTTTTTTTTTCATTGTATTCTATCTTGATAGCAGGGAAACCCAATACTACACAGTCGCCCACAAGATTGCCTTCAGTGCCTATGAGTCCTTCGGGTAAAGTTGATTTTCAAGAACTATATTATCATTATTATTACTATTGTTGTTGTTGTAATTACTATTTCATCATCATCTAAACAACGTGGTTTGCTACCATTTTCTACTCTGTTACTCTGCTTTAATTAGAATCTACACAAGATCAGAACTTGCGAAATGATGACCAGCATCTTGACATGCCACGACAAAAGAAAGCCCGCATTTGTTTGTCGCCATTTCCACTTCATGGAGCGTCCTCAGTATCTTCCCGCCACACACCTCCTTATGCTGGGGGGTCAGCAGACTCCTCCCCTGAGTTGTCAACGATCTCACCTCCCTCATCTCCGGATTTTACTCTTGATGGCGTTAATGTGGAGCAGGAGGCGAACTCTTTTTTTTCCAATGTTGGTACTCTACAAGATATTCTCTTCAACAGTCTTCAGGAGGGTAAAAACATACCTTCATGGGCCAAAAACCGACCGCTAAACACCTTCATATTGCGGCTCAAGGAAGACTGGGGCGTTAGAGTTACAAGTTTGTATTACAAACCAGAGGCTCATACCGATGTCTTACCGCTGCCATTTTTGGTTAGTCCGCTATCAATTACAAAAGGTTTATTAAGTGGTAGGCTTATAATTGACTAATACCGATATCGGTATGAGTCTGTAGTTTTTGCAGCTTCATACAAAGTTTGTATGAAGCTGCAAAAACAAAACCTATCCTTGACCATACCTATGTGGATGAAATAGCGTATGTATTTGCTCTTGATCTCGATTATTTTGTTAACACTTCTATGGTTGTGCTTAATGCTTAATATTTACTCACTACATTATTTGATTTTGTACCAGCTTGCTCTCAGGAATTGTGCATCTTAACAAGAATCATATCGGGTTCTCGCAGTCAGAAATATACAAGATACATATCTGGGGAGGTGTTCAACATGTTTTACAGTAAAGAAATGGAGGACGCCGATATGAAAAGAGCCGAGGATGCCACAATCCTATGGGCAAACTGGGCTCAGGTAACGTTTAAATTGAATACATCATTCTTGTGGCTAAAGCTTAACGATCAGTTAAAGGAATGAATCTTAACACCAACATTATCTGTGGATACTTAGAAACTGAGATTGGACCAGTTGAAAGAGAGATTGGCGGCACAAAGGGATGGTCGGAAGCCTGTAGACATCAGTGTTGAACCATTGATCGAAACGATATTGTCCTCATATGCTGACTGTAAAGCCAAAAAAATCACATCAGTATTTTTTATTGCACTTCATGTATTCCGGCAATTTAATAGTTGGTCGGGGTTATGCTCAGAATCAGATTGCATGACAGCAGTAGTGTCACCAATATTGAGAGAAATCATGGCAATTCAACACAAAATCAAGTTCACATGGTAACATTTTTGATTTCTAAATTTCACCATTCATTCTTGTGACTATAAAATTACTTATGATTATAAAACTAACATGATTTTTATATAGCGCCAATGCCTGTACAACTACTGGAAAAACGAGAAAGGTAAATCTCCAACAGAGTGGTCAGTCCCGCCAACCTATTGGACAGACAAAGGACAGGAACGAGGTTTTTTTTGGCGAGATGAAAGGAAAGCACCCAGGTTCAGAGGCTATCAACACAGATATTCTCCGCCTTGCAATATTCACCAAGGATTCATTAGATTTGCTTCATAACGCTTTGGAGAGAGGACCACCACTTATGACTTTCCAGACTGTGGGGTCTGACGTTGTCTTTTTCCTTGGCGCCAGAGTCAATAATACCATCGTCCATATACGGCTGTCAACTGTGGGGCTACCCTCAAGCTTGACGGAAGTAGAGCTTGATTACGACTTTTTTTCCACCTCTTTCAAGTCCAAACTCTCATTAGCATTACCAAAGATTGCCTTGAGGAGAAACGCACGACACCGTTGCAAGAAGACTCTTTCCCAACTCTAGGAACTCCAGAACGTAATGAAGCATTGAACAGCACAAAAAACCAAGGAAAGTAAAGAAAAATTTGCAATGAGCATTTCGAGTCCCTTTAGATTTTAGAGGAAAGGAAATAAATATTCAGTCCTGAACTTAAAATTTCTTATTTCCGATATGCATCACATGACAATAAAATATTTTTGAGCGTGTATACTTCATTTTATTCAATTCAAAAAATGTGAAACATTTTTTTTGTTATAATTGTATGAAATACGACTTTGGATATGACTCCAGATCACGTTCGGGACATTGTTTTGCGCTCCTTTGCGACCTCACGCAACATATTTTTTTTTTTTGCGTTCCTTTGCGGCGTATTTTTTTGAGTTCCCTTTGTGGTGGTGCAATGCAACATTTTTTGCGTTTCTTTGCAACAATTTTGCGTCCCTTTGCGGTCTTACGCAACCAGCTGCAAGCTTGTCGCTGAGGAGTATGGGTGATCAATATGAATCATAGGAAAGTGAATGAGAAACGTTCATCTTTTTATTGATCACCTCCTCTTACTGATTTAAATAAGAGTGAAGGACCTCTAATTTATAACTACTATATAATTGATAAGTGAAATTACTTGTGTACAGTACCAGGACAAAATGTATTGGAGTATCCTGAAGTATTCTATTTCAATTCAATTGAACTAGAAAAAGTTTAGTAGAACTTTATTTACTACCTGCTCCACAGTCGATGAAAAAAAAGATATACAATACTTTATTGAATTGGAAATCGACCTAATTCATTTACTATTCTATTTTTTACTCCAATACATTTTGTCCTGGTACTGTCTGTACAAACATTTTTTCCGTGGGTATTGTATTCAATTTAAAAATGAGAGAAATATGTTGGTCGACGACTTTAAACAAATATATTTGAATTGGATAGAATGCTTCCTTTTCTATGCGCTTTTTTTTTTTTTTTTTTTTTTTTTTTGGCCATAGCGTTTCTTGTTGTCAACAACTCGTCTCAGACTCCTATCCTCTGCATCAAACTCATGAGGTTCGTGCGTGGGTTTCTGTTTTCCGACTCTTATGACTTTTGGCGAAGATTTAAAATATTTTAAATGGCGTTGAAAATAGTCAAAAAAAATAAAAATCCCACATTCATTTTTCCATTACAATGCCAAAATTACCCAAGTCTTGCACCTTATACCACTGCGTGTTAAGCTCTGATTCAGAGAGCTTGACTTCCCCCAAAGACAAAGCCAGACATGCCAGAGAATATCATGTTAAGAAAGCAGTCTATGAAGACCATGGCACTGGTGCCATCTTTGAGTGCACTCGCGACGAATCAAAAGAATCAAAATTTCACTGCATTTGCAAAATTCATATAAAGTCCACTCATCCTTCATACGACATCTTCAGAATAAGGAGCGTGAGCACCTAAATGGTTTGGTTCAAAAGAAAGAGGCATTCAAGGACGATTACTTTGTACTGAGATACTGTATAAACCAGATAGAGGGTCAGCCTCCAGCGGTGATGCTCCAAATAAATCTAATGCGTACTTTTAAATATATAAAGCTAGAAGCGAAATCATCAGAGCTGAATACGAAGGTTTGTAGTCGCTAGAAAATCATAAATACTCTCCACCTATATAAAAACTGTCAAGAACAAGAGACAACATTGTCAACGATTGTTTAATAACGTTCTGTGCCTTTATTTTATAATATGTATATAGAGCTCGCAAAAACAGTCGGCTATCTTGGAAGCAGTTGTTCATGCAATGTTTTAACCTAATTGATATAACTTACTATGTACTGTAATATGGAACTAAAGTTCAATAGGACAAAGGGTTCTTTATTTCTGGACAGACGATATCTTATGTACTAAAAAATAAATCATAAATAAGGTTGAAGTGAGTGAGTCATCAATTTTAAAATAACAAAAATATAGCGAAAATGATATGGAATGATGCATAGGACCTTGTGAAATACTTTGATTCACCCCTGATCCTCAATTAAACCATTAGCCCTCTCCTCATTCCCCTCATTCTCCTCATTCCTGGCGCTCAACACAGGTTCTAGGACTAGTGTACTAGTTATACTCTAGTATAGATACACCATATCGCTATATTTATGCCACCAAGAAAGCCAAGGACAATACACCCACTGTTTGCTAATGTCGCTAGAGCAAAGGTCATGGATAAATCTGGATATTATGAATACCATAACTCACCATCTCCAAGCGCCACTGCCACTACTGTCATGGTTGATGATGATAATCCCCAAGGTAGTGCCATAGACAGTGCTGAATCTTCAAGCATGATTGGCGGGACCAAGAGAATCAATTATTTTGGACTAGACGAAGAAAGTTCCGACGAGGAAGTGGACGAGGAACGGCGACAAAGCATCATCAATGGAAAGCGAAAAGCAGATGAACAACTAGAGCCTCTGCCGAACCCAAACCAGCGGGCTTTTATTCAGCTCCCACAACCAACTCTACTTGAAAGGCAGGATAGGAATCTCGATATCTCAGTCAAGATCGGTTTAAGAGAGCAAGGAGCAGTTACAAGAGCTTCGGCCATTGATCCGGAATTCGAGTCGCCTCAAAACAACAAAAGTCTAGAATCTAAAACGAAGGTGGAGTTCCGTGAAGCGCAGGCTATGGTACGTGCCCAAGGAGTGCGGGTAGATACTCTTCGAGACAGTAGTAAGAAGAGTTATGAACGATATATTCGACATTGGAAGGTACGTTAAAGTAATCAAATTTTGCTATAAATTATCAGGAATAAATCAAGCATTCAAGCCGTGAATTAACTCTCTTCTGTTAGTCTTGGTGTTTCCGTAAAGGATATGGAGATGACTACAGGGTTCGATATGCAAAATTCCACGTATATATGGAGGAAAACTTGGCAGATGAGCCTTCCTTTGCGGAAAATCCTGAGGATTGTATTTTACCTATCCGTTGCAAATCAGTGAAGAAAAAGCCATCACCGCCATGCTATGAAACTGGAGATCGAGCACAGGATGTCAACGAATATCGCTCCAATTTGAATGGAAAGGCAGCTTCATTTGAACTGATTGATATGCATATAAAAGCCTGCGTGGATTTGTGGGAGCAGCAGATGGTCGATCCTGCCCTAGATATGAGTAATGAACGTCACCCACGATCAAAAGCGATTTGGACTAGGATGGATATTTATAGAAGGAAGATGAATATAGAGAAGGTTCCGCACAAAAGGCGAGTAGTGCTGGATCGGGGCGATGAACTGGAGGAAATTAAAGAAGTAATGAAAGCAGCGTGGATGAAATCAAAAGGCCAAATCCGAATTGGGCTTCGTGATAGGCTGGATGCGGCTTGGTCTCACTTTCTAATGGCCCGAGGCGAGAGCCTAAGATACGCCACTCTTGGCAACATTGAGGCCCATACATTTCGCCAAAAGGATCCGGCTGGACAATATTGCCTAGGTGTCATCCTCACAATGTTGCAAGGCAAGACAAACGACGGCAGCCATGAGATGTACGGGGTCGCTGTCAGAAATATAGATGTTGAGCTCTGTCCTGTTGGTGCCCTAGGGTTTTATTTTCTTGACCAATTTGAGGTAAATGCAGCTATTCGCTTATTTACAAAACTCTTTATATATACATACTATTTTCAAAGGCCATCGTGCTAATAGTTTCTGTAGTTCCAGGGCGGACCACCGGACTTCAACACTCTTGGTGAGGATTGGACGAAGCTTCATTTAATTCATGGTGGCGATAGCACTAAAAAATTTAGTCAATCTGGACATCATCAACCATCCTTCAAAGCGCAATCAGGAGCTGGAGTGGCTATACCAAACAAAGTAACTCATAGGTATCGTGGCTCTGGAGCTCGTCATGCTCAAGAGGCTGGTGCAGATGTCAGGTCGATTTCACAGCATGGTGGATGGTCAACTGAGCGTGTTATTACACATTACTTGAGCAGGATTTCTCCAAATGTTGCTTTGCGTATGGCTGGCTTTACAAACCACGATGAGCCATTTTGGCTACCTAGGAATACTTTCCTCCCGCCAGCTGAGCTTCAGCGTGAGATCTTTCCATTCATCGAAAGTAGTTTTGGTGGACATCCTGACTGGAAAGCCATCGTTGAAAACGTTATGATGGACCGTAATCGTGGGTATGGTAGGCGTCCTGAGTCGAGGTTTAACCCTAGCAAATCAGAGCTAATATTATCACGCTTTCTTTTGCTGTTAGCTCACTTGCGAAAGGTGATTCTACAGGACGCTGTCGCTCTTTCTCAGACTCAGAATGATCCTGCGAGTAACTACATGATGCATCGTATATTTGGCCTTCCATTATTTAGGAGTTCATTGTACTCGGATTTTAAATCGAGACTTATGGAGCGGATGATTACAGAGTCATCGCCTACCTCAGACAGCCTTCGCACTAATGCGCCAGCTATTCATTCAGAGTTCCGAGCGATGAAAAATAAGCTTAATGACATTGATCGGAAGCTTGGGACGGGACTAGTCGGAGACTTCGAAGGAATGATGGAACGTCAACAGACTCTGTGGACACATGCGATTGGCAAGGCTTTTTTAGAAAGCACCAATATGACGGTTCGAGAACTTGAGCGGGTTGGTTCGTCCATTAAGATGAGCATAACCCAAAGTCGCCAATTATTTTTTGAAACACTGAGCAGAGTAGCTCAAGAAGCAGGAAGAAAGGAGTACATAAAAGTACAACAGGAAAAGAGGCAACTAAAAGCTAAAATACAACAACCTGCATTGCAAGGGATTCTGGGCAGGCTGTCGAGAGAAGTTCCATCATCTAGTAGCTCTGGCATTGATAACTTATCACCACCTAGAGATCCAGAGGATTACCAGCAAGGGAGTGAGAGCGAGAGTGGCGAAAGTGATAGTGGCCAGGAGAGCGAGCCGGTTGAGCCGGTTGAGCCGGTTGTTATTAACGAAACCGTTATTGCTGTTGATGATCATTCTCATGATGATCAAGATCTATGTGATCAATTTAACGAGGCACTTGGCACTGACGCACTGGATCAAAATTGGGAGGACCAAGAAGGCCAAGAGGACCAGGAGGCTGGTCAAAATGCAGAAGGACAAAGGCGATGGGATAACGAGAAAGAGCTAGAGAAAGAGCTTGGAATGCGCTTGTGCCCATATGTACCTGAATTTCACTACATGGAAATGGAACCAAGGGATAGGCCGATTCGTGATCTTTGGAAGGAGTGGTTTTATGGAAACGAAGAAAAACCTTCAATATGTCGTATGGAAATTGAACATGGCAGTAGATGGCGTCCTGGCAATGCCAAGGCTGCAGTATATTTATTCAAGAAGCGTCTAATCAACTCCGTTCTTAGAGAAATGACCAATGCGGAGCCCAATCTCACGGTGGAACAACGTATTTTTTATGCATTGGACAGCGTTCATTTAAAGATATCTCAAGCAGGATCAATTAATAAGTATGAGAAATCTCTTCCAAAAGGCGCTCCAAAACGCCGCCGAGCTCCTGTACAAGAACCGGACCAGCAAGGTCAGTTAGACCAGCAAGATCAGTTAGAGCAGCAAGATCAGTTAGGCCAACAAGATGCATAGATAGACACTTATAGTCACTTATTTAATGTTAATAAAAGAAGAATTTTGAATGAAGTTTGACTATTGTCTGTGGACAGCTGATATGGAAGATATATTGCTGTTGCCTATTGTTTTCAATTCAATCAGAATGGTGAGTACGCTCGGTATTCCACATTTGTGCCGCGAAAAAGATGGACAAACGCCAAGTTATGCTCCAAAATAAGGCACATGCTGCACGTGAAATATGTTTATGATTCAGAAATTTTATGACCCCAAATAAAAACATACTGTAAGTGCAAGATATCATCTGCCCCACGTGAGTGGTAATTTAAATCATCGTATACGCTATATGGGTTTAAATGGTGCAGTTGGTGTAGTATTTTTGTATATCACAAATGAGCTGTTTGGCAGCTCCCACAGCGCTGCAACTTCCAACAGTAATAATTTCAGACTCCTCCCTACTCTAGACTCACCTCCACTTATTTATATAAAGCCAGAATCATGTACAATTATCGAGATTCCGTAGGATACACGTTGCTGCTTGTAGATGAAATAGAGACCCCGTGCAAATAAAAAAAGACCCTCGTGCAAATAACTTTTTTTTATTTGTATGGGGGGAGCAGTGTAAATAGAGTGTGTACGGGGCAGTGCAAATAGATTTTTTTATAAGTAAAAATTTATGGATTAATCTATTTGGCAGCCCAGTTGCTAAATATTATTTTTTTTTTTTTGATAACAAGGACCCTCAGGATCATGGGATTTATTTTCTACACTCTATGAACAAAATGCTCCAGAAACTATAGCCAATAAACAGCTATTACTGCACAAACGACAAGAGCCGCTGTATCCATGATTTCATAAACCCTGACCGCCGTGGTTGGTACTCAAAGTCCACCTTTCCGACGTGGCCTGTTGCGCAACGCGACAAATTATCCGCTATCCATAGTCATCAAAAACTTCATTCCACCTAGCCGCTCCATCACGTCCAGTTTGGTTTTCCCAAGGTAACTGTCCCGGACTCGGTCATCCGCGATCTTGTAGATCTCTTTTACATTCAGCTTCTGTGAAGGGACAAGGAAATCATTGCTACTACGTCTGTGCTCCCCAACACAGTTGCGTCCTCTAGCGCGTTTGCTCATAGCAGTGATTCCACGAGCCTTTTCCCATTCAACGGTGACTTTACACCGTTTGTTCCAGATTTCTGTACGACCGAATTCCTCTATGGCCTTGACGAAGCGCCCTGCCATATATGTAGCTATCCTTGTTGTTGTCTTGAAGCCAACTTTCCAACTCTGAGCAATGGACTTGGGCGTAAGTCCATGGTAAATGTCCTGCACAGACCAATCTGGTGTGTGCTCTCTCTCTTCCTCATCATCGCCGTTCCTATCACCATGGCGTCGTACTTCTCGCACACCATCGATATGCATCTCCAGAGTTTTCCAAATGTAGTCCTCCTCTGCCGCAGTAAAAGTTGGCTCTTTTGTCCTTGGTGGGTCTACACCTCTCTCTCTGGCCCTTTGTGCTTGCTCCTGCACTGCTTTCAACTCTTTCCTCCATGTCCTCTCCCCTATCACATTCACATTTTGGATTATCTCCTTCCACTTCTCGGCCTGAGTCTCCATCGTCCTTGGACATCTCCAGATGTGCGATGTGTCTTCATCCTCTGTCCCACACACTCTGCAGTTGCCGTCTTCATCCCAGTTGCTAAATATTATTTGGCAGCCCATTGCCAAATATAGTCAACTTTCAAGACTCTCTTTGGCAGCCCAGTTGCCAAATAACATTCATTATTTACTTGGCAGCCTACCCAGCGTTATTTGGCCTCTAACTATTTTTTTTTTTTTTTTTTTCATTCCTAGGAACCGTATATGTTTATAACGCTCATACTTCAAATTAATAAAGCTCCCGTCTTCTACGTCATAGTTATGTGTAGTGACATTGTCTTCAAGTAGGTCGCTCATACAGTTTTGGAGGTGCCATTTGGAGATCAATGCCTATGAGAGGTTTTCGCTCGGAGCAAACGCGTCTCACCTACTACCTAGACGTCTTCAATAAACCATTCCCTAGCCGTGTACATTGAAGGCTGTTTTGTGAAGATGTCATCGCCGCTGCCCTTAGTACCTCCGGCGGCATTAGCTGTGCAAGGCAATGTATCCACAGAACGCTGCTTGTTTTACCACTGATGTTATGACCCTGTTTATCAAAAAAAAAAAAAAAAAAAAAAAAAAAAGTAATGTATTTGGCAGCCCAGCTGCCACCCAAGAGTGCGAAGTTAAGTGGCAGCCCCCAGAAGTAGGCTGCCAAATAGAGGCAAAAATTACTATATTTGGTATGGGCTGCCAAATAGATTAATCCAAAATTTATTTGCACGGGGCCGTACAAATAACTTCATCCTATCGCAGAATGCAAAAAAGGGATCTCTCAACTGTCCTTAAGACATTGAGATATCCATTATATGGATTACGCCCAATGTGGGGGTCGAACCCACAACCTTGAGATTAAGAGTCTCACGCTCTACCGATTGAGCTAACCGGGCTGATGTTCAGGTTGAAAATTAGGAGCTATTTGTAGCATTTTCTGGAACGTGACAAGCAGTTATTACAGATAATTGGCCAATATTCGTTTAAGGGGCAGTCCGATAGACACAAAAATAAGGAGGCAAATAACCTTGACGACAAAGAGCCAGGCTGAGTAACTTGTTTTTTTTACAGGCAAAAGGGAGTCATTATAATGATGTTTGCGGCAAGAAAGATTGGTAATCAGCCTTTAAAGTGTTTTTTTATATATTATCACTTTCGCGACATCACACGTGCCAGTCCACTGGAAGTCTGATTGAAGTCTTCCAAGTCTCCACAGTTAATCATCCACTGACCAAATTTAAAAACACTTTTATGTTCAAGCTGACCTAGTCCTTGGTTCCCTTTTACGATCAAGTCCTAGATTTTTGAATACTCAGATTTTGAGCTGCTCAATAAAGTTTTTTTTTTGTTGCTTGTCTTTGCTCCATATTTTATACATGTCGTTTTTAAAATGTAAAGGTTCATATTCTTCAGTTTATACGATGAATGATATCGAGATGAACCTGCAGAGGTCGCTCACTTCCAAGCCATATTTATTCCATGAAATACAGTGTATGGAATGCGCTCTTGTTGTATGAGTAATAAAAACCCTTTGAAATTCTGATTGGGCAATCCTGAAGGGATCCACGCAACGGTCACGGAGGAAGTTTTTGTACTACTTGTGCAACATGAGAGATGGCCGTCAAGTCATTTCTCCAACAAAGGTGTGGATGCATTGCTTGTTTGCTGCAAAGTAAAAAAAGGGCAAGCCACAGCCTCTTTCCAATCCCATTTGAACTTCACCAATAAAAAATAATGTTCATTTCTTTCTTCACTGTTATTCATCAGCACTAGTGCCGAAACAGGAAGCACGGGTGTAGACAGGAACAACGACATCCGGATACTTGAAACTGAACCAACACTGAGCCTAGGCTCATCAAACATTCTGCTATGAATTTAGAGCTACTGGGTAGATGTTTTTCCGATTTCATGTCGCGACCATGTGATGTATAATGTTAACTGGCAGAACCACCTCATATCATGGCTGATTGTTTTTCCCCCTTCTTCTCTGCAACACATTTTTTTATAGACCCCTTTGAGCAGGACTTTCCAGAGGTTATTGAGGACACACTCGAGGATGGCCCTGCAGTGACCGTCAAATTTAATCGTCGGGGCACGCTTTTGGCTGCTGGGTGTTCAGATGGAAAGATTGTCATCTGGGACTTTGATACGCGGGGTGTCTCACGATCTTTGATTGGACATGTCAAATCTGTGACCAGCCTGAGGTAACATGGGAAAAGATGTAAATGGTTATGCTGTCGATGCTATCGGCTCTTTGACTCACTTTTTTTTTTTTTTTTTTTTTTTGGTTTTGATTCATGATACTCGGATCATTGTTATCAGTTGGGCGCGTAATGGTAGATATTTGTTATCGTCATCAAGAGATTGGAGCTGTATTGTATGGGATCTATTGTCAGGGACAAAGAAGCACACCATTCGATTCGATACACCAGTTCTTAATGCACAATTTCATCCAAAAAATAAGTAAGATCTCGGAGGAAAAAAAAAAAAAAAAAAAAAATACACGAGTCAGCATAATGCGTCGAGGATTTATACATTGATCTAAATGCTTTTTTATTTATTTATTTTATTTTATTTATTTTTATTTTTTATATATATTTTTATGGTGTTCAATAACTAAGCTCGGTATTCATTGCTGCTTTACATCAGGAGAAACCAGTTCTTGTTGATTTTTCTAATGGCGTAAATCGATCTCCTATTTTTGAAGAAAATCCTCCCAACAACAACAACGACAATAGTAACAGAGAAGAGGACTCGACTAAACAAAACTCATCATCAGCAACGGGAACTAATGCTGGGCAAACACAGCTGACACTGGTTGTTACGTTTGATCGGCAGGGCAAGCGAGTTTACACAGGATCAAATCGTGGTCTGATCAGCATTATTGACACAGAGACGCGAACTGTATGTAATTAAAAAAAAAAAAAAAAAAAAAAAATACTGAACGTTTACAGCACGTGGATCAAAAATTAATTTCGGCGTCTGATTTACTTTTCTTTTTTTGTTCAACATTTCGAAAAAAAATCTTAGCTTCTTCATGAAATACGAGCAACTACCAGCGCGATCAAAAATATTCAGTTTAGCAGGAAAGGGAAAGAATTTGTCGTTAATGCGAACGACAGGGTGATCCGGCTATTTACGGTTAATGAGCAAGGTCCACCAGAGCAAGTGCATAAATTCCAGGATTTAGTGAACAGGATTCAATGGAACCAATGCTGTTTCTCCAGCGATTCAGATTATGTTATTGGAGGCTCTGCACATCAAACTCAACACAACATCTACATTTGGGATAAAATTGGAGGATTTCTTGTCAAGATTTTGGAAGGACCCAAGGAGCCATTGGAGGATGTAGCAGTAATGTCAATAATGTTAATAACAAATAGGAAGTTGGCCTTGTATAAAGTTGTCATAAAACAAGAAGACTATCGAGTGATATTGACTTTTCTTTTCTTTTTTTTTTATGAAAATGTATAACAAAAAAGTGGCATCCAATTAGACCGATTGTGGCATCCGTCTCTAGTTATGGGATCATTCACATTTGGGCAACAAACTATCAAGAGAATTGGAGTGCATTTGCACCAGATTTCAAAGAACTTGAAGAAAACATAGATTATGAAGAACGAGAAGATGAGTTTGATATTGTAAGTTTCTGTTTGTTTTACTTGCCTGTTGTTTGTTTATTCTAAACAAGCATGTTACTATTGCTGCTATGATTTATTAATATATATATATATTTCCCTACGTCAGGTTCCGGAAGAAGAGGCCTCAAAACGAAAACATGATGATGAGGATATACTTATAGATGTAACGACCATTGAAAAGGTTAATCCTTTTAACGACTCTGACAGCGATAATGGCGAAGAAGAAACATTTTATCTACCATTACTTCCCAGTGACCAGCAAGACGCGGAGTTACTCAACCAAAAACATCATCGCCGCCACCGTCGCCACCAGCACCGTCGCCATCATCACCATCATCGTAATAACAACCAAAGTCATCACACCAATGAGAACGATAATAATGGCCATCGATATCTCAGACATGATCAAAATAATAGCCATAGCCATAGTCACTCACAATCACATACATCGTCAAAGCAACAAATAGTACCATCATTGTCGCAAGGCCATAATGGTAATAGTATCATCAAAGATGAAGCAATGGAGCATTATACTGCTACGGAGGATCCAAAACGAGATTTGAAAGACCGGAGCCGTGATAGAGAACGAGATCGGGATAGGGACAGGGATCGAGAGCGTGATCACGAACAAGATCAGGACAGAGGACAAGAGAGAGAATATGACAGAACCAAGGATAAAGACATAGATCTTGATCATGAGGAGAAGCATAAGCGTAGGCAGCAACAACGGTCCGAAGAGAGTGACAATGAAGATGAGCAGGGTTTAGATGTAAGGAGTACAAACGGGGATGATCACGACTACAATCGAGACCGAGACCGAGATCTACATATCAGCAATAATAACAACAGTAATAATCATACCAATAGTAGTGCCTCAAGGCGAAAACTGGAAGAGCATCAACAACATTCACCCTCGCGAAATGTCAAGAGGCAGCGGTGATAAAATGAGTTCTCCATTATTTTGACCTTTTTTTTTTTTTTTTTTTTTTTTTCTGATATGTATTTGATGAACAGAGTAATATACAAAAGTGCAAGCAAAGAAGCTCCCCTATTACAGATTTTCAATATGGCTTGAGAGCATGACATTGTGAGCATGAAGGAAAAGAAAAAAAAATAACGACTCTAATAATTATTGGCCAGGGAAGAGTGGGGAGTGTAGAAGGATGAGGAAATAGAAGTAGAGCAAGTAAGGGTAAATCTCAGTATCATTCTGTACGAAGCGTGTCGTCTTCTTCGTCTTCTTGTCCTTCGTCAATTCTATCAACTGTCCGTAATGTTGCGATTGGATTGGTTTTCGCGGACGAGGCTTCATGGGTCTCTTCTTGCTCTTGACGCTCCAGCTCTAGCTCCTGACGTTCCAGCTCCAGCTCCTTGGCCATCTCCAACGCAATTTCTCTATCGAGATGAGTACCTTCACGTTGCATCCCTCCAGACTTGACAGTGACCCTGGTGGGCATCTCCCAAGGTGTTGATCCTACATAAGTCCTGGCAGAATACAAATGTGGTGGCTCAAAATCGACTTGATATGAGCCATTTTTACTTACAGAGTCAGCTTGCTGCTGTTGTTGTTGGTCTTGATGTTTCTCCAAATCACGACGGTGATTAATGGCTGAGAACGATTGACGGCGCCTTCTTGATCGACTATCACCACGGACATCATCGTTGTCATTATCTTCTTCAAGTAGCATGAGAGGGTCTATCATCATTGAGCCTGGAGCTGTGCCCGTGATGGGTGGGACAAATGATGATGATGTCGTGCTTCCTATTCCAACACCTCCCTCCATAAATGATCCCGTAAATGCCGAGGTAAGAGAGCGCGCTGCAGTTGCTGAATGAGAGATATTGCTGTTTTCTGCCATGATGTCAGCACCATAGGCGCGCGACAGTCTTCTCTGAAGCATAGCAGCCGCTGGAGTCGAGCTTGGGGGTATAGCCAAAGAGGTAGCCAAGGTCGAGGTAGTACGGGCTGCTGGCGGAGCTGGTTTAATGTTGGCAGAACGAGGCTGGATTTGAATAGGTAGTGAGGTACCAAACATTGCAGCCCCCGGATGAGCAGCAGAGTTATCATTATCATCTTCATCAAACTCTTCGTCAAAGTCATCATCATCGATTGATTGACGATGGCGTTGTTCTAATCCTCTCTGACGTCTGAGATATTTGGCTCGAAGGGAACCTACAACCATTCCTGACTTGGGGAGAGAGCCTCTGCTCGGATCGGTAATTGCAATGCCATTGCTCTTACCGTTAGAAGTGACAGCCGCACCCGTACTGTCGTTCTCTGAATCTAAGCCTTGGTCATCATCTTCAGCATCCATATCGCTAGACACTTGTTCTTCATCCTCATCAAAACCAAGCTCTTCATCCATATCAAAGACTACCCCCTCTTCATCTTCTTCACCATCCACCTCACCATCGTCACCATTAAGACCTGATAAATAGAGAGCTTATGTTAGTTCGATGGTGTCTGCATAACAGAAAGTAAATAAATATCAAATAAACAAAACAACCAAGACGCAATACTTGCCTTCGATATCGTTTTCTTCAACATTCTGTGGCTCTACAATTGATACCCTCCTGATAGTGTCACTGATAGTCACCTTCTTTTTAGACTTAGAAGAGGGTGACGATGTCTCAGGATTTAGTGCATCCGCTTGTGACTCATTGGCCATTGAAGAAGTGGCCGCATTGGCTGCAGTATTGGTCAGTGTTAGATCCACTGGTTCATCTATGGTTGATGTTGTCGCTGTAATTTCAAGATCAGGCACAATGCTTTGTCGTCGTAGGCTGTTAGAAGCCATCCGTTGGTCAAACTCTCGAAATTGGAGAGACATGGCCATATCTGAGACGGAAGATCTTCTTCTATCCAAGAATTGACTATGGGCTCCCTCAACCCTCGAAGCATTAGTGAGTCGGATTGGCAAAGTATTTGGGACATCCAGTGTGTATTGTGACCCGCTGGCGTTAGGGAAGCCGTCCTGGCTCCCGAGATCTGTGGTACCTGGCGTTGAGGGCTGTGGAGGAGGTGGGGGCGCAACTCTTTCCTGAATCATCTTCCAAAGACGCTCTTTTTCCTTCTTTGTGATCTCTATTGACTCTCGTAATGCAAGGAGCTGCTGCGATTTGAAAGCCTCGATCCTAGCCTCGGTTCGCTGCTGCTGTGCATTTAGATTTGCCTCCAGCTCCTTATCCAAAAGAGTACGTACTCGTTCTAGATGTGGCCGGTAGAGCGGAGCATCCGATGGCTGCGCTAGTGATGGTGATGATGAAGGTCTAGGTGTTGATGATGGGAGCGTCGTGGCTGATGCGCTACGCATAGAAGCCGAAGAAGGAGGAGCAGTTGGAGTTAAGGTTGGGGCAAGGATAAGTCGAAAGGCTTTGGAGTAGTTGGGATCCTTGACGCGCATGTCAATATCTTGTCCTGTCACAACACCTTCAGAAGGCACGACGATACCATTAGAAGGCGAGAAAAGGATGGAGCTGGCCAGGAAGGCAAGAGATGTGGGCTCCAAGTTGACAAAGCTGGAGCTCGGTTGGAAGGTATAGACTTCCTGATCGCAATTGAGGCACCGTACCGTCGCCACATCCTTTGATATTGAAAGGCTGCAGAGAATTTTTTGCTCCTATTAAATTACAGCGGAGGCCATTTTTTTACACAATAAAATTAAGGCCAACAGAAATACAACATGATTAGATAGGAATGAAATTGTATATCATGTTGAAAATAATCATGTCAAGTTAACCAACTAAGACTTTTTTTTTCTTTTTCTTTTTAAATTTTTTAGCTTTTAGCGCAACTTACGACAGACACGCCAGCTAGTCCCAGTTTTAGCTCCTTTCCTGTCAAGATAGTGTCATGCTCAGGTTCAGCCGCAAGATGCAATTTGACATTGAGGCATGGACATGCTGCCAGTAGCTTATGTTGAGCCGTGACGGTTATATTGGATGTCGAGGAATGTGCGCCTGAAATGTCCTGTGTTAGGGTGTCCATGGTAAAACAAAAAGAAAAAAATAATAATAACAGTATAGGGTAAATATGACAGAGGCTATTCTGCCCACAAACAAAAGGTATTGGGTGGATCAGTATCAAGTAAAGGATGAGAAGTAAAAGGACGAGTCAAGAAGCCAAGTGGAAATTGAAGGGTTCGCAGTGGATTAAGCGATCAAATCGCGTTATTTTAAAGTTATTTTATTCAGCTTTTCCATGGAGCTTTCTTTTTTTTTTTTTTTTTTTTTTTTTGCGTCACTATAATAGTGCACGTGATGAATAAATTTTAGATCTTGTCCGAAATTCGCACAGCCCTCATTATGCAGGAACAGTATTCCAAGTGATATTGTTTTCTAATGTTAACCTATTGATGCAAGTTGGCTCCAAAGTAGCCATCAACAGTTTTGATGGTAGAGCATTAAGTTATCTTTTCACACTTACGAGATGATTGAGGACATCTGCAGCTCTTTTTTTTTCTTCGACATTGTATTGGCTCATTAGAACAAGTTAATTGTAACAATAGCACGGTCTTCTATCGCCAAGACCAACAAATAATGGTGCATGGGACTCTGGCCACATGACCATATGTCAGATACAAGCCATGGAAGTTTTTATATCCTCGTTTAAGTAACAATAGTACTGGATAGATCATAGAATGAGACACAGCAATATTTACTTTTATGATAAAAAGTTGAATCCTGATTTTTTAGTCTATCCCGACGCTTTAAATGACCATTATTGTATTTTAATAAAATACATGCGATTATAGTGTATACATACCTCTTCGATCGCATCTTCTAGAGAAGACTATGGGGAGAGAGAAGGCAAAAGATGTGCTGGCAATGATATAGGGCACACATGTAAGCATACCTCTTGGAGCTTTATTTAATTTTATGCTTTTTAAGCAGTTTTTCAAACATAGGTTAATCTGGCCAGACAAGTTAAAGCCCTTTTTTTATCGCATTGTGATACGGTACGTTCACTTATAAGGGAATTGTGTAGTATGGTCCCAACCTTGATTAACCAAAGAAACCGTAATAACGGATGTATCCACATTTACGGTAAAGGGCCTACGAAACACACTATGGTTACGAAAGCCCACCCTCCCCTAACTTTTAGTGTGTTTTATCTCACAATGACTGCAGTTGATATGCGGCTGCCCTGCAACCGAGCGTGGGAGACCAGAGCCCTCCTTCCTAATTCAGCATCCTTTCCCTTTAGGAAACTAAAAAACTAACATAGCCTCCTCCATTCGTTTGCTTATTGCCAAACCGACCATCAGAGAAAGGGAGATAGGCTTTGGGATACTGTATGGATGGGTATAGTATACTGGCAATTAGAATGGCTTGCTGAGCCAGCCAATTAGAGCGTGCGACAAGGCCACAGAATTACCGACGGATACCATTCATTAGTGACCTTGGGGAACTGAAGGCATATTCTTCAGCTTATGCTTTCTATTTGTGATTGCGCTGACCCCGCCTTTTGCCGAAAGACTCCTATTTTTTTTTTCCTGCGTCCCAATTAACCTAAAAGGAGACAACTTTTAAAGAGGATTGCATAGTTGTCACCTCCTCTTTGTAGTCTGCTGCGACCTCTTCGCTAGTGGTTACGTGCCACTTGCCCCACTTGATCTAGCAGAGCCATTAGGTACTCATCAGTTATATTCAGGCATTGGACTCATGTACATGACTAGTGAGATTGGGGTGCTTTCCAACGCCTCGTGGTAGGCATGATTCTCGATGTTACTAAACCCAGCATTTCGTGCTTGCCAGTCATTATGACGGTCGCTAGAATTATATTCAAGGATACTATCTGCTTTTCAGTCTGAGTCTTTAGGGGTCTGAGTACGTAGCGGCAGCTACAGACGGTCTTATAATTATATAAAGCGCCACAGGACATTGCATCCCATGATCAATAATACCATTCCTGTGATTTAGCCATTTCGGTCTTCTGTCTGCAAGGATATTTTCAAAGCATTTAGCATCTCATTCATTAACAACGATGCGCTTTTGCATGTGCCTTTCACTGATTAAAGATTACCTTGCTATTAAAGCACGCTTTTCTTCAATAAATCTCTTTCCCCTGCTTCCCATTGACTACAAAAAAATACATGTTCACTTTTAAACAGCTCTTTTCCTTCCTTCTTTCTTTTTTTTTTTTTTTGTCCACATTTCTAGATGCTGACAATGATTTCGCAGGTGATGAGAGGAGCCTTTGCAAATAGTGAGAGCTACAATCTAATATTTGCCTACCCCTTCCCAGCTGCATCTTTCGCAGCTCAAACAGTGGTATTTTCGCTCTTCTCTCTTGCATTGATGCTGGAACGGCTCATATGAATGTACTTTTGTTGGCAATTTGTATATGAAGGATATTTATATCCTGTCCCCTCTTCTCGCCCCATCCGGCTTGCGTATCCATAAAGGATGCTTATTGGTATCCCTGCCCCATATTCTCCTCACCTCGATCTCAATAGAGCTTATTAAGGATTTTATATATATAGTTGTACCCTTTTTTTTTTTTAAAAAAAAAAAAAAAAAAAAAAAAAATGCAGACGACGTTTGCAACGACATTCAAAACTATTGATGTCACATAAGGAAATGGCTTTCGCGGGTTAGCAGATCAAGTAGAGGTAGGATTCTTTTGAAAAATCTAAAAGTTACTACTAGTGCTGATGTGGTTTGTGGACAGGAATGTTGTATAAAGGCGGTACGGCGATAGCGGTCAAGACATATAATTAGGGAGCTTCTTTATTTGCGCCCCTAACGATGGGCCAACTCATTCATGGAGCTCTGTATTAATAAAAAGCATATAAACAAATTCGATGCACGAAGCACAATGGAGGGAATGCATGGCATTCTTCCTTCCTCCCACAAATAAGACTATCAGGGAGTAAATGATCAGCGGCGCGTCCTAATGATGGGCTATACGAATGATAATACATTCTGTCAGAAATACAAGGGATGGTGCCCACTATGGAATAGAACATGATGAAGCCATCCGTTACCGATTTGGGGCTCCGTACCATCAGAAAGGTAAGCTGGAGAAGCCAAATCGTAGAAATAGCCAACTCTCAGCCAGAGTTTGATCCCCTTTTCTTTGATCTCTTCATACATTCTTCTTCTTCTTCTGATCTTTTTATTTCTTGATACTCTTCGCCTTGTTTTTGTTTCCAAGTATGAAACCTCAATCTGTCACCACATCGCATAATACCTCGTTGATCTCCTCCTATTCACCCTCTCTCCCTTCTTCTTCCTTGCCTCCTGATTCACACTCATCCAAGCAAACATCATCCCTCCATTTTCATCAATATGATCGCTCTTGCGACGAAAACTGCAGAAGCAACAGCAGTTACGACAGTTGCAGCGACCCATCCGCTTATGTTGCCGCTCCAAAAGAGACGGATGTTATGGTATCGTCGGCTGAAACAACGTCAACATCAACATCAACATCTGCACCAGCAGTTCCTGCACCCGACTATTCAACCCACTTCTCCTCATCTTCTCCTACCTCCATGATTAACTCCTCATCTCTTATAGCAACAAGTCCGATCAATACCTCAAGCAAAGATTCACCTCTGGGCACAATTTCTCTATTCAAGTCCATCACTAGCAGTAGTCTTCACTCTTCAAAAACATTGCCTAAAACTGGTGGCCATGATATTGATAGTATCACTACTACTACTAGTATAGTTACAACTTCTACTGCTTCTATTACTGCCACTACTGCCATATCACCCACTACAACACAAGATTTAGTGGATGGTGGCTGGAGAGCCTGGTGTGTGGTATTGGCTTCCTTCTTGATCCAGACTTTTGCATTTGCTCCAACGGAGTTTATTTATGGAGTCTTTCAACAAGAGTACTTGATTCAGTACTCAGAGTCCAGCTCTTCTGCCGTTGCCTTGATTGGAACCATAGGCACGACAGTAACTTTCTTGGTCGGAATTTTCGCAGGTGCTTATTCCGAACGTTGGGGGTATCGTGTTTCGGCCTTACTGGGGACAATTACTATGACTATGGCTTTAGTCTTGGCATCCTTTGCAACAAAGGTAAAAAATAAAAATAAAAAAAAAAAAAATCGAGAAAACAACAGTAATAATAATAATAAAAATCTCACCGACTTGTCCAATGAGATCTATCCGAAAAAGAAACATGAGGAATGAAAGTTTAATTCCATTTGACTCCTTGAATCTTCTTAGCTGTGGCATCTCTTCCTGAGTCAGGGTTTATTATTCGGTATAGGAGCATCATTCGTTTATTTCCCTGCTATCGCCGCTCCAGGTCATTGGTTCAACAAACGACGTGGACTCGCCTTAGGGATCGGTGCTTCTGGATCAGGATTAGGAGGCTTCTATCTGGCGCCACTCGCTCAATGGGCGGTGGACCACCTGGGCATTCGTTATGCATTACGAACCCTGGCTCTTTATTGTTTTATCGTCTGGTTAGTTTTTTTTTTTTTTTTTTTTTTTTTTTTTTTTGAAAAAGCTTAGGTTTAAGTTCCGTAAAAAATATATGCTCACGTTTTTTTTTTCGCCGTTTATTCGTTTGTTCATAGTGGTATCGCAAGTATGTTGCTCTTCCAAAGAAGAGATTCGATGCCGATCATAATAAATTCAAGATCAGAGCCAAAGTTTGAGTCAAAAAAGTCAACAGAAGGATCTGCCTCAGCATCGACGCAACCAGATGACTTTCTTTCAACAGCAACAGAAGCGAAATCAACAGAAAAAAGAACCAAATGGAGGATATCAGGACGTTACAAAGAATCAGCATTTATTACTTTGGTTCTTTTTCAGTGTCTACTTTCGTCGGCATATCTTGCACCTGTGTATTTCATGGAACGTAAGTCTTTTGTGTATAAAATAATGTTTAGAACGTTCATAAAATAAGGAAAAAAAAAAAAAAAAAAAAAAAAAAAACTCCGCTAATCCACTCGCCAAATTTCTAGTTTATGGTTCCCATATTGGGATTTCAAAACAAGCGGCAGCTTCGATCAATGGTTGGTTCAATGCAGCTTCTTTTGTAGCCAGGGTTGTTTCAGGAGTCGTCGCCGACAGAATCTCGTCTAGCTGGTGTCTTTTGATTTCAACCTGGTTAATGGTTCTATCTATCTGCGTTCTCTGGGTCTTGTCAAAAACCTACACTGTCTTTCTCCTCTTTGCCATTGTCTACGGCTTTACTTTCTCGGGTGTCTCCACGGTCATGCCAATCCTTGTCATAGAGTATTATGGTAAGATTAGATAATATATTGATTTTTTTTATTTATTTTTATGTTTTTATTGTTGTTTTTATTATTATTATTATTATTATTATTATCCTTACCACCATTTTTGTTCGCTATTTCTAATTCGCAAATATAGGTGCTGAGAAGGCTGCTAGTGTTCTTGGAACAGTATATACCATGTCAAGTCCAGCACTCATGCTAGGAACATTGGTCTGTGGTGAATTACTGGAAATGACACGTCCTCATATTTCCTACTTGCCCTTGATGGTATTTGTTGGCGCTTTGTTTGGAGTAGCTGGCATCTTTGCCACTGCTTGGGTGATTCTAGTACAACGCGTAGAGCGGAGACGTAAGCCAAAGCAGGAACCAGGCACCATCTAAATGGAAATGGTAAAAATTATCACAACAATAAAATCTAGTTATTTTTTATTTTTTTTTTATTTTTACTTTTAAATTGGGTTATTTATGTACATTAATTTCTTCATTATGGAAGCAAGATAGCATGATAAATGTATAAAATAATGGTGATGATGAGAACGACAATGATAATGATATAATGATAACGATAATATAGGCGACATCTGCCAATAAATAAATAAAATAATGATAAATAAATAATAATTATAGTGCTTTTCTTTATAGTCCGAATGGACTATTGTTGCTCATATTGGCATACATTCTCATAGCCTCACGCTCCTTCTCTAGTTGTTGTACAGACTTGACTGGGAGCATCGTCTGCTTCAACGGCTCAACGCCCTCTGCCAACCGCAGTTCCTTCACTTGAACATGTCCATTCATATGGTGATGCATGGCCCCATTCAAAGCATTGCCATGATGGTTGTTGTGGTTGTTATTGCCCTTGAGAGAATTGTCGCTGTTGCTGCGAAGTCCGTTCATACGTATAATACCAGGGGCTCCTCCTGCACCACCAATAAGCGATGGTGCAAAACCATTACTCCCATTCACGGCGTTGCCCCCCATATGACCATTGTTATTAGTACTGCTGTTGATAATACTGTTGTTATTGAGATTGTTGTTAATGTTATTGTTGTTATTGTTAATGATGCTGTTATTAGTGAGAATATTGTTATTGTTATTGTTGGTATTGTTGCCGTGGTGGCCGTGGTTATTATTGTTGTGATAATCCGGATCTTGAAGTGGAACTCCAGCGCTTTCCAAAAATTCAATCGCCACCTGTGTCTGATCAATTGTCTTCATATCAGGTGTCCTCTGAACACGGAAGACACAATCCTGCGCCAACTGAATTCTTCGAAGTTTACCCTCCTTGCCCTGCCAGTCTGACAACAAGTTCTTGAATAAGGGCTTCGAATTCTTTTCAGGGCCATCAGCTTTCGAGCACAGCTCATTTGCCTTTTTGATCGTCTCAGGCGCAGAAGACATCAAATCGTTCTCAAGCAAAAACCATGCACTCATCACTCTCAAATACTCTGCTGCTACACATAATGCGTTCCTCTTGTTGCTGTTCTTGATGCTTGGGTCTGCCCCATAGAGCAGCAACATCTGCACAAGCTCCTCATTATCCATCCTCTCCAATACCAGATGCAGTGGTGTTGACTTTTTAGAATCTTGGGCATTGACATCAGCGCCCTTCTTCAGTAGAAGCTCGATAACCGGTGCAGGTTCCTTGCAATGCTGGATTGCGTAATGCAAAGGTGTTCGCTGCTGCTGATGATCCACAACTTTAATCTGTGCTCCAAACTTGAAGAGAACTCTCATACTCTCCAACAACACTTTGGTTGATGCTATGTGTGAATTCTGAAGCAGTGCCATAAGTGGTGTACGCTTCTTGCCATCTCGACTGTTACAATCTGCACCAGCCTTCGTCAAGAAAACAATAGCTTCTGTCGGATTTGGGTATTGTTCGCAGACCAAATGAAGGACTGTGATCCCATTATGATCACCTCGATCAAGTGCAGCTCCATACTTGACCAAAAGCTTCATGGCCTCAAGGGCATGTTTGGAGCGGGCTGCCACCAGAAGCACTGTCGGATATGGCCAGAACCCAACCTTCTCGTCGATCAGAGAAGGATGAACCTTTATCAGTCTCTCCATAGTCTCGAGATCACCCTGTGTGATGGCTGCGAAAAAATCAGTGGGCTCATCTACGTTTAAATCCTTGTATGGATCTGACAGGCTGTAAAAGTTATCGAATTGGAAGCGCGGTTTGGCTGCTGTCTGAGAGCAAGGTGGTGTCGCTTCCTTGTGTATTGATCGCTGATCTAGAGCATTTTCTTCCGATCCAGATTGTGAAAAGCCTAATCGGGAACCAGACGTAGTGCATGTTAATAGATATTACAAAAAAAAAAAAAGCTCACTAATGCATTCCTGACCCTTGAATTCGTCCCAGTCTTTCCTTAGTAACATACCTAATCCATCCAGCTCTCTAAGAGTAGCGTCCGGAGATCTATTGCCATGTGCTGAAAAAGAAGTGTTTTATATGACCAATAAGTCTAAATGGCAAGAATAGTTTCTACTAAAAAATATATATACATATATTTTTACAAAGGCTTACCTTTAGGGTCTCGTGATTTGGTGAGACCTGCACGAATGGTTTCTACCACAGGGAAGAGTCCTTGAGCAGGGCGAGGCGATGCAGTGGTCCCTGCAGCTGTGAGTAAAGGACTACCGTTTACGGCACGGTTGTTTGGTGTGGATGCTCCACTTTCCGATGACGTCGTCATCTTGTTCACATCAATAGGACGACTATTCCGGGGATCAGTGTCTCGACGTGATAAATCTGGACTCGCTGGGCAATTCGTAACAGATGTCTGGCCAGCACCAGCTGCTGGAGGACCAGTGCCAAAGGAAGGTGGTGGCGAAGGCAGCATCGTGGGACTTTGTTCCACACGCTTGCCAAACATATGAGGATCCATAGGAGCCACAACCGGGAATCCCATTGGAACGGGACGAGGAGGCGTTGGACGAGGCTCTGGAGAAGAAGACCTCGATGACTCGGAATCCTTTTTCTCGGCAGCAGCAACAGCAGCTATGGCTGCCTGTTTCTTATCCTGAGCCGATTTTGATTTCGATGCCGAAGGAGTGTACGTAGTGGCAGGAACATACACAATGGGCGAGACAGGGTTCCTTGGAGGGGCTGAAGTAGGAGGAGCATTCATATAATTGCTTGGTGGAGGTCCAGCAGGCGGTTTTGGAATAGGATTTAGGGATGGTGATGGTGAGAGACTGGGTTTAATGGGAGGCGTACCGGGGGGAGGTGTACCTGGTGGCGGCGGTGGTCCGGAAGGAGGTGAGATCGTCTTTGATGAATAGCTAGGCGGCAAAGGTACTTGGTTCCGTGCATTAGGTGGGGATATCACCTTTGGACGGCCTGATGGTGGCGATACCACACGTGGGTTATTGGCATGACCTGTGCTAGTAGGTGGTGGCGGTGGTGCGCCAGGGGGTGGTGGAGAGATCGTTGAAATCTTCTTCATCGTCCCTAGGTTCAACTTACTGACAACAGAGGCCATAGGAATACCGTTAGCAAGAGCCAGTGATGCTGTTTCTGGCAGTGCTCCATTGTTGGGCTCCGCTGGCACTGTTGCCAGAATTGGAAGGTTATTATGCGCTGCAGTTAGAGCAAGTTCTTTGAATGCTGGGAGAGGTGGAAGGAGTTGAGGAGCAGTCGAGTCATCACCATGCTCGGAGGTCGATGTACTTCCGGTCAATTTAGCTTCATCTTGTGGCACCCCTGAATTAATATTCACATCGTTGTGCACGGTAGTGACTGTTGGGCTATCAGGAAGCGTTGCAGGTAGAGCACGTCTGTTTGGCGAGCCAAGTTTGTCTTCACTGACGTTCTGTCCTTGTTCTGGTGGCTGCCCTGGCCGTACATCATTTTCTCGCCTCTCGCCCATAAAAGATACGCGAGTTCCTGCACGATCTTGGTTTGCTGCTGCCAATCCCTGGGCAATTGAAGGAAGGACTCCTGGCCTCTGCAAAGGTGGTGAGGAAGGCCGTGAAATTTCTGGTGAGGATGGGGGTGCCGCCTCATTTTCATACGGGAAAGGTGTACCCGGTGCAACCATCGATTCACTCGACAGAGGTCGTGGAGGTCGAGGTGAGAGAGATGCTGGTCGAGGGTTGAGCTGCTCTGCTGCTAATAACTCTACTAGCTCGGAGAGAACGATATCCATAGTAGGTCTGTTTTGTGGCAATCCATCCCAGCACCGTCGGTAGAGCATCTCATATTCAACTGCTGTCCCTGGCACTGACTTTTCGCGGACTCCTGCAATGATGTTAACGGCCAGCATCACATCCTGCAATTGTGCCTCGAATGGAATAACACAGCTCGACAGTTCCCAAAAGATAACGCCTAAACTGTAGATGTCGCACTTTGCGTTGTAGGTGTATGTTGGATTTTGCATGCGCTCGGGCGCCACATATGGAACGACACCAAAAAGTCCAGCTTTGGTGGTATAAATGGTCTTATTCACAGATTTGCTCAGTCCGAAATCCGTGATCAATGCTTTTCCATGGGTGTCAATAAGGATATTACGTGAGTGTAAGTCTGTGTGAAAGATGTTTTCACGATGAATGAAGTCCAGGCCGCTGGAGATCTCCCAGGCCAGCCGATATTTCGTGAGCCATGTAATAGTGATATTTCGTGTCTCAAGAAAATCCTGTAGACATCCATTCTCTGCAAACTGCATGACAATGCAAGTGTCGTGTGTAAGCGGGTGTTTAGTGATGCCGAAAAACTTGACGATGTAATTGGAGTCGTGCACTTGCTTATGCATTTTGAGCTAAAAATTGTTTCATGTTTAACAAGGTGGATGGAAAAAAAAGGCACAGAGTTACTGGTTAGTAGCGCATAGTTAAAGCTGCATCTACCTAATATCTTTTGTCACTAGAATGAACTCGATGCTCTTTCTAAAGAGCTCACGATATGTTTCTATATTCATCTATCCATCCGAATTTTTTTTTTTTTGGCGGAAGCATCGGACTGGCGCACAATTTTGTGGATTATCTATCCTTTCAGCCTAAATTAACTCAACCGCTTCGTCCCTGCCGCTCTTGTTTGTGTATTTCTCACAATCACGCATATGTAAACAGATATAAGACAAGCAGATAGATAGAATCAAAGAGAGAGAGATTGAAAGACAGAAGAAGTTTGTGGGTATGGATATGTTGGGCTATATGTGGTTGCTGCAGGCTGCTTTCGTCTTGAGCTGATTTAAAAGACCATGCTTTGTGAATGTGTGAGGGATGTTTAAAGATATATTATTATATCCAAGAGTACAATGAGCAATGAATGAGATGATGGGAAAGGTATTAATAGATGGAAAGGAATATGTCTATTCAATTACCTCCTTGATGAGATCATTGGTATTGTGTTGTTCCTTGATGGCGACATGCATGTTTCTCCAAGCGCCTAGATGGATCGTTCCTGAGCCTCCTTTGGCTACATTGTACTTGACCTTGCTGATCTCTGAGAAAGGGATCATGCGTACATGCTTGTCCTTGACTGCATTCCTGAGCCATTCTTCTGCACGTGTATTCTTCTTCACCTGCGCACTTTGCGTCCTCTCCGTTCTATCGGTCCTATCGGTCTTGTCGTTGGCCATTCGTAATTTATTGTGCACTTCTCACTCTGTTTACTGAATGTTGGCTCTGGAAGTGAGTGAGTGTGCTTTTTGTAATAGCACTCTGGCTATGATGAAATATGAGAAATATGCCTGATTATTTTCGATATACTGAAAAGAAAAAGTAAAGAGAGAAGAAAAACAGAGATGGGAAGGTGGATAAATGTGTCGAGTTTGGAAAGCACAGCTATTTTTTCTTGTCTGTCCGTCCCTTGGCACTATTTTTTTTTTTTTTTTTTTTTGGTCGTTGTAAGGAATGTGAAAATGAATCCTATTAGTTGATGCGTTTGCTCTGGTTGGGAGTAGAATTTGTAGCGAATGAAATGATGAATGAATGAATGAATGAATGAATGAATGAATACGGAAAATAAAAATAAAAATAAGAATAAAATTAAATAAAAAAGTAATAATAAAAAAAGAGAAGAGAGTGAGATGATGAGACGAGCAAGGAAGAATGTGTGAATGTAAAAAAAAAAAAAAAAAAAAAAAAAAAGAGCAGAAGCCCTATTTGCCAGCTGAAATGGTGGGCAATAATAGGACTGTGTATGGGCGGATGAACAAATTTACAAGAATATAAAATTTAATGTTCAAACGGCACAAAAGTGGAATGAGAAAAGCAAATGTGAAAAATAATGTAATATGTAATTTGGGTGTTGATCAAATAGGCCAATTGCCCTTTGTTTATTATGATTACTCTTGTGATATTACATGTTAGACCGTATTCACAACCGAAACTTGATCATTTATGAGTTACCATTACGTGAGAAGGAAACAACGTGTATTTATTGGACATACAACCAGTGAAATTAATAAAGGGTCAAGATATGTGCGATATCGGGGTAGGCAGGACAAGAAAAAAAGTTTTTTAAAAGTGAGCAGCGGAGATGGGCCAGGGGAGTAATCAATGAAGAAAAACAATAAGGATCCAGGCGTTTGTCCTTCCAAACTTTTAAATTTGAATCAGATCTCGAGGAAGTAGCACTCACATCTGTATCACACAAACGGCATCATTGTTCATTTGCCCACCCATTCAGTGTGTCCAATATTCATACAATGCTTGGTGAAGATGACAAGTAACGCTCGTTCATTAACAAGGCAGAGAAGTGAGAAAAGCGAAGCGAGGATGAGGAACGAGGGCCACCCTTTTTTCTTTTTTCTTTTTTTTTATTTTAAGCGACGATCGATCCATATTTTTCACCCAAGAGATCATCATCAGCATTTCCCTTTCTCTCTCTCTCTGTTGGCGTCCGACTAGGAATAACCAGACTTCTGTCTATCCTTTGATGCTCTATTTGATTGGCCTGATCGTATTGCATAAACAGCTTTTAATATCTAGCCTCTTTGCTTAACACATGCGTACAAACCGCAAACAAACCTTTCATGCATCTCTTTTGTTTGATGAAGTAACTTTCAATTTTGTACAAGATCTGCTCAAACTATTTTATTAACCCACTGGATTGTTTGGATAAAAACATGGGGATTTCACGCCATAGTCTCTTCAACATCCACTGGAGGACCCTTCTATGTGTTTTGCATCCGCACTTTTGGTTACTTCAATAATGCAGTATGAATGCAATGGCAACACTTTGCATGCATTTCAGTTGTTCCGAGTTCCGCTGCTTGTGGACAGGGATAAAACCTTTTGTTGTTTAAAATGAGGCACTGGGGTACTTGGGCCATACTTGGACAATCTGCACATGATTCATGTTGGCATTTTTTGGGGAGATCAATTCAGGTCTGTAATCACATCTACTTATCTATAAACCTGTCTCTATTTCCATGTGCGGATGGCGTTTTTCGTGTTTAATTGTCATTATTGAAGTTTTTCAAAATGAACTTCATTTTCTAGTTTGAGAGCCAATTGTCTTTTTTTTTTGTGTGTGGGTTTGTGTATTTTTATTGTTGATGTGTTCTCTATCCGTTGCTTTTTCTGCCCTCATCGAAAAGGCACCCTCCGATGGGATTGATTCGTCTATATTTCTTCCTTTTCAACCATGAGCACTAGAGCTGCTACAGAGCTCCTTTATTGCTCCAACCAATCATTAAATCTTTATCAATGCACATCATTAGTACGCCAAGTACACAACCGGCGTCAATCTTTTCTCTCTTCCCGTATTTTGTCAGTTGACGACTCCCCCCGTATGTAAGTAGAGTGAGGCTCATCAGCAGCAGCAGCAAAGAAAAAAAAAAGAGAGCGTAGAGTAATAGAAGAAAGAGGTTCAAAGGGAGACGAGCGCGTTCTTCTATGTCCTACCCTCTCTTAAGGTTCATCTCTGAATTTATCAGCCCAGTCAAGTAGCACTCAAACTTTTATTCTTATCGTATCAAAGTTACGCGATTGTATAATTTGATCGTTAAGATTTTGACGCCCTCAACAAGTATCAGCAGTTATTCATGGTGGCTCATTTACCTTATTTTATTTCAAGTTCTAGAAACATGTCACTTTTCTTCTATGCTATTTATCTCTTTGAGGAATAGGTTCTGAATTGGTCTTTCAGCTGGCGTGTTTCTTTTATATAAGGTTTGTAAAAGATGATTGGCATGCGCGACTAGGAAAAGAGGATTGTTGTCACTAGCAACACAAAGAAGTAGTGGGTTGTCAGGCGCCATGGCAAAGTAAATTCATTCCAATGACTATTTAGCCAATGAAATCGCCCTTTCCAAACGGGGCGCGTCTTGATCAACTTCTGTATCCCTCCTTACTGCCAAATGTGGTCGATGACGACGCAGATCTCGACCCCCTTGATTTTCACTCAAGTAACTTTCCCCAACATGGTCATGAGCTTCTTTTTTTCCTTTTTTCATTCATTCACCATCTCATTCATCAATTCAACTACACATCTCTTTTCCTATTTTCCTTTTTGAACTTCACCTTACAAGAAAAAAAAAAATGTCTTCGCAGGACCAACCCCATCTTCGCAACTGGATCAACGGCGAGTTTGTAGAGCCAGTGTCATCATCGTCTACAGAGTCTAGTAGCGGTGCGCAGACGCAGTATCTTCCTGTGACCAGTCCATTCGATGGCAAGGTCATTGGTCATGTCCCCTTGTCGACAGCTGCAGATGTGGAAAAAGCGGTCGCAGCAGCCAAGGCAGCCTTTCCAGCTTGGTCTGCGCGAACAATAAAGGACCGTGCTGGGATCCTAATCCGTTTCCACTCCTTGTTGACCAAACATGCTGAGGAACTGGCAGATATGGTGGTGCTCGAGCATGGTAAAAACAAGGCTGAGGCTTTGGCAAGTGTCTTGAAGGGACAGGAAACGGTTGAGTATGCATTGTCACTGCCTCAGGTCGCTCAAAGCAAAATGCTGGAGGTTTCCAGAGGCATCACTTGTTATGATACCCGTGTTCGTAAGTGAAAATTTTGGGCTTGTGACATGTTACCAATGAAATTGATTGTAGTACACAAATTCATCGATGGCCATATAATTTAACTGCCCCTGTTTGTCTATGTTCCAACCATTAGCGATTGGAGTTGTTGCCTCCGTTGTGCCATTTAACTTCCCAATCATGGTGCCCATGTGGACATTGCCTATCGCCATTGCTATGGGTACAGCTCTTTTTTTTTTTTTTTTTTTTTTTTTTTTGGCCAGAGAAAAGCGAACGTTGGAGACACAAGCTTCCATGATTCAACATCCTGATGTTGTATTGCCATCACTATTTACTGCATAGGCAACACAATGGTTCTCAAGCCAAGTGAAAAGGTTCCTTTCACGATGAGCAAAGTAGTAGGATTGCTTAAAGAGGCAGGCGTGCCAAATGGTGTTGTCAATCTTGTTTATGGAACAGCTGACCGTAAGCTAAAAAAAAAAAAAAAAAAAAAAAAAAAAAAACTCGTCTGATAGAGCCTCTGCTATCTGTTTTATTAATCGTTTCCTTGAATTCTACAGCTGTTAATGCCTTAATCGACCACCCAGATGTCAAAGCCGTAACCTTTGTTGGTACTTCGCATATTGCTGAGATGGTGGCACAGCGCTGTCACAAGCTGAACAAGCGCGTTCTGGCCCTTGGCGGCGCAAAGGTAGATTACATTACACGAAGCTTTTCTAGATTGAACAGTAAATATAATAATAATGAAGTGCATTTGATATTGATAATCTCCAGTCCTAACAACCTTTTAACTTTACAAAACTAAACTAGAATCATATGATCTCAGCCCCAGACTGCAATATCGAAATGACTTCCACCGATGTTGTTAATTCATTTAGTGGATGCAGCGGACAGCGATGCATGGCGGCAACAGTCCTGCTCACCATTGGAAAACAGCAAGACTTGATTGATCGAATTGTAGCGAAAGCAGAGGCACTTTCCCCTGGCAGCTCGCCTGGCGAGGTAGGCCCTGTGATTGACCAAGCATCGGTTGATAAAATCACGCGCTATATCAACGAAGCCGAAGCCTCAGGTGCAAAAATCTTGGTTGATGGCCGGCCATGGGCCAAGAGAAATAAAGAGGGGTTCTGGGTTGGACCAACAGTCATTTTGCATACTAACAAGAATGATGCGGCCTTGCACGATGAGATATTTGGGCCCGTATTGTCCATCCTGGCTGTAGAGAACGCAGAGGAGGCAATTGCCATTGAAAATGCAAACCCTTATGGTAATGCTGCATGTATCTACACAAGTTCCGGGGCGACTGCAGACCATTTCATCAAGCGCTTTAGTGCTGGAATGTGTGGTGTCAAGTAAGTCAAGGGAGTTTTTTTTATCCTTTAGACAATCGTTCGTATTTATTAATATCCAAGGCTCTAATGAAACTGCTTTGCTTTGCTACAGTATTGGAGTTGCCGTTCCTAGGGAGCCATTTTCATTCGGAGGTTGGAACAAAAGTCGGTTCGGCAATCACTGTGACATCACAGGCGATGGTGGTGTAGAGTTCTTCTCAACAAGAAGAAAGGTTACGACCAAATGGGTCCCTCAGGAGAACGCTTCTTGGATGAGCTAAACAAAAAAAAAAAAAAAAAAAAAACACAACCAAAAGAAGCTTGATGGGTCTTGATCCATGGTATAGAGTTTAGCTTCTGAACGTGAAATAAATAAAATATTAAGGTACCGATTGAAGCAAGGAAAACGCGAAAATACTCTGAAAATCAACATGACTGCTAGAAATCGCGTGGTCTCACAAAGGTTTACGGGGCATTTGTTTGTGATTTGTTTTTTGCCCTGGAAAAAAAAAAAAAAAAAAAAAAAAAACACGTCCCCGCCACTCTTCGCCCTATTCTTTACAAACTATTCGAAAGCTTGCCACCAATTCTTAACTCTCATCTCCACAGAAATGTCAACTCGGAGGTCAAAACGAAGGCCTCGTAAGGCTATCAACATTAAGTGCGTCGTAAGGGAGTGGAAAAAAAAAAAAAAAAAAAGGAAGAGACCCTAATGCATTACATTGGGTGCATCTCTCTCCAAGTTGAAATTCAATGCTGAGGTACTACATTCTTTCTGTTTATATGCTGCGAGGTGCTAAATTCTGCTTTCTTTCTTTTTTTTTTTTTTTTTTTATTTCTTTAAAAAAAATTACTGATAGTAATGCGCATTATGTCGGATATGTTGAAGAAAATGAGTCCATTGAGGCTATTATGAAGAAGTTTGAGGAGCTTGCGCGTATTGAGGAGGAGATTGCAAAATCCAAAGCCGCAGCTTCATCTAGCAATCCAAAGAATGACAATGAGGCATCAGGATCGAGTCCAGGGCCAGGATTAGGGGCGGATCCAGACTCGGGATCGGGATCAGGATCGGGATCAGGATCGGGATTAAGAAGCGGACCATTCGAGGCTGACGGAGAAGTGATCTTTGGGGTAGAAAAAAAGCAAAATACTCCTAATGAAGACCAAGGATTTACAGATGAACAACTCCAGGAGATCTTTAGAAGGACTTCAGGTTTTACAGTCAGATCAATGCTTAGAGATACACCCGATGATATTTATGAGGAGGACTTGTGGCAGGCAAGCATTGCAGATGAAGATTACCTTTATGACTTTGAGGAGGAAGAGTAAGTCAGAATCTTTGCTTTTTTTTTTTTTTTTTTTTTTTTTTTTTTTTGCTTTTCCCAGAACATATTACGAGGCCTAATAGGATCCCTTGATTTCTTTTTTTTTTTTTCTCTCAACTTATTAACACGATTTTCTCCTGGCCTATCTCCTTCTCTACTTTATGACATGTTAGCGATTACTTGATGGCTATGGACGATGCCTTCTGGGATGAAGAAATGAAGACATCAAAGAAACGTGGCCGTAAAGAGAAGGAGCCCCGACCGCCTAAAGCGCCCAAAGAACCCAAGATCAGGGGAGTAGGAGAGAAGAGGAGGCTTCAAGGAGCGGACCGGGAGTCGATTCTACAAAGGTACAAAGTTATGCAAGTCCGTCTGCAGGACCGAAATGGAGTGTTTTATACCGTAAAGAAAAAAGTCTTGACTATGGACCCTAGTCTACCAACCTATGTGCGCATTCCACCTGTCCCTATACCTCGATCATGGATCCATCCTATCAAGACGCTGGAAAAGCAGGCGCAGCTACAGAATAATATTCCTGGTTCGCGGTAAGTTTTATTATTATTATTTTTTTTTTTTTAAAAAAAAAAAAAAAAAAAAAAAAAAAAAAAGTATTTGGAAGCAAATATTTATTTCTACCTTTCTCTCCCTGTATATTCGCCAATCAAGGTACGAAGAAACGACAAATATTCTAGAAATGGACTTGACGCGATTCGGGACTGACTTCCAAGCTATTTACATGGATCCACCGCTTTTGCGTAAAGGAGAAGAGGCAGGACCCAACAAGATTACAATGGAACAACTGGGTGCCATCAATATTAACGCGATCCTACCCAGGGGATTTCTGTTTGTGTGGTTGGAAAAGGAATTTTTACCGGAGATGGTTCGTATGGCTGAAAAGTGGGAGATGCGGTATGTGGAGAATTTCTGTTGGATCAAACGAAATGTGAACAATCAGATCGTACGCGACAAATCGCCCTATTTCAACTCATCCAAATTATCTCTGTTGATTTTCCGCAAAGTAAGGAATGGAATCAAATATCCAAGCGATAGGTTTCTGCTTTTATTTTTATTTTATTTTATTTTTTTAACTTTTCGAGCGGCTTTAATACTTTAAATGGACTTTTAGGAGGCTGATGTGGACATTAGACATCAAAGAAGTCCGGATTGCGTGTTTGATTTCGTCAAACCCAGTGATCCAACAGAGCTCTCAGAAGAAAAACCAGTGTTCATGTATGAGCTTATTGAAACTCTATTGCCTCAGGCCGTCTATTCAGAGAGTAATCCCAATGGCGAGCGGATGCTAGAACTGTAAGTTTTTTACTTTACAAACATGATGACTCCAATCGATTGAGACCAAAGACCTTTTTTTTTTTTTATACATCTATATTTTTGCTTCTAACTTTTTATTTTTTATTTTCATTTTTTTTATACATGTATATATATTTTATTCCTACTTTTCTTTTTTGTTCATACAGCTGGGCCCGGAAAGGAACAAAACGTAAAGGTTGGACTTCGATCTGTCAATTGAAGGTATAAAGTAGATGTTTAATGTAATACAAAATAAAAGAAAATAAAAGAAATAAAATACAAGAAATGAAACAAAAAATACATATTTGTTTGGACAGAATATGTTATGCAACGCCCGATTGAAATACAAACCCCAAATCGTCCGTGCTTCATTCTTACTGGAATTGATTTATTTCAGAAACGCAATTTCGTGTTTTCAAACAGAAAATAGAGAGCACATATGACTAGACTGATGATGCTATTGATTAGGTTCAGCTGAACGATGCAGTAAACAAGAGCGGTGATGACACCAGGTGCGCGTCTCATGATCCCAAGTGTGGGAGATTTGGCAACAAGTGTTGTTTTCAAAAAATAGCAACCACATATGGTTGCGGCTAAGAACATGATCGCCTGAACCATTTGGTTCCCCTTTTTCCTATTGGAAAAATAAACCATGACGAGGATTGCTTGGTGGAAGAAAAAAAAAATAAATAAATAAAAAGAAGGAAAGAAAAACAATAGAGTTAGCTTCTTTAGCAGCACATTAAATTTTGTTGTCTTTTAATCGAGGTCTTCATTCATTGTTCTTATTACTGTTATTATTATTAATCCCATTTTTCCGATAGCGAATAAGGAAAATGTGCGAACGAGCGACATTAGATTAGTAAACAGGCTGTTTCATTATAAATTTTTTTTTTTTTTTTTTTTTTTTTTTACCTGGAAAAATTCTTAGGATTTTTTGAATAATCATCTCCGTTGTATACTCCTCGTCTAACTGCCGGTGGACAAGGAAATCCATGACAATAAAGAGACAAACAGAGGTGATGGAAAAGAGGATGCCCTCAAGGATGTAGTCCTGTTCAGAATCCTCGCTGGCTTCTTCTTCCCGACCATCGTATGTCAGATTCGTAGTTGTAGTGTTAGCCTCGATCTTGTTTAAGAGCTTATTGTTATCAAGCTTGCCTGCGATGTCTTTATTGGGCGTTTTCTGTAATATCGCCGCCTTTTCGATTAGGCGCCACTTATCCTCATCTAACAGAAAGGAAACAGGTGAAAGTTATATATATTTGTGTGTGTGTGTGAGATACGAGTCTTTGTTTTTTCGTCCAGGGTCTTTTTTACGCAATTATCTTTTTTTGAAGTGGTCTACCATTAATTTTACTCTCAAAACGGATGGTTTTTTGACTCATACTGCTATCTTGTTGTTGTATTGTGGATTTTAGAAGCGTCGGATTCTTTTGTTAGAATTTGAGCTGGAATGAGCTGAAATGAATTGACAAGAATGAAGAGAATTAAAAAAAAAAAAAAAAAAAAAAAAAAAGAATATTGGAGGCTAGTGTAATTTCCTTCTTTTTTTATTTGTGGGAATCATTAAAAAAAAATTTTCCAGGCGAAAGGATACTTTTTAAGCTTTTGATGCCCATGTTGCCGAAATGGACCATTCTCTCCCCCACATCCACAGCCAATAAAACTTGGTCCAGAATGGAAACTTTAAAAATAAGAAATGGAAGGATTTAAATTTAACCGGTTGAAAAGCGTTCTCAACATCCAGTGCATGAGATGCATAGGTTCTGTGAAATAAACTCTTGCCATTGTTAGAGAAGCTTGAGCGTGTCAAGATGTCCCCAGTCCGTGTGTGAGATCTGTCTCCCCTTCCTCTCATGATGGGCGATGCTTTATTGCTACTATATTTACCATACGATATATTCGCTTTTTTATGATAATGACGCGCTCTCTGAAGAGCGGTTTGCCAACCCATTCACCGTGTCTATCCCGTATGGCTATTTGTTTCATTACTATGAGCAAAATTTTTAGGATCGGTTCAGTTACAATGCTGCCATCTTCTCAAAGTAGGACCGTCATCATTTACTCGAGAATGTTCTATCTATGCCACTAGAGTGTTTTCGTTAGCATGAAAAGCAAAGCGGATCAGGCAAGCAGTAGATGTGTCGATCTTCTGGTGATGCGCTTTGCATCACCTTGTGCCGAATACTGTTGACTCTGTCCAAGTGCAGCGGTTTCTCTAATCGTGAGATTGCGATTTCATGGCTCAATGTTTAACTGTTAATTCCCTTCACATGGTCCTTCACAAGCGCAATAAAAACATTGATCTTTAGGCGTTACACTTTAACAGAGTCGACAGTATCTTCAGCTGCACTTTTTTTTTTTTTTTTTTTTTTTTTTTTTGGTCTCCTCTTATACCATAGCTGTACAACAGCGTCACAGACTGCATGGTGATCAACAGGACTAAGCTCAGGTAAATTGGACAACAGCTCAATGTGACCTTTTTTTCAATCATGATTTAGTAGCTATTGTCAGCTAACGTTTATAAAGTCTTACTTGGATATGGCACGGCTGATTCCCTAGAGACAGGTCACTTTAAATGTTTTACAGTTGTAATAAAAGCGAGTTTACTCTTCTTACAACATCTTCGTTACCGAATTATTGCTTCTTTTTAAGACATTATATACAAATAAGCAACTTACATAATCTTTATTTCTCATTTTGAAGTGTCTAAACTTTCCATAAAAGGAAAAGGAGATTCAATGAGATTGTTTTACCTTCATTAAAAAAAAGACATGAGACATGAGATCATTTCTTTGAGGATGTAAAGTGAGTCAAGGAAGGGTGGACAAAAAAATCCGCGCGGCATGTCCAAGTAAAAAAGAAATAAAAAAAATTTAGACAACTTAATTTGAGCACGAGCCACATCCACTCCGACTCGACGAATTCGCCACGCGACATGTGGCAATGCACTATGCACTACTGGCCATGACGTGAAGTTTTTACAGATGTAAACAGACAAATTAGAGTACATGTAGAGTGCTCGCATTGCTGGTCATTCATGGACTCGGTGGATGTAATGTAAGTCCTTCTCGTCCGTCCTCCTGTCTCTTACGGATTTGTTAAATATGCTTTTTTTTTTTTTTTTTAAAGGGGAGGGGGGGGGGGGAGCCTGTCAATCCTACAATTCCCCGGGCTTGGGAGCAATGGCCTATAGCAATACTCTCCTTTCATTTAACTAAGCTTCCTATCTCCTCGCTAGCCCTTTCATCTCTTCCATTAGGTTTATCCTCATTGTCCAATATTTTGAACACGTTCAAAAAAGCTACTCTACGGTTTATGTATGATCCAATCAACCATGCAGCTACCCAGCTGATGCTGCATGCCTACCAACCAGTAGCCTAAAACTAAGATCAGAGGCACCGCATCGACCTTTCCTGAGACCATGCAAGAGAATGAAGAAGTTATAAGGAAAGATCATAATATCTCATTGCAGACTAAAACTTCTTTCCGATAGAGCATAGGTAGTGTCGACTATGACTTTTTCTTTTATATTTTTGCAACGTTCCAGTGGGGCAGACACATACACATCCGACAGACCCCCTATACATTGGAGAGGTGCGGATTCTCCTTTCTTCCTCCTTTTACGAGCAACTGAAGAAATTATTCAAAGACTGATTTAAACGAAGAGAAACAATTAAAATAAGGAGTTCATTTCCTTTGTTATCCTATGCTCTTCAGTCTCCATAGGCTATTCAATGTACTATCCTGTCTTATCCCAGTCCTTTTCCAGACCATAATTACGAGAACATCATGTAGACTTTAATGCTCTTGAGATAATAATAGCAATAAAAGCAGATAAGTATTAACAACAACCATGAGTAGACTATGGAGGCCATCGTTACCGTATACTGATACATATTAAAGTATAACAAGGGAGTAGTGAGTATATAGTATAGATTATAATGGGGGGGGGGGGGGGGGGGGAGGTTAAATAGCACGCATGCAAAGGTTAATTGCCTAGAAGACCATATTATGATGCTTCATCGGCTTCGTCTTCTTCAATAAAAAAAAAGAACCCTTAACCAATGGCGACGTTGTATTTCATGAAGGAAAGGGGAATGTCTGAATGTGGGGGAAAGTGTGTTTTAATTGTCACGAAGCAATAAGCTTTTTGCGGATCAGTCTTTTTTTTTTTTTTTTTTTTTTTCACACTTGACTCGGTGGAATAGTAAAAGATTCCACCGTGTCAAAACTTTAAAAAGTGAGCGGAAGTCAACAGCGCACACACCACAATACAGATTTTTCTTTCACTTTTACTCGGTGGAACAACAAGAAAATGATCTGCTGCGGTCTATGTCCATCATTAGAGTAAAAAAAAATAAAGAAAAGATAAAAATAAGTACCGGAAAAGTGATCAAGTCTGCAAAAAGGGTCCTAAGGATACTTCTCGCATGAGCTATATACATCCAATGGCTTGAATCAGCAGGATCCTCTAGGGAGAAAGGGAAACAGACAATGAGAAAGCAAGGGTGCAACCAGAACAAGGGTTTCTTTTTTGTTCGTTTTTTTGGGGTTATGTATGTGTGAAGTATCTATTAGGACTGGTTGCTTCTTATTCTTAATTGGGTATGACAAAGCGGGCAAAACTTTTTCTGTAGTCGCTTGTATTCTCTTTAGACTTGTCAGTCTCTAGAATTGATTATGCATCATGATGGGTGCTGGTTGTATGACAGTTCATTCTATCAACCTTTCATTGAACGAATGGAATGGGCGCAAGCAAAAGAGGTATCGGAAAACAATCAATTGGTGGAAGTCTTTTTTTTTTTTTTTTTTTGTCCTCGTGTATAAATTAATTTCCTGCTTCTCACTCCTCTCCTTTTCATTATCATTCATCCCGAATCTCATTTCTGTTTGTTGAATTTGTCGATTCATTCCTCATTCTCACCTTCTCTCCCCTCTTTCTCCTCTCTCCTCTCGTTCTCTTTACCTTTTTTTTCTTTTCTACTAATCTTGCTTACATCAATCCATATCCAAACATGTTCCGTTCACTTTCCACAACTGCTGCCACATTCGCGAAGCGTGGTCTCACGCCCGCCGTCTCCACCCGCATCCTTACAGTAAGTATATTACTAACTCTCCTCCCGTGCAATTCATTTATAGAGCAGAGGCAGTTAAACGAAGCAGTAATAGCAGCAAGCTCTCTGTCTAGTATTGTGCGATCAATTGACAAGGGATTACCAAGTTCATGTTGCTTGTTTCTTTGGATTCTGCAATCCACACAGAGAATAAATTTTCCCAGGATGCAAAAGCAATAAAATGAATAAAGGACTTATATTATTTCCTTAAACCTTTTTTTATTATACATAGCGTGGTATGGCCTTCCCTGCCGGACAGAAGGAGGTAAGCTGCAATAATATGAACTTTTTTTTTTTTTTTTTAAGAAAAGCATGTTTAGACAAAAGAAAGGATCCATTCTAACTCGTGATTTTTTAATATGTCAACATGATGAAATCTTCAGCTTCTCAACAGATCTCTCAAGGAACAGGACCCTGAGATGTATAACATTATTGAGCTTGAGAAAAAGAGGCAGCGCGAGTCCATTGTCTTGATTGCTTCCGAGGTATGCCGACCGAGTATTTTTTTTTTTTTTTTTTTTTTTGCCATTTGATGAAGCATGGAGGATTATTTGCTATTATCCAAAAGTTCCAGGAGTCATTAGAAAATATGGGACATGAAACATTGACTCAGATTTTTATCTTCTGTGTACGTAATCATCCTGGTTTAGAACTTCACTTCACGCTCAGTCATGGGTGCTTTGGGATCCATTCTTCAGAATAAGTACTCTGAGGGATACCCTGGTGCTAGGTACAGCATTATGGATATATATTTTTTTTATATAATGTTTTCTATAGCCAATGATACGAGTATATTTTAAGAGGCATTGTCAACCCAACTGACTTTTATATTGCTTGACTTTTCAAACTATAGATACTACGGCGGTAATGAGAACATTGACATGTCGGAGCGCCTTTGCCAGAAGCGTGCCCTTGAGGCATTCGATTTGAATCCTGAGGAGTGGGGTGTCAACGTTCAACCTTTGTCTGGAGCACCTGCTAACCTCTACGTTTATGGCGCCCTCATGAAGCCCCATGATCGCTTGATGGGTCTTGATCTTCCCCACGGAGGACAGTAAGTGATTAATTTAGAAAACTCGAAAGTGATGTGTTGACACATGAGTTTTTATAGAGCGCTGAGTGCTGACCTATGAAATTATAATTTTGGTGGCAATTTTTTTTTTTTTTTTTTTTTTTTTTTTTAAAAAAAAAAAAAAAGCTTGTCACATGGCTACCAGATTCCTGGCAAGAAGATTTCTATGGTCTCTGCTTACTTCGAGACCCTTCCTTATGAGATTAACCAAGAAACCGGCTTGATTGACTACGATGCTCTTGAGAAGAACTCCAAGCTGTACCGCCCAAAGATCATCGTTGCTGGTACCTCTGCCTACGCCCGTGAGATCGATTACCCTCGCATGCGCAAGATCGCTGACGATTGCGGCGCATACTTGATGTCTGATATGGCTCATATTTCTGGTTTGGTCGCTGCTGGTGTTTTGAAGTCACCCTTCCCTCACTCGGACATTGTCACCACTACCACTCACAAGTCACTGCGTGGACCTCGTGGAGCCTTGATCTTCTACCGCAAGGGTGTTCGCGGTGTCGACAAGAAGGGCAATGAGATCAAGTATGATCTCGAGGAACCTATCAATGCCTCTGTCTTCCCTGGTCACCAAGGAGGCCCTCACAATCACACTATTGGGGCTTTGGCCGTCGCTTTGAAGCAAACAAAGACCGAAACATTCAAGGAGTACCAGCAACAGGTTTTGAAGAACAGCAAGGCTTTTGCTGATGCCTTCGGCAAGCTTGGATATAAGATGTCTTCTGGTGGCACAGACACACATTTGATCTTGGTCGATCTTCGCTCAAAGGGCATTGATGGCTCGCGTGTTGAGCGTGTGTTGGAGTTGGTCAACATTGCCTCGAACAAGAACACTGTTGCTGGTGACAAGTCTGCAATGAACCCTGGTGGAATCCGTGTTGGTACTCCCGCAATGACATCCCGGGGCTTGGGCGAGAAGGATTTTGAACAAGTTGCCAACTTTATCGACCGCGCAGTCAACCTTACCAAGGATCTCAAGAGCAAAACCCCTGGCAAGAAGATTGCTGACTTCAAGTCGTTTGTTGGTGACGGATCCCAGATTCCCGAGATTCAGGCTTTGAAGAAGGAGGTTGCTGAGTTTGCCCGCAAGTTCCCTACAGTTGGATTCACTGAAGATGAGATGGAATACCGCGACTAGAAAAAAAAAAATCAGGCATACTTCTTTTAAGCTTCATTAGACAAACTTGCATGATGCTAGTTCCTTCATCATATTTTTCTCATCATTCTTTTTAATTGCCTTTATTCAAACAACTGTACAAAAAAATACCATTCAATACATTATTTTTGACTTAACAGCCAAGTTCAATATATCCTTGGTCCGGATACGGATAATATTTCATTGGTTTTGATTTATGAAGCCAATGAGCACTTGTAGTTCATGACTTTTGAACAAAAAAAAAACAATTCGTGAGTGACGTTGAACATCTTGTTTACTTGCATGAGTTTGGAGGAAACAGCTCCGATGGTGTTGAAGAAGTACCCAATCCTCATGCGACCTGTAAAAACTTGTTCGGGGGTTTTCTGATGGTTTAAAAGACTAGCTTGGTTTATTCCAAAGGTAAATGACAGGTACATGTTCACACCCTGTTTCAAGAAAAGTCCAAAGCACATGCTCGCTTTCTGTCTGGGAACTGGCTTGATATAGTGCCAACACTAATACCCTTTATTATCTAATACATGAGACCAAAAGGATAAAAGGTACACAGGAATGTGGTATATGCGTTTCAAAGAGCAAGATTTTTTTTTTTTTTTTTTTTTTTTTTTTTTTTTCCAAGGTCAAAGACCAAGGTGTCAGGGAGTGAAATGATTATTTACCGAGCACACAATAGATGGACCCAACGCGTTAGTTCAAGTGACAAAACGTTTTTGTGCCACGATAAATCATTGGACGATAGCGAATCTTATTTGGAAATTGATTTTTCTCTCATTTTATTACGGTGCAGACAACAAAGAACTTGTCAGGCATTCATGTTTGGAGTTTGTGCAGCAACACAAATGAGCCTTTTGCATTAGATATTCAGCAACAATGAAACAAAAATTTTCTTGTTTGCTCATGCTTTTTCTTCTTTGCCTTGCCTTGCCTTGCTTGGCTTGCCACTGAAGGAATTCAGGAACAGAAACCGGTGCAATGAAAATGAAAAGAGAGTCGAAATCCAAATCCAAATCCAAATAATTAATACAGTTTTCATCGGCTCACTGGCAACGTTACGAACAATGTTCCGGGTAGTCAAGTTTTGTTTTCTTTCTTAACCATGATGATTATGATTATGCTTATGATTATGATGATAACAGCGATATATGAAGAGAGCAATTTTGTTTATGGTTATTCCCGAAGACTAAAAGATATCGCCTTCAAGCCAATTGCCCGGTATCGTCTTTTTCAGCCTCTTTATCTTTTTCACACCAATCTTTCCTACCGCCTCACAACCTTTGTTCCTGTTCCTCTTCTTTTTTTCTTTCTTTTTTTTCTGGGACCCGCTCATAATCACACAGCTCTGTCATTTCTTAATCGAATATCATTAATCCAATCCATTATCACCTTTTTCCTCCCCTTCTTTCTTTCTTTCTTCCTTTTTTTTTTTACTGCACATACCTCATACCTCATCACATCCCCCTCCCTTTCCTCCCTTTATAGTTGTTCTGTTTGCACCATATTAACCCCTTTTTTCACATCATGAACCCCTTCAACGATAACGGCAGTAGTAACAGCAGTGGCTACAATAGTAGTAACTACAATAATAGCTACAACAATAACTACAACAATAACTACAACAGTAATTACAGTGATAACTACAGCAATAACTATAACCCTCATAGCAATCATAATGATCATTACCAGAGTAATACCAATACCAATACCAATACCAATACCAATACTACCCACCGTGGTCGTCCTCGTCCTCGTCCTCGTCCTCAACCAACCTCTCCTACCTCTCCTCTTCATCCTATTTCTCCTACATATCCCAAAACCCCTACATATCCCATTTCTCCTACCACTCCCATTTCCCCCACGACCCCTACATCCGCTCACTTGACATCATCCTTCCCTCGTTCCAGTTCTCGGAATTGGCTCGCAGATACCGAATTTGATAACGATGCCAACCGTCGAGCCAATGTCCCGAACGTACCAACCTTTCAAGAGAGGAACCATAGTCGAGAAGGCGGTCGCCACAATAACAACAATGCCAATCGTAGTCAGACCGCTAGTAGGTCTGGTTCTGGTTCAAGTTCTGGAACGGGATTTGAGTCAAGCTCTAGATCTGGTGCCAGGTTTAACCCTGGATCGAGCTCGGGCTCGGGTTCAGGTTCAGGTTCGGTTTCTGGACCGGTTTCTGGACCGGTTTCTGGAGAGATCAGTAAATCCTCATCAGCGACTATCCCAATGCACCAAATGTACCTAAAAGATGGCGGAGATGGTTTGAGTGATCGGCTCCGAAGAGGTGGAAGTAATGACACGAAGGTTTCAAAGGTCTCAGAAGGAAACGGGTATTACTATAGCGATAGCCGAAATGATATGAAGATTGGATATAACAATGGCAATAACAATAACAATAACAGTAATGCGAATTCATATTATGACGGGAAAAAACTTGGAGCATCAACCATATCAGCAGCAGGAGCGGGAGTGAACGGAGGTAGTCAGCAACAAAAACAAAAGCAACAACAACGGGTTCCGGCCTCAAGAAGAGATTCAGCTTCATCCATTTCCACGGGTCGTTCATCCAATAGTAGCCTTGATCGCCGTTATTATCGCCCAGAGACCAAACTGGATGATTCTAATAAGGGTGATAGGAATACTAAGAAGAGTCGAGGAAAATTCCTGTCTCGATTCGACTTCGGGGAGACATTCCATGGGTACCGTCATTACGATCCATTGAACTACAAGATGAAGCGGATGGGTCGACTGGCTCAGTTCAACAATGAGCGATTGTATCTGCATTGGATTCGACTTGGAGTGTTGCAGGGAGGCATTGCAGTGACATTGTTGAGTTTTGGTTTGGGAGTGACCTCATATGTGGGCGTAGGAGCCTTGATCTTGGCGCTATTGACGTTGATTTATGCGACTACGTTATATCATAAGCGACATTTGCATCTGGTCCATAAACGAAGTGATGTCAAGTATTTCGCAAGGACCATTCCGACCTTTTTGACCGTCGGCCTTATCCTTTTATATGCTAGTAACTTTGCATGTAAGTCCTCTCTCTCTCTCTCTCTCTCTTTTATCATTTTAATTCGTTCAAAAAGGGGCAGAATGGTTAAAAAGTTCTTATTCAACATTTCCTTTTTCCCCATTTCCTTTTCTTTCATCAATTGATAGTGACATTGCTGTATGGTGAAGAAGCTAGAAGTCCTCCACCATGGACAAATGACGATGACAGCTTTAGTAGTGTATTCTAGAAGGATAAATGACAGAGTTGAAGACTATGGGACCATCATGTATAAAAAAAAAAAAAAAAAAAAAAAAAAGTAAAATGAAAAGACGCGTTTTGATTCCCTTGAAAGTTTATTTTCTGGATTGTGGAAGATGCTTCGGAGTAAACTGAAAATGTGTGTATCTGTCTCTCTTTCTGTTTCTAAAAAAAGATGGCAGACAAGTTGTGTTACAATCTCATCAAGGAAAAATAAAAACGCGCGACATCTTTGGTGAGGCCAAGTGATGATGGTAGAAGTTTTATTTTATGAGGTGGCGGTTTTTTTTTTTTTGTATCTTTACCCAAGACTAGCCCTTGGAGGCTTTGTAGTAAGTATTAAAAAAAAAAAAAAAAAAAAAAAAAAAAAGATAGCCGAGCACCCTCCGGTTGAGATTTGTGGCGCCAGATGACGGGTGTGTGTCACATGAGTATGCTATTTTCCATTATCCATTTTTTTTATTTTTTACTTTTTTATTTTTTACTTTTATTTATTTATATTATATATATTAAGTATGATCGATGTTGTTTTGTGTGCCATGTATTCTGTACACACCATATGAGAAAGTGAAAAAGTGGGGAAGAGGCTTCGAAGCACATAAATACATCTCCCATTCATCTATCTAAAGTATAAATGGGAAAACGAATGGCCTTTTTTTTTTTTTTTTTTTTTTCTTTTTTTTTTTCTGGTTCTTCTCTTAACTGCACTAAGATGCTCAGCTGCTTAGTTACGGCTTGTGAAAATGAGACCAGTATCAACGGGATCACCCATACGCCACATCAAACCCCTCTTGGTCTTTGAAGGATCCTGGATCTCAAACTTTGAGTACCTGGAAACCAAGAGCGCTCCAACAGTCTTCAATTCTTGGATAGCCAAGAAACGTCCAGGGCATGCATGCCTAACGCAAAAATATATAAATAAATAAATAAATACATTAGATCCAAGTCGCGCACTTTTTTTTTTTTTTTTTTTTTTTTCCTCCAAGTTCCTTAGTTTTTATACTTACTTTCCCATGCCAAAGACCAAAAAGTCATTGCCAGCCTTGGTGGCAGCCTTTGCTTTGCCTACGAATCTCCAGGGGCGGAACTCATAAGCGTCGCCTCCTTGAACCTCATCGCTTTGATGGACTGAATGGTTGTTGATGATGGCTTTGCTACCCTTGGTGATGCGCATTCCATTGGACAATGTGATATCCTCTCTGGCCGTGTGTGCCAAGGTCAAACGTTCGGTCCTATATCTCAAAACCTCTCTAACAAAAGAATCCATCTTGACTAACCGCTTCATCATAGCAGCCGAAAGATCACGATCGTTCTTGGGATCCAAATCTGATCCTACGAAATCCTGTTCGGATTTGACCTCACCTGAAGCCAATTTGCTCTGTCTCAAGGTCTGACGTTCTTGTTCGATCTGAGATAGAGCCTCGCATTGTTCTTGATACAAAACATCCACATGTTCAGGGAAGGCTGCAAAGTAATAGCACAAGTTGGCGGCAGAATCTGATGTCGTATGGACACTTGCCAAGACCAAAAGCAACAAATGACCGCAGACATCCTCAATATCCACGAATCCATACTTGTCAAAGTTATCCAATAACTTTTGCATCATATCCAAAGGACGTACGTATTCCTCTCCCTTTGCATTCGCTTCAGCTTCTTCTTGACGACGTTTCAAGATCACGGGGGTGGCAACTTCGACCAGGATGTCAATATGTTTCTTCAGAGGATTCAACACGCTATATTTGGCTTGGGTATTGAATCTATGCCAGAATCGAAGTCTGTTATCTCGACCAAGGACTTCGCCAAAGTCATATGTGCATTTGATGAAGGAATCGCGGACCCGATGGTCCTTGGCACAGTCATTGCCCATAAACACAGTGGCCACTGAATAAAGAAGGAAGAAAAAAAAAAAGGTTAAAATTGAAACTACGTCCGAAACCGGTAATAAAAAAAAAAAAAAAAAAAAAACTTACTGGCAGCGGCGACCATCTCCTGGAAGACATTAATGGGTTTCTCAATCAGCTTTCCATCCTTACAATCACCCAATTCTCGATCGATTGTCAAAGTCAATTGCTCGACAATACGAGGGGTGTACAAGGGCAGGAATGGGGAGAGGTTATCACGGATGGCACTATGGGAGATCCAGTTTTCATCATTGCTGGTCTTGGTGATACTGTCTGTGAAAGCCTTCATGCCTGTCACCTCCTCCAAAGCATCAATGAAACTGAATTGTTCATTCATGAATACTTCTCGGATCAACGAGCCCGAAACGACTGTGAATTTTTGATTCCAGAGCATGACATTGAAAACGAGGCCATAGTTCTCTACACACTTTGAAAGGAATTTGTTTTGATCCTCGGCGTATTCTGCATCATGGCTCTTGTCGCCTGCACGTAATGGTACGATTGGGATAGACTAAGATGGTTTTTTTTTTTTTTTTTTTTTTTTTTTTTTTTTTTTTTTGTGTTTAGTTTACCAATTAGGCAATTAGTTTTTTTGTTAGAGATTGATGTTCTTTTGAATGACGCTCTCAGTTTTTTTTTTTTTTTTTTTTTTTTTTTTTTTTTTTTACATTTATATATTTATATGATGAATTTAGATTGCAATTTACCTTATCTCTGCTGAATCCACCCTTGTTAGTGGCTCGATGGGCCAGGAATGCCGCGGAGGCAAGACCGATACCGATGGGCAAGACAGCCTTTAAGAGATCGGTTGGGTTTGTTGTTGTAGAAGTGGACACAAGACCGAGCATGATTTCTAATCAAAGGAATGTGGAGAAATAAAGAATTTGAAGGAAAAGAGAACGAAGTTTGTAAAATGAGGGCGAGGGGCGAAGGGCGAGGGCGAGGGCGAGGGTTGAAGAGAAGAGAACAGAGGACAGTAGAAGGGTTGAAATGTTTGATATTTATAACTCGGTTTTACAGGGAAACTTTTTTGGGGTGAAAAATGAAAAGAAGAGTGTGATTTACTGTCCAGATGGGAAAACAAAAACTTTACTCCCTTTTATACCAAAGAAGAACACTTGAAGGTTGGATAAATGATTAGTTTCCTTTGGCAGAGCAAGGCCCCAACTGAGCATAGCACTCGCACAGAATATAAAAAACAAGTTTATTAGTTTTATTTTTATTTTCTTTTTTCGCTGAATGACCCTGACTAAAGCGCAAAAAACCGGTTAGCCAACGATCAGGCTATTGCCAAGGTTGGATCGCAATCTTGCGCAGCGACGGAAAGTATGTTCGCGAATGATCTTGTCCTAATACACTAAACGGAAAGAAAAAAGGAGGGGGGATTTCCTCCACAAGGGAATACATGTTTCTACTAGCAGGAGGGGGAAGGGTTTTTACCTTTATCCATAATAGGCTAACATCACCATCTTCATCATCATTATCGTCATTTTTTATACTTCCATTTAATAAACAAGGCTAGCATAAATCAAAAACCGGTTTTTTTTTATCTTTGGTCGTTTTTAAAATCTTCTTGCTTTTGCCTCTAAATTGTACATGTACGTTGTGTGGATCGTTACCATTATTATATCAAATTTCTCTCTCTTTTAGATAAAAGTCCATTTTGATCCGATGCGAATGCAGAAAGTAAGGAATAGAAAGTGTGTGGAAAATAATAATAATAATAATAATAAAAGTTCGAATAAGCTAGCAACCGGTTTTTTGTTTTTTTTGTTTGAGAGATGCGTTTGATCGGTGTTGACACATTTACAAGACCTTGTGAACTGGCCCGTGGAACAAACACTTGTTCATCCACCCACTGGATTCAAAGTAGAAGAGGGTTCATGCAGTCTTTATTACTTCTTCCCAGAAAAAAAAAAAAAAAAAAAAAAAAAAAAAAAAGAGCGAGCTTTTTACTCACACAATCTCTTTAGAACAGATGACAGTGAAATAGCGCCGGCGAGCCCTCTCTGTTCTAAAGCCCAGCAGTGACTTTTTTTTATTTTTGTTTTTAAGCAGTAATAACTATCATCTTCTCATCACGTTCCCGATGTTTTCGACTCTTGTTGGATAGGAGAAGAGAATGCGTAAACTCCAGATCCTGTTACGGGATGAAATGGGCTTTTTATCCATGGGAAAAATATGGATGATCTCCGAGAAGCGAAACATCCGAGAAAATACTTTATTCTTAAACTTTTTAATATTATTGTTATTATTATTGTTATATTTAATATATGCTTTTATTATTTTGCTCAATATATTTCTAATGGCTCTTCTTTGTTGTTGTTGTTGGTTTTTTTTTTTTTTTTTTTTTTTTTACAAGATCATTATAAATATACCATCAAATATTAGAACAAAGAAGCAAGGGCAAGCTTCAAGTCTTCTATTGGTCATCAACCTTTTCCCTCCTTCACTCAACCGCTGGTTCTTTGTTGACGCTCTTTTTTCTCTTTCTCAAAGTTTGATTTTGTTTTTGTACCTTGATTACTCATTCTTGTTGGGTGCGAAAGAGGGTTTTGTCCATCAACATCATCAACAACATCAACAACAACATCAACAACAATAACGACAACAATAACGACAACAGTAACGGCAATAAAAAAAAAAATAAAAAAAAAAAACTCTAAGTAAAACGCGTGGAGAATCACACGTGCTTTTAATTGCATTTATGCACCTTTTCTTCTCTTTTTTTTTTTTTTTTTTTTTATGTAATTCATGCATACACATGTATAAATGCTGGGATTGCCCCTCGTATGTTCCTCATTTCACAAAGAAAATAAATTACAAACAGGGGAAAGGAACTAACAGACCGAATAGAGTCGGGTCCAATTAATCAATAATTTTTTTTTTTAAAAAAAAAAGCTGAGTATTGTTCGCCTGGCCTTGGAGAGAGGAGAAGAAAGGAAAAGAGTCCTCATTGCTTCCATGAAACATTCTTAATATCAGTATTGATTCAGGATACAGTTGGTCTACTAAGAAGAACTCTTCAAAGGCGACTATTCGATGCTTGTTGGTTTTCCAAATCTGCTCTGATTTCACCGTAATTTAGCGGAATTGATTAATTAGCATCTCCTGAATAGTTGCCATGCCGAGGGACTCTTCGAATGGACAGGATTTGCTGCTGTTCAAAACAATAAAACTTGACTGAAAGTCTGCTAATCCTCAAACCATGAGGCCAAATAATGCCTCTGAACGCTTCAATAGGATTGTGGCGTGCTTTTGGGACGCAGGATAGAGGATTTGTTCTTTGGAGGCAAACTTTTTGAAGCTGCGCCTGTTGCTAGTAAAAACACAAATGGTTCCCGTTTTCCGCATACTTCTGGGCTTCTACAATCCAAAGGCTGTGACGTAGCCATCAAATGTTACATGTTTGTCAAAGTATTGACACGTCCCTTGCAAAAGTTCAGGTGTATGCAAAGAGTATTGGTTTAAGGGACCGTAGAGAAGTCAGTGACATGTGGCAGTGTTTAGATGATTATACAGTTTATACCACATGGAGTCCAAACAGTCGTCAAAGTGGATAACTTGAATGAGGAAAAAACGTGCTCATTAAAAATTGGACATGTCAAGTTGTTCGAGTTACAAAGATGGCGTGGTTGATTGCATGTATACGTAGATGCATAAAAGCGCATTCGATTGAGTGTAGAACTGTACAATTTTGATACAAATTTATTTCAATATTTCTTATAACAACGCGCTTTCTTTGTAAGCAGATTAAGCCTACAAAGTGATCCCTCTCTCTTTAAATGTCGAATGAAAAGAATGAAAAAAGGAAAAAAAAAAAAAAAACAAAAAAACAAAAAGAAAAAGCCTGTTTCAATATAAAAGGAATAAAACAACAGCAGCAACAATAGTAATAAGAATAACAACTGAATATGCCACAAATGAGAGCATGAACAACAACAACAAAAAAGATAAAAAAAAAAAAAAAAAAAAAAAAAAGTTCGTGAGAGAGAGAGGGAATACAGCGGTTAAGGTTGATTTTGCCTTTTTTTCTTTTCTTCTAAAATGCAACTCGTTAATTCATTCATCAGATCCTGTTCAAAATGTCCTCGTCCTTGTTATGATAGATGCATTGTTGGTTGATTTTAGTTAATAAAATGCTGGCTTGATCATGGCGGTATCACGTAATTGCTTTTGCTCACGAACTGTAAACACTTTGCCAGGTTCTGGTCCCTTAGGCTGACGAATAGGGTATATCAGGTTAGCTCCGATGGGGCTGTTTCCGGCAGCGGCATCGAAGACCATGGATTTGCGATAGAGTGACCTGGTTGGTGAGGCAGAGCCTGTCGATCGAGTAGTAGAGGTATAATTGGAGTAGTTGGAGATGATACTGGTTGTGCTTGCAACAGAACCATTGAGTGTTGATGATGGAATGTCGGGTAAAGGTGATCGTGATTTGTAAATAGGACTCTCAGATCTCAGCGATCCACGTCCTGCGAACGAAATTGGTCGTTGCTGCTTTAGATGTAAATATAGCGATAGTATAAAGATACAAAAGGTCAGATATAGTAAATTCAAAAAAAAAAAAAAAAAAAAAAAAAAAAGTTGATATTATACATGAGTACGGAAGGTGGCAAGAGATCAGTCTGTGCTGTTTACCTTGGTAGGTGTAGAAGGTCCTCCTGCACTGGAATCGAGAGCAGCGTTAGGATGAGGGGTTTTCATAATAATAAGTCGACGGAGGTTACCCTCGCCTTCGGTATAGTAGTGCAGCGATAACTTGTCTGCGATAAGATGTAAAATACGGCGCTGACGAGGGCTAAGGTTCTCAGGGAAGATCATGTCATCTTTCGTAGCATCGCCTCGGAACATTAAAAGGCGATCATAAAATGCCAAGGTCTCTCCATCGTTCAGGTCCAATTGGTACAGCGATGCTAAAAATATAACAATATATAAAAGTCAGCTGACATAAGACTTGACTTTGAAGCAGCGATTTAGCTTTTTTTTTTTTTTTTCTTTCTGGCTTACCACTCGAGTCCTCTCTGTCCAAGAGGCTACGTCCCGAGTCACGTCGCTCCAACAGAGCTGCAGATGCACGGTTTCGAGTTCTTTCAAACTCACGGCTCTGCAACTCCATTAACTCACGTTGTCTCTCCTGTCGCTCCTGTTGTTCTAACAACTGAGCTTCCACAATCTCCATTTCCCTGCGTTGAAGCGCCTCCTGGTGTGCCGCCATTGCAGCAGCAGCCTTTTCTTGATCCCTCTTCTCCTGCTCCGCAGCCGGCATCACCTTTTTGTATTCCACTCGCAGCTTCCTGCCCTGGACCTCAAATCCATTCACGGCATTGTAAACCAAGTCAGCCTCCTCTGCTGTTCTATAATTCGCAAACGCTAAACCGCGGAAGATACCATTGTCGAAATGATAATTGAAGGCATATGGTTTGGGAATATCAAGATTATCGAGGATGGCAAGCAGCGAATCACGCTTAACAGAGAAAGGAATGTTCTTGATCACAATGGCTGTTGGGATAGTATCAACAGGCTCCTCTCCTTGCTGTTGTTGCTGCTGCTGTTGTTGCTGCTGCTGTTGTTGTTGTTGTTGTTGTTGCTGCTGCTGTTGCTGCTGTTGCATCTGTGGCTGCTGCATATGTTGAGGAGGCTGAGGGTAAGGCTGAGGCTGAAACTGGCCAATGAGGGGTCCTGGCTGCATCATGGGCTGGTAAGCATAGGCTTGATGCTGGTAGTATTGCTGCTGGCGAGGATCCTGTTGCAGCACAGGCGACTGAATGGGCGAAGCCTGTGGAGGGCTCCAGTTCTGTGTGTCCACGGGCGTTACGATATGAACCAATGGAAAGTCAGACGAGCACGATCATAGCGACAAAAAGATATAGCAGATGTGGCAACAACAAAAAAAAAAAAGAAGAAAGAAAAACATTAGCGCACATACACAAAAAAAAAAAAAAAAGAGAGCAAAACAGAGCAGTAAGAGAGATCAAGGGTCACTAGCACATAAAAAGAAAAAAGCATGGGTGCTGGGAAGAACATGTTGGCGGAAAAAAGCAAGAGAGCGACGGGAAGAAATCACAAGTATAATAAGGCCATACAAAGCTGCAAATGGTCCAATTTTTTTTTGTCTGCATGGCATGGCAAGATGCATGCCCAATGGTCATCCATTGAGTTAAATGTAACACAAACACATCTGAACATGGAAGAAGCATATTCAAGGACTGCTTTGCCTTGGGACATGTACCACCCATGCCCATGCACCATCCTTCAAACATCCAGCCATACCCTTTACTCTTTTGTCCTTTTGTTTGAGTATCTTTAAAAACATACTCTCTTTGACCCTCTCTCGCCCAACCCTCTATAATCTCTTTTACACATCTTGTATATTTGTTTGTGCATTGTCTTTTTCCCGTAGGACAACAATCATGTCGACCCTGTTTTCTATTCTTATCCAGGAACCTGAAAAAAAAAAAAAAAAAAAATAGGGGGTGAGGGGAAAGAGAAAAAAAAAAAATGATTCAAACACTTACCACACTCGCAAGGGACATGCGATTAGAATGACGCTTGCCATTCATACTTTGGCTGGCATTGATGGCCATCCCCATGCTGTTTCTTTGTGATTGGTAGCCACTCATGCCATTTCCATTGCCACCATTGGTCGGCTTGCGGGTCAATGGGCTAGCAGGACCACGTTCAGACCCATACTGCGAGTAGCGGCGTTGGTGCTGTGGCTGATACGATCCTTGCTGCTGATGATGGTGATGATCCAGTGGCGAGGCAGGACCGTTGTCGCGGAGCGACATTGCATCAAAGGTCATATCGAGTTGTTTGGTAGTCATATCGTCGTATACAAGAATGGATCTTTTTTTCTTTTTTTCTTTTTGGTCAGTAATGATAGTTGTTGTAGTGAAGAAGTTGGAGAAAGAGAAGAGGTTGAATATCTCGGGGAACGGGGCGAGGATGGAAAAAGGTAGCTTTCAGCGCTTGTTTTTCTAGATCTGCTTTCGGCACTCTTGGCTTCAAACCCTCGAAATGCTTATAGAACGTTCAAGTGGGTTCTTTTTTTTTTGTTTTTTTTTTTTTTTGTTTTTTTGTTTTTGTTTTTTTCAATCGGTTTCTAGTGAGTCGGTTGTCGAATATACGGATATGTACAGAATATAAAGAAAGGAAAGAAAGGAAAGAAAGGCTGCAAAATAGGATATAAAACGAAGGAATCAGAACAAAGACAAATAACAGTTCGTTAACATGAATCAAATAAGAAATTAAAACGGCAATGTAGAGAACGTGAACAAGGGTTTAAGGGAAAGGGATTGCGGACAGGATGAAATAAGAGAAGGACAGAAGGTGACAGAGACAGAGACGAAAGGTGAGGACAGAGAACAAGAAAAGAAAAAAAAAAAAAAAAGAAAAGAAAAGAAAAGAAAAAGAAAAAGAAAAAAAAAAAAAAGTTCGAATGTATTCTTTTATCTTGCTCACCGAACGAAGGAAAAGGAGAAGGAAAGGGCAGAGAGGATAAAGGAAAGGAGAAGGGGAGGCTAGTGGATGGATGGGTGGATATGGTTTATGGTTTTTGGTTTATGGTTTATGGTTCTCTGTTGCACTCAAACAATGAAAAACATTTACGAAATATTGAAATATTGAAATATTCAATTTGTTATATTTGGAAGAGATGTGAGTTACACATTTAAGGAGCTAAAATGGATGGGGGGCGCAACCGCACCCTCGCCCAAACCCATCCTTGAGATAGTTTCAAAGGGTTTAAGGATCTGGAAGAATGGACAACTTGAAATGCAGTTTACCTCATCCTTTTTGTCTTGTCGCAACATTTTGGTAAAATTAGTACAGTTCGTTAAATTAGTTGGTCCTCGCCAATGTATTCTTCGATGGGATTTAAATAGGCGACGGAGGATCACTGGTCCATCCTTTTGTATCCTTCCGTCTTTGACAAAACAATAACAAAGGGCAAAGATACGTATGCCCCTAATCTGTACTTAATGTGCACACCTTTATTTGGACGGAGTCTTTACCTCTCAATAATGCCTTCAAAATTGTTTGAATCTCGGTCCGCCAAGCAATCTCTTGAAAATGAATATGATCCACTCCACAGCATGTTCATATTTACTCAAATCACCTCAGAACAGGAGAAGGGACAGAACCCAAGTTGGGCAGACGAAAAAAAAAAAAGAAAAAAAAGGCGCGCCTTGTCAAAGAGAGCCGAAAACGTAGCCGCCACCAACTTTTTTTATATCTCAGCCACAGGATATATATCACGTGAACATAGACTTTCACACCTCACTTTTTTTTTTTTTTTTTCAATCAAAACAAAAAAAAAAAAAAAAAAAAAATCCATTTCATCCTACACATCCTTCCATCCTATCCTTCTCCAAAGAAATTAGCCACACACCAGTAGTCATAATGTAAGAAACACGAAAGGGAGAATTGATGGATTGATCAAAAATCAGTCAATTCGGAAAAAGAAACTTCTTTCTTATGGATCGTACAAGTTTCAACAATCATGGCTTGAATTATTTGATCAGGAACGTTATTGAGGCAATGAAGCCTTGGTTTTTTTTTTATCTTTTTTTGGAACAAACAAGAAGGAGCAAGTTTACACAGTATTATTTTATCCTGTTCCTGCTCAGACTCTTTCCCTCGTCAGGAACAAATGATTACTCTATTCATTTTTTTCTTTCTTATTTGAAATAAAAGCTTTAACGCTTTTCAGACAATATTTCACGAGGGCAGGATTTTAGACAGGAAAAAAAAAAAAAAAAAAAAAAAAAAAAGAACCTTGGCTCTAAGACTTACAGGATGCAATAGGAAGGCGATTATAGATCTCTCTCACTTGACGATATACACTGTTACTGATCTCTGGTTATCACAATTGCGTCAACTATTCAAAACCGTTTCTTCCTTTTTTTTTTTTTTTTAAAAAAAAAAAAAAAAAAAAAAAACAGGGCCGATATCGAGAACAAGACCGCCACTATTGAGGAGATTGATTCTGACTCTGAGCAGCAGACCTCTTCCTCCTCCCGCGTCCAGTCTCGTGGAGAGATCAAGGCTCGCAAGGCCCTCAGCAAGCTTGGACTCGTCAAGGTCAAGGGCGTCAACCGTGTCACGGTCCGTCGTTCTGGTCAGCCCATCTTGGCCATTTCTGGTCCCGATGTCTACAGGTCCTTGAACTCGGACACCTACGTTGTCTTTGGTGAGGGCCAGAACGAGGATCTTAGCAGTTTGCAGTCCCAGCTCCAGGCTGCCCAGGATGTCCTCAAGGATTCTGGTGATGCTCCTGAAGCCGCTGCCGCTGCCGATGCCGATGCCGATGATGCCGATGATGACGATGAGGAGGTCGATGAGGAGGGCCTCACTAAGGAGGATATCGAGCTCGTCATGGCTCAGGGCAACGTCAAGCGCTCCAAGGCCGTCAAGGCCCTCAAGGCTCACAATGGCGACATTGTCAACGCTATCATGGTAATATTCTCTACAATTTTTTTCTTTGGCAGTCTATTGTAATTGATACAAGTTTTGGTGGATCTCCAACTCACATGATCTTGATTTTATTTTATTTCAACAATAGGAGCTTACAATGTAAAAAGTCTTTTCTCACACCCTCCTCCCCACCACAATTTTGGAAGACTAAAAGTTTGTCATTATTTCTTTCTATAAAAACATTGAAAAAAAAACCCCCTCTCTCTCCTTTATCCATAACGCCTTTGTCAAGTACGGAAGAAAGTTTCAAGAAATGTGTGAATGAAAAAATATATATATATTATATATATCTTATATAAATATATTTAACAAAAAAAAGCGTAATTGTTTTTTTTTTTTTTTTTTTCTTTTTTTTCTTTTTTTCGTCAACAGCACAGCAACGTGGAATTGTAACCTTGTTGACTTGTAAAAAAAAAAAAAAAAGAAGCAAATATTCCCTTGGGCATATTTGTACACAGCAATTGCCTATCTATCGAATATTGACGTGAAACTATAGCAATATGAGCATGAGCATAGGCATTTCAAGAAAGCGTAAGCTTTTTCTATGTTTTATGTGGCATTAGTGTGTTAGATCGGACAAATCGTAGAACATGGTCATGCCCATTATCAAGGCGGATTGCTCTAAACTCCTTTCATACATGTTCAAAATGCAGCGAAGCTCAGCTCTCTTTTAGGATCGTTTATCATTTCATGGCTTACTGCTTTTTCTTGCTTTTTTTTTTTTTTTTTTTTTTTTTCCAGTTGGTTCGTGACAAGCTTGAGTGTAGATGATAAGATGATAACCATTGTAGGTTGTCACGTGAATGATTGGTCCCTGGTAACTTGTTTATTTACCCTTGGAAGAATATGACGGAAAAAAGAAAAAAAAACCTCATTTCAACATTGAGGGGTAGTTCTACTCATGGCATCGACGCGGTTCAAGAATGTGATTGCAGCCCAATTGGCTGAACTCACAGGAGGAGACGCTTCAGTCATTGTTCGCGCGATCGGCCGACCCAAAGTCAAGGGTCATGGAACTTTTACCGTCTCTTTACCTCGACTCTTCCCTACTCAAAAAAATGTTTCGGAAAACAAGTCTCCGGCGGGATTATTGTTACCAGAAACTCTAGGAGGGGACAAGGGCCTCAAGAGAAAAACAAAAAAGGGGGAAATAAATGATTCAATTGCTCAAGATGTCAGAAAAGAGTTTTTAGCAAGGATACCCCATGAGGTATATTTTTTTTTTTTTTTTTTTTTTTTTTTAAAAAAAAAAAATAATATACACATTCTGGATGACATATTTAAAGGGTGTTTTCTAGGGGAGAGAAAAAGCATCATTAACGCTGATTCTCCTTTATTATATTTTTTTTCCCCTTCCCTGTGGGTTAAAAGTTTGACACAAGCGGTCCTATTCGGTCAATTACACCAGTTGGTCAGTTTCTTAATTTCAGTGTGGATGAGCGTCAGTATACACGCGAGACTATTCTGGAGGTCGTGAAAGCCGAGGAAACAAAACAACAAACGCTCTCATCATCAAAGGCTGGATCGACAACACATTGGACTCGACAACAGATCGCTAGTCTTGGATATGGATTAGATCCAAGCCTTGGACAAGGTCAAATCGTGGCTATGGACTATAGTTCACCCAATATTGCAAAACCATTTCATGGAGGACATTTACGTGGAACGATTCTCGGCAATTTTGTCACACGATTGTTACGAGGATTTGGATATCAAGTAATTGGTATCAATTACTTGGGCGACTGGGGAAAACAATATGGTAAGTGTAATTACTTTTTTTTTTTTTTTTTTTTTTTTTTTTTTTAAAAAAAAAAAAAAAAAGAGAGAGAAAAAGAAGGCTTCATTAACTTATTTCCACGGGTTGGATTAATATCACTCTTCTTATATTTGTAATATGTATAGGTCTGATGGCAGTTGGATTTGATCGTTATGGCGACAGAACTAAACTTCGTCAGGATCCTATAAAGCATCTTTACGATGTATATGTCAGGATCAATCGAGACATCTCTGAAAATCCGGAACTAGATAAGCTTGCAAATCAATACTTCAAACAAATGGAAGAAAACGATCCTCAGGTTCTATCGCTTTGGCAAGAATTTCGTTCTCTTTCTATCGATTTTTATAAGGTGATCTATAAGCGGCTTGGAATTGAATTTGATGTCTATTCGGGTGAATCCGAAAGTGTCAAATATGTTCCCCAAGCATTCGAGCTCTTACGTGAGAAGGGACTTTTAAGGGAAGAGAGCGATGGTGCCTGGATTGTTGATCTGACAGAGTATGACTTGGGTATCTGTGTATTACGTCGGGCAGATGGGACAACGTTGTATTTAACCAGAGATGTGGCTGCCTGTCTTCAACGACAAGAGCTTTTCAAGTTTGACCGACATTTGTATATGATTGGAGATGATCAAAACTTGCATATGAAACGACTGTTCAAGATCATGGAGCTGGCCTTTGCAGAAGAGGCGGCTACTCATTCTCAAACATCTTCATTACCCCATTGGAGTCGAAACCTTCAGCATATCTCCTTTGGTAAGGTTCAGGGCATGTCAACTCGGAAAGGTAAAGCCGTGTTTTTGGAGGACATTCTTGATACTGCTCAGAGCACTATGTTGGAAAAGATGAAGGAGAATGAAACAAAATTTGAAGCTGTCAAGGAATTATTCCAACGACAGCAACAGCAGCAACAACAGCAGCAACAACAACAGCAACAGCAACAGCAACAGCAACCACAAGAATGGAGTCAACACAACGAAGAGAGTGGTGTTGAACTAGTTGCGGATCAGTTAGGGATTTCTGCGGTGGTGATTCAGGATTTCCAAGCCCGTAGTTCCAAAGGATATGAGTTTAGCTGGAAGCGCATGACGGATTCTATCGGCAACACTGGCATTTATCTTCAGTATGCTCACGCACGTCTTTGCGGGTAAAGTTCTGAAGCGCCATTTACCATTTGTTTATTTATTTAAAGTTATTTTATTGTGTGTAGATACGGGGACTGATAATTCTAAAATATTGTATGAGCAAAATAGGATTGAAAGCAGATCGGGTGCACGGTTGAATTTTCAAGCTAATACGGATCTGTTGACAGAACCAGAAGCGTTTGAGTTGACAAATGTGATTTCCATGTACCCGGAAGTAACCTTGCAGGTCCTTCAAACGTTTGAGCCGTCGATGGTTGTAAATTATCTGTTTGAACTCTCACATGCCATCAGTTCCGCTAACCAAGTGTTGCAGGTGAAATCTGTGGCAGAATCTGGGCAACAAGATTTGGCAGAGGCTCGAATGTTACTTTTATGGTCTGCACGCGTAACCCTTGGTAACGGGATGAGACTTCTTGGACTTGAGCCGCTAGAAAGGATGTAAAAAAGGAGAAAAAAAAAATAAAAAAAATAAATAGTGTACTATATTATTTCTCTTTTGATTGCTGCTTTTTGAAACTATGCAGGAAGTAAGCTTGCTTACGCATTGATCATGGTAAAGTAGTTCGTGAGCCCAATTGAACAAGTTTGGAGTGGAGACATAAATGGCATTTCAAGACACACGTACTTTCCTGAGAGCAGGGAAAGGTTAACTGTGATGTCTTTTCAGGGAATAAAAAAAAAAGAAAAGAAAAAAAAAGTTTTATGTGTCACAAATATTGACCATCAAGGGGGTGGGGAAGAAGGATCTCAAGATGGGATAGACCTTTCTGATTTCTCTTTTCTGTTACCTCTCGTTTCTCCTTAACGGTATATATCGTCGGTATATCTTGTGGGCTATCAATCCCATCAGAGATCTCCATGAGCTGGAAAACATTGCTGTGACATCATTGAGCAACGATCCGAGAAATTTTATACTCCTGGCGTTTCATCATTTTATTTTCATGAGACAATGCAAATAAATGTGATGGGAGGGATCGGGGCAAGAAAATAAAACCTCAAAAGGGAAAATATTGCACGGCTGCGCTACGCTTTGGACTACTGGAATGCAAAAAAAAAAAAAAAAAAAAAAAAAAAAAAAAAAATATGCATACATGCATACATACAAGGAGTATGCGGCGACAGGGGGAAATATGCGCAATCTATCTCCATCCTCCCTTATTTTATTTTATTTTATTTTTTTTTTTTTTTCCAGTAGCATCTTTCACTTTCAAGAACCAGAGCAAGGAGCTTGCCGATGAGGCGAGTTTACTTTCAAATGTTAAAGGTAGAATCGAACCCCTGGAGAAGGACGGAAAGAAGGAAAGAAGGAAAGAAGGAAAGCAGGAGAGTAAAAGGAGAAAGAGAGAGAGAGCGAGGCGAGGACCTGCTTCGAATAGATGACTATTGATCGGCCCAGGAATTTCATTCCTTCCTTCCTTCTTTGTGGCTAATTGACAATATCAACAAACAAAATAATGACCTTGTACGAGAGAAAAAGAACCAAACAAACAACAAGGCAGCAAACACGCACTTTTAAAAGATGTATACAAAACCTTTGTCCATTCGTTCAGTTCATTGTCTCACATGGACGAAGACTAAGAAAGCGAGGTAGATGTTTTTCAATGTCAGTTCTCGTTGTCGAATGGCGTAGAAAGATATACTCTTTCTCTGTACAACTGTCTACTGTATACAAAAAAAAAAAAAAAAAAAAAAAAACTCTTGTGTTCAGATTCTTTGGTGTGGATTCCACTCAGTTCGGCTCAGGTAACCGTACATTTCATCTTGTAAAGGTGGACATGATAACAATAATGTGGCAATACTGATGGGACATGGACTCATCTCTCATATGCTAAATAGCAATGCAACTTGAGCATTTGATAACTGATATCCATTTATTGAGATAATAAAAAAAAAATTGCTTTGGCTAATCTTTTCCCTCCTCCTTTCCATTCGATAGTTGTAAAGAAATGTCCAAATGGATAGTTTCATGGCGAATCGGCCACATAGTGAGTCTGCTTTGGACTCGTTTCTGCACGAGATGATAGTGATGATAATGACACAAGTACGTTGGAGTGTATATCCAACTCCCAATAAATGTAGGGATTAATGTAATTAAATAAAGCAAAATGACATTTGTTACATTTGTAATATTTGTAATTCAGTAGATTAGAAATAGGGGGCTTGTTCAATGTCTCCGATTGAATGCTTTTTCTCTTTTTTGGTGTTTCGTCTTAATACAAAGAATGTTTCGTACCTTACCGCATTTGATCGTGTGTATGCAGTCGTTGTAACTCATGGACTCCATCTTCCATTTAAATACTCTCACTCCTCCTCTCTTTTTTTTTTTTCTTTTTTTCTTTCAACTCATCCTTTTTTATTCACTTCAAGTACTTCGAACGGCTGTTGTTTCGATATTTTTCCTCCTCATCAAACAATCCAGCTTTCTCTACACGCACATCCCACACCCGTTTTACACGGCATTGTACATACATACATATATATACTATCACTCTTTACTCTCACTCTCCACTCTTACAAAATCACCATGAAACCAACCAGTCTTTTCTTCATCACTGCGCTCATCGGTGCCGCAATCATCAATAATAACGCAGCAGAGGCCTTGCCTATCTCCACTATTTTATCTTCCCCTTCACCTCATCGTCATCATCATCACCATCACCTTGCTGAGGCATCAGCATCAGCATCAGCTCCCGAGCCCGTACCGGCTCCTGCACAAGTCTCACCCTTTGCAGGACGAACACGACCCAGATCCTCAGCCTCGATCCCCAAACATCGTCGGGCCTCCAAAAAGATCAACAGGATCTTGACCCATGATCACCATCACTCCATTGCTCGCCGCGCTACTTCTTCTGTTGCCTCTTCTTCCTCTTCTTCACACTCTCAGCCTTCGATCAAGAAGCGTGCTTCGCACCAAGGACATGTTGTACTGGATGAAGAAGACGATGATGCCGGGAATGAATTGTTGGACACCGAGACCGAAGGCTTGGTTCGTCCAGATGATGATGATACTATTGAGGGTGAGATCATTGAGGAAGAAGGAGAAGAAGGAGATGGTCATCCTTTGATGGCCGAGGAGATCGAGAACGATATCGATCAGCTCATTGCTCGAGCCAACTTTATGAATCCTAGAAAAGCTATTCGTATCTTCACCAAGTTGGTCCGTAAAGAGTGATGGTGAATGTAAAAAAAAAAAAACAAAAATGTATATATACTCTACTATCTTTTCTTCTCCCTCCATTCCAGCATCATTCATTGATTGGTGTGTAATTACTCTCTTTTCACCCTTATTGCATATTGCATTTGAAATAAGTAGTGAAATGTCTACATATTGGTTTTCATACTCTACATATATAACATCTCCAAAATTCCATCTGATTAGATGGACAATAGAGACATAGAACATTTATTCAGTAATAGACCTTAAACTCATTAGAAGCTGTAAAATATGAGAAATAAATAAAAACTTTAAAAAATTTTAATCCATATCTGTGGACTCAAATACTCCAATTGTTTGGAATTTGTCCATGTGAATGATACTTCTTCATGTCTTCCTATTTGGCCTTCTCTCACATCGCATCAATCCTTTTTCGATACGCGTCCATGTGTCTAAAAATGTGTACCATCCCGAGACTTGGAAATGTACCTCAAGACATTACGTGACGGGGGCCCAATAAAAGGGACCCTGCCTATCAAATATTTCAATGCTTTTGACATTTCATTATTTCGCCAATCGCTGCACAAAGAAATTCAGACGAAAGTTCCAAGATACGCTGTGCACAGCAATCAGCTCTTTTGATGCTCTCTTCCTGGAGGTTGAACCTGCAACCTGAACATGCTGTATTTAGATCCGCTCTCCAAAGTTCTCTTTCCACGAGTGTCCGACTCATTCCCTTCGACTGGATTCTTAGAATTTCAGTCCCCCAGCTTTCAGGGAAGATCACACCATGTTGTACTTTTTTTTTTTTTTTTTTTTTTTTTTTTCTTGATACGCCACAACATCCTGTCTTTCATGATCATTAATACATTAATACATATATATAAAAAAAATTCCTTTTATTCATTGGAGAGCGTATCCCACACACGAGCACGCACTGCCTGTTAGTAAATTCTTAGTCTTGTCATTGGTGCTTTCCACTCCACGACCTTGCTTAAATCCCACAAGGAAACTTCAAGGAAGTCTATTTAATATTTATATACATATAAACAGAGTCAGTGATAGGCTTGGTAAACAACATCAATTGCTGTATAAAGAGTAATAGGATTTTACCTTGTGGAACTCCTTTGCCCTATCCCACAGGAGGACCTGAAGGAAGTCTTTATTAAAAAGTATAAACAGAATCAGTAATAAGCTTGATGGACAATATTAATTGTTGCATAAAAAGGTTTTGAGGATGCTACCTTGTGGAACTCCTTTGCCCTATCCCACAGGAGAACTTGAAGGAAGTCTATTAAAAAAGTGATTTTCATTGAAGGTCCTTTCTTTACTATTTGAATGTATGCCGGCATTCCACCGGCGTTACCGGTATCCTTTCATCTTAAGTTCATATTTAATAAGTCCATTGAACACCGTCGAAGAGTAGACCATATCATCACTAATACCCACTGGGGGTATTTCACACCAGTGAATTTTTTTTTTTTTTTTTTTTTTTTTTTTTTTTACCTTGTGGAACTCCATTGCCCTAATCCTGTTGGGAAGGAAATCTATAACGAAAACAAGGATGGGTCAGTCATAGGACGAGGTATACAGTATCAATTATTAAAGAAAATGTTTCAAGATATACCTTGGGGTGGCCTACACGGTACTACTCTTTATTAAAATAGTCTTTGCCGTGTGTACTACAAGTAATAGTATAATGTTAACTTTTTTTTTTTTTTCTCTCTCAAGATTGTACATTCAACTTTATTAAGGACAGTTTAATGTCCTGGCTCAGAATCAGTGCCTTTGTTTTAACAACAAATTCATACTTTGGGATGTAGACCAGAATGAATGTGTGATCCGAATCTTTGACGCGGATCACACATTGTCTCTGTCAGATTTTAGGGATGAAGGAATAAGGAAGTAAGAGATTTTGAGTTTTTGAATAATTTTTTATTTTTTCTTTGAAACACAACGTGTAACGCGTCAGGCGTCAGGGCAAATGAGGAGAAAAAGCAGTACAGCCCTCTCTTCACAAAAGGATCTCTCCGCTCCTAATGTAAAGGTAGTGACATACACGAACCATTAAAAAAGAGTTGATTATTAGGTTGAATAAAGGAAAATACAAACACATTTTAATATAGTGTCCCTCTGACCTCATTTTCTGTACTTGGATTTACGTGTATAATACTTATTTTTTTTTTTAAAAAATACACCTCTTAGTAGGATTGTTCATTGTCAGTACTTAATACAAATGAATGTTGTGGAAGTGCAGGGAAGAAGGAGAGGCAATATATTAAACATTACTGTTGCGGATTAAATCATTTTTATTTCCTATTAGTAGTGCAAAACCCCATGTAATCCGAGCAATGCCATATTTGTATATACTTGGGTTGAGTATCTCAAATAGAGCCACTTTTCACTTCAATATTACAAGCCCAAAAATAAATTTTTATTTGTCTTGCGCACCTCTGAGAGTGCGAGAGCTCCTTCATTCCCAATTGAGTTGCCGCTCAAGCCCAAGTATTTCAAAGCTTTGTTTGTCTTGAGTGCTTCCGAGAGTGCCAGAGCTCCTTCATTCCCAATTGAGTTGTCGTACAAGTCCAAGTTTGTCAAAGCTTTGTTTGTCTTGAGTGCTTCCGAGAGTGCCAGAGCTCCTTCATTCCCAATTGAGTTGTCGTACAAGTCCAAGTTTGTCAAAGCTTTGTTTGTCTTGAGTGCTTCCGAGAGTGCCAGAGCTCCTTCTTTCTCAATTGAGTTGTGGGACAAGTCCAAGTTTGTCAAAGCTTTGTTTGGCTTGAGTGCCTCTGATAGTGCCAGAGCTCCTTCCTTCCCAATTGAGTTGCCGCTCAAGCCCAAGTATTTCAAAGCTTTGTTTGTCTTGAGTGCTTCCGAGAGTGCCAGAGCTCCTTCTTTTTCAATTGAGTTGCAGGACAAGTCCAAGTTTGTCAAAGCTTTGTTTGTCTTGAGTGCTTCCGAGAGTGCCAGAGCTCCTTCATTCCCAATTGAGTTGTCGTACAAGTCCAAGTTTGTCAAAGCTTTGTTTGTCTTGAGTGCTTCCGAGAGTGCCAGAGCTCCTTCCTTCCCAATTGAGTTGTAGGACAAGTTCAAGTTTGTCAAACCTTTGTTTGTCTTGAGTGCCTCTGATAGTGCCTGAGCTCCTTCATTCCCAATTGAGTTCCATCCAAAATCCAAGTTTGTCAAAGCCTTGTTTGTCTTGAGTGCCTCTGAGAGTGCCTGAGCTCCTTCTTTCTCAATTGAGTTGTTTCTCAAGTCCAAAGTTGTCAGAATCTTGTTTGTCTTGAGTGCCTCTGATAGTGCCTGAGCTCCTTCATTCCCAATTGAGTTGCCGCGCAAGCCCAAGTTTTTCAAAGCTTTGCTTGTCTTGAGTGCTTCCGAGAGTGCCAGAGCTCCTTCCTTCCCAATTGAGTTCCATCTAAAATCCAAGTTTGTCAAAGCTTTGTTTGTCTTGAGTGCTTCCGAGAGTGCCAGAGCTCCTTCTTTTTCAATTGAGTTGTCGTACAAGTCCAAGTTTGTCAAAGCTTTGTTTGTCTTGAGTGCTTCCGAGAGTGCCAGAGCTCCTTCTTTCTCAATTGAGTTGTGGGACAAGTTCAAGTTTGTCAAAGCTTTGTTTGTCTTGAGTGCCTCTGATAGTGCCTGAGCTCCTTCATTCCCAATAAAATTACTTTTCAAGTTCAAAGCTGTCAAAGCCTTGTTTGTCTTGAGTGCCTCTGAGAGTGCCATAACTCCTTGATCCCCAATTGCGTTGTCGTACAAGTCCAAGTTTGTCAAAGCCTTGTTTGTCTTGAGTGCCTCCGAGAGTGCCAGAGCTTCTTCCTTCCCAAAAATATTCCTTCCCAAGTCCAAGTTTGTCAAAGTCTTGTTTGTCTTGAGTGCCTCTGAGAGTGCCAGAACTCCGTCTATTCCAATTGAGTTGCCACATAAGTCCAAAGTAGTCAAGGCCACATCGGTCTTGAGTGAATCTACAAATATTCGGAAATCGCTAGTTCCGATCTTCCGAAGCTTTATCTCAAAGGATAACTCATGAAGATGTGGCGGTTTTCCTCTTGGTAAATTCGAAAACTTAATCAGATCCGAAGATAGTACAATACAGATTGACTTCATTCTGCGAAGTGATATGATGCGAACAAGCATCTCATATCGTGTGGATGCTGAAAGTAGTTTCCTTGTAGTACTTTCTTGAGACCTCCAAAGATCAAGTCGAAGAACCGATACATTCGATACTCTTAGAGCTTTCTCTAATGCTTCAAGGTCTGTCTGGGTCCAATCCCAGAATAATGTGATATCCATCTCGTACACATGTTTTGCATTGGTCAGAGCATTGTAGAATTCTCCTGCTGTGGTTCTGGATCTCAATTTGATAATGACTTTGCCAAGGTGCGAGTCATACTTGCCACCGTTCACCTCCACTACATTTTCAAGCGCTTTTTGTTCACTCTCCCTATATGTCGAGCGGTAATGGTCGACACAAACCCATCTGATATGGCCTGTTTCCGTCGTAATCCTGTACAAATTGCCAAACTGCTTGTCTTCATCTTTGGTTTGAAGGAGTTTGCTCAGTTGACGAAGATCTGCTCCTTCAAGTACCTCAAAGTCATCGATTGTGTTGATGTTCTTCAGAGCCGGGTTTTCTTTAGAGAGCTGCTCCATATACTTAATGGAGTAAGCAATGCCGGCAGCGAGAAGATTTGGGACTGGTGTCAGAGAAGCACCTGAAGGTGTTCCCATTCCCAACTTCAACCATTGCAAAAGGATGATCATGTACTTTCCATACTTTTGAAAGAACTCTGTGCTGCTTCGGATCTCATATCCTTCGTGTCTGGCAAGATGGAGTTGATCCTGAAAGCTCTTATCTGCCTTTGCGGTGTAATCCCCATGTTCGCATAAGAAATGAAGATGGATCTTGTTCCTCAGGATATTCATTGGATCCCACTTGGTACGATCGACAGGTAAAATGATAAACAGTCGAGGAATTGGATACTCGTGCAGCTCAAAGTTCTGGACAAGGATAGCTTCAGCTTTCTTTTGAAGGATGGCAAGTCTGTCGAGTGCTTGTTGCTGCAGGTTAAGAGTCTTCTTCTGCATTTCAAGCATTTCGTCGTCCTTCTCCTTGGCCTCCAACTGCAGTCTATTCACCTCCAACTGCAGTTCAAACATCTTGGCTTGAATTCCAAGTATGTTGTCTTGTAGTGTAAGCATCTTGTCATCTTTCTCTCTGGCCTCCAACAGCAGCCCCCTAAGTTCTTCAAAATGTGAGCTAAAATTCTCGTTGTTATGAAGAGTAAGCGATGAGTTGGCAGGTTGAACAAAGTTTGATAATGACAAAAGAAGATTTTGGAATTCTGGATTTTTCGACTCTCTCAATGTCGGCAAATGGACGGCAGCATTGCTACTGCTGCTGCTATTGCTGTTGTTGTTGCTGTTGCAGGGCTGTGGCACTTCTGTAATGACGTCCAGGATCTTGTCAGGATAGAATGTAATACGCGGGGGCTCGATTCTAATAGGACAAAAAAAAGACGCGTCAAATTGGGTTCCCTCAGTTTTCTATCCATGAGCAATTGACAAGGTACCAATGATAAAACAATATACTGTACCTGTTACCATCGGCATCTGAAAGGAATGGGATGGGATGCTCATTCAGCTTGAAGCGCAGTGCATCCGGAAACACATCTCGAATGTCTTGCAAATGCACAAAGCATGGCGGGCAGTCATTGGTTGCATTGGTAGAAGCAGTTTTAACACAAACTTCTTCAACGATGTTGCCCTTTCGGAATCGTTGGTATTGAAGTTCTGCCATCTCGGTGCTGATTCGAAGGATGAGGGAGGAATGTTGACAAGATGCAAAGACCCCTCCTTCTTTTCTCTGAGCAACAGTTGCATGCACGCAGTCGACCTTTTTCTTTTTATTTTTCAGCTTCGCCACTTGTGGTCCACAGAGTCCACTGGCTATACTTTCATCCAAGAGTACTGCCCTTTTGTGTCTATCGGTTGAAGGCGTGGTGGCATTGTTGTGGATGGAAGTGCTCTTGAATGGCGGTGTAGAGATATGATACCAGACCTTACAATGGTTGCAGACATGATTGAGATAATCAGTGTAGAACTCAACACACATAAAAGCGCACCTTAACGTGAACAACAAAATATCAGCGCATTACACTTCTTCAAAAGACCGCCAAATCCGAAATCGTTACTGGAGAGCCTTCACCGCACCGTGTACCACCCGCCATTCTCAATGACCAAATCAAACTTATTCACAGCCATATGCGCTCATTCGTATGACTCTATATGGAGGCGCTTACATGGTTTAGAGAGTACATGGTTATTGTGGCGAGCCATTGAAACGCAGCATATCATGGCCACTTGGGACGGCTTCTTTTAAAAGCCTTGTTCCAGTGGAAGCACTTAATGTAGACTCAATATATTCTTCAATTTATTTCTACAAGGCGGCAATCATCTCGACCATGGCCCACAGATCTGTCATCAACTGTGTAGCAGCAGCCATGGGAGAGAACCATAGTATGTTCTATGTAACTGCGAGAACTGACAAGGCTCTGGTAAACTATGTTTCAAGGCGTTCTAACAGCTCCTTCTTCATCTTCTTCTTCTTTTCAGTTTAAAGTGCATTGAGCATTTTGACCAAGGGATGATTCAAAAGTTACTAAAGTACAGTGATTGTGAAATGGCTACACTTTACACCCAAATGCTGCTCAATACTCTAGCTATTCTCACCCTTCCAAAGGTTTGCCTCCAGGAGGACAATATGGTCAATATGTTAGTTATGATGTGGCGCACGAAAAGGGGATTCATGAGAAGTTCGAACGCTGCATATCGTTCAAAAGCCCGTGAATCCTTCTCTTTTTTGTTGCGGTTCACTATAAAACTGTGGAACTTCCTATACATTAAGCTGTCCAAGTTGAGATGGTATTTTCGATTAAAGAAATGGTCTTTAAGCTAGCCACAAGAGCAATGCTAATATGGAATCAGAGAATGATATCAACCTGAACAGGATGCCATCTTGGTCCAGTGCCTGCTTAAACTGCACCTATTTTTTTCTTTTGGAATATCGAACGACATAACCATTCGGCACGGCTGGTATTAGTGGACGAGCGGGTACCTTAATCTCCAGTCAAGTTGAGATATTCAGGTCCAACAAAGATCTTCGAGAATCATGTGCCTTCATAGTATTCTGGTGAAGGGTTTTTTATCGTTTGAAGGAATACAGAGGAAGAGATCATTACTATCTGGGATGTCTGATGGAATAAGGTCTATAGTATTGAAGGCTAGCGACCAGGATTTGGCCTAGACACAAGCGATGTATGATTTGAGAATGAGGCTACATATAGCATAAACATTTTCTCTTCTACGAAGCGACAATCTTTAATGGTCAACCTATTCAAAATCGCTCAGGAGGATCGACTTAGATCTTGGAGATAGAAGGGAAAGTGAAAATTCGTGTAGTATTCAATCCAACCAAAGACAAGTTGAATTTGCAGGCTGTAGACAACAGCTTTCTATTCATGTAAGTGGGAAGAAAGGGTTGTACATGTCCCTTTCTGTTGCCGCCTTTATTTTTATTACTTTTCAGAATTCTATTTCGAATACTTTTATTAATATTCTTCTTAAGCATTCAAATATGCTCATTTAAAACATTTTTTCTTTATGGAGGTTTTTTGAGTGAATTAAATGATCCCGACAAAAGAGCTTGATATTAGGGGCAGAGAATTCCTCTAAATGTGCCCATACCCTCCAACCTTTGGTAAAATAACCAAACCTTAATGATATGTCCTCGCTATCCACGGAGTATCTAAACCACTCTGCTTGGAAATAGGCATTTGGATGATTGAATAAACCATGAGTGTTATGAATAATGTGATTCATGAATACATATTTTAACCCCTTCATACATACAGAGCCAGGCCCAATCCAAGAGGATAGAAGAGTCTGGTGGAGAGATGGTGACTGGTAACAGTATCGATTCTCTCTCCCACAGGCCTTCGATTGGTGAAATGACCCAATGCAGGCATTATAAAGCATTCTTATGGCTTGAAGAGTGCCTTAAAGATTCTGGCAGCTGTGTAACCAGACTTCTTGCTCTGATGTGGGAATGGAAAATTACGCTTCTGAACTTCGCCCAATTCCCCAGCTACTTGGCCTCATTAGTGGCAACTCTAATGAAAGCCATCATTTCCAGTCCCACATCAGGAAGTACAGCCCTCCGCTTTTGTATTTCGATGAGCACCAACTACGACCATGAACTTGTGGATGCTACGGGCGATGTATATTTATTCCAGATTAACGGAGCAGCAGTACACAGGATCGGGCCTTTACTGGCTTCAGACAACCAGCCAGCACAGATCTACTACTTTGACCATGAGGATCTCTATAGGCGAAGTCTTACCGGAGCACATCTGATCCACCTCAAAGGGACCAGCTTCGCCGTTGATAATAGTTGGATTGTGTCATACAACCTTTATTTATGAACGAAATACAACGCTCATGTGAATGTGGAGATTTGTTCATCAACCACATCAGTGTATTTATACAAGTGTGTGCAGAAAGAACAAGATCAGGCAAGAGTGATCGTAGCTTCGCGATGAGATCAAGGAATACTGAGATGCACGCTATATTTCTGCGTGTGACTCGATATGGAGAATCTTCGCGTCCAAGATGTTTGACCTATCACACGCTCACAAATGTTCACTGATCATAGACTAGCAAAAGTAATGAATGTTAACGTCTTGATCTGATCCGTGGCAATAAGTTCGCGCCACGTTATGAGGGACTTTATATCGTTGTGAACAAAAGTCCTCATGGTTCTTATATTCTTAAAGATGGTACAGGCACGATCTTGGTCAGCCCAACTAAAGCTTGTGCTTGACGATTTTGAAGACACTAACGCATACGAAGTAAAAAAAATAGTTGATCATCGACAGAGTATCACACCTCTGCATAAATATGAATATGTTGTGAAATGGAAGAACTTTTCTCATGATGAGAATACATGGGAGCCTGAAGAAAACGTTATTGAACGGCAATGCATTACTAATTACTAGGCCAATTACTATGCCTCAAAGACTGCTTCTACTAGTTCTAAACGATCTAATAGTGCTCTCTCAAGATCATCTAACTCTTAGAAGAGTTCACCTTTGAGTTGAGACAAAACTTGTAATTGAAATGAAATGCCAATTTATTTTATTTTTATTTTTTATTTTTACTTTAATGAGATGTAGTTCTATGGAACATGCATGGTGAAGGCAATAAATGGATGTTTTTTTATAAGTGATTAAGGTTGTTGTTGTCATCGTTGTTTTTTCAACGTCTCTTATATTTCTTGGTACTTTTGAAGGCCTTGTTACCGCGTAACTTGCCCAATTTGCCGCTACGACTCTTTCCTTTATCATCTTTTCTATCCTTGCCTCCAAACTTGGATCCTGACCCTCCAAGTTTTTTGACTGCGCCTTGCTTTGATGTATCACCCAAATCTCGACTAAAATCAACATCCTTCTTTTTCTTTTTCTTCTTCTGGTCTTGCGGGGGTTTTGGCCCCGTCTTTTCTGGCGCCAACTTGGGGATCTTGGCAGGCTTGAGTGCTTTCTTTGCTGACTTGATAGATTTTACATGTGAATTTATGTCTTTATGATCCTCTTCGGTCAATTGGAGACGTCTTCTCTTGGCTCTAGACATGCCTGCAAAGCGGTCTCGCTTAGGCTCTTCTTTTGCTTTTCGCTTCTTGGGATCATTTAATGCAGCCTTGCCTGCGTCTATAATATTTTACACAGTAATAATAATGATGAGGAAGCCATGGTAGCGATAGAATAAAAAATTATAAAAAAATAAAAGCCTTTTTTTTTTTTTTTTTTTTTTTTTTTTTTTTACCTGCTGCCTGTTTCTTTTCTTCTGTCGTCTGGAACCATGTCTTGGCAGGCCTGCTGTAGATCTCGCTCTCATGCTTCAACAAGTTATCACTTTTCCTCATCTCCATCTCTGCTTGCCGCAAAGCCTTATCTTCCTTCTCCTCTGCCATAATCTCCTTCACACTCTCAGTCAAGCCCTCTACACGCTCACGATAGCGCGTAATGACATCTTGAGGGATCACACGATGCTTCAACAACTTCTTATCTGCATTCTTGATTGCCATTTTTAATAGCTTGCGATCGTTCTCTCCTGCAAGTGTGACAGCACGACCATTTCTTCCTGCACGGGCTGTACGACCCACACGATGTTGATAGATGGCATAATTTTGGGGCATATTAAAGTTGATGACCGTATCAATTCCTTTGATATCCAAACCACGGGACGCTAGATCTGTTGCCAACAAAAAGTCCACGCGCTCATCCCTAAATTCTTCTAGTGCTGCTAAACGTTGCTCCTGTGTCAAGTTTCCGTGCAATTCTGCGGCTCGTAGGCCCATCAGGCCAAAAATGATCTTCATTTGATGAGCTGCAGCTTTGGATCTAAAGAAGATGATGACACGATGCTTAAATGTACGTGAACATAATGCTAACAGTACTGCAGGTCGATCTTCCTCACGATGTTGACGGATACGGACAAATTCCTGTGTCAATCGAGCAGCGGTTGCATTACTGGAGTCAATCTGAAGACGAACTGGTCGATTGAGCGACATACGAATCAATTCATCCACATTATCGGTCATTGTGGCCGAAAATAACATGGTCTGGCGGGATTGTGGACAAGCCTTGACAATCTCTGTCAACTCAGCTGAGAAACCGTCTTCCAACATACGATCGGCTTCATCCATAATCAAAATGTCGATATGATCCAATGTAAATGAGCGTGAGTTAAGAATATGATCGATTAAACGACCAGGTGTAGCAATCAAGACGTCAGGACGGGTACGAAGTTGCATCTCCTGAGAATTACGAGACAAACCACCTATTTATGAATGTTTCAAAAAAAACATATATGTATAAAAAACATGTTAGTTTCTAATACTTGGGGAAAAAGAAAATTCAAAAACATCCTGAGAAATACAAGTCTTACCAACACAGAGTCCAAAAGTTATATCTGTAAAGCTAGCAAGCTTTTGGGCAACGCTGTGACATTGAATGGCCAACTCACGAGTTGGACAAAGAATCAAGACTCGAGAAGTAGGGGTTTGTCTGGATCTGTACATCAAACGTTCCAGCACTGGGACAATGAAGGCAGCTGTCTTTCCTGAACCAGTGACTGCACCACCACAAATATCTTTACCCATCAATGCCACAGGAATGGTCCTTGCTTGAATTTGAGTAGGTTGGACAAATCCGACTTGTGCTAATCCTTTCAAAATTGGACGTGAGAGATTCATTGTCGCGAACGTCTCTGCAACTTCAACAGGGGTATCTGACTCTGGTGCAAAATATGCTTTCTTGCGCTAATTCGTTATCAGCAAAAAAAAAAAAAAAAAAAAAAAAAAGGAAATTAGTTTTCCCTTCGCTTGTTTGTCATGTCGCTTGTTTGTCATGTTGAGTGAATGGACAGATTTGAAGCTTTCGTCTTGACCAAAAATTACTGATACTAACCTCTTTCTCAAACTCTGTTTCTTCTTTCTCGTCATCACTATCACTTTCTTCTTCTGATTCCTCCTCTTCTGATTCTGAGTCTGACCCTGACTCTGCTTCTGATCCTTCGCTTTCATCCTCGAATTCAGCTTCTTCAGCCTCTTCATCTTCCAATCCTGCATCTTCATCGCGTCCAGCACCAAAGCCTTCTTCTTCATCTTCATCATCATCTTCTTCGCCAAATTCAATGCCTTCCATGTCATCATTTCCTTCCTCATCTTCGTCCGAATCAGGTGCCTCTTGAAATTCTATGATATGATATAGTGTTTATGTACATTATAATCAAAATAAATAAAAAAAGAGAGTAATATTGTTAAAAAATGTGCTTTGATAGTCAATTTCTTCAAAACGGAACAAATAGTTGCAAAGTAGTGACAACATGAGCAATGGATTTGTAGAGATCAAGGCAAAAAAAAAAAAAAAAAAAATTACCACTCTCATCATCTTCATGAACCTCCTTCTCTTCTTCAATAGGTTTTACAACCTTTCCAGACTTCTTGGCTTTGACCTGTGCTCGTTTCCTTGCAATTATATCATCTAGACTCATTCCGGGTTGCATCTGTATAAAGTAAGAGGAGGTAAAAAAAAGAAACAATTGATATGTTTAAATCAAACTCCATCAATTAGACCCTTGGAGATGAGAAACTCCCCTCCTCTTCTCATCCTTGTGATTGATAAATAGTAATTAATATTTATAAAAAGAAGGGTTACCTCATCCTGTGCTCGGAGAGCTGCTCGAGCTGCTGTAAAGTCCCAATCATGATGTGCGCCCATATGTCCACCTCCATCAGCATCAAATGAAAAGGTTGGATCGAGATCGCCTGTGTCTTTCTTAAAGTTATTTCCGTTTTTTTTACCCTTGGCTCCTTTCTTTTTATTAGTCTTCTTTGTGACAACTTCATCCTCCTGGTCAAGTTCCTCTTCGTCCAAGAAGGGGACTGACTCATCGTCGTCATCAATTGTCATTACAAAGTCGCTCGACATGTTGTTACTGAAATGAAGGGGGAGCAGAAGGAGTTGTCTTTTCTTTTTTTTTTTTACTGTTAGTAAATATTGTTTATTGTGACTGTCTATTGACACCGCAATTTCATTTAAGGGCGGTATCAAATTCCATAACCTTTTCGGTCTTGACCCTTTTGTTGATGCTTGTAGACACCGCTCTTGCCGCCTGTCTTCTCCAGGACTTTGATCTCGCCTATGACCATATCCTTTCCTACAGCCTTGCACATATCAAATACTGTCAGAGCCGCCACTGTCGCCCCTGTCAATGCCTCCATTTCCACCCCTGTATTACCCATACACGCCACCTTGCTTTCGATCTCTACTCGACCACCTCTTAATCCGTGCTTGTCTACATTATTACTACTATAACTACTACTATTTCTCCTGCTCTTGCCACTATCCATATCAGTATGGTTAGTGTCGTCAATATCTTCCACCAACTTCAGTTCTACAGACACATGAGTCAACAGCAATGGGTGACATAGAGGTATAAGATTTGATGTTTGCTTAGCTGCTTGAATCCCCGCAATCTGGGCCACAGTCAGAACATCTCCCTTTTTATGTCCATTACGCTTCAATAGATCAAATGCAATTGCTGGTAACCAAATCGATGATACTGCAGTTGCAGTTCTATGAGTCGCAGGCTTGTCCGTCACTGATACCATCGACGCCTTTCCCGTCTCTGGATCTGTATGCGTCAACTGAGGTTCAACTCCAGATTGAGTTTGATTTGCGGAAGAAGAGGAAGAAGAAGAGGAAGAGGAAGAAGTGAAGGGAGGAGTACTAAAAGAAGAAACGGATGTGTGGAAAGTACGAGTGCAATTGTGTACTGATCTAAGCCCATTTAAACTCAAAGCCATCAATGCAGATTCAGATCCAGATTGAACAATAGTCTTTCCAGATCTGATATTCCTTGATGTCTACGGTAGATAGTATTTGAAGTATAAAAGGAGGGTGTAAGCCAATCAGTCAAGGCCGTTATACTTCCAAGAACGGGGTTAATATGGGCTTATTAATGCGTGTAAAAAAAAAAAAAAAAAAAAAAAAAGAACGGTGCTTGCTCAAGTATAGTTCTGACGTACCTGTGATAGTAATTGTTGGGCTAATTCATTGGAATAAGCCCCATTGAATGGAATCCGGATGAGCATGCGCAGGCAGACCATGTTTGCGAATGAAAGTAAGAAATGAGTCAGGCAAAGAGTAAAGGGATTAGCTTTAATCTATGAGCAGACGTGGCTGGGTGAGCACAAAAAAAGTGGAGCCTTGTTTTACTCCACATATCATGTTTATTTTTATATCCTGCAGGAATGATGGGTGCTATATAATAACAAGCGCTATTTATTCCTCTTGGCACGCAAGAACCCTGTTGGGCCACATGTGTAGTAAAAGTCGTCCGTGGGCATAATTTGCGCCACACCATACGCCTTGATCTATTAAGTATGAATTTAACGTGTCTTTAGTCGTGGAAGGGATCTGTATCACAAGCCAAATAAACAATGTATTTGCAGTTGCAAAAAAAAAAAAAAAAAAAAAAACTTACAGGGATACGATCAAATGTTTGGAACTGGAACCGATTTCTAGCTTGAAGATTGCTAAACGACGACAATTGCTCAAATGTTTCTAAATCCCAGACCTTTATAAAAAAAAAAAGGAAGGAAAAGCAGTAAATATTAGTAAGAAAATGTTAACGAGGTATACTAAAGTAATGGTCTATTTGCCTCACTTTACCTTCATATCACCCTCTCCGCCGCCAGAGCAAAGTGTCAATCCTGCTTCATCAATACTTAATGATCGAACATGCATATCATGAGCTTGGATCGTATGCAGTAGTTTTGAATGCCGAATATCAAAGATACCTAGTTATCGATGTTTAAATAAATATTATAAAAGAGTGAGGCACACAACACAGACTCAAAAGAATAAAAATAAATAATAGAAAAAAAGACAAAGCTTACAAATTTGACCATTGCGTCCTCCAGACACTAAGAGCTGATGCCTCTTTGAAAACGCCAATGAATATCCGCCTTGATCATGGACCTTATACGACTGTGTCAATGCTTTGTTTTGTGGTAAAAGTGTATCCCAGATGGCGAGATTTTTTCCATCTCCTGACGTCCCCGTCGTTGCGATTATACTACTCGATCCTAAGAAGGCAAAGTCCCGTGTAATCTTATCATGACAATTCATCGTCAAGAAGGGTTTCGAGCCCACAGTGTTGGAATCAAATCTCCAGAGGTGCAGATCTCCATTAATATCTGTCGCTCCAAACTTTTGGCCACATGGGTCAAAGTGCAGCCTATTTACGGGCCGAAGCATTTAACAAAAATAAAAAATAAAAAATAAACGAGAGTTCACAACCAGTTATGCATCCACCCTTCTAGAAAGAGGCAAGTTCACTATACCTGATCACTCTAGAGTTTGTTCCAGTATAATTATTGAGTTCCTTTGGCTGACCAAACTGCCAAAGCGCCACACACGGGTATCCTAGTGCTGGATTGTGGCCAGTCAAGTAGAGTGGGAAACTAGGATGGCTCTCAGCGCAAGTTGCCACCACGTCTGTCCGAACCATGACATTGTCTACTTCATTGGGCTTTGCCCCTGTACCGGAGCCAACAGGAACTGATCCTTGTGAACGGCGAAGATTAGCATCTGTAACTGCTTGTGCAAGGCCGTGAGAATGAGGATGCAGAGGATCGTGTGAATGGCCATGATGTTTGCCGCCTCTCGAGAAAAGGCTCTTGAACATATTATGTATGCCAGTATGACTTTCTGTTCGGCTGACATTTTCTTCTGAGCTCTCTGTAGGAACTAAACTTGGCGCTTTGGAACTGTTCGTAGGCCGCTCGATAACGTTACCATGTGCATCCAGGAAATCCCTCTCATCCAGGTCTATCTCTTCTTCGTCATCCAAATCCATCACTGAGTCTATGTCACTATGGTATGAATCTGAGCTACTTATTGAGCGCGAAAAATCCAATGCCTTCGAAATATCAATTTCAATAATATCAGAACGCGAGCAGACAGCTACGATGCGACGTTCTACAGGATTGAAAGCAAAAGAGTGGATGACAGACCGAGTCTTGAACAGTAATGAGATGTCTTCAATAGGAACAGGAGGCGAGCTCTGGCCCTGACGGTGGGATTCCAAGAACGTAGCGACTTGGGGCAGTAAATGACCGCCACTCTCTAGACCGCTTAAAAGGACCCAGTACTTCTTTTGCCATCCACTCAGATATCCACGCAGGTGGTCTTGAAGTGGGGACTGCTTTATCATCTGGATCACATTTTGCTCCTGTTCAATACCAGACCTGGTGAGTCGATCCAGGAAAGAACTGGTAACGAATTTTCGAGTTTCATCGGACATTCTGTGCCCATGGTCTCGCAGTAAGCCTTCCAAACTCATGACTAATGCATTGGTCGTTGCAGCATTCAGCAGAGACCCCTGAAGGGCCTCCCACTCGGATTTCTCCCCATCATGGTCTGAAGAAATAGCACTAACATCCAGTGGCTAGCGGGGGGTTTTTTTTTAAGAATTGAACAGTCAATACTCAATTTTTTTTTTTTTTAAAGCCCTATATAGTGCGATGATATTTCAAACACTTACCGAATAAAGTTTCCCACTCAGTACTTCATAGATAACTTTGACAGCTCCACCTCGGTCCCCAACAACAAATCCACTGAACCGCCGCCACTGGAAAAGCATAGCTGCCAAAGAAGCATAGTCTTGTTCTTGCAAAGATACAACCACAAGCATAATATAGCTCGCCAGAACCATTTGTTCCCATCGAGGTAACGCTTTCTTCGGTTTTATCACAATCTTGGCCAAATTAAACCATTCACTCGATGACTCTAGAACACTCCTAAAAAAAAGAAAAAGCGACAAAACAGAGACATCAACGCGTTTTTCTCTCTTTCTTTGCTCACATTGCTTTTTTTTTTTTTTTTTTTTTTTTTTTCGACATTTAGACCAGCCACCAGCATTCTCCTACCTGGCATATTCCTTAATATGTGCCTTCATACTTCCTGTCAGTTGTTCTGAAAGAATGATTCCTACCATAGAATAACATGACTCAGAATAATGTGATACGATGGCGGAAATAGGAGATCCTGTACTCATTGTTGTGTTAAGCCAGTGGAAACACACAGGGAGAGTATCAATCTCAATGCATTTGGAGATTAAGGCCTGCTCCATGACAACACTGGAGACATTAGCATGCTCCGACAGCTTGTCCCAGCCATATTTGATGTTCTCAACGTATCCTTTGAACACTGGTGTTGACAACAGCTCAGGCTTTAAAGACACGGTCCGCAGTGCGGATGCCATAGGCTAAAATGAGAATGGAAGGATTATATTAAAACATCAAGATTAGCCATTGAGCTAACAAAGCAGAAATCACCACTATCCATTAAAGAAAGCTTACGGTTAAAAGCTGCACGACGAGGGTGGTTATATAGTCATTAAGCAATTCCTCACTGCCTCGAATCCTATCATTGTTTGATATTGCATCATCAGCATCACAGCAGCCGTTAGATTGAGTCGGACCGTTGCCTGGAGGTAAAGAGTCTGCAGAGATGTCCTCTGCTTTATCTTTGGGCGTTTTTAAACCGCGAGACTGAGCCATGGATCCAAAAGTATCGAAATCAAGCATCCCACTATCAATATTGCCATTTGATGAGGTCGATTTAAAACCTCCCATAAGCGACATCCCCACAGGCTTTGACGTTGAATCAGGTGTTTGGTTGTTCTGCTTATTAGTAGTAGAACCGAAATTGTCAAAGTCTAAAATACCAGTATCGATTTGCAATGATGGGGTCGAGGATTTGTTTGCACCCATCAGGGACATCCCTGTAGACTTTGGCTGCGCCTCTATTGCTTCTTCTTTCTCTTTTTTGGGGGTAGAGCCAAAGTTGTCAAAATCAAGTATACCGCTGTCTATATTACTGGCGGACGATGTCGACTTGAATCCCCTCATCAAGGACATTCCTGTAGATTTTGGAGACACAGCTGTTGCTTGGCCATTCTGCTTTGTTGAGAGTGGTCCGAAGCTTTCAAAATCAGCAGTGCTGCCGTCATAATTTGGTGTAGGGTTTGGGGATTTGGATGTACCCATTAATGGCGTTCCATGGCCATTTTCTTTCCTGGATTCATTGTTGTCAAATTTAAAAGCGTCAAAGCTCAAGATGCCACTATCCATCACTGTGGAGGCTTCTGGTGATTTGAAGCCTCCCATGAAGGAAGATGTACTTGTTGAGTGTGAAAGGCCGTGAATACTTTCTCTACGGACCTCCATGATGGTCCTGACTTCCTTCGTGTGTTTACTTCTGGGACCAACGGGCATAACGTAGCCCCAATGCTTCAAAATGATCAAACTGAGCAAAGGGCAACCATAATGCTCATATGCCTCAGCAGCACGCACCACTGCCGAGAACTCTCCATCGCCATCATAAACTGATGCATTAGGGGTAACTTTACGGAGATAGCGATATAAGATCAAAAGTGAAGGGTCTCTATGTGGGCGAGCCTCGGTGCTACTTGGCGAGCCTTCATCGGTATCCTCGCACTGAAAAAAAAAAAAAAAAAAAAAAAAAAAAAAAAAAAAGCATGAGAGTGCTTGAAAAAGTCTCTTTTCTTTGCTTGTCTGTATGATCATCAAGAGAGTAGTTACCAAGGCCACGCGCATGGCCTTCGTATTTTGGCCCAACATAGAATAATACAAGCTGAGCAGCCATGGATCCTTAGTAGTTCTGAGCAAACCTAGCAACAACTGGGTTAATACAGGTCCTCGCTCCTCTAATAATTATAACAACCACGAGTCAGTTTAATAGCCTATTGCGTAAATAAGTATTCATAGCAAAGAACAAGGCTGAGGTGATAGCAACTCACCCGGCTCATACACTCGGCAGATTGCAATTGCCAACTGAAAATCATTCAGTTGCTTAATGCAAACGTTGACCGCATCTTGCAACCTATCTCCAAGTAAGAAAAATGCAGCGGCATACTCTTTTGTAATTTTTAAAAACATATTCAAAGATGTATTTTCAGGGCATTAATTACGCTTTCCAAGCCCAAGAAAATATCCTAAAGATGGAATATTGGCTATTAAACTTACCAAATCGCTGTTTTCCAAGGAGAGCAAAAGCATTTTTGAGGGCTGCAGTTCTCCATCGATCCTGCTCAAAGTCGTTTGCTAAAAAAGCTATCATCTTACTTTGCTCTGGATTCCCATGTGCCGTTCTCCAAAGCCCATGCAACAGTTTCTTCTTCCTTAAGGCGATATAGAACAGAGTACATGCGACAGGGTCTTTATCATCTTTGCCCATATACATGTTTCTAGCAATCACTTCCATTTGCTTAAGCTGTTCATACAATAATGTCAATTATTAATGTCTCTGGTTTGTAAGGAAAATTAATATAAACAAAATAAAAAAGCTATACGGAATCATTGTTACCATTGTCTCTTTCTTGCGCATCCAAAGGAAAATTCCAAGTGACTTCGCCTCCGTCCAAGTCATAGGGGCCTTCAAGGAATTGGAACAAAAGTCTAGTAATAGGTCCTATTGATTATATACGCATTAGCGGCTTCCATGATATTGGCTTTTATACTCCCGAGATCAACTTTTACAGCAAGTAACAAGTAATAGCAATGGTATGCACATTACCTGAGATTCACTGTGAAATGCCCATACGATATCGCGATAATTTAGCATAGTTAGACGTTGGTTTGGAGGCAAAGTGTAAGAAAGGTAGTTGAACCTTCGCACAAAGATAAGGAACCGCAATCCGTTGTCATCAACTGAGTGATGCTGCTGGTCAATCTATCATTGAATGGAGAACGGGCGTGAGTTTTTTCTTTGCTTTTTATATCACAGATGTGTAAGCACAACGCCGATGAAAGGGAGCTGTAGTCTGATACGGCCTTTTTTTTTTTTTTTTTTTTTTTTTTTGTTCAATACTTACTTTAGTAAATCCCTCGATGAAAGCGCTCAAATGCAATTGAGCAGCCTTGGAAAGGCCTACCAGGTGTACTTTTGTCAAGAATTCAATCATATCTCGGCTAGTACGGTCGTTCAAGAACCTATCCTCGTTTGCGCTATTAATTATTGAGGATATAGGAAATGGGTCATTAAAATACAAATCTTAGATTATAACAGTCTATATGCCCAATACAAGTCTTACGAAAGCCTACCTTTTATAGTCGTCGTCAGTCATGAATAAATCATTATGGTCCGCCTTCACCGGCTTTGCTGCCTAAAAGTATTTATATATTCAGGTAAAAGAGGAAAAAGAACCTTAGTGTCAGGATCTTGTTTCTTTAATTTAGATTTCAGTACTTACACCGAAAAAACAGCGCTTACCACATCCGTTTTCAGGATGACTTCTAAAGGAATTGGCAAAGGGCCAGTGGTGGTGTCTCCACTGTCATTCACATAGCTCATATAATGGTAAAGGTTGAATAAGATCTTTCTGACAACCTCAAATTTACCTAGAGTATTGCATGGATCAAGCTAATTAATGCGCGGACTTCAAAAAAGAAAAAAAAAATGGGCAGTCGAACAGACACGTTACCCCAAAGAAAAAACTCCATTAAGAGATCAGGATGATAGTCCACCAGAGGACCATGCATTGAAGACAATGCGTGATGAAGAGTTGGAGCCAAGTTTAACTCTTCAAAGCCAGGAGCGATGGTCATGTAATCCTCGCTGAGCCATTTGCTGTACAGAAGCATTGTCCCCCCAGCACCAACGGCCAGTGTACCCATATCCAACCAAGCAATTGCTGAGATAGGATGATTAATAAACGCTGGGATGTTGATGTCGAGGAATCGCATCCAGATAGGCGGGTCGGTTACGTTCTCAGTACGCTGAGGTGAATACAGAGCTACAGAGTTTTTGAAGGCTACTGCTAGGTTATGCCGTGCATCCGCTGTGACCATCCAATCCAATCCATAGATCGGTGCTAATCCCGCGAACCTGATCTCCAGGTGACCTGTGGCCCTCCCTCCAACGGAGCCCCAGATCTCAAGATCATGTGTTCCATTATTGTTAGCGTACACTATCAAGCAGTCAATGAATATGTCAGTTCGGCATAATGTCGATCAACTACTTACAAAACAAAATAAAGGGTTTGCTCACCTAGGGCTAGTTTGCCATTTGCGCCGCATTGGAAGAACTCTAGGTTTTGTTTGGTGGGAATACGCTCCGCTCGTTGCCAAACTCGTCCTCCTTTATGAAGATGAAAGTCATTGGCACACTCCCAGTAGGATATATTCGCTTGATCTTTGGAGTACGTAGCAAAGACATTGACATGAGTAGAGTGAAGTGACTTTGGAAGAGTACCTGCAAACGATTCTACAGTAACTGCGTGCTCGGTCCGCGATGGGGGTAGATGCTCTTTTGAAAATAGAATAGGATTCCCTCCATCTGTCCGTTGCCATGTAAATACTGTATTATCCGTTGTACTAAATCCTAGAATGTATCGCCTCCATGCAACATCAGTCGTCTTTCCCGAAGATCCCGCAACCTCGATCAAGTATGGAATTTCAAAAGAATCCAACAAAATGAGGGGGTAATTAGGATCATAATCAGGTAAATCTACTATCTCCGAGCAATATGCACTTTCATCTGCTGTGTAGAGTGTGATCCGTTGGCCATCGTACACCATGAATGACCCTCCTATTAGTTATTGGTCCGAGAATTAAACAAAAATATTTAGTGAAATGAGTTAAATGAATAGATGAGCGTATAACACTTGATAGCAAACAACCCTCATGGCTGCAACATACCTTCCCAAGCGGGCGTAACTAACTTCACGTTTCTGTTTCCAATTGGAAGTGAGCCTACTTCGACTAGACCTGCCGCTACACGATGAGCAAACTAAAGAGTGAACGTTAGGCGCCAATATTTGATCAACAGCGCAAGCTAGCTAGCAGCCTACTTACACGTGGTGTCTTCAGTTTCCAAAGGGAAATGTCGCCCAGATCACCAAGCGAAGTAAAACAAAGCTGGCGATGATCTTTCACGATTTCTTTAATTCTGCTTTGCTGGCCCGTCCATGATTGCCTTAGGCTTAGCCCAGCCAATGTATTGGAGCTGTCAAACAACTCCATCATGTTGACAGAGAAGCAACTGACCCGTCCTTCGTGACTCTGGCCAACAATCGCAACATCAGCAGGTGAACCTATTTTTTTTTTTTTTATGCCCGACTTAGTGTCATTTTTCCGGCTCAGATCAATTATTTGTATCACAACTCAATAAGTTAGTACCTCTCGACCTTGCTACGGCAGTGTCATGGTACGCTAAAATATTTTTCATAAAAAACGACGCCTCAAGTGGCGTAACTGCCTGAGATATTCGTAGTACGAGTAACACTCGAGGCAAGCGTTGTGGAACTTGCCCAAGGCTCTATTTTTATAAAGCATAACATTGCCTTTAATACTAATTGATTTGGGTAATACATGTCATAATCTATGAAGAGCACTCGTAGTACCTGAACACCCCAAATGATCATAGATCCATCGCCTTGGATTTGAAAGAAAAGATCTGACGTGTCTCTGACAATCTCCTTCAGCTTCCGTAACTGAATGCTTGTAGCATCGTTACTCTTATCAACTGTCTTGCTTGCTGCGTACTCCACAGCCATTGTGAATTCTGTGCCATCAAGCGCATGAATTGGGTATTGGGTAGTGGATTGTTGCTGAGATACAAGCCACTGGTTAGGATCGATGATCGCACAGATAGTCATCGATTCTGGCTGATGAAGAACAAGTGGCGACCATATACGACAAACGCCATCCTTCGCCATAGTGAACAGTACATTAATTGTTGACTCGGTGCATCTACTCAATTGCAGATGGAGAACAACAGTATTGGTTAAGTGTATTCAACTCAAGTAAGAAATTTTGACTTTTCCCGCAAATTGTCTTTCATTTAGCTTACACGTTGCTAGTTTTTTCTTTACGCCAGGAAAAGTCCAACACAGCCCTTGGGTGCGGCAGATAAAAGAATCCAAAGTCTAAGCCCTCTCCTATTCAATGATGGACGTTTTCTCGATATCAGAGATTCGCCACATAATCATTATCAAAATCCGCGTAATATCAACTGGGATATTATCTAAAATTTGGCTGCTACGTTACCTGCATGCTGTTTCCAGACTTTGACCAAGCGATCGTTCTAAGATATTGATATAGGAAATAAGACAGCTGACTAAGTTTCATGCGAAAGAGACACTTCCATGTTGCGAAGTTATCTCTAACGGCCCTTGAGCTAAATCAGTTGCTGTATATCCTGTTTCATATATCCTCACCTACCTTGGCCATGGATGCGAACAACTTGCCATCTGGAGAAAACTGTATAAGGTCAATGCAGGATCCCTGTCTAGGAGTATTGAGATAACAAATTTGTTATTATTACTATTATTTAATTACTTATTTCCGTTTCCTTGACGATGTAAGGGAGCTGCGACTAATTCTTTACCTTTGTTGCCATAGTTGATTCCAGTGACCTTCCTGCTGACCCCATAGTGTCAAATGAATGCTTCCAGTTAAAAGATAGCCTGATCATGATGCAAGGAAAATTGTAAGTGTGGTCTCTGAATAACTCCTTTACTCCTTTAATGGAAATCGCAGTAATACGATCTAAAATATAATATGCATTACCGTCATTTCTCCAAGCGAGTGACGCTACCCCTTCACAATCCAATGCTCCGTGCAAAGTCCAAGAATTGATCTAATCAGACCAATAGAATACCACGTATCAGATGATAAATCAAATATACACATGGCAGCATATCAGTCATATCATTGATGCAAACTGTCAGCAACAGCCTTTTCTTTTTTCTTTTTTTTTTTTTGTCGTCACACGCCTGCTTATACCTTTTCGCCATCATCAATAGGCATCACAGGCGCGTAGACTAGCACATGGCGGTTGGTCGTGACTGCGATCTAGAGATAGAATGAAAGGGCGAATTCGGTGAATATAAAAAGATGGATTGTTCAGAGCAGACACGAAAATTATAAAACTATGCTACCTTTCCATCAAACTCAGACATGACTACAGCAGAAACAATTTGATTCTGCTGCTCCTTCGAGTCCGCCTGAAGAAACAGGATCTGTATGGGCTTGAAAGAAGCATCACAAATAACGACAGAGTCCGTAGCAGCATAGAGCTATTGAGTCCTTACGAAAAAAGAAGAAAGAAAAAGAGTGCATTCTATAGTCAGAAACCTTTGACATGCCATGTTGGACATTGGCATTTAGCATTTTGGCATGAGATGTCGTACGATATATCTCCTTGATTGGTAGCTGATGGTATGAATACTTTGGAGGGATGCGCTTGTCTTTCCGGGACAAACCTGCTGTAATAGCATACTTATTTACTGTCTTTTAGTCGAGGGCGGTGTTTTTTCTGGACTTTTCAATTATAGAAGAGATTAAATGCATGCAAGCATGACCATATACACACGTGAATTACAAGGGATTTAAGGACAAGATAAAAGGATGGATATAGATGAGTTGCGAATGAAAGTGAGGGATGATGTTAATGAAGACCTGATCACAGGACATGACACGAACATTCCACGCACAAGACCTTTTCGTGTAACATGCCTTCACCTCAAAAGCCACTCGTAGTCAAAGACTATCACGTTTAGGATATCTATAACCCCCCCGCATTAATCACCACTACAAGGGTCACTTCCCCATCTACTCTGGCATATTCCAACAATTTATTTAATCTAGGCAGGATACTAGCAGCCATTACCATGTTCTCAGAAATCTATCTTTAAACTTCCTCTAAACGGATTTGCTGTAGCAATTCCCGAATGTTTAAACTGCAGGCAGTTTGCTTTGGTCAGGCTCGACGCAATAGCAGCCCACATTGGCATTGCTGATTATGGACAAAAAAAGCTCGATAAGTCCGTGCTCTTCACTGTCATCGCGTAATATCAAAGCGGTAAACGGCTGCACATTTTCTTTCAAAACAAGGGGCTATTTCGCCTTCCTGAAACCTCCACTGGTCGCAATTTAACTTGATACCTTTGGCGTCTCGAAAGATTTCGGTTAGAGGCCAGTATTCTTACTTTTACATTTGCTCGAGAAAATCCTTTTGTCATTGAGTGCTTGCTTGATGTGATCAAATGGTGGATGTCCATCAACCTTCCCACCGCTTCCTACTTCTTCTGTTCCAGAATCCAGAACTGTTGTATCCATTTACCTGTGGTTGATGTAACTATGCAGCGCAGCAGGAATGGCGTTTTGAAAAAACCTGTCGCGGTCGTAAAAGATATGCTGAAATTGAGCTTGTTGAGGCGGAAATCTACATTCAGGCCCAAGAGCCCGGAGTCCAGCGCCCTGGCTCTTTTTCTTGCCCCACCATTTCCTTCTGGCTTCTTTTTGTCTAGAGTCAGGAACGCCGGTTGAAAATGCTAGATGTTCAAGTTTAACTGTTTCTCTGAATGTAGCAATCCGCTGTCCCCTGCCGCATTTCAAAAAACGATGGCCGGCTTACACCTTATCTTTTGATGGATCGTATAAGTGATAGATGACGGCTGTAGAGTTTATCATATCCAGAAACCATAAGCAGAGTTGACGCTCGTCATAATGCCCACGATAATGATATCGGGTGTGGTAGCTAAATGAGCGGAGGAAAGACGGTAAGAAAACTCGTCAATTTCACACGGTACCCGTCAGAGGGCAGAAACTACATGCTGGTCATCTTTCTATTTGGTTAGTTGACAAGTGGTACATCTCACCAGCCAAGTTCAATGGCGGAGGGAAAAAAGGAGGAGAAGGGCTTTGGTGCTGAGGAAAGTGCTTGCTCTCTGATCTTGCGGACTGCCTGTCTGAAAGTTAGTAGGCCAATAAGGCATAGGCATTGAAGTTTTGCCTATCGTGGATTGATACAAGTTACGTGATTAATAATAATTGATTGCCAATATGAATATCATGTAACTACTGAAAGATCTCATGCATTTTTATGGCTTGACTGCGAAGAGATAGCCACCCGTCTCCTTTTGCAACCGAATAAAAAGACGCTGATACAGACGAAAATGAAGAAAGAAAATATATCATATGCCTGTACCCGTAGGCCTATGCAAACGCATCTCGGGGGCTTTATCGAGCCGCTCCATAATCTTGGTACCAAAAGTGCCTTAATAGTCGACTGCCTCTTGACTATAGGACGGCATTGATGGCTTCTACAGGCATCACGTGGGGGCTGCCACTCAAGCCAACGATAAGGGAATGGATGAAGCTAAAATAAATAATGTTAGTAGAGGATAGTATTTGGTAATGACGTGAAATAATACGTGAATGATATCTCCGTGCCTTTAGTGGACTCCTCCTACGCTCTTTGAGCGGATATGATTATGAAAACCTCTGATCCGGACATCGGGAATGGCAGGTGGTACTTGGATCTGGCAAAGGCTCCATTGAGCCAATGATTCCAAGGTGCAATTTTATGTAAGCTGAGTTCTACATTGATTACTTCGGACATCTCTACAACCATGGTCACCACCATTTGAGAGCACTTCCCTCCCACTACACGATGAATATACAGGCTTACTCATCTTATGAACTAAATGCAGCTATTCCTTCATATCGAGTCTGAAAAGAGAAATGATTGAAAACCAATGGCCATCCTCGCTTACCTGTAAGCGGATTATATGGGTCCTCTTTGGTCCCTAAAGAAAGGGCTATCATCGTGAGGTAACCTCCAATCGGGAGACGGCAATTGGATTTATCAAACACTTGCATATATCCTACTCTGCGTGGGTCAGGATATGATTGATAGACTATCCGACTTTGATGCGTTGATGGCATGCAGAATCATCGCAGCCCCACTTGTCTCGACCGTTATTTCAGACTTGACTCTTCTCAATGTGGTTGCTGAGGCAGGCTTGAGTGATAATGGTGGTAAGAGCGCTTTGATTAGGATTGATTGTCTGATGTTTTACTTATGCTACCAGGAATATAGGATAGCGGCTACTCCGGAGGTGGCTGTGGATGAGATGTTCAAAGAGGTTATTATTATCGCTGCTATTCGATTCCTGAGCTTGAGTGCTAACCAAGTAATGTTTCTTAATGATCTCCATCTCCTTTTGCATCTTTTTGAGCCGATCCATTTTATGGCTAAAATCTCGTGTCATATAGTCGATCCAGAAACAGAAACAAAAATGAATGTTATAGTCAGGATCGAACCAATGCACAGTTTCCCTAATTACAATAATACTGTTTATATGGACTGTACATACCGCAGCTACCATGTGAGCCATCGGATCTGTGAGGCCAGTCTGAAGATGGCTAGCAAGGGCGGGCCTTGCTCCCCACACAGCTAAAAGAGTGCCACTGTTGTTATCCATGTTCTCTCCCAAAACTCATCCGTCGGCACATACTCCGATGTCTACTCTTGCTCTCTCCTCTTACTGTACTCGCTATATCCATTAGACATGCTATTTTGGTCATTGTCTGCAGGCAGAGCGTCCGTTGGATTGGAGCAAATGAACCATATGAAGCCTTTGGTGGCGAAGTTCATTCCATTTGAGCTACTATATATAAGCCCATGGATGGAGGTATTGCAGATGGTTCGGTTGGTGATGCTACTACAGCCCCTTGAGTTATGCTCGCTGATACTGATGCAGGCCTCAACGTATTAATGAATGGTAGCGACTACTGTGGTAAACCAATGGCGACAAGCCTCGATGCATTTGTTGATCTGGAAGAACGCCCCTGTCGCGCAACCATAGGCTTCATAAAGGGCTACAATATCGCGTCCGTTTATTGTTGTGCAGCCAATTGTTCAGATGGCTGTAAGTTCTGATTCTCCGCAGTGGATATAAATGCGCCATCCTGATTATCTTTCCGTATATCTCGATAGTGCCCTTAAGATGGCTGAAGATTAGGACATCCAAGTTTGCGACAACATTCATGCAGCAAATAGAAGAGTTGCCGTGTCAATGGAACAAATATCAAAGTAGCCGGCAAAAGCATGCATCGTCTATCGCAGGGTATCAATGATATTTTTTCGTAATCAAGCTAATGGCACGGGGGTGTTTCCTTCTTGCTGTTAATTTTTTTTTTTTATTATATTTTTTTTATTCTTTTGCTTATATCTCCATTCCTATTCGTAAGGAGTAGCCCCTCTATCCCTGCTATGAACAAGAGGGCAAAGGTCTCTCAATCAACCTTTATACTATTCGTAGATATATATGATGTCTTGGGAGTCGGGCATTCTACCTCAAGCCGCATTTGGCTGCCTGCTCATGCTTCTCAACTAAAGTAATCTCTGTGCTCGAACCCATTATATGTCCCGCTTGCAAGAATTGGATAACAGAGTAAGAATCAGACATGTTATTCTAACCTTTAGTTTGAAGGATCAGATAGGAACATACAGGGCGATGATATGCGAACGACGCGAAACATTTCTTTCAAAGCACAACAAATTAATAAAGACAAGATTCTGAGATGCAAAATAGTTTTTATGTAGTCTTCTTATTAGTATTCACATAACCGATGCCGACACATGTCATGACTAACGTATCGGGTGCTGCTCCAAGAACTGTCTTGTCCTTGTCTGTTTCTTGTGTAATCTTGAACGTTGAGCCGAAAAAGTCTTGTAAATCACGTAGGTACTGAATTCTGTTTCAGCATTGCCCAAAAGATATAAACAAATGAAAAAAAAAAAAAAAAAAAAAAAAAAAAAAAAAAAGAGGTAGGCTTAGCTGTCAATCAAATGAAATAGACCTAATGACAGGCTAAAAAAATAAATTAAAAAGAAAAGAGAGACTTACGTAAAAGGAGTTAATTCGCCAACGCGAACTTTACTGACATCATTGGGTCCCAAGACCATCATCAAAAGTATCAATGTTTGTGAAATAGAGTCTACACATCCTCCTTTCCGAATTTCTGCTAACAACATACGCGCAGCCTGCAATCCAACATCTTCAGGTGCCTGCCCTGGCCCTCCAGCGAGCTCTGCAGAGTAGAATGCAGAAGTCGTCGTCTTGGCCAATAAAGAAATACCAAAGCCTGGTGAAAGACCTGATTTATCGCCCTGATAGTGTACTGCTGCAATGTTGATATCATTAATATAGTCGAGCATACCCCTTGCAGAATCTACCATGCGGTTTGAGAACTGTGGTGCTACACGGGTACAGTAACTAGTGCATATTGAAGAAGAAAAAAAAATTAGAGAGGTTCATAGGCTTTAAATAATAAACAGCCGTAATGTCTTTCTGCCTCTTCTGTCTTCAGTGGCTCATCCCACACTTACGCAACGCCGCGAATCCTCTTGATACGGCCCTCATCCAGAAATTGAATAGGTTTTAATGTACGGATAATAGGACATCTAAACGTAACTTTCCCTCCTCCATTTGGTGGAGCTCCACGTACAGCAATCTATGCCAATGAAGCAAAAGATCCATAATGTCAGTTTTATGAGAGGAAAAGATAACTTTTTTTTTTTTTTTTTTTTTTTTGTCGATCATAAGCAAATCTTCAATATAAATCAGTAAACCATAATAAAATAGATTCGCTCTACTTACATCCAATTCAAGTCCTTCCTCGATACCAAACTTTTTGAGCTGTGGAAGAAGTACTGTACGTATGATATCAACCTATAATCGAATGAATATGGGACGAAATATTTAATTGAATGAAATGGCTTTAAGTCTCTTGGTTGTGACTCCATGAATCCCCTATGTCTATCAATGAGCCTTGATATGCTCAGTATGTCCAAATTGCATGATACTGCTTGCGAGAAAAGCTATCGGATCCACATGCTGACTATTCCCTCCTTTCCTGATCCATCATATCATCATATTGTTTTAAATATTTTGCCAGTCCTGCCAATGCTCATATGTTCTCTTGTTATCCATGGTGCTCGAAAGATCATTCATGAACACTCCTGCTTATTCCTTCCTGCATGCAAGTGTCTTTCACCAAGCTATGGCATAATAATAAAGAGCACTTACAGATATATCGACATTATCATTCGTAATTCCGTTCAATGTGATGTTCATAGGGGTCTTCGAGAATGGTCCAAGGGCAATGAGAGGTTCTAGGAAATATCCGATCGCACGAGAATTCCCGCAGTCATGATATACTTTTCCACCAATAATCACTCCTGGCTTATAGACGATTGATGTACCTATTAATGTTCGATTCCCATTCAAATCCGACGATGCATGATCTTGTTAGTTAAATGTCTTTTTTTTTTTTTTTTGTTTATCATTACTATAGCCATCCGGTATGCAACATCCAACTTTATCGCCCATTGCTAATTATCATTGTCACTGCATCCTCCTGATTGCGTTACTGCTTAGATAGACGCACCTGTGTAACTGATCTCGATTGTTGCTCCGTTTGTGACCTTCTCCAATAATCGTAAAAAGTTTGCCTCGAAATCTATTTGAATCAAATATAAGAAAAAAAAAATGTTAGGCTCTTGCTTATTATGTTTGTTGAAGAAAAGAACAAAGATCAATTGCTTTTTATATATACATATATATGTGATATGCTGTCATTTTCAATCGAGTTTTAGTTGACGAGCTCAAGTATTCCTGAAAGTACCTCGAAGTCCAGGATTGGCATCGTTGGAACGAATCTTGTCAATCTTTAGAATTTTTCCTGAAAGTGTTGCCAACACTAGCCTTTGACGAAGGTAGTTGTGGCCTTCAAACTTGACTATTTTTGACATTTTTTATTTTTTGAAATGTAATGAAATGTGTTGACGACAATGCAGAGCTCTTTGTTGGCTTGGGCAGCTTTTTTTTTTTTTTTTTTTTTTTTTTTTTTGTTGCTTCAAGTGGCTTGGACTGGAATTTGTAAACAAAAATTCCTGTCTATTGAAAATGATTTTTTTTTCCTACACATTTGTCATAGCGATTTTTTTTTATTTTCTTTGCAAGTTTTCACTTTTGATAAAGTCATTCATCACATAATAAAAATAAAAAGCTCCTTGAGCATCTTTACGTGGATACTTTTGCTTTCTAGAGGGAATGGAGGTCATAACCTTTTACTTTATTCTATTCTACTATTGACTAGTTCGCCACTTTTTTTTCCAATTGTCAATTACAGAGTCATCCTTTGAAAATTAAGGTAGGACACGAACACTAATCGTTATTTTCGCTCTGAGGATTCAGGAAAAAGAAGCAGTCAATATAAATATATATATATATATTCTACTGAATAAGCGTCTCATTTGTAGACTGTTGGGAATACGTCCTTTTTTTTTTTTTTTTTCCCAGTGCTAAAAAAAAAAAAAAAAAAAAAAAGGGTCAGGGTTGTACATGTACATGTTATTCAATGAAGAAATGCTAAGATTGGAAAGATTTAAATATAGACATTTTTTCTTTTCGTTGAAAAATGAAGGTTTAACTGTACATGAACGACATGATAAAAAAAAAATAGCTGATGACATGGCGGAAAGGCACATTAAAAGCGGTTGGGTCTATCAAAAACATATTTTTTCACATATATCTTTCAATCGGTCAATATTGGCATAGTGCTTATTCCTGATAAAAGTATAGAAAAGAAAAGTTTACTGGTAAGGAACAAGCATTGTTGGATCCATAACTCTCTCCTACCAGGTCCTACAGGAACGTATACTTGGTCAAGACAACGATGAGGTAATAGGGAATTGGGTATTGGAGTGAGATACAAAGCATACAGTTGTCTATCTTTGTTCAATAGGGTTGAGATGAAGAAAAAAAAAAAAAAAAAAAAGCGCAATTCCAGAGGGCTCTCAAAGGAAAAATAGGGTTAAAATTCAAAGGAAGACCAGCCTTTTGTCAGTAGCACTGTCTATATCTCTATATTGTATAAACATTCTACTGAATGACTGGATTGCTGTATTACTGTGCACACACTCTAGTCTTTTGTTCACTGGAGAAATGCAGGTTCATACAGACCAGCAGAGTCCGCCTCCGCTAGTTCAAGAAAGTCAACGGGAAGGAAGTTTATGAGATAAAGATATGCAAAAGCCAAATTATCTGTAACAATTAGATTAGTGTCCATTGACAGGTTGATGGCATGGGCCTGGATTGTCATGCCAACATTGTCTAGATGTTGATGTTAATGATTATATAAATGGGCGTGGTGTTACACTCAGGAACTGGTTGCAGTTTACCCGGAATGCACGCTGTTTCGGAAGAAAACAAAATTAAATCGTCTTGCGCCAGAAACAACAAATAAAAATAATCTGTTTATATTTTTAAAATGGAGAAAAAAGAGTCTGTGTGCTCATCTTTTTACTTATTTTGTCCGACCTGTTGGACCTGTTGCGACTTCCTTTCTTAGTTTGGAGAGAATGAGGCGAGTTGGATATCAGAGAGCTAATGCAATGCAAAGCTATAAACACAAATTTAATTTTTCTGGTCCAATCCTTGATAAGTTCCCGGATAGAAAAGGGCAGAGGCGGTTGGACAGGGCACAACAGGTAATTAAAATAGATCCATTCTACACAGCCTAGTGGACTTTATCTCCCATGCCTTAAATCTCTTATAAATACCTGGCGTCCATGGGCTTGTATCCGACTTTACTTCTTCTTCATCCTCCCTTATTAATATCCATTAATCCTCATTACCTTCTCCCCTCCCCCTCTCTCCTTCTCGTCACCAGCACATCTCCACCCCTTCCTTCCTTCACGGACTTTATCTTTTTCTTCCCTTTTTCCTCTACTTTTCTAGTCCCCCTTCCTCTCATTTCACGAGATTTAATACAAAATGGTTAAAATCCTTGCCACTTCCTTCACTGTCTTTATTTTGACCATCTCGGCTGTTAAAGCCCAGACTACCATTAACATCGCCGATTTCCCTACCATCAATGAAGTTCCTCCAATTGATTCTCCTCAGGTACAGCAGTGGTTGAAGGAGATTGACCTCTCTGGTTCCCCTGACATCGCTCCACTGCAGGCTCCAAGGGGCTCGCCCCCTACGTGCCAGGTCCCGGCCGTTCCCAATTCGTAAGTCCTTTTAAAATCAACCGCTCTTTCAGCGACGCCAGATTAGCCAGCAATCTCACCGTTGAGAATTTTTCTCTCTTTTCCTTTCTTAGCTGTGTCTGGACTTGTGAAGGTTGTGCTGCCGATGATGTCACCTCCTGTGCTGTTGCCAACACTTGGGGTTTGACATTCGATGACGGTCCCTCAACCGCGACCCCCACATTGTTGTCTTTCCTCAAGGCCAACAAGCTCTCTGCCTCCTTCTTCCTCATTGGCTCCAATGTCATTCAACACCCCGAAATTGTGAAACAAGAGGTTAAGGATGGTCATCACTTGGCTTCCCATACTTGGTCTCATACTGCCTTGACCACACTCTCGAACGAACAGATTGTGGCCGAGATGAAGTGGACTGAGAAGGCTGTCATGGATGCCACAGGCCTTCGTCTCAAATACATGCGTCCTCCTTATGGTGATATCAACAACCGTGTCCGTTTCGTCCTCAAGAAGTTGGGTTACATCCCTGTGGACTGGACCGGTGATCAATTTGACACCAATGATTGGAGAGTTGGACCTGCTAAGGGCCAATGGACTATGAATCAGGCAGTTAGTACCTTTACAAAGTCTTTGGATACCTATGTGGCTTCTGCCAAGACCTCGGGCTTCTACTGCTTGGAGCATGATGTCAGCAAGACCACTGTCGACGCTGCTTTGCAATTGATTCCTTTGGGTCTTACTCGTAAGATCAACTTTGCTAATGTCGCTGGATGCCAGAGTGATGCTTCCCCTTACCAGGCTGGTAGCACTTCCCCTATTCCCAGCACCGCTGGCGTCACCACTGGCAACAGCACCAACCCCACCACTGGCAGTGGTAACGGAGCCGCCAAGCCCACCACAGGTTCTTCAAGCCCCTCGGGATCTACAGGCACTTCCACAGGTGCTTCTACTAAAGGCAGTGGTACTACTGTTCAAATCAGTGCAGGTCATCTCCAGGCTGCCTCCGCCGGTATTGTCTCAGCTGCTGCACTCGTTGTTGCTGGTGCCCTGCTTGCATAAAGGACATGTAGAAAGAAGAGAATATATATAATAATAAATGTTAATAGATTTTGTTTACATTATATTTTAATATATCCATAATGTTTATTATTTATCTCGATGTTGATGATCATATCAAAGGTGATATGGAGGAAGGCTTAAAAAAAGAAAATTATGTAGTGAATTCGACAAAACTCTGTCGAGAATAAACTATCTGTCAAAAAAAGACCCATCTATCCTTGTGTTGACCAGTCTACTCTTCAGTGAATGGTAGGCTTTCATATAAATGAAATGTGGCTTATTCAGTGTGTTGTGAGATCCAAGATAAATACCTTAGAAAGAACTAGGGAAGTGGTCTAGAGGAGCAATATGTCATCACGCCGAATGAGAGCATCGATCATCCACTGCATCCTTTACAGAGCGTTCTTCCCAATTGCTCTCGCAAAAGTCTTTTCATCCATTGTACATGTACGTTAATAGAGTACAACAGCGGCGTCGGTAGCATTCCTTTGTCTTTGTATAGCTATATGGCTCATAAACTAACCACTATGACTATATAAAAAAAAATAAAAAATAAAAAAAAATAAAAAAAAAAAAAATTACCCTAGCCGAAGGAGAAGAATTTAGGTACCCTCTAATGAGGACTTTCTAAAGTAAACCAAAGGTCATTGATGTACAGTACTGAAGCGAGAGAATATATCATAGCAGATGGCCGTTGCGTCCCACAAGGAGATTGCTTTTTCAACCTATGCTCTGCCTGCCTGAGTATGAGAAAATGATATCAGACAAAAGTATATGTGTATCCTAATGACTCTCTCTGGCGTAGAGCCTTCCTATTTTATGACTTGAAGAATGAAACTCGAGTATTAGTGTAGGTATATTGATATGAAGAACCGAGTTGCTTTGAGTTGCTGCTTCCTAGGCATATAGTCACTTAAATATGCAAAGGAAAAAAATGAGGATTACTAACCACCAACATTAATGGTGAGCTTGGACATTGTTCTAATCAAGCAAGCACATGCTAGTCTTTTCTTTTTTTTTTTTTTTACATTAAAGAAATCAGCTTATTGATGTATCATTCCCGATTTTGCTGACGGTGCGTATGGTGTGGTGGACTGTACAGATGCCATCTCTCTTTCTCTACTCTGTACAAGTATCATTTCTTCCAGCTGACAGCTGACACTTATACACGAAGATGCGAGGAGTCGACCCTCCTTTTTTTTATTTATTTGGATCACATAAAAACCACTATTTAATACAGCTACGCCTGGTTCACCTTGCATTTGTTGACACGTAATAAGAACATGTCTCTCGATGATAGTACACCTTTTCAAAATGAGATTTATCTAGCTATACCACAGGCTTGGCAGATGAGCGAACCGTCAGAACATATACACGACACTATACAGCATCAACATCAACCACGACTGAAGGAAGATAGCGACCAGCGCTATTATTCATTGGAATTGTTTATCATCCTTCTCACGATCTTCTCAAGTTTGCCTACGGCAATCTTTTTAGCTTGGATTGTTACCTGGAGTGCAGCAATCTTGGTATGAATATATAAATTTAAAACATTATTTATAACAACATAGAAGAGTTGAAGGGTGGGGATAGAAAGAAGAGTTGACTTTGAAAGTCTGAATTTGAGCCAGAAACCTGGGGTAGGGGAGCGACAAGGACGTCCTTCAGTGGAGGCTAGTTATATTAATATTGTCGCCGTCTAAAAAAAAAAAAAAATCAAATGCAAACAAAACATTCATTTTTAATATTCCATGATGGCTCTCCCAACTCAAGGTTGATCGATTCATTTTTTTCATTTCCACTATGTTTTCTTTTTGTTTGTTTGCGCAACAGAAAAAAAAAAAAAAAATGGTTGATACAGTTTTTTTTTACCTTCATTACGAGAATTATAAATAATATATGCATTATATGCATGGTGAGGGATTATTGGAGAGAAAATGTGCAACTCTTGTTATACAGAGATCCCACATTCTGTTTTAACAAAAAAAAAAAAAAAAAAAAAAAAAAAAGAATTATTAATTTAATATCGGCCCATCTCTTTTTTTGTTGGTGTTGTTGTTGTTGTTGATTTATGATAGTATTGTTGTGTACTGTTACTCGCGATCGGCATTATCTCGATGATAGGACTCTCGACGACGGTGTACTGCCCTGTCCTATGTGTCTGTGTCATCCTTGCCTATACATGTTCAGTCATACATGGCTTTGGATTGATCCTTAAAGACGCTTTTAGGATGAATAAGAGCGGGCTTCAAGAAATGATGAATCAACTTGTAAGAGTTTTTTCTTCATCTACGCAAGCGCCACATGCCGGCCCTGGAGGGGGAAGAGGAAGTAATCATTGGACAGATACTACATCATTGTTTTGGTCTCGTGAAAGAAACGAGCCGGAAAGTACAAGAACCCTGAAACGGATCAGATCTAGATCATAAAGCATTTGTTTCGGATGAGGAATGGCACTACAAAAGTCTAGTTCGTTGATTCCAGAGAAGAAGGACATGTGCTAGCTATCCCGGGTGTTTTTCTCTTTTATTCGATAATCATTCTTTCGGGTGTTAGTGTATTTTTTTTTTTTTTTTTTTTTTGAGAGCATTTTTCCAATTCGTCAAATAAAAGAATGACGGCTAGCTATTATCAGACAAGAGAGGAGAAAAATAAATAAATGGAAATTGAGTTACCACGCGGCATAAGTGTCCCGCGTCTTATATATGATCAATTGTATGGGGGGCTGGAAAAAAAAGTGGAGATTGACATCGGAATCAAACTGGGGTAAGAATTTATTTATTTTTATTTTTATTTTTATTTTCACTTTTGAAGTGTACAGTAGCACAGTCGCACAGTAACAGAAAAATTGTAACATTGTCACACAGGGAGGGTGGGGAAAGCATGCACAGGTACTTGTGCATTTGCAATCGCATCATAACCCTATTAAATATAAGTTTAGTCTAGTTTGGTTTAGACCAGAACATGGGAAAAGAATTTGCAAAGCTAAGCTTATAGCGGAGCCTTTTTTTAGAGAAGACAACTCGTGATTAGTATCGAAAAAGAAGTACACGTGTATGCATTTGGCAATGAGATGGAGATGACGGGCGTCAATAGTGAAAGAAGAGATACGACGATCATTCCGAGAGATGATGTGATGAAATGTTTGAAAAAAAAAAATAAAAAAATAAAAAATAAACAGTTGGCAAAGAGAGAAGAGAGCGAGAAGAGAGCAATTGCTCAGCGGACAAAAAGAAAAAGAGAGAGAGAGAAGAGAGAGATGGGAGAGGAAGAAAAATAAAAAAAAGGTTTTCCATGCATATCATTTGCACACATGTTTTAAAGTGTGGACGAAGTTGAAACTGTGCCTGAAAAAATAGTGAGTCAAATAGGGTTTTTTGTTTATGTCCAAACAATGAATGTATTCAATCCGACCCTTGGATGCATCTCTCTCTCTCTCCTCTCTCTCTCTCTCTCTCTCTCTCTCTCTCTCTCTCTCTCTCTCTCTCTCTCTCTCTCTCTCTCTCTCTCTCTCTCTCTCTCTCTCTCTCTCTCTCCTCTCTCTCTCTCTCTCTCTCTCTCTCTCTCTCTCTCTCCTTTTTCTCTCTCTCTTCTCTCTTTCTCTCATCTGCATTCATTCTTGCATCAATCCATTCGGCATCCATCACTTTACTACTCCTTCCTCATTCCCTTCCAACGCACATATTCTCCTTAATAGCAGCACAAGTAGACACACAATGTATGTCACTTTTATATTTTACATCGATTTCAAAGGCGATCCAGTCTCTCTCTCTCTCTCTCTCTCTCTCGCATAACGTACACTCAGCCTCTACACACACCTTCCCCCTTATTGCGCCCATTCTTGTATCATTGCTCAACGCTGCACACGCACAAATACATACTTGAACTCTGCCTCATCATTTCCATCTCTTCCTCTCCTTTCCCCTCGCATGGTCTGTGGGTTGTAAAGGCGCACCTCTCTTCCACGACCAAAAACAGCTGCAGACAATGGAGGGGGGATCTGAGACTCTACGACATTAGATTGCTCAATCTTTGTCTTGATCTTGACCAAAAAAAAAAAAAAAAAAAAAAAAAAAAGGAGTCGTTTATTTTTTATTTTTATTTTTCAACGGTTTCTTTTTGATCAAGAGCTCTGACGCAAACAATGTGATCGTCTACATCTATCCAATTACTCTCAATTTGAAGACTACTTTTACTCAGCGCACGAGCGTCATGCCTGGTTCTAACCTCAGCATTTCATCTTTATTATTACTATTTATATTTCGACAGATAATCCTATTATTGTACGGACGTAGCAGCCTTCATTACAATCATCACTACAACCACAATAACCACAATAGCTTCAACAGACAAGAAAAAAAAAAGGCCACATCCCATTATTAAAAATCAACGCGAAGGTATTTAAAAAAAATTTTACATGTGTCTGAGGTGGTTGAATTTTATGTCTATAGCAAATTTGCCAAAGCGACTCTGAGAAAGAGTATTTATTAGCATGGTCTCCTTAAGGAGTGGGTGGAAGAGAGGAACAAAAAAAGTGCTGGGCTTAGTTCTGCACATGGGACTGGCTTATACATCATGATGTTTCTAACGTTTAGTCGTAAAAAGAGTGCATCGAGTGTTTTTATTCGTTCCTTCCTCTCCTACTCCTTGAGCCCTGATCCTCTCATTGGCCTTTCTTCCTTTTTTTTCTTTTCTTTTTTTGTCATTGTCGTTACTTGTTGGCCAATGACACGTTAAAGGTGTGGAGACATGTGTTTATTTGATATCCCTTGCTTTTTTTTTCTCTAACTGCTGTTGTGCATCTCGAGTTCTCTTTCCCCTGGATTGTGTGTATGGTGAATGCAAGAGCACTGTTGAGGTTTGGGCCCATGCTTAGGGCGTATAAAAAAAAGGGGGTGAGTTGAAGGCCTAGTGGAGTAGTGAAGAATAAAGTTAATTACTCCAAACGGGATCAAACGGACGGGTCCCCCCTACTACCACCTGCTTTTGTTTGCTGCCTTGTTCCTACTCCTCTCCTTCTCCTTCTCCTGCTGTTCCTGTGCTTCCTGCTCTTATCTCTTATTCCTGCTCCTATTCTTGCTACTGCACCATCTCGAAAATCAGCCGTTACCAACTCTAATGGGCTTTCTTGATTGTCTTCTTGTTTAGGAGTCTACTTTTTTCTTCTCTCAACCTCAATTCTTTTTCTCTCTCTCCTTCGACATTCATCTTTCCGCGCCACTTTCTACGTTTTTTCCCAAGAATCATTTGGCAGCTCACAAATTCTCTCACTTATTCCTTCATAAAGTTCTGTCCCTGCAACAGCTGAACACCAAGGTATGCTGGGATACACCATTTCACTGGAGTCCCAACAAAAAAAAAAAAAAAAAAAAAAAAAAGGCTTGCTCAGCATATGCTCACTGTCGCTCTTAAGCAAATCTTTACACCTTCGCCCTTCCTTCCCTTTTCCCCCGATCGACAACTGTGTATCGCGCGATATCCCACGACCCAGATTGAGATTAGCATCGGAATTTTTTTTTTATCCATTGTGATATATTCTTTCCTTATTTATATCTTTAAACAGGAACCAACCACAGGTGGCAACGATACCATTCTCTCCTCCCTAATAGCGCTGCCGCCGCCATTAGATCAATCTTTTGAAAGGCAGGGGGAGGAGAAAACGGCTGATGAAACACACATAAACAACCCTTACTTGGTTTCATTGCCCCCATTGTCGGTGTTGTGTCACAAAAATAAACACCCTGTCTTATTTGTGTGGCGTATCATTACTTCAATTATTAATGTGGCCAAGTAAATTAACGTCAATATTTTTTTTATTTTTTTTTTATTTTTCTATTCTAGCCGCCTTTTCTCTTTCTCCCTTTCTTTCCTTCCCTTTTTTTTAATTTTCGCTCTTCAAGAAGCCCTTAAAAAAGCTATCAATTACTAGACAAGGAGTTCTCTTTTCTCTTATTTTATTTTACTTTCCCCCTTCCTTTCAAAAGTCTAAAGCTCCATATAAACTACATCAGCCATGGGTTGCTGTTTGAGTCAAGATGACAAGGAGAGTCGTAGCCGCAATGAGGCAATTGAGAATCAGCTTCGGCGCGATCGTATGCAGATGCGTAACGAAGTCAAGATGTTGCTACTTGGTAAGTTTTTTTTTTTTTTCTTAAAAAAAAAAAACATTTTCATTCTTATAGATCAAATGTATATAAAAAAGAGACTGGCCTTGCTTATATTGCTTATAATAATCTCTTTTGTTAGGTGCTGGAGAGTCTGGAAAGTCAACCATTCTCAAACAAATGAAGCTGATTCATGATGGTGGTTACTCCAAAGAAGAACGTGAAGCATTCAGGGAGATCATTTTTATTAACACTGTTCAAAGGTAAAAAAAAAGAAAAAAAAAAAAAAAAAAAGAGGAAAAAAGCCCCTATAACGGACAGGAAAAAGTGGTCCGTGCATCGTGATTTAATTTGTCAGTGTAGACAATGAACTGAATACTGAATTCGAACTCCCACCCCCTATGATCTATTATAGTATGCGTGTTATCTTGGAGGCAATGGATAACATGGAGTTGCCTTTATACCACGACGCCAATCGTAATTATGCCATCATCATCATGAGCCTTCCATTGCAGATCGAGGGTGAATATATGCCTCATGAAGTAGCCGTAGCCATCCAGAACTTATGGCTTGATCCCAATGTCCAACAAGCTTTCCAACGCAGTCGTGAATACCAATTGAATGATTCTGCAAAATAGTAAGTACATTTCCATTGATCCAAATTATATATATTATACAGTTGTTGGTCTATCATTTTATTAATTATTTTTTTTTTTTTTTTTTTTTTTCCTTCCCTTGCTCAAATAGTTACTTTGACTCGATCGACAGGATTGCAAAGCCCAACTATGTGCCCACAGACCAAGATGTGCTGCGATCACGAGTGAAGACAACGGGTATTACAGAGACAACATTCTTGATTGGAGACTTGACGTATCGGATGTTCGATGTAGGAGGACAACGGTCGGAGCGTAAGAAATGGATTCATTGTTTCGAGAACGTGACAGCGATTGTGTTCTTGGTAGCGATTTCAGAGTATGATCAATTGTTGTTGGAGGATGAGACCGTGAACCGGATGCAGGAGGCCTTGACATTGTTTGATTCGATCTGTAATTCACGCTGGTTCGTAAAAACGTCCATCATCTTGTTCTTGAACAAGATTGATCGTTTCAAAGAGAAGTTACCTGTTTCGCCCATGAGAAAATATTTCCCAGATTATGAAGGTAAAAAAAAAAAAAAAAAAAAAGGAAAACAAATATTCAAATACTATACTTCCCTTGCTTTATTTACTGACTTGTTATCAATACTTTTTTTTTTTTTTTTTTCTTACGAATTTTTTTAGGTGGCGATGATTATGATCAAGCATCACAGTACATCCTTAACCGATTTGTGAGTTTGAACTTGTCAGACACAAAGCAGATCTATACTCACTTCACATGCGCTACAGATACAAGCCAGATCAAATTTGTCATGGCTGCTGTCAGTGATATTATCATTCAAGCAAATCTTCGGGAATGTGGGTTGATGTAGTAATAGGAAAAAAAGGAAAAAAAAAAGAAAAAGAACCCTATTTAATTATTATATATATTACTTATACATATTCATATACATATATTCGTTATTACGCCCATCTCTCTCTCTCTCTCTCTCTCCTTCTCTCCTTTTCATTATTTTCTTTTTAAAAAAAAAAAAGTAAAAACCCCAAATTGTCTTGTTCGGTATGACATTAGGAAGCTCGTTTGCTACCGCGTCAACCAAACTTGTTCCCACGATGAACTTTCCTTCCTCTATAATCAACATTTGCTTTTGTTCAAGCCAAAACAGGGCAGCTTGAGACCTGTTTTCTCTCCATGTTTTCAAATTATCAAGAGCCGCTTTCTTTGTATGCTCTTTTAGTCAGAAATTGGTGATGACCGAAGTAAAGTCGAAATACATCGTCTGTGGGATGTGTATACATAAATTTAATACTGAACTCCTCGATGGTGTCATTACTGGTGCTCATCACCCACTCTCGATGGGCTTTTGGAATCCCCATGATTCTAGCTTGTGGATAAAAGAAACAAACAGTGTCAGTTGTGTCAAGATACACAATACAAGATTTTAAAGAACAAAACCATTCACACAATTAGACAATGGTAGAATACTGTGCAAAGATGATCATCAGGCAACGAATGCTCAGTAAGTTAACCTCGAGGGATCTGTTAGAAATATAGCTATGGAGAGTTAGTATATCTGTGGACACCAACTTATTCGTCTCTTTTTAAAATGAGAAATGTAAACCACTGTTTCCCCCGACCAAAGGTCCAAACAGGGGCATTCCTTATTTAACAAGGCGCAACTCCCCCAGTAAAAAGTGCCATAAAAACCATTTTCGACGTTTTCTCATTCATTTTTCTGCTCACATGATCACTCATACTCCTCAATAGAAAGAAAGGAAAGGAGAAAGATGTTGTTCTTTTTCGAACAATTTTTTACAACAAAGTGCTTAACCTGAACCGATCGTAGTAACAAGACTTACTCTACAGCTTTCAGTACACCGTTGTTTAAAAGTGGTCTGCAATGGATTTATCTCTTCCAACATTAGAAGACACTACATAAGGTCCAGCATAGCATGATTTAGGAGCCGAAGCTCGTTTTGTGTTCAACTAAAAATCGAAAAAGGTAGCAATCGTCACGTTCTAACACGGCTTCTAACTTCGAGGCGTTCAGCCATAATCCAATGGATGATAGCTTCGGGTCAGTGCCTGCTCAGGCAGGCCCAAACACTAATTATCCGAATGCACGGCTCCTCTCGTGCCAAGTTCAATTACAATTGCAATAACTTTTCATCAGTAGGGACAGTAAAGTAAAACTAATCTGTCATACAACGGTCTAACACTCCTTATTAGTAGATGAACAATCCAACGCTTACTGAATTCTGCTTCAGCATGATAGAAAGAGCCGACATCGAAGGATCAAAAAGCAACATCGCTATAAACACTTGGCTGGCACAAGCCATTTGAAATATACAATAGAAGATGTAAATAAGCACTAATAAAATAAAAAAATAAAAAAAAAAATAAAAAAAGAATGAAAAGGATCCGTTCAGTATTTATCGAGATAGCATCCAAAATTGTGACAAAGTTGGGTGCTTTTAAGGCCTTTACAGACTTTAAACATTAATGGCTCTTGCTAAAGCGCTGGGAAGCAGGCGCCTTTTGAATGGTCAATGGATGGGCTTATTGCCATTGTTTTAAAATAACCCTTAGGAGGATTTGTTCAGGGTCCATGGAGTAGCACCTGTATAAAGTATTTGAAGCACAGAAAAAACCAAAATTATATATCATTTTCGGCACACTCATTAGACTATTGCACCGGAACCTTGAGAGATGGAACCTAGCTAAAGCAAGTAATCGTTTGCTTCGCCCACAGCTATGATATAAACGATGGCTTCCAATATTTCATGCAGTGGTTCTTGAGTAAATGACCAAAGGAAATCGAAAATTCGCTATTTTCCACCACCTGCCCACTTTTCCTTTAAGAAAATTTTTATTCTGACTATGTTTCTGGTAGCGGTTTTGCCACCGTTGGATTCGTAATTGGAAAATTACATTTAACCTGAGGATTCTGTGGGTTTTGAGTGTATCTATGTTGCGCTCTTTCGTTTTTATCAACTAATTTTGAAATGGTTGCCTAGATTAGTCATATACTCTCTGCCTTGCTGCACTTTTCACATAGCTACGGATATTAACTTTCGTTAGAAAACGCGAAACCGCCTTTCAAAAGTTGCGTTTCAGTACCAGCTACCGGCCCTGGGTTGAAATAATCCGGTTGGGTCTGAAATGAGCGACTTTGCATATGGCAACATGGATATCTACATGTTTTTCTGTACACAAATAAACACATCATCATCGGAATTAAGTGATTTTAAGTTCAAAAGCAGATATTTATTTCCTCTGGTCGCAAATCTACGCGGACTCTGCACTAGTTTTCCTAGAGCGCGTAACTTTGCCTTGATGGCCAACAGCAAGAACTGACTGCAGGTACCGTTAAATATGCAGCATGCACCAGGGCAATTTGATGAGATTGTGATGAGCAATGATGCAGTGAGCTTCAACTCACACTGCATGAATTCAAAGAGTGGAAACATCAGCCTGGGGTGCGAATTGCTGCGTTGGTAGGGAGTGTAGATGTGCTCGTTGGCCCTAGTACAAAATAGGGGAACATTTGATGTTTTATTAACGCTAAAATACTGGGAAAGAAGCACGGGGATTTCCTGGGGAGAGAAGCGCTTGAAAGTTATGTATCTAGATGATTGAACCCATGTGAACTTGCAAGCAAAGATGTTGAATGGAGTAAAAAAACACCAGGCAATAAATCAACCTTTGAGCTTCTTGGCTCACCTGCAGTAAAATATTATAGTAATATGCTTGTTCTCAAGCGATGGTCATGAGTTCTCTTTAAGAAAATGAAAGAGCAATAAAAAGATGAATGAACAATCTTAGATTAAGGGACTATATTTCCTCCTTTGGCCGATCGCTTTTATCGCTTGACTTGCAAGAGGCTGGGCCTTCACCAAACCAACAGCAGCGCGTTTGTCTATGGTATTCTCATAGAAGACCAATGAAAAAAAAAAAAAAAAAAAAAAAAAAAAAAACCACACCTTAATCTGTTTAAGAATGCTATGTATGATGCTATTAAGCAAAAAAAAAAAAAAAAAAAAAAAATCAATTGCTCAAGGATCTTCTAAGGAGTATTAGAAGGTTCTCTTCATTCTTAGCACAGGGGACAGTATCATATTAAAAAAAAAAAAAAAAGCAAGTGCTTTGACATTGTCATCCAGACCCCTCAATACTTTTAGCTTAATCAACAAAAGCTCTCGCATCATATCGCGTCATGCGACCCACCCCTTAGTTCCCTTAACCTCTTTAGCGTCATCTGAAGGCTATGCAGACAGAACATCAAAGAAAGTCTTGGCTACAATAAAGGAAAGTTCGATAGTTGTTGGTATGAATGAACAGATGTTAAAAAAAAATCAAGACAAAAGAGAATTAGCAAATCGAGACAAAACTACAAAAAAATTTTTACTATTCGGCCCCCTTTTTGGTAATTAAGGTTTATGGTTCATCCGAGTGATCGCGATAGACTGACAAAATGTCGCCATTTTTTTCGCGTATTACTAACACAAACAGCCGTCACTACTTGTTGTACGAACACTATCACGATATGATTTGCTGATAGTTAAAGAACATCGGCAGTCAGTCGTAAATACATCTGAACGCAGAGTAACATCATGCGCAGCACCGTTGATGTTGAACACAAAATACGAAGAAGACTTTCCCATCATTGTTTTAGCGAAACGAGATCGGGAGAAGTGAAGGAGGGGTATATGCTCTTTGTCAGTTAAAAGCCCAAAAGAGAGATTAGTCAGACATTGCACCATGCGGTGCCTTGGGTAAGAGAAGGACAGGTATGTGACTGTGTGAGCGCATAAGTGTGGTTATAAGCCTAAAGACTACTTCGCCTCGGAGAGTTGGTATAGCAGCATTCAATGCTGTTTCTTGCTACTTTGTTTGTCTGTACAAACATCCAATATCCCATCAGTCTTTCGCGTGTTATCTTGATCGAGCAACATGTGTCTATTTACCACAGCCAATACCTGTTTCTGTCGCACATAAACAAAGCCGTGCGCGGTACTCGTCATTTATCATCATCACAATTGTTTGTTTGGCCAAAATGTATAAAAGCTTATTGTCGATCTTGACTCCTCTTTTTTTTTTTTTTTTTTTTTTTTTTTTCTCTTTCTCTTTCTCTACTTCTCGTACTCCATTGTCAATCCCCATTCTGCGGCCTCTTATTCTTGCTGCTTGCATTGTACAGTTCATTATCTATTCACCCTTGACAATTGGGGCATCATCCCTATTCTTTGACATATATACCCTTATATACCGTTTGTATTCACATACAGACACATCTTTGTACACTGACGTCCTGAATTATAAATCCTTTTCTGATCTCTTTCAAAGACATTTTTATCATCACTTCTCAACAAACACATTCATCTATCCTTCAGAATTTATGGCTGATCGTGAACTAAAAGAGTTTGGCCACAACCTGCTTGGTTGGGTCAAGGCCTTTCCAAGGAACATACCTCGCTATATTACCGAACGCTTTCCTATCATCAAATGGTAAAAATCAGAAAGTGATGGGGGTTTTTTTTTTTACTATTGCCGTTGTTGTTGTCGGTTGCTACTATTGCTATCGATTGTTACAACGAACTAACAGATTTGCATACAATAAACCTTCACCTCTTTCCTTGCAGGCTGCCAAAGTATCAACGTAGCTGGGCTGTCAAGGACATCATTGCTGGCATTACTGTCGGCTTGATTGTTGTCCCACAAGGAATGTCTTATGCCAAAGTTGCTAGCTTGCCTGTCCAACATGGATTGTATTCTGCTTATATCGGTGCTATCTTTTACTGCCTCATGGGAACCTCCAAGGACCTGACCATCGGACCCACTGCTGTTATTTCTCTCATCACTGGTGAACTCGTTGCTGAACTGAGCGGTCGATTGACCCCACAAGAGGTTGCTGCTCTTTCGTGTCTTGGTGTTGGCCTTTTAACAATGATTTTAGGTGTGCTTCGTTTGGGTATCGTTTTGGATTTCTTCCCAACAACTGTTCTGGTCGGTTACACGACCGGTGCTGCTGTAACAATCATCGTCCAGCAGATCCCCAAATGGCTTGGTGTGCCCAACATCAATAACCGTGCGCCAGTTTATGATATCATCATCAATATGCTCAAGGCTATCAAGACCCTCTCTTGGTTGGATCTAGTCTTTGGGCTGGTGTCCATGTTTCTCTTGGTCGCCATTGGATTAGCGGTTGATCGCTGGGGCCGTGGCAAGTTCTCTATTCAGATGATCAAAATCTCACGCTTCTTCTTTGTTACGGTCTTGGCAACTGCGCTTTCTTACGTGGTCAATAAGAATGCACCTCATGATCCAAAGGGTCAGATCATTCCACGCATCTCAATCCTGAAGGACGTTCCCTCAGGATTGCCTCATCCAATGGTCCCTGTCTCTCCAGACGGTGTTTTGTCAGCAATCGCCCCCAAGTTGGCAGCCATCACCTTGGCTACGATCTTGGAGCATATTGCGATTGGAAAGGCCTTTGCAAGACGAAACCGTTATCAGATCGATTCCAACCAAGAGTTGCTTGCTCTTGGGCTTGCTAATGTCACGGCTTCATTCTTTGGAGCATATGCAGTGACAGGATCCTTCTCACGATCTGCAGTCAAGTTTCAATGTGGAGTCAAGACCCCTATTGCTGGCTTTGTCACCGGCGCATTAGTGCTCTTGGCCATTTACTTTTTGACCCCTGTGTAAGTATTTCTTTTTTGTATTCTGCATAATCATGCATTAGCGCGAAGGTGTGGAGAAAGAAAGGAAAGAAAATATGATCACAAGAGCAAATCATATTGATCTCGGACCCTATTTTTGTGGCCCAACTCAAAACAGACGTATAATCAAACTCATTCTTACCACGTTTTCCATTTTTCTTTTTTCTTTTTTTTTTTTTTTTTTTTTTTTTTCTTTTCTTTTTGCCCTCCCCCTTGTCCCTGAAACTTTATTTGTGCTATAAAGCTTCTTTTATATCCCTGATGCAGCTCTCTCAGCTGTCATTATGGTGGCAGTCTCGACCTTGGTCTCGCCACCTTCAGTCTTCTACCAATTCTTCAAAATCAATCTCTGGGATTTCCTCTCATCCCAGGTTGCCCTCTGGGTCACGATCTTTGTCTCTGTTGAATCTGGTATTGCCGCCGGCGTAGGTTTCTCACTGGTTGTTCTTCTCTTCAGAGTCGCTCGCCCTAACTTTCATGTGCTTCGTCAACTTAAGGATCGACCCGATGTCTATGTGGACGCCTCTGTGGACAGCACTTTCGACACAATCCCAGCGCCCCATGGTATCTTGGTATTCAGGATTGAAGAATCGACTACATTCCCTAATATTGAAACGTTCAAGACCTGGGTGATTGATGAGGTTTACAAATATACCCGCTTTGGTGGTAAGGTCAAAGCCGCATCCGAACGACTATGGTCGGATGATATGGAGATCCATGTCCGGAACCTGCGCAAGCAAGCACATGGGCCTCACTCCAACATCACAGATGATGACCTGCCTAGTCTCCGGGCCGTTATCTTAGACTTTTCAGCTGTCAACAACATCGACTCGACAGGTTTGCAGGGCCTCTTTGATCTGCGAGAGCTTTTGAGGGATTATGCAGGCGTTACAGATTACCCAGATACATTCTTTGAGCTCCATTTTGTGGGCATTCAGGCCAATGTCCTCCATATTCTGGAACTTTCAGGCATTACTCGACCAGTGACACCGCTTGCGCTTTTGAACGTTCAGGTGATTGAGCGAAACGAGTCAGCTGCAACCAATGAGAGGTTTGAAGAGATTGAAGTGCTGGAGGATGATTTGAAGCAGGCAAACCAGAATAGTGGAAATAGTAACAACAACAACAACAACAACAACAACAACAACAACAGCGACCGAAGTAGTCAGATCGGACATAGCGCTAATGATGACCATGGTCATCACAGTGGTTTCAAGATCAAATCATCAAAATCCCACCGCCCCAAGCCTGGAGACGTTGGAGCAGGTGCGCTCTCTGTGAATGGTACAGGTACAAGCCCGTTCTTAAAAGAGGAGGGTCTGGTTCATTTGACAGTGCGTGATGCAGTGGACAGTGTCTTGATCCGATATGATGTTTGGGGACGTGGAACTCGAGAGAATGGTAGTGAAAATGGTGGTAGCACTCATGATAAACCCGATTCAGAAAAGAATTTGTCTTCTTCCATTGACGAGCAGTCAACTATCAATAACGAGAAGACTGCTGAACACTTCGTCTAATTTACCAACAGACTTGTACATATATATATATAATACCCATTTTTATCAATGTATTAAAAGGACACACAATTTTTATATATAAAATATATATTATACACGTTTATTTTATTTTACTCTACTGTCATTCACTTGCGTACTGCTGATACTACAGATGAAGATGTGGTAGGCTCATAGTCCAAAGGCATCAACTTCTGCTTCATTACTTCATATGTAGAAAAGAAGATGGAGCATACGCAGAACCACCAGAGACTACGTGGGATAGCACCGACGAAGAAGGTGCTGTAAACACTTTGACCAACACGCATGGATCTGATAAGAGCATTGGAATGAGCGCTAGCCTTGAGAGCCTGCATTGTTGCCTGGCGGTACATCTCACGACTAATGTTTGTCATTGTGATGGCCTGAGGGGTAGTTGGTACGATGGTTGTGGATGGACCTACGGCAGCAGTGCCTTTCTTGAAGGTCATAATCCTGGTACGGATGACATCCATGGGAGTAGTGAAATATCCAGCCAAGAATCCAGAAATGCCACCAAACAAGGTCGAGGTCATAGGGGGAATCTTGACTTCGACAGGTGAGGATGCAATGTAATTGGGATCTGAAGTGATCTGAGTAGTGAGAACACGGGTGTGATAAGCCTTAAAGTTCTCATAGGTGGTGAAAAGGATGACCATGAATGGACAGTCGCGTGCAGTGGTGCTCCAGAATCCTCGGAACAAGCCTCGGACGCCTTCATCCCTCAGCACTGCTCTGAAGACATATCCTGCATTGATGTTGCTCTGGGATTGTTGTCCCATATGAGTGTGGTGGTTATAGTATCCTGTTTGCAGCCTGGATGTGATGACTTCACGAGGTACTTTGATCACAGAGGATGCAAGGTCTCCAATGATGGCTGAGATGGCTGTAGCGGGAATAGGTGAAAGTGTTGGAAGCCACCAAGGATGATGAGGGGGATTGTGTCCAGTCTGAAAACGAGATGTTGGTGGCAAGAGATATGATTTCGTGAGCTCGTAGAATGAAAACCGAGCACCTCCCTATGAATGGGGGAACAACACAGCAACAGAAAAAAAAGACGGGAGATGAAAAATATAATTAGTATACTTTTTTATCTTTACCGCTTCCCTTATTGGTCATGGCTTTCTTTTTTTTTTTTTTTTTTTTTTACCTGGAGACCCGCACCAATGGAGCTGACGAGAAAACCCTTTCCCAGCATTCGAGCGGTTTCACGAGTAAAGATGGCAGACCATGCGATACCTGATCCACCAGGGACTTGCATTCTAGTTTTGAGGGTATCGAGTGGGTGCATTACTGCATATGAGAGTGAGAGTGATACAGCCCCTGATTGGAAGTGATCTGTCATATGAAAAATGGAAAAAAGGGGAACAAATTAATAAAAATAAGGAGATGAGATCTCAACGCCTTTTTTTTTTTCTTTTTGTCTTTTTTTGCTTGACGATCCGTGGAATGTTGGCTTTCACTTACTCTTAAACTTCTGTATCTGTGTGTATGCAGGTGTTCTTACTACGGGGGCTGAGTGTGCATGTTGTTGTGCTACTACTACTGCTGTTTTAGCAGCTTGAGTATAAGGATAAGAAGTCTGTTGTTGTTGTTGTTGCATCATGAGTGCGTTTTTCTTTATATGTAACAAGTGTGTATTAAAATATAAAAATTATAAATGAAATGCTTTCGTCAGATTAGAATGAGATGCTGAATGAGATGCTGAATGAGATGCTAAAGAGAAGTGAGTAGTGAAAAAAGAGAGGCAGTTTTGAAGAAATAGTAGTTGATATGACGTGGATCAACAATAAAAGAATAAAGCAGACTAAGGTGAGTGGGGAGTACAGATCAAGGACAAAGGATATGAGAATGGAATGGAAGATCCCAATGTTCGTGTGCAATTGGCAATTACGAAGAAGAGTGAAGAACAAGAAGGAAAAAAAAAAAAAAAAGAAAAGAAAAGGAAAAGAGAGGAGCACCATTAGTTTAAATATAACATTGGACAATTGACAATAGCCGCCTTGCGGTCTTGGGGGGAAGGAACACCAAAATATAATTGTTAAGGTTTCTGGTTTTTTTTGTCCGAGATGGAGAGATTAGCGTACAAACAAGCATCAAGTAAAAATCATGGCCAATCAGATTTGATGCGCGTGCTTTATCAGCGGTGACTGTTGTCTACTAGCCTATGATTGACAAACTTGACTCAGAATTAAGGGTCGTTACGACTAATTTGACACTTTGTCTCAAACGCATTCACACATTCCTTGCACGGGCAAAAGTTTGTTCTTAAATTTATAAAATAGACAAATAGTTTATATACCAAGCATCATTTTTTCATTTTCTTTCTTTCTTTCATCTTTGGATTATGAAACTATAAAAACAATATGCTCTGGATCTTTAAAATGGAACAAAAAGGTTTATAGTCACAGTATATACTCTAGCATTGGATCAATGGGTGCCGTCAAAATAGATGACATAATTTTTCATGTAAGGTCCGTCCGTGTCATGTATTTTAACAGGAAGAGGACGGAGAAAGAGAGACACCCTGGAGCCGTAGTGATCCTTATTGGATACACATCAAAAAAAATAGTAAAAAAAATGATGACAACCAGCTTGGATTATGCAAGTGCTGAATATTAACAAAACGGCTTCGGGTTAGGTGAGTAAGACAGCCCATTACAGTACTTTCTAATCCCGATGTTTCTCCCTTTGTTCTTTTATTGGACTTCCTTTAACTACGCGTCTGCCTTTCTGCCTTTACTATTCTGCCTTTTTGTTTCTATACCCACTTTTGTGAACCCATGTATGATCTACTCTCTCTCAATACCACTGCAATATGAATTGACAAATTTATTATTTTATTTTATTTTATTTTATTTTATTTTATTTTATTTTATTTTATTTTATTTTATTTTATTTTATTTTATTTTGTTTTGGCAAAAGGACTATGTTCAGCAATTAGAATAAGAATGAGCAAGTCAATGTGGTTTGCGATACAAATGCTGAATGCAGTCCATAAGCAGGCTTTGGCAATATGGTGGCAAAGAGCAAACGATCCCTGAAAAGAAACCACAGCTTCAATAACATTTCGCTGCTGTATGCAGCACAGGAGTAGAAGCATAAAAAATAGACAAAACCTTGTATGCTTCAATGCAAATAGTAAAAGTATCAAAGCATTGGCACAAACAATAAGCAAATAAAGTCGCATGAACAACCAAGCATTGGGCACGAGCCTTCTTACATACCATTCTGTGCTACAACTAGCGTTTGAACACTGACGCCACCAACTTAAATCCTGATCACAAAAAAAAAAGAAAATACAAAGGGGCGAATGACAATTTCACAATCCTTTAAAACCTGAACCTTCCCCTTTTTTCTTTTTATTTTTTATTTTTTCTTCTTCTACAACACATACAAAGCTTTGATCTATCCAATTCAATCCAAACAGACACTTTGCCACTATCGTTTTCCTTAATTTTAATGCAGACATACCAAATATTCACGCTACACGGAATACATTGACCATGTCTCTTCATTCCTCATATGGCCCGCGGAGAAATTTTCGCACGCCTTCCAAATTAAGATGCCGTCGTGCACTCTCTTCAGGGCTAAGGTCTACATTGTTCTCATCGCCGTCACCGTCATCATCGCCATCAGCAGCAACAACAACAACAGCAGCAATAACAGCGGCAACGCTAACAGCAGTAACGCCGACAAGAAGAGTAGCTACTCCAAAAACATCAGATACTTTCTCATCCAGAAAGGCTAGAAGGGCCTCCATTACGTCGCCATATGCACGATCTAAGGGGTCACTGCCATCATCGCCTCTATTGCCACTGCCATTCCAGTCGAAGATGACATCAAGCTTCATCGGTCTCATACAAACAAACATGGCCCCTCCAAGATCTCCTGCCCCTATACCCAACAACAGTAATAATAGGCATAAAAACATCGACGATCCTTTTCTTCCCTTTTGTACATTCAAAGATGCAGCGTCGGTCACGTCACTCAATCGCTGCAAGACAAGGGATATCTTTATTGATTACCGTGAGTAGCATCACCATGTCATTCATTTCTTAGTTTTTAATATATCAGCGAAGTGTGATATAGCCAGCGAATAGAAGAGAGGCATTGTACTCTAGCGAAGTATATATTTATATACCATGATTGTTATCACTCTCTAGCTTACATTAAACCACCCAAATCACCAGACTTCAATGCAACCACCACAGAAAACGAGGACGACCCCTATGTTTGTCCATCAATATCTCAGATTCCTCGCTACAAGAGTGTTAGATTGTGCTCCCATATTGACATGATGAATGGAACCAGTAAAGCAACAACAATAACAAGAGGAACAACAACAACAACAAGATCACCAACAACAACAAGTCGGCAGCTTTCTTGGAGGGTTGACGAGGCTCACAATCCGTTTTTTGTACCTGCTCTTTCTTATAAGAATAAGGATGATGCCGCTAAGAAGATCAATGGTGACCCTCAGGGGCGTAATATTGATGACCAGGGCTTTGCCAATATCGAAGGTAAAGGGACCTTTTTTGTTATTTCATTTCATTTTTTGAGGGGAAAGGTCATTATTGTAATTTTTTTTTTTTTTGCAATCACGAACTTATTGCATCAGTTTGAAATTTTACGAAAGGTTCGGCAATTCTGAACTCCTCTCTCATGATTTATTATTATTATTATTATTATTATTATTATTATTATTATTATTATTATTGTTATTATAATCACAGCAAAGTCCTTATTCGTACGAGATGAACATCTGAACTACTTGAATGAAACATATACCGTTGACGAAGTTCCTCTTGGTTCTGGTAAATTTTCGCGCGTGTACAAGGTTCAAGACCGTACCACAAAGATATTCTATGCTGTAAAGATCCTGAACGAACGTGGAAAGGGTAGCATAAGGAGGTTTGTTGCATCGTCAAGCACCTGCTTTTAGGGACTCAATTAGATAAAGGATTTTTTTTTTCTTTATTCTTTTTCCCTCTTCTTTAGACTAATTATACACCTTGGTGCATTTCAATGTTTGTTCTGTCTAGGGAAAACCTTTTGAAAGAAGTCAGGAATATGTGGAAAGTTGGTCAGAGTCGGTCTCGGCATGTAGTAGATTTACACAGCGTTTGGATACAGAACGCACGAATACATTTGCTATTAGATCTCTATGGATGTGGAAGGTAAACCGGATTAATGGCATACGACAACCCCCTTGCTGCAGATTCCCCCTCTCTCTTTAATGAATTATCTGAAATATGTGCGTTCTAATATGGCCTAAATATTGCATCGCTTTTTTTTTTTTTTTTTTTTTTTTTTTTTTTTCATCCAGCCTTAAATTCACAATGATGACGCTAAAGGAAAAGAGTGGTTTTGACGAAGGGCGGATATGGCGATATCTGAAGGAACTTTCTTTGGTATGTTTTTAAAAAAATAAAAAATTATGCATTTATGCACCTGCAGAAAGCTCTTCATTATTACGAGTCTATGATGTTCAGAGATATGAATGTATTAAGCCTGCTAACCTGACTAATTTTTTTTTTTTTTTTTTTGACACACAGGGCTTGCATGCCATTCATCAATGCAATATTATTCACCTTGATTTGAAGCCAGAAAATATATTTATCGGCTCAGACAAGACTCTCAGGATTGGCGATTTCGGTCACTCTGTCGCGCTGCCCCTCCAAGAGAATGAAAGTGATGGACTGGAAGGCGATCATTGTTATATGGCCAGAGAGCTCCTTGACGGTCATTGCGGTGTGTTTTCAGACATCTTTAGCCTCGGAATGATAATCTATGAGATGATCAGCAATCGATGTGATGAACTTCCAGGATATGGCTCTGAATGGCATTACTTGCGCAGCGGAGAACCCATTTTCTGTGAATCTCGTAGTGTTGTCGCAGGGATTGGCTCGGAATCAAGCTCAGGCTCAAGCTCAGGCTCTGGCACAAGCTCAGGCTCTGGCACAAGCTCAAGACCTGAATTATCGACGATCAGCAGTAGATATGAACGGTTTTCAGTGGAACTATTAAGCCTTGTTCAATACATGATGCAACCCACTTTCGAGAAGCGACCTCAAGCGACAGAGATTTCAGTCATTGCTTCTCGTTTTGATACCCATTTTAGCAGAGAAAACAAAGGTCATCTCGCATGACTTGTAAATAAACTATTTTATTAAATGAAAAAGTGAAAGGAGGATTTGTGGAGTATAATAACGCATTGGTTTTTTTTTTTTTTTTTTTTTTTTTTTTTTTGCCAAAACCCAAAACCACGCGACTAACACAAAAAAAGAAAAAAGAAAACAAGTTTGACTCCTTCCCACACAAAGCACACAGGCGGATGGATGTTTATGAGTGTGGCTTTCTGCTTTCCAACTTTCAGTGTCATGTGATGAGGAACCTGCACAGCGACAAAAAGGGGAAAAAGGACTACATGTATAGAGCAAGGCACTGTACTGTACTTTGACAACAGAACCGAGGAACGGAGACACTTCCGATCGGCCCTTTTTTTTATTTTTTTTAAGCTTGTCTCATTTCTCTTTCCACTCTCCACACATTCCTTTCCCACCTCTCCTTTTCATTTCCGACCTTCTTTTTTTTTTTTTTTTTTTTTGTTGTGTCAGTCCAAGTCAGATCAGCCTTTTTGGAAGTTCATTCGTTGTACAACGTTTGCATTTTGCCACGCCAAAGCATTTTTTTTTTTTTTTTTTTTGGAACTAAGAAAGGGACAATTGTGATTCAGAAACAAACTCATTTTCTACCCCACATTTATAATACACGCAGGTACAGATCGCCAACTAGTCAATCCTAACTTGAGGGAAAGGAAATAAAAAAAAGGGGTAGCGAGGGTAGTTGATAAAAAAGTACAGTCAATTTTCTAGCTTCCTGATCATATTTTTGTGTTTCTTTCCTTTTTTTAAAAACTGGATCCACTATAATATATTTATTTTAGTCATGGCAGACAAAACACCCGAACAAACTCTCCCTGAGACAGCTGTTGCAACTGAGCAGGAGACTCAAGGTAGAAAAAAAAAAAAAAAAAAAGATAAATCATTCCGTTATGATGTGAACATGGTCCATTGGACAATGCTATTGTTTGATCCGCTCCGATCCTTATATCTGTAAATCATAATAATAAATAAATAAATGAATAAAAATGGTTATAGAGATCGAAGAGGCCGGTGCTGAGGAGTTTTACCAGATCACCATCAACCTTCCTAACAAGGGTGGTAAAGTCCAGGTCATTGTAAGTGCCGTTAAAATTGCACAACTGGATATATCACCACCAAGTCTAATTCATGTTTGGAATGACAGTTGTAGACTTTATGACTATTTGGCTAATTCTTTTCTTCACTATTTCATTTAATCCATTTATTTGTGCTTCTTGAATATTAAAGGCTAGCCCTCGTGAGGCAATTCAGGATGTTCGACAATCTATTGTTGAATCAACAGAGACGTGTATTCACTCTTGTTTCTCGCTTGCCTTCAATGGTGTCAAGCTGAATGATTTTATGGAATTGGGTGATGTAGAAGGCATCACACCCGATAGTGAGCTTGATTTGGTCTTGAGTAAGTTTAAAAAGTTTTAATGAAATGATATCGAAATGTTGCTTAGCAAGAAGCGAACGAAATTTAACAAAGTTCATTCGATCAAACATAGACAATTACACTGAGCGGGAGGCTAGGATCCATGTCAACCGTCTTCGTGACTTGCTTGCAGGACCCGCCAAATTAAACGTCAATGCTGTTGGAATCGATCCTGGCTTGTCCTTTTTATCAACCGTGTCCGGCCATGTTGGTAAGAAGCTTTAAGATACAGAGAGAGAGCCAGTTTTTGTTTTTGTTATTGTATATGTATTATCGTTATTGGGATTTGGTTGCTTACTGAAGTTATAAAATATTTATTACCGGAAATATAGAGGAACCTCCAGTAGACAACTCGACCTATGAAACTGCACCTACGACTGTCTTCTCTAAATTTGATCTCAAGGCTTCTGCAGCTCTCTCCGACTTTGTGCCCAAGGGACTTGAAAGAACACCTGTTCAGTGTGTCAAAAGCATTGCCTTGTCTGGATGGAACCCTCCTCCTCACCACCTTCGACTTCGTGGCGATCTTATGTACTTGATTGTCACCACCCTGGAGGGTGAGACTGTTCAGATCACCTCCACCGCTACCGGATTCCACGTCAACAAATCAACGTCCAACCACTTTGATCCTACTCCTCGCCAGGATGCCAAAGCTGCTAGTGACCACTCTTTGATCGTTCTTTTGGAGAAGGTCTCGCCCTTGTTTGCGACCAACTTCAAGAAGCTTCAGGAGTTCATCACCCGCCACCATATGCTTGAGGTACTTCCTGTCACAACTGCCCAGCCTGCTTACCCCTGGGCTATTCAGCCTTCACCTCACACTTACGATCCTACGCGCCCCTCAGAGGCGTACCTCAACTACGGAACCGATTCTGTTGATAGCCTACGTGACTGGAACGATGAGCTTCAATCACATCGTGAGCTTCCTCGCTCAAACTTGCAGGAGCGTGTAATGCGTGATCGTTTCCTTAACAAGATTCACGCTGATTTCGCTGATGCTGCTGTTCGTGGTGCTATGGATGTCGTTAACGGCAATGTTGTGCCGTTGAACCCTCTGGAGGCTGAGGATTCACATATGTACGTTTACAACAATATTTTCTTTAGCAAGGGCTTTGATGGACGCAACACTTTTGAAAAGCTTGGTGGAGATGATGCTGCTCATGTTGCTACCGGTAAGGACTTGGAGGGTGTCCGCACCTTGAACGGCGTCGATGTTGAAGGTTTGTACACGCTGGGCACAATTGTTGTTGACTACAAGGGCGTCCGTGTTGTGGCTCAATCAATTGTCCCTGGTATTTTCAGACAACAGGAGGAGTCCTCGATTGTTTATGGCTCTGTCGACAATGGCCCCTTGGTCAAGTCAGATGAAAAGTTCCATGAAATCTTGGGCCAGGCCGCAAAGGCTCTGCACTTGGCTGAGCATGCTGTCGATAATGGCGAGGGTGACTCCACAAAGCTTTGGACCTCATTCGACACTAAGGGTCTTATGGGTGCTGACGGTCGTCGTTACCTCTTGGACCTGTATCGTCTCAATCCTGTTGATATTGAGTTCCTTGAGAACGATTTCCCCGCCAAGGATGGAGTTCCCGAATACCCTCACAAATTGACGTTGATGAGACCTGAGCTTATGCTACTTTTCTGGGAGCACAAGCTCCGTGCCTGGATGCAGGAGCGTGCCAAGGAGATCCAGAAGCGTGCAGAGGAGAAGAAGGCTCTTGCTGGCGAGAAGGAAGCCAAGGAAGAAGAGAAGAAAACTACTGAGGATAAGAAGGGAGACGAAGCACCTTCGGACCAAAAGAAGGAGGAGAAGGCAGAGAAGGAAGAGAATGAAGAGGATGCTAAAGGAGAGGTTGCTACTCCTGCCGCTGAAAGCAGTCCTGAGGAGGACATTAACATCCTTGACTTTGATCTTACGTTCAATGTTGACGCATTCACCTCTGTCAAGACCCCTCCTGAAAGTGGTAAAACTAAGGCGGCACAAGAGAGCGTTATCCGCGAGGCCTCCAAGTTCTTGCGTGAGAATGTCATCGGTGTTTTGGTATGTAACTGGGGGTTTTTTTTTTTTTTTTTTTTTTTTTTTTTTTTTTTACATCTTAGGATACAGGCCTAATTTCCTGTTGACAGCTGCTGACCACATGAACGGTTATTTTATTATATATATTTTAATAGCTTCAAGATTTCACAGCCTATATTGTTTCACCTATTGATGGTGGTTCGTTGACGAAGGCAATGCATCGTCGTGGAATTAACATGAGGTATCTAGGTCGCATTGCTACATTGGCGAAGGAGAGCAATGAACCGGCCCTGGTTCATATCAACTATTTGGCCATGCAGGAGATGGTTGTCCGCTCAGTTAAGCGTATCATCCGCAAGGCTCTTCGTGGATTGCCTACTACCCATATCCCAGACTGCATCTCTCATATTCTCAATTGTTTATTGGGACATGAGCTTAATGCTAATCCTGTTGCTGGCTTGGCTCAAGATGACTACTCCTATGCCAAATTTACTCCTGAGAGCTTGCGCGAGGACATTCAAACAGAGGTCCAGCTGCGTTACCGTTTCAATCTGCCTGAAAACTTTGTAAAGAATATTGCTAAAGAGAAGAAGGTCCCATTGTTGAGAGATGTCTGCTTGCGTGCTGGTATCCAGATTGAGGCACGCGACTATATCTTTTCCCCTACTTCTGAGCCTGAGGCTACTTCTGCTAGCGCTGATCGAGTGGCAGCAGCAGCACCTAGTGGCAAGAAGGGCAAACAGAACAAGTCGGAAAAGAGCCACCAGGACAAGCAAACTCGCACGATTGCAAAGTCTAAGAAGCGGGCTACTACTTTTGAGGCTAATGATATTTTGACGATTTTACCTCTTGTTAAGCAAGCGGCGACCCGCTCTAGTTACGCAGATGAGGCATTTGAGGCAGGCAAGACCAGTTTGGCGCAGGGTCAGCGTCAGTTGGGGTTGGAGCTGCTGTTGGAGTCGTTGGCGCTGCACGAGCAGACGTATGGTTTCTTGCATCCAGAGACAGCACGATGCTACCAGGCCCTGGCGATGATCTACTACCACTCTGATGACAGAGAGGTTGCGCTTGATTTCCAACGCAAGGCAGTGATTGTGTCGGAGAGGACACTTGGGGTTGATTCACCTGAGGCTCTGCACAACTACTTGAACCTAGGACTGTTTGAGCACGCATCTGGGCGCACATTGACGGCCCTAAAGTATTTGAAACATGCTATTCATTACTGGGACTTGATCTATGGCAAGAACCATCCAGATTCGTCGACAGCGGACAATAACATTGCAGTGATGTTGCAATCGTTAAAGGATTTTGAAAAGTCATGTGCGTTCTTTGAGCGTGCGAAGGAGACACAGGAGTTGGCGCATGGTAAAGAGCATTTGATTATTGCAAACTGTCATCATGTCTTGGCGAAGGCCCATGCTTTCAAGGGAGATTTTGAGACGGCAGTCAAGGTTGAGAAGACTGCATATGATATGTTCCTCAAGTTGGTAAGGAGGAAAAAAAAAAAAAAAAAAAAAAAAAAATCAATTGGAACAGGATCCATGCTGTAAAAAAAAAAAAAAAAAAAAAAAAAGAAAGATGTGGCGTACAATTTTTAACTATTGTAAAAAAAAAAAATTTTATTATAATTAATAGGCTGGCGCTGAGGATGTGAGGACAAAAGAAGCCGAGTTGTGGTTGCAAGAATTAAAGAACACTGCAGAGTTCACAGCGAACCAGGCAAAGTACGAGAAGGCAGCATTGGAACAACAACAGCAACAAGCACAACAAGCTCTTCACAGGGTGACGTCTCTGTCAGCGACAGCACAAGCAGCAGCTAGTAAGGCGGCGCTGGCAGAAGCAGCAATCCGAGCAGCGAATGCAGATGCAAAGATTGGATCGAGAGGTCATTTGTCATTGAATGAGTTGTTGGATTATATCAATAATCAGCCGCAAGGATCGTCTGCAGGTAGCAAGGGCAAGAAGGGTGGCAAGGCCAACGCTACAAAGCGTGGCAACAAGAAGTAAAGACAACGCGGATTCAGCTTTTTTTTTTTTTTTGAATTTTTTTTTTTCTTTCTTCGAATATAGAATAAGGAAAAAAAGAAAGGCATAGGAGCAATGGTGACTAAACAACTTTACACACACATATATACAAATACGCATTTGCATACATTTACAGATTTGAATAAAAGAATAATCAATTTTGGCAATTGATTTTTAGTGGGATCTGGTTAGGCTGGGGTCGAGCTTAGCATCTGGCGTTAAAAAAAAGTTTTGGGATATTTACAAATTTGGATTGCCATCAGATAAGCTAAAAAAGAAAGGATATCGGGTAAGAAGCAGAGAACAAATGGGGGGAGATATATTTGTGTATATATATATATATATATATATATGTTATTGTATAGAGTATATATATATATGCATTACATGTATTGTGGGAATAAAAGAGACTGTAGCTATGCGAGAGACAAAGGCGAGTCGTATGATGACCATAAATGTCCTTGATCAATCTCCTTTTTTGCTTTGTGTTCAAGGATCGACAGAGTTTTTTCTATTGTTATTCAAACTCCACACGGTCCACATGACAAAGCAAAGAGTTGGTCTAATCGATTGAAATTGAATGGTTTTATAAATCCACACTAGTGTACGTGTAGTGTGTGTGCAGTAGTGTGTGTTTAGAAGAAAGGAAATAAAAAAAAAAAAAAAAAAAAAAAAAAAGCGGCATGGATGAGTGGTGGCACAAGGTTTTTTCTTTTGTTTCTATGAGAGAACAAGCCACTTTGAACGTGGGTTTTTGTTATCAGATCCAATATTTTTTTTGTCCTGAATTTAATGGCAGTAAAAAATCAGATAAATAGACAGCCCATTTAATATTTTTTTAATTTTTTTATTTTTTACGTACGACTTTTTACTCCTTTATTTCCCTTCTTTTTCCTCTTTTCCTCTTTTCCTCTTTTCCTCTCCCCCCCTTTTTCTTTTCTTTTTTTTTTTTCTCTTCTTCTCACACTTTCCTCTCCTTCCTCTTCGCTCTTTACGCCGTTCAACTTTTTCTTTTTTTTTTTTTTTTGTTCGTGTCACGACTTTAGTTCCTCATTCAGCTCATTCAATTGCAATCCATTTTTTATTTTTATTCTGGATTCATTACTTACGACCATAAACAACAACACAAACAACAAAACAAAGTTCTTTTTATATTCATCAATTCAATACAACCACTATAATATCAACTAAAAAGTAAAAAAAAAAAATGGGAGCAGAAGAATATTTCTCAATCCCAATCTTTTTCATCATCTTTCGAGAGACTGTCGAGGCAGCCATTATTGTCTCCGTCCTACTCTCGTTCTTGAATCAAGTCTTGACAGATGATCAAGCCGTGCGCAAACGTCTAAGTCGCCAGGTAAGAAAAAAAAAAAAAAAAAAAAAAAAAAGATAAATGTTACCTTAAAACTTGAGCTCGTTGTAAAACTATGACTATGACTATGACCCAGCGACTAATGTCTGTTAAACCTTCCTTCTTCTACTTCTTTTACTGCGAACTACAACTTCCATTACCATTTATTATTATTATTATTATTATTATTATTATTATTTTTAGGTGTGGGCTGGTACTGCACTTGGGTTACTTATTTCGCTGGCCATGGGAGCAGGATTCATTGTTATCTGGTACGTATTTTATAGAATCATTGACTTCTTTAACTTGTCCTTTCAAAAAAAAAAAAAAAAAAAAAAAAAAAAAAATTCACACGCTTATTTTATATATATGTTTTTTCTCTATCTCTTTTTCATCCAGGAATCTTTATGCTACCAACCTCTGGGCGATCAGCGAAGGAATCTGGGTTGGATGCTTCTCATTCGTGGCCGTGATAATGATTACAGTGATGGGAATTGCCATGCTTCGAACCAACCAAATGCAAGAGAAATGGAAGCTCAAGTTGAGGAAGGCTATGGATGATGAAAATGCAGAGGGTCTCGGGAATCAATCCCGTAAATACGCTCTGTTCCTCTTACCTCTCATCACAGTCTTGCGTGAAGGTTTGGAGGCCGTTGTCTTCATCGGTGGTGTCACCTTCACAGAAGAACTTGAAGCGATCCCCTTGGCCATCTTGGCAGGGTTGGGTCTAGGTTGGTTAGTAGGATTTGCCATCTATCGTGGAGGCAATCGAATGGGACTTCATCGATTCTTTGTAGGATCTACTTGTTTGTTATTATTGGTCGCTGCAGGATTGGTCGTCAAGGGCATTGCAGCGTTCGAAGCAGATCGATGGAACAGATTAACAGGAGCACAATCGGATGATGATGGTACATTTGATCCTCGAGTCAATGTCTGGGCCCTCAAATGCTGTGATCCTAAAACACCCGATGCCGGATGGTGGGGCGTGGCCAATTCATTGGTCGGTTGGAGCAACGTGGCCTCTTACTGGACCATTGGCTCTTATATCCTTTATTGGGGTCTGGTCTCTGCATGGTTGATTCGATCCAAGACAAAGAAGACCAAGGCTCTGACGGCTGAAAAGAGACCTCTTCTCGCAAACACTGCAGGTCACATCGATTCTTCTGCTACTGTTGTCGCTGCCTCTGCTCCTACTCATGCTCCTGCTTCTACATCTACATCTGGAGGATATCGTCGTATTATGGATGATAACGAGATTACTGTCGCCTAAGAAAAAAAAAAAAAAAAAAAAAATTCCCACGTTGGCCCTCCTCCTCCCCGTTTTTGCCTTCCCCTTCGCCTCCTTCATTTATTTCTTTTTAGTACACATAATTTTGTTTTTATTTTTTATTTTTTATTTTTGCACATAGTCTATTAGTTCGCATATTATACATATATTCATACACACCCAATTTGTTTTCACCTTTTTTTTTTTTTTTTTTATTGTACAGTTGTCTGGCAGCATGTTTTAAGCTGACAGGTAATAAAGCAAAAGCAAATAACCAACCAAATATACAAATACAAATACCAAATATGTTATATTTCTATACAGAAGTCACCTTTTTTTTTTTTTTTTTTTTTTTGCAGTAATAGGTTTCCTTACAATTTCATATGAAAAAAAGGAATGAATGCTCATGTGACAAACCAAGATTATAAATTTACAAAGTGTCAAATGCCAATGAAAATAGGCTTACTTACTACCCTCCTTGTCTTGCGTCAACGTTTTTTTTCTCATCTCCTTATTTCCTTATTTTTTGAATTATTTATTTCCTAAAAGTCTAAAAGTGGAGTTTATAAGAAAAAAAAAAGGAATAAGGTATATATCAATCATAGTCTATATTTTATACTTTTGTTGTTGCTGTAGTCATAATCTCAGATTTGGGCCCACAGCTACAAAAACTGTTCACAAGATCAACAATTCCAGTTCGCATCCTCTCTGCTTCTTCCTTCAGAACACGATGCTGTCCCTTGTTGTGGCCTTCATCATTCAAGGCTGCCCGTCGAAGCCTTTCAAATTGCTTCGATACATCCACAGGTAAGGTCAAGAACAAGGTGCTTGGTGAGCTCATTAAAAAAAGTGTTCCAAATACTAGAGCACTCTCATGTTGTTGACTCGATATATCAACATTATCAGGCGCAGGGAAAGCGGATGAAACGAGCGAAAACAATTCTGTGGATCGGACAGATTGAATCAATTCGGTCGTATCTCGAAGTCGATGCGCTTGTTGTTGACTAACCCAGAATGCATACTCGCGTGGAATGCCCTGTAAGACAACCGAAAACATCCGGTCCAATGTCTGTGGGTTCTCCATCTGAATACGACTCGGAAGGTCCTTACAGAAAGTCTGTGCTAATGAGGTCCAGCTCATCTTGTTGTCAGCTGTATGATTGGGTGTTTTGGTGGCGCTTGTAGAGGAGCAACTAGTAATATTCTTAAAAGTCTCTGAAGCAGTTGTTCCTTGTGCAGCAGAAGTGGTGATATTATAAGCATGCTCCGCTGACATTGTTGTAGTAGTAGAAGCAGCCAGAACAGTTTTTGAATCCACTGCTTGGGCAACATTCACTGTGGCTGTGTTCGATTCTGTTACAGTCGTTGTCGTGCCTGATGTGAGATTGCTAGTAGAAGCCTCTCCTGTTATTGGAGCATTGGGTTCGATAGTTGCCTTGGGGATCTTGCATAATGAAATGGCTGGCTGGTTTGGGTTGGCTGACAATAAAAAGTAACCACGCGATGTCCCTGTCTCCACATCAATTGGAAACAAGGACTCATAAAGTTTCTCTACAGAGACAAAGTAAGAAGGGTATTTGAATCTTGCAGTGTCCAGCACCAGTACCATCCCTGCCTTGGGCACATATCCTCCAATAGGGCTAATCGTTTAAAACATCAGCATAATGTTAGTCTTCTGAATTCTGGGCCATGGGAAATATAATATATACGCGACAATGCTAAAAAAAAAAAAAAAAAAAACATCTCCAAATGCAAGTTGGACCTTACCTAAAGTGTCCATCTCCTGTCTGACCAAGAGCCTTTCTTGAAAACGATACGACCATATGGATATCATCACGACTGCAGACCATTTCTAGGTCTTTTTTAAATTGCTCCAATGATGTTTGGTTTGCTCGACGAACTTGGACATCACAGTGACATTTGCTTAAACAGGCAAATTGATTAAAAGTGATACCCTTGGCCTTGACTTGTTCTGTCGGTGCACAGCACTGCAATAACTCGTCACTATACCATCGCCAAGCGCCTTTCCATTGTCTCTGTGGATCTACCTCCAATGAATTGAGAACCATGGCTAATGAGCTGGGCCCACAAAAGGCTGTCTCACTCTGTGTCGTGAAATTTCCCACAAGAGAAAAATAACCTTCGCCTAAAAAAAAAAAAAATAGATCATCAATTTATTAGTCCATGCATAGATGACAAAAAAAAAATTTTTTTTTTTTTTCCTTTAATGCAGATTACCCGTTAGAACAAATAAAAAATATTAGATGTAGATAGATCTATTACCATAACCTTCTTCAAGCATCTCACGAAACAATTGTTTGCCTTGAGGACTTGTGAAACTGATTAGATGATCGGGTAGTTTGCGACGATAAAATGACTTTTTTAGATTCAAATTATCACAGGAGGGTTTTTTAACAGCTTGGGCGGAGAGTCCCGTAGGGTCATAGGAGAAAGGAAGTATTCTTGGTATATGGGTAGAGGAAGAAGGAGCAACACCAGAAGCAGCAGAAGCGGCGGCGGAGGAAGGGGTAGTGGTAGCAACAACAGGCGGTGGAGTAGAAGAACTAGTGGTTTTCGTTGAAGCAGAAGCATTAGAGCTCACAGAACAAGGAGATGTGGCCTTGGGTGCAGCTGTAGGTGTGCTTGTTGCTGGTTTCGAAGACTTTGCAGTGGTTGAAAAGAATGAAACAGATGGGGAAGAAATTGAAATCTTCTTTTGAGGAATTGAATTCAAACGGCAGGGACATGAATGAGGAGTGAAGATGAATCCTGCACCTTGACCTCTACGGCCAGTTGAGGCCAAGGTATTAATCAGACCATTCTTAGTGGCGAGCAAGGAACGATTGGACGCCATGTGTGTTTATTACAGTAAGGGAGATAAGGGAGGAATAGGCGTCTATATAATGGAGAGAGAGAGAGTATGTGAATGTATATGAGAACAAGAAAAAATGAGTGTCAATGTAAAAAAAAAAAATAACGAAAAAGTGGGCGCAAGTGGAAAAGGAAATAAAAAGAATAAAAAAGCGTGACCTCGAAAATGGAAAAGATCGGGTCATTTCTGGAGAATCTGATAAGAAAAAAAAAAAAGATCAGGCATGCCCGCAATAATAGTTTTAGTCTCCCTTAATCAAATTAGGATCTGATAAGACAGTAAAAAAATTAATAAATCAGGCACTCCTCTCTTTTTCTCCCGCCTTGTCTCACTTAGTTTTAAACTTCTTTAAAAGGCTCACACGCATTACTTCTTGCGCAGTATGCTAATTAAATAGTGCATACTGTGTGGATTTTTGCTTGCTGCTTGTTTTTCAACTCTTTATCCTAGAAGCAAGTATACAGCCAGCTATTACTAGTGCATGGTCATGTCGTGCTTTATCACCGATAATGCTGTATTCTAATTACAAACGAGGTTGCACTAATTGAATGCAAATAGAGAGCATACAAGGCCCCAGTGGGTGTTTTTCAGAAGAGTAAGTGTTATCTATTTCATGGGCATGTAAAGATAGATTAAAATAAGCCTAATTTTCAACTACTTCTTCACCCGCAACCTTCCATCACTGCACATCCATTTTCAAGTGACGAGGAGAAATACGGTAATAAATAAAAACCTTTGGGTTCTGACTTTGATCCTTGACCTATGTCACATACTATCCACGATCCCATTTACCGACAGAGCACATTTCTGTTTCGCCTTTAACCTTTTCAGAGGTTGACAAGCTCCATCATGATATCTTGGACGCGCTGGCGAAGACGGCATTTACAAGTCTCCGAGTCCCTGAACCTTTATCATCAAAATCTTCTCCGCCCTCATCGACTTTGATAGTCCAGGCTCCTAACTATTTTTCTTGATAATAGAGTCACCCATACCCTCTGCCTCGATTATCGCAAGTACCCCAAGACTGACAACGTCTTCTCGCTCCTCTAAGAAGCAGAAATGTGTGTATTACCATAGGACCTTGACACAGTCTTACTCCCTCATTGATAAAAAGTGGTAAGTCCAAGCAAGTGTGCAGAAAAAGCATTGAGGTTTATACCAGTTAATGATATGATTCAAAAATAGACATTTAGGTAAATGGAGAGAAGAAAGTAGATCTTGTTTCAAAAATTCCAACATACCCTCTTCTCACCCTACTAGATGCGAGTTTATTCTTTGTCCGTCATTCTCACCTTCTGGGATGGTCTGTTTGCAATTGTGGGCTCAAATATTTGGTGTCATTGCCAACAAGACAGCACTTCTAACGTAAGTAACCCATTGGGTTCTCCACAGGATTCTTCATCTCTATCCGTTTTTACAAAACTCTTTGATAATAGTATCACAAAATTCTGCCTTTTCTTGCATACAAGATCGCATAATGATCACAGCTTTATAAAGTTCTAAATGCCCTAGTAGAAGGGAGGACGGATTAAACCGCTTTATTCGTCTAGAAGGTAAGTGGATAATGATGGCTTCATTCATAAAGAATGAACCATTGTAAAAATTTCTCAAGGAACGGGTATAATGCTTTTTTTTTAAAAAAAGACAAAATTTCATCCACTTGATTGGTATTCGATTTAATTCTCCAGATTCGTACCGGCTGATCCTCCTGAATATGCAGCTTCGATGTCGATTTTTATGACACGCTGTCTTACATGTTTTGAGCATTTATATGGATTCTGGATGACCGTATTTCTGGTGGTAAGAAAGTTCTGAACTTTAAAATCGTCATATACGTCTCCTGGCACCACAAAATAGAGGAAAATAGTATCATCACTTCCCTTCGACTTTGATTGGTCTCCCTTCAAGCAGGGTCCAGTAATACAATCAATCGTCTGACTGGAGATCCCTAAAGGGAAATCTAATATCACCACGTCGAAATAAGTGATAAGCATAGATTTCAAACAGTGGGCCTTTAACTATATCCTCTCCGCCTATGACAAGTCTCGCCAACACATCGACCCAAGTGTTATCTTTTATTTTGTCCATAATCTGTGATTCGACCCAACGAGATGCCCACACCAGGTAGAAGTCGAGATGGTCAGAAGTGGGGACTCTATGGAGTAAACGACTAAATTCACTCGCTTCTTTTCCTCGTGCAAAGAGGCTTAGAAGATCTGCTGGTTTCTCGAGTGTACTAATGGCATCATTGACGCGGAATAACGCAGCTTCTTTAGCACGCTCAGTATTTTTTTGATTTTTGGATAGTACATCGGCTGGACACTGTAGAACCTGTCTTGGCACGCCCCCCAAGTAGTAAAAAAGCTCCTCCAAAAATGCTTCACTCACTACATGAAAAAACTTTACACTGGCTCTACATTCCTTAAGCTCATCCAGACTCCAGAGTGACATGTGATAGTAGCTATCTGGTGTATTTTCCTCGGTGAGTTCATCGTAATGCTCATAGAGAGTTCTTGGCGATACTGAAAATATCGTCCTGGCTTTACCTGGTTGAGGATTTTTACCACTATCAACTAAATACCACGTTTCACGTTGCTCAAGGAAATTTTCGAAATCTACTCTCTCCCCATAACATTGGCAAGTTGTTCCTCCGTAGGCATAACATTTGGTATTCTGCTTCTCTTGGAAAATAATAATCGGTGGATTTTCCTCATCGTGTTCGGCAAGGAGGCGGATGGCAAAATAGACCAAAAAGGCCGACTTCCCAATTCCAGGCGTTCCAGTGATAAAGAGTCGGTTCAAACGAGTTACTTCATGAGGGGTACTTAATTCGGATGTAATATGGTCATAAAGCTCTTTATACTCATCTCTGATATAAAGATGCCTTGTTTTAGCAATAGGGAAGATACAACCCTCAGGGGCAGTCAATATTTTGGAATCCTTGATACCACCAGAATTTCGGAGCTCGCGAGCCACGCTAATAATGCTGTAGTAAATACTATCTACTGATGTCTTCCCCATGTACGAAAGCAGCTTGACCCTCTCTTTCGAGTTTAGACGCGGGATGGCAGGGCTACCATTCACTATCCCTTTCGTTACAAGCCCTGCTTCTGTAATCGCATCCATAAGAGGATTTCTGCTTATACTTGGACGAGCTTTTTTAGAGGGTGACTCTGATAAAGGAGATAGAGTGATCAAAGTCAATATTTTTGATTTATTGCACTGCACATTACTCTAAATTGATCAATAACCAGGTTCTCAGCCAAAAGCACTCACCAGAATCTCCATCTTGTTTTCTTTTCTGACCTAAGTATCAAAAGCGAATAATGAGAAAGAACGTTGAGTTATCAAGACACAAACCAAATGGCGACATTATGCACATGGCCGTTTAAGATACAAACCAAGCTTCATCAGCTGGAAATATCAACAATCAGTCCATCAAGAGCCAAAGATATACCTCGCTGTGGTGGCTTGACAAAAACATGGATAGTTTTCTCTGGAAGTTCAGAATTAAATATGTCCCCAAGCTTCCTTGACGCGGGTGCGAGAGCCTCTTTTGACTCGATTTCTGACTCGACGACGGTCTTGTCTTCGTCAGGGATGGAGACCTTATAGAGGGTGAGATCTTTGGGCTTAATGCTTGGATCCACAGTAATATTGGGGTAGATTGCTTGCTTGAGCATCCCGACCGATTTATCGCAGAAAATCTCTACTGGGAACGACCTTGCTTCTCCCTCGACAACGCAGTTCAGCAGTAGCAGTGGGATGGCGCGCTTTTTTCGTTGTGGGTGCTGGTTTACTCTTTTTCGTTTATTGAGTGTGGAGGCATCCTCAGGCTTATTTGCAGTCATTTTTTTTTGTGCTTGGCTCTCTGTGGAATCATTTGCAGCCATGTTTTTTTGTGTTGAGCTCCTTGTGGTGGCCATTGAAAATTAAGATGAGTGTGGTTGAAATGCAGGGAGAATGATGGGTAAATAGGCAAAGGTATATTCTATACTCTTTCACACTCGTGGTCGCTGTATGAAAACAATAATGAAAGATGTGTAAGGCAAAAAAAAAGAAGGAAAGGAAAGGAAAGATAAATTTGTTCCTTTATTTCAAGGTTAGGCTTTGCGTGAGAAAATATTTTTTCAAATCAGCCACGTGCCATTTTCTGGGTCATTGTGACGTGACAATCTTTAGTGCGCAAAGAACTCATTTCTCAGTCTCGTCACCAGCCTGAGGACGAAGTTCATGTGCACATGCACAGGCTGGGACCAAACTTGACATTTTGGCCGGAGGTCTCTTTTTTTAAATTTGAAAAAGTTTCAAAGTCAAACACACCGCTAGGAAAGGCTCTTTTTTTTTCTTAGTCATTTACACCATAGGGAATAGCTTTTTTTTATTTCTTTTAATTTTTCTATATTTGTTTAAAGGTGAGAATGATGAGAGGTAAATTTCGTAGTGATAATCAGATGAATAAATGAGATTGTGAAGAAAAACAGTAGCATGCTTCACACGTAGGCCATTTTCCTCTGATCTGTAGGACTTTGCTTGAAAAAAAATGATTTAAAAAAAAAAAAGCTGTCCCCTGTGGTGAAAATGACTAAGAAAAAAAAGAGCTTTTCCTAGCGGTGTGTTTAACTTTGAAACTTTTTCAAATTTAAAAAAGAGACCTCTTATAATTTAACTGTAACCTAGACAAATGTGCTTGGGTCTTAAGGATGCCATCTCAGTCATATTCGCTATCTATCTTTTTCCCTCGCGTCCCGGTCACATCCCTGAACGTGTTGCTCAAACTTTTTAAAGCGTACCCCTTCATCAATCATCTTTCCTGTACCTCAATGGGACCAGAGCACCAATGCCAAGAAAATTCGGCCGAAGATGACTGGTAGTACGGGGCATACTGGATAAGTAGAATTGGATGAGAAGAGTACTTAAATATTAAAATAATCAATCTTAAACCTTTTTTTTTTTTTTTACTTTATTTAAAAGCTTCACAGGAGAAAACTATATTCTCTCTTCCAAACATCGGCTCACACCAAAGTGCTGATTTTACTTGCTCTCAGTTGCTTTTATTGATTTTGGATTAAGAAAAGTAGTTGGGGCACGAAGTTGGATCCCTTGAGGGGATACCGGACTTGCCAAAGGACATGCTGTCCACCCACTGCGCATTATATTGGGTCTTACCCTTAGCAAGGGGAGTATAGCTTCCAGTGCAATCGGTGCTTGAGAATAGCTTAACATCTCCTACGTCTCTGTTGTAGATCTTGGCCGTTTGGGTGTTGATGAGGCAATAGCACGCTCTGTAGCCTGAGTATTCGTAAAAAGTGCGAGTCCAGCCCGCGCTGTTTGTGATATCAACATGGTAATCTCCTTGAGCAAGCGCACCAGCTGCACAGAGTGCCAACAACAAGAGTGATTTATGCATTTTTTTTTTAGATCGATATCTATTGCAGAGAAAAGCCAGGAAGAGCAACAAGAGTTCAAAAAAAGATCAGAAGGCTTGAGGGCACAGATCCTGAAGATCAAATACTAAAAGAATAAGGGAACAGGGACTTACGGTGTGTATTGAGAAAGAGGATGATGAGCCATTTGTTGGTGGGAAAGGCCCTGTTTTTATATGAAGCATGATGTCCTGTGAAAATAAATCCTGGGACTCGATCGCTGAGATCGAACTCTAAAGTTTACACTAAATTGCCACTATCAGGGTGCTCTTTCCCAAACCTACCGAAATCAATCCTACTGTTGCATGTTACAGGGTCTACTTCAAGGTAAAAGAGAGAACAGAAAACAGGTTCTTTGCTTTCTAATTAATTGCTTTTTTGTTTTGAGTTCGGAAAACGGCGTTTGCAAATAAACTAAGCGAGCGCCCCATATTAACTCAAAGGGAGCGCCGTGTGCGCACAAACTTAAAGAAAGCGCCGTTGAACTCAAAGAGTGCGCGCTTTTTGATTTAGTGTGCATGGAATCATTCCATTCTTCGGATACAAATATCTCCGTTCTCCTCAACACAAACCTTTCATCACCGATCTCTTTTCTTATTCTCTGTATGCCTTCATTCTTTTTTTTTTTTTTTTTTTTTTTTTAAACATACTTCTTTGTCTCTGAATTAGCTAATGCCCTGAACTTCTGACTTGCCTGATGCCTAACATCCTAAATCTCTCTTGTTTCTTCCTTTATGGCTTCTCTAGAGTGACCAGCAATGTATAAATCACTCGTCTTGTTGTTAGCAGTTTGCTCGAACGTTGTCCTCGGCTACCACTACGTTACGATCGAGAACAACGCTGCCAAATATTATTCGACCGCTGCACTGCAAGATCTGGAGAGAAAGTGCATCTGTGTCAAGAATACTCAAACCGCTGCAATCAGAGGAGTCAATGGAGGAACCATCAGGCTGTTCAAATCTAACGACTGCACAGGAACCTATCAAACTCTAGGAAGCAATAGCTACCTAAAGAACACATACTGGGTGAACAGCTACTCATTCGGTGCATCGGGTATGGCATCATCAGGCCCAAATGGATGCCCAAACTACTTTGCCTAGGAGCACTATTAGCTGTGGTGTGGGTGAAGAAACACAAATAAATGAATGACTGAAAGATGTTTTGCTTGCTTGCCAATGTACAAGAATGTGTTATGTGTCAAATAAATGTAGATGTCGCTCCTCCGTAACAACGGAGGATGGAGCAAGAATAGTGAAGCCTTAGCTTTAAAAGCGATCTGGCTATAGTAGTAAGCAACCTCAATCTGCGTTGGAAGAGCTGGCTGTATAGTGTGATACAAGATGTAAGCTTATGATTAGGATCACTCTCAATGGAAATGCAGTACCAGGAAACAGGAATATGCATCGATGATAAACTCTCCACAGGAAAAGGGCTCCACCTATTTTATAACAGAAACTGCAATAGCTATAAGGTGGAACAGAGGACTAAGGAATACTGCACCCGGGTGTAACGGAATTCTGACGGGGGGACGGGGGTGTTCGCGGGGGGTCAAAATTCAATTTTGACGTGGGGGTGTATTTCTCCTTTGTTCTTTTGGCGAAGCTGCAAATCCTAGAGACAATGTTTGGGAGAGGTAACGTGTGAAGCTTCCAAATAAACTTTTTTTTCTTTAAGTCTTGGATTGTTCCTGTATCATGAGAGTTGAGAAACATGACTATTAGCGAACTGAAACAGGGCCTGTGCTCGATATTTTGATACGCGTTCGTTTTTTTCGCATCTTTTTTTTTTCTTTTTTTTTCTGTTACTTCTAAACTCTTTTTTTGTTTAGTCCAGCTTACCATAACTTTATCCTCTACCTTACACTTTTACATATTTGCCTAGGTCACCTTTTCATTCCTTTCAATTTTACGCTTTTACGCCTTTACTCAGGGCACCACCACGAAGCGCCAGCTCAGACCAAAGAATCTTCTGATAAGAAATCGAGCTCCAAAGGAGAACCATAGCCCTACTTTTCAACTCCCATTTCAAATACCCACAACCTTCTCCCTCTCCACTTTTGCCCTTTGCTTACAGAGAAATGGTTGCAAAAGATAGTCCTTTATAAATATGCGTGCAACGCTGTGTAAGGTGCCGTTGAGTAGGCGTCGCTTAGCCGTTCTTCGTGCCATTGCTTGTAATGTTGTATTTATATACTGTATATTTGAATAAATGCATTCTATGTCCTTCCAAAAATGGTCGAACCTCAATGATGAGTCCCTTCAAATGTCGTTCATGACCTGCATGATATAACCAGCCTTCAATGATAGGGTTCTTCAACCATCGATACATGTGTATGATTAAATTGATTGGACACTTAAAGGCATAGAATATTTCTATGCTGTGAATGCTGAAAAACATGGTTTCTAGGAAATTGAAACTTCATACGAGTTTTTTTTTTTTTTTTTTTTTTTTTTTTTAAGCAGCAGTGTTGATATATGATATAATTGATAGGCTTCTTCTAAACTGTTTTTGAGCCCAGTCCGTCTCTGCGCTCCAAAAAAAAAAAAAAAAAAAAAAAAAAAAGTGAGAAACACGAACCAGTGGCGCAAAGGCCAAGATCTTGGTACTTCTTTGTGCTTAATCACTGATCTATCCCTTGGACTGTAAAACGGGCAAATTTGCTCATTTGGCTTTCACCAATTCATGGGCAGGCAGATCCAGTTCTCCGTGCTTTTTACTAACAGATACCAGCCGTCTATTCCATACCAAAAAAGAAAAAAAGAAAAAAAATTCAGTAAAAAATCAGTGAAGAAAGCCAGCAAAAACCGTATGCCTAGTTATATCATCATGATGTGCTATGCCCACCATCCATTTGCCTTCAGTCCTTTGCGCACCTAGCAACCTTCATCACTTCTTTCCTCCTTCCCCCAGCCTAAAGGAAAACAAAGCGCCGTTTCGGCTCCTTTTTCGCCACAGGTGTGAATCCCCCATGCTGATCTAGAAATGGTTGTCATTTTGACTTTAAAAAACCGATTGGTTGCAGGCTCAAGTCTTTGTCTCTAGCTTGCTCTGCCCCTGTGTTTTCCCAGACGAAAGCCCTTGAATCTATCAATCCGGAAAAAGTAGAGGACGTTACGGTTGACAATACATGAGACCAAAGCCAAGGATCATTTACCGAATTTGGCTTCGTACTGTCCTGGCGAAAAGTACTTGAGTTTGATCTATGTCCACCCAATAGTTGTTGAAAAGGATCGAGATGACCGGAATAGTGACAAAATCTGGGATAAGGAGTCAGATTCAGAACTCGATTGCAGCCCATTGATGTAACTCCTTATGGCTATTGATGGAAGCAATATGCCGGGTTGTCTTCCTGAAGAAGTGGTTGCCTTGCCCGATAGCGTGAAGGATTACAGGCGAGTATATGAGCGACCAGGCTCGTCTAATAGAGCAAACAATATTAGAGAAGCAGCAGTAGTCATAGCAGGAAGATATGTCAATAACCAATATGTTGCAGCTAATGTACAAACCACATTTAAACCTTGGTTTCAACCTTGGACATTTTGTTTTTATTTTTTATTTTTATTTTTATTTTTATTTTTATTTTTATTTTTATTTTTATTTTTATTTTTAATTTTAATTTTAATTTTAATTTTAATTTTAATTTTAATTTTATTTTTATTTTTCGCTTTATCTACTTGGTATAGCTTTAAGTAAAAGATCATATGTGTTACTGCAGGATACAAGCGTTGCGTCCCTCAAACATCAGCTCATACTCAAAGGGGACACATCAAAGTGCTGATTTTGCTTGTCCTCAGTTGTTTTTTTTTTATTGATTTTTGGTTAAATAAAGTAGTTGGGGCACGAAGTTGGATTCCTTGAGGGGATGCCAGCCTTGCCAAAGGACATGCTGTTCACCCAGTACGCATTATATTGGGGCTTGCCCAGACCAAGGGTACTATAACTTCCAGTGCAATCAGTGGTCGAGAATAACTTAACATTTCCTCCCTCTCTGTTGTAGATCGTGGCCGTTTGTGTTTTCTTGAGGCAATAGCACGGTCTGTGGCCAAAGGAGTCAAATAAAGTCTCCATTCTGCCTTCGTTATCTATAATATCAACATTGTAATCTCCCTGAGCAAGCGCACCAGCTGCACAGAGTGCCAACAACAGGAGTGATTTATGCATTTTTGTTGATCGATATCTATTGTAGAGAAAAGCCAGGAAGAGCAACAGGAGTTCAAAAAAAGGTCAGAAGACTTGAGGGCACAGATCCTGAAGGTTAAATACTTAGAAGAGTGTGGAGGGAATGGGAACTTACATTATGTATTGAGGAAGAGAATGGTAAGCCATTTGTTAGTGGGAAAGATTTTATATGAGTCCAGGGACTCGATTGTTGAGATCGAACTCTAAAGTTTACACTAAATTAAGTGAGCGCCGCACATAAACTCAAAGGGAGCGCGCCGTGAACAGGCCCACTTGATTGCCCAAACTATTTGCCTAAAAGTACTATTGGATGAAGGAATACAAATAAATATATAAGATAAATATATATGTATTTTGTTTGTCCAAGAGATGTATAAATTAGCGTTAGGGATTCTGAATTTACTAATATGGTAACAGGGAACATGGGTTTTCACCTGTGAAATTTCCAAATAGAGTAAAAAATAAAATTAAATATTCTCCGATGTCATTCTTATCAATTTAGATCAAACTGTTCTCGTTCTTATATTAGTGCTTCAGATCGCAAGAATGTCAACAACGCCATTTTCTTCAGAGAGTATAGACAGCTCGGGTATCAAACACACAACTCTACATTATTACATTAGGCTGTGTTCAGTTTTATCCAGAATGAAGACAAAGGATTCTACGAAATCTTCCAGGGGCTCAAATGATATGCAATTTGATGGAAAGCTCTGTGGGTGGCACGGACCCTTGGATCTGGTTCAATTCTTCCACAATAAAAAGTTCAAGCAAGAGTTGTTGAAAAGGATCGAGACGACTGGAACAGTGACAAAATTTGGGATAGGGAGTCAGATTCAAACTCGATTGCAACCCATTGATGTAACTCCTTATGGCTATTGATGGAAGCAATATGCCGGGTTATCTTCCTGAAGAAGTGGTTGACTTGCTCGATGATGTGAAAGATTACAAGCGAGTATATGAGCAACGAGACTCGCCTGATAGGGTAGACAAGAAACTAAAGAAGCAACAATAGTGAGAGTAGGAAAGCTGCTAACAAATGATATGTTGCAGCAAAATATACAAAGGATATCAAAATCTTTGGGCGTTTTTTTTTTTTTACTTTATTTACTTAATATGACTCTAAGTAAAAGATCGTATGTGTTGCTGCAGGATATGAATGCTGCATCGCTCCAGTATCACACTTTTTTTTTCATACGTGAGAATTGTACTGTACATTAGTTCACACTCATAAGTGGCCCACACCAAAGTGCTGCCCGCTTTCAGTTGTTTTTATTGATTTTTGAATTAACCAAAGTAGTTAGGGCATGAAGTTGGGTCCCTTGAGGAAATGCCAGACTTGCCAAAGGACATGCTGTACACCCACTGTGCACTATATTGGGTCTTGCCCTGAGCAAGGGGAGTATAGCTTCCAGTGCAATCAGTGCTTGAGAATAGCTTAACATCTCCTCCGTCCCTGTTGTAGATCTTGGCCGTTTGTGTATTCTTGAGGCATTTGCACACTCTGAAGCCAGTGTAGTCGTAGAAAGTGATTGTCCTGCCTGCGTTGTTTGTGACATCAACATGGTAATCTCCCTGAGCAAGTGCACCAGCTGCACAGAGTGCCAACAACAAGAGTGATTTATGCATTTTTGTTGATCGATATCTATTGCAGGAAGAAACAAGAGTTCAAAAAAGGTCAGAAGACTTGAGGGCGCAGAGTCTCTGAAGATCAAATACTATGAGGGTGTGAGGGAGATAGGAACTTACATTGTGTATTGAGGAAGAGAATGGTGAGCCACTTGTTAATGGGAAAGCCTGTTTTTTATATGAAGCATGGTGTTCTTTCTGCGAAGAGAATTCCGCGGTCCGGCTGCTGAGGATCGAACTTTAAAGTTTACACTAAATTGCCCACGATGAGGGTCCCCACATGGTCTGCTACAAGATAAAAGAGATAACAGAAAACAGGTTGTTTGTTTTCCTAATTGCTTTTCTAATTTGAGTTTAGTTCTCAAGTTGTTCCAACTGTTCTGTTCAAACAAAAGAAAGAGAGCGGCGTCTATAGAGCGCCGCACATAAACTCAAATGAAGTGCACACAAAACCTGAAGAGTGTGCTGTTGAATACCAAGGGAGCGCCGTTTTTTTTGATTTTAAGTTCTCGTGGCCCTTGAGTTTGTGTGCATTGGATCATTCCATTTTTCGGTACAAATATCCCCCTCTCTCCTCAACACAAACCTTTCATCACCGATCTCTTCTCTTATTCTCTGTATGCCTTCATTCTTTTTTTTTTTTTTTTTTTTTTTTTTAAACATCTTTGTCCCTGAATTAGCTAATACCCTGAACTTCTGACTTGCCTGATGCCTAACATCCTAAATCTCTCTTGTTTCTTCCTTTATGGCTTCTCTAGAGTGACCAGCAATGTATAAATCACTCGTCTTGTTGTTAGCAGTTTGCTCGAACGTTGTCCTCGGCTACCACTACGTTACGATCGAGAACAACGCTGCCAAATATTATTCGACCGCTGCACTGCAAGATCTGGAGAGAAAGTGCATCTGTGTCAAGAATACTCAAACCGCTGCAATCAGAGGAGTCAATGGAGGAACCATCAGGCTGTTCAAATCTAACGACTGCACAGGAACCTATCAAACTCTAGGAAGCAATAGCTACCTAAAGAACACATACTGGGTGAACAGCTACTCATTCGGTGCATCGGGTATGGCATCATCAGGCCCAAATGGATGCCCAAACTACTTTGCCTAGGAGCACTATTAGCTGTGGTGTGGGTGAAGAAACACAAATAAATGAATGACTGAAAGATGTTTTGCTTGCTTGCCAATGTACAAGAATGTGTTATGTGTCAAATAAATGTAGATGTCGCTCCTCCGTAACAACGGAGGATGGAGCAAGAATAGTGAAGCCTTAGCTTTAAAAGCGATCTGGCTATAGTAGTAAGCAACCTCAATCTGCGTTGGAAGAGCTGGCTGTATAGTGTGATACAAGATGTAAGCTTATGATTAGGATCACTCTCAATGGAAATGCAGTACCAGGAAACAGGAATATGCATCGACGATAAGCTCTCCACAGGAAAAGGGCTCTACCTATTTCATAGCAGGAACTGCAATAAGGACTATAAGGTGAAGTAGAGACTATTCGATATGACGGGATGTGAAGGGATATGAAGGAGCAGAGGATCAGGCATCAAGACACAAAGTAAGTCTATGAAATACAAATGGATCGACTAATAGTTCTGTAGTCCGAATCTTAAAGAGAAAATTTGCGTCGGAAAGGGTCGCTAGTACAGATAATGAGCGAAGGAAATCCTTCATCATCTTTGCTGCACAATCTGAATACAGATAAGGCCACTGGGTTGGTTGTTTTTAATTGTGGTTATATAATGATTTTTTTTTTTTTTTTTTTTTTTTTTAGTGAATGAAAATACTTTCTCTATAGGCATCTTTTAGATTCTCTTTCTCGAGTGCACCCTGTCGCCATTAAAAAGTAAAAGAGAAAGATAACGATGTGATGTGAGCTTTTGGACAGAGTGTACCTGTTATTTAGAGCCGGATATCAAAGATCAGATCTCACTTTTTTTTTCCTACTGAGGGCACAGCGGTAATTGGTTGCACTTAAACACCACCAATTTTATTAGAAATGTATAAAAATAAAAGCACCAAGTCGTAAAGTATAGAGAAATAGCGGAGTGAAATAACAACGCCACCAATTTTATTGAAAATAGCATAGCTTTTTGGTCAACAACGACTTTTGCAGCGTCACCTGACATGCAAGTGCACATATATAAAGAGTTGATTTGTCAAGAACAAGTGGGAGATGAGAGCATGGACAGGGCAGATCAAATAAGAATCTAGTACATGTACAAAATTTGCACGGGAACGATCAAATGCCTTTGTGTGAACATTAGGTCAAAAAGCATCAACAGTCCAACTCACACTGAAAAAAACCCTGAAGTATCTCAGAAGAGTCGTGCTATGTCTTCAGATGACTTTGTTATTTCAGACGAAGAGTGTATATCCACAAACTTCCTAAAAGCAAATTAGGATCTGATAAGACAAAAAAATATACACATGACATCCCCTCTTCTTACAATGCTTGCATGCGTTGCTCTTGCATAGTAAAAGTGACTCTTCACTTTATTGATCCAGGAGAATTTTTTTTTTTTTTTTTTTTTTTTTTTTTTTTTTTGATTGTATCTCTCCCATAATAAACAACCTTTGTAGTAAGCTTATTGTTATTTTTGTTTAAATCAAAATAGCATCATCCACGCCGGTCCCTGACCCTGACCCTGGAAGGTTCTTACTACTAGTTCCTGAGCCTGTACTTGAGCCTCCAGAACCCGACATTTGTCTAATATTAGCGGATGATCCAGGACGAGGCATATCAATGTTGGTTCGAGACCCAGCTCTTGCGACTGAACGTTCACCATCCCTAGATGATGTAGGTTGTGAAATGGAAGTTTTATAAGGTGATGATGGTGCTGGTCCCGGTAGTGCAGGCGCAGAGGGTAATGGGCGGGATGGCGGAGGACGATGCGATGAGAGTGATGACGAAGATGGAGCTGAAGGGGTATTGAGGAAGCTTTGGGATTTCTGGCTAGAAAGGCCTTGTTGTATGACTCCTGCCATCGCTGCTTCTGGACTCTGATATGAAGATACGGGATCACTTCTTTTGGGAGATATCTGTGCCATCTGTTGTAGCTGCTGTTGCTGATATTGCTGTTGTTGCTGTAGTTGTTGTTGTTGGCGCCGAGCTTGGTGTTGATGGACGGATACTTGATCCAGATGAAGCTGTTCTTGTTTCTGTGTTATTTCCAGCTCCTCTTCTTGAGTTACACTTGGTGGCGGAGCCATCCTGAAATCCATTGAATCTTGAAGAGGTCGCACATATGGATGTGCTAATAATTCAGCCATCACTGAACAATATTTTTTAAAGATCCGTGTCAGCTCATAGTAATATCCTGGTGCGCGAGGATCTTCTATATCTGTTAACCTATCATATACATGCTTTAATACCAACCAACCAACCAAGAAGAAAAAAAATATAAGAGGGTTGTAAACATCTTCTCTAATCAGTCCAAAAAGTCGACACTTTTTTTTTGTTTGCAATATGAATATATTGAAAAGTTCGTACCTGAGGCTTAACTGGTCCTGTGCTCTCGGATGATTTCAGATGTATGTATACACAATCGCAGAAGAACTTCCCACTAGAATACAGGACATCAAGAAGCTAAATGAAAATATCAAAAACCCCCTCCTCATTTCCTTGTCAGCCGCCATAACCAAATATCTGTACCGTTTTTTTTTTTTTTCCTTTGCTCCTGTTCCTATTGAAAGGTGGGAAAAAAAAAAAGGTATCATGAAGGCATGCTTACATTCCGATCAGGAACACTGGGAATAACGTCCGATCGAGTGTAGATCATAATTAGGCGATATGATGAACCATCAACCTCATCCAGGTTAATGTGCTCCAGACTTTGAGTAGAGTTTTTTTTTTTTTTTTTTTTTTTTTTTGGAAGGAAGGAAGGAAGGAAGGAAGGAAGGAACATATAATCAATTTCGGATATTACTTTTTTTTTTTTTTTTTTTTTTTTTTTTTTCTCTTTATGGGCCAAAAGGCAATAGAATAGATGCTGTCCTTTGTAGCTTACACTTCTTTGAACATCGAGGTGGTATCTATAAAGGTATTCAGATGGTTGTCAAAACAAAGGAAATTATTAAAAAAAGAAATACATGATAATAAAGGCCAGCAACTCTGAGGGAGAGTATCTCTGCAAGTCTTACCAAATGCTTTAAAGTTTCCCATGGTATACAATTCATCAATGGCATGAGATAATAATACAGTATCCGAAGTGAAGTCCATATGCTAAGTAAGATAATCAAGCAGACAAGGAAGAGAAAAATACTTAGTTTTGTCTTTGCTTGCTTGTTTTCCTCCAATGTATAAAAAATATATAAAATACATAAAAAAGGGTTTGTGGATAAATCAATGACGTTTTCTTTACCCAGACAGCTTTCTCGCCCAGAATCATGATAGCAAACTCATGCTTTGAATCCCAACACGACTTTTGCTCAATAAACCATTTTAAAAGCTGCTTTGTCCTATTGATCCGCGTTTCACTAGGGAGGAAAAAAAAAAAAAAAAAAAAAGAAAGTTCATTTTGTTATTAAAGAGTTTGCAAAAAAAAAAAAAAAAAAAAAAAAAAAGGTGGCAAAAAAAGAAACGCTCAATCATACGCACTTGGTCTTCTCTCCTAGAATAAAGTATTCATCCATGGATTGGTCCAGGTCGATGCCAAATATCTGCAGAATAATAAACAATAACAATCAAATGCAATTAAAAAAATTGTGCCTTATATTACTACTATGATTGCTGGCATTTGTTAAAAAAAACGAGAGCAGAGAATATAAAAAAAAAACTCTTCCTGCAAGCCTTTACAATTTTTTCTCGTCCAGGCAGAGGAATTGCCGCGTCATGTTCGCCACTAGTTGAATCCATTTCTTCCATGAGAGTATATAGAGCACAAGGCGTAAGGACGAGTTATTAATGTAACAATTGAGTTGCTAAAGAGTAAGTTTGAATGCCAAGAATGAGCCAACAGCAACGGTTTTACACTCAAAGTGGTTCATGTGGAACTTGGGCTGAGGCTTTATTTCCGAATTCTATTTCCTCACATAGTCCCCCTTTTTTTCCTCATTAAATAGCGCCACTACTTTTTAGTATACATGTATTTTTATTGATTTTTAGGCTTTGACTATGATGGAGTAGGTAAAGGTGTACTTGGGCGTGGTGAACCAGGATTGGATGCACCAGCCTTTGCACCAAGCCTCCTTGCTGAAGGAAGCAATGGCTGGAACGCGAATTTGGTCCTAAAAGAATGAATATATTGCATGTTATAATTGGTTCCCGGTCTAGGATGAGGTAGACACCATATAAAGCATTCACTGCAACAAACCTGCAAGTAGAGCACACTGGAGAGAAACTACAGAAAACTTGAAAAGTCAAGTAAAAAATAACAGTAAGCATGTCACTCGCCGTGGATACTATTTAGTGAATCATGTTCCGAAACTGTTGAACTTACTGGATAGACATACTGAGCACACATAACCAATGTCGACAATCTTCTTATGACAGAAACAAGCTGCCCTAAAGTCAACTTGATCCTGTCCTGGCAAGTATAAATAATTCCTCGAATACATATCAGGTAAGAATGAAAACTAAAAAAGAAAGAAGGAACCAAATATAAGCAAAAAAAAAGAAAAAAAGGAAAAAAAAAATCAGTAAACAATATAGTAAAGGATCCTATCAAGCCTCCATGTCCCAAAATATATTTACCATCAGGATCTGTAAGAGGCCTCTTGGGTCGCTCGGTTTCATATAGATACCCTCTGTTATATGCGCCGCCTGTTGAAGGAACACAGCATCTTTGCCCCATATCTTGCATACATCAATAGGTATATTCTATTTTGACAAACGATTGTTTACGTTAGTAGCAACATCTGCGGGTTGGAAATATATATATATATATATGAAAGCGAGAGTTTCCTGAACAGCCTCAAAACTTACCGCCTTTTGCGCTGAAAAGATGCAATTCATAATGGGGATATAATCCGATGATGAATCCGGTGACACTGTCAAGACTAAGATCCTGGGTCTAACATGCCCCATCCCATCGGATTTTAGGGCCTGGTTGATATCTACCAATGATACCGGAAAAGAAATATACACTTTAAGAACATGTCTCCAATGCTTTTGCATCGAAGTAAAATGTTCCTTGACTATTATACATGGTGAATCCCGAAAGAAAAAAAAAAAAAAAAAAAAAAAAAAACCTACAACAGAGTCCAAGTGATAGTGAAGCCGCAATCTTGGATGAACCAACGTCTCGCTCCTCCAACGCAGGGCGAGGGTCCTGCAATAGTTTTGCAATCCCGGACTGGACTGCATCATTAACAACCTTAAAAACTTGGTATGCATTGGCGTCCTTCTTTGTTCCTACTCTCCCACCAGGGATTGGTCCATTCAATTCTGGATATAAAAATTTGCTGGAATGATAGAGGAGATCGATCAATATCATTCATGTCCGATAAAATAAAATTAAATTGGTGGCGCGTCAATGCTTTTTTTTTTTTTTTTTTTTTTTTTTTTTTTAGTCCATGTTCTCCGTAGTAACTCATAGTTCCGCATTTACCTAGCACCCACATGACTTGCAATCACAGCCAACCTGTTGTCATGCCGTCCTGCGAGATGTGCATTCATAAAAGCAAGAATGTGTTGAAGAGCTTCATTGAGGCTGAGGGGTGCTGAAGGGTGTTCCCATTCAAACGGGTTAATGTCAATGACAATCACCAACAGATTGGGATCATCTATTTATTAATAATATCCACGACGGTCAATTGGTCTATCCTCAAGCGATGAAGTATACAAAGTCGTTCAACTCTTTATTTTTTATTTATTTTTTTTTGAGTCTTGCCTTCATTAATCGTGCTGTCCTTCATTGTTCTTTTGGTTTGAAAAAAGAAGGCAAAGAGCATTTGAGTGCTGTGCATTATAGATATTGTATATTGTTAACACGTGATTTATAAGGCTTTTTTTTTTTTTATTATAATTTTATTTTATTTTTAATCAACGGTTTCAAGAGGCGCAAAGATGTACTCTGAATACAAGAACCGATGCTCCCGCACTGGTATAAGAAACTGAATCCTCAAGAAGTTCTCAGCGTTCAGAGCCATGCTAGCTCTACTTGCCATCGGGCATACTCGCAGTACATTTAGTACATGCGAAAAGTTATAACTGTGCTCGGTCGGGTTCTCGAACGGATATTCAAATGATTCAATTACATCACCCTGTGAGTAATTTACGTCCAGGTTCTCGACTGTCCCCAGACTAGATATTCTAAGGTGTGGGATTTCTGGCGAAACTCGGATCACTACACGGTCGCTAGTGGCATCCAGGTCCCTAAGCCCTTCTTCTAACCATTGAGCCTGCAGCATGCATACAAGCATATTAATAATAAAAAATAAAAAATAAAAAATAAAAGAAGATAATAAGCAGAAATACTTTACAACGTCCATTTCCGTCGTAGTCACTAATAGGAGAGCAGATCCAATGGCCCATACCTTCATATTGATTTTAGCAGTTTCTTCACCAAAGTCAACTTTGACTGGAGGTTCTGGATCGAACGTAGGGATACCACATGTGGTCACAACCCCATTGTCCTCAAGCCTACATTGTCAGAAGATCGGAAATTTTCATTAGTTCTATTTTTTTTTTTCCTAAAAAAAAAAATAAAAAAAAGAGAGCGCTTTACATACGTGAGGATGAATTTGGACCCTGATCCATCGTAACTTAGCTTGACTGCTGTTGCTGGTCCTGATCCAAAAACCGTATTGCTTTGTCCAGAGTTGCCTTCCCCAACTTGAGTACCACTCCATCCAGCTGTGCCAAACATATTGAGACAACTCAGGAGCGTTCCTAGGTTGATACCAAAGCTTACGACTAAATCGGGTTCGTTTCCTCCTGGCATTCTTTGACTACTAGCCAAGCCAACTTGTTGTGAACTTTGCTGCGTATTCGCAACCGTATTGATATTTGGATTCGTGTTCGTATTTATATCCGTATTCGCATATAAACTTTGTTGCGACAAGGGATCATTGATCTCATCACTACCATCATTAATCCCTGCTTTTATTGCAAATTTATAGTCCTCAAACAATTGCCTTTGAATCAAACATCGACAAAACAAGCATCGCGACTCTTCCAGAATGAATGACAAGCCGTCCGATGTTATCATACAGGTTGCAATCTTTTTGTCTCAAGAGAAAACAAAAAATGAAGAAAGAAAAAAAAAAAAAAAAAAATAGAAAGAAAGAAAGAACGAGAGAAGGAAATGAAAATATAATCAACAATTAACACAAGATCCTAGTTACATGAACTACAATAGATGTGCTTTTAATTATTTGCGTTATATCAAGTATATCGTAGTAATAATAGGTGTCTTACATCCTTAATATGGACAGACTTTAGAACTGCTGCGAGATGGCGCACATTCCGAAGACGGGCAGTGAAGTAGCTATTGAAGCTCTGAGAGTAAATACCATCATGTTTTCTAGAGACTTCTGGAAATTGAATGGAATTCATTACATCATTTCTTACCTACCATTGGGTCTCAGGCATGTTGTGTGGTTTCGTGGCAAATGAATAAGAAAAAAAAAAGGTTCAAACTTCAGGCGCGCTTTTTTACAAAATGGTGGCAAATTTATGGACTGTCATTTTTCGGTGGAATGTTTGTGGCTTAAAAAAAAAAAGAATACAGAAAGAGGGAAGAAGGCGAAGACACATGTCGACTTTTTTTTTTTTTTTTTAAAAAAAAACAACACTACCACCATGGCATCAGAGGAGAGCATAAACACAACTGCCAGCACCACCACCCCTGCTCCCGTCACTGAAAGCAGCCCATTCTTGACTGCAGACGATACCAATGATAGAGCAGTTCATCTTATTTTAGATACTTCACCATTTCTGCGTGGGGGTGCCTCGAAGCTGAGAGCTTTGGCTGACAAGTTCTACACTATTCCTGAAGTCCTTAACGAAATCAGGGATAGACAAGCACGAAATGACTTAGCCATGCTACCCTTTGATATCGAAGTCATCAACCCTTCAGAAGCCTCTGTTCGAGCAGGTAAAAAAAAACATGAACGATATACTGTATCGACCCATCTGCATTCATCATATCTGACAAGAAAAGAAAAAAGAAAGAAAGGGAAAGAGAGAGAGAAAAGAAAGGAATAAAGGAAACCTCAATTGTATGCTTATCAAGACCTTCTTCAACATTTTTTATTCTTTTTCTTTTTCTCAACAACAATGTAGTTGCCGCATTCTCCAGAAAGACGGGTGATTATGCAGTACTGTCAGCAACCGACCTTCGTGTCTTGGCTTTGACCTACCAACTGGAAGTCGAAAACTGTGGCATGAAACGTATCCGCACAGAGCCTCATCGAGCAAATGTCCAAGCTGGATCTAAGAAACCTGTTCTACCTAAACGTACAAAACATTCTGCTAAAGAAGTCACCGGAGAGTTTGAGGATGGGACTCAGGAATTGAGCGAGACTCAGCAACAAGAGCAACAGCAGGATGAGCCAAATGCGGATCAGCAAGGAAATACAGTCTTAGAGGAACAATCAGAGGAATCAGAAGACGATGGTGAAGATGATGGTCAAAATGAAGGCGATCAAGTACAGAAACAGGAGGTACAGGATATCACAAGTAAATTTGAAACCATGACCACAACAGAGCCTGCAACAACTAGTGATGCAGTAGAAGCTGAATCATCTAATAATGCAACTGAGAAAACGAAAGAAACGACCAAGGATGAAACCGAGAATGCTCAAGTAAATGGAGATGAAGAAGGAGGCAATAACGATGATGATGATGATGATGGCGAGTGGATTACACCGGACAATGTCAAGAAATTCAAACGCCATGGTACATTAAAGCCCAAAAAAAAGGCTCGCAAGCCGATGTTGATGCAGGTAGCTTGTGTAACAGGTGATTATGCCATGCAGAACGTACTTCTCCAAATGGGACTCAACTTGTTATCTATTGATGGTCTCCGCATCAGCAAAATCAAGAACTGGGTTCTCCGCTGCCATGCCTGTACAAAGTAAGTGGCATGGATCATATTTGAAAGTTAAAAAAAAAACTTCGTCCGGCATAGAAAAAATTACTTTCACAACTTTGTATCCTCGAATTAACTTTTTTTTTTTTTTTTTTTTTTTTACCCTTTTCAGGGTAACATCCGACATGGATAAAAAGTTCTGTCCCAGTTGTGGAAATGCAACCTTGATGCGCACATCGACCAGCACAGATCAAAACGGCAATGTCAAGTATTATCTAAAGAAGAATATGGTCTATAATCTGCGCGGCACAAAATACTCGATCCCCACACCCAAGGGAGGTCGAAAGAACAATGATTTGATCTTGAAAGAGGACCAACGTGAATATGAACTCTCATTGAAGTTTCAGAAACGACAAAAGAACATCGATGCATTCGATCCAGATTATGTGCCACGTCTTTTGGAAGGGCAAATCGATGTTCGGAATCCCTTTGGTGCGCCTATCATTGGTTATGGCAAGCGTAATCCAAATGCTGTAAGGAAGAATGGAACTCTGAGACGGAGAAGATAGATAGAGAAGATAGAGAAGAAAAGGTCATAAAAATAGGGAAAAAAAAAAAAAAAAAAAAAAATTGGTTACAAAAAAAAAAAATATTCAAAAAAGTCAAAATCCAAAAATGGAAGTCGCACGCATGGCACAATCCACGATACTCGTCCATGTGGAATAGCACGCCATTTTCGCAGAACCTTGCTACATTTTTGAAATTTTGGATGTCGTACAATGTGTATGTGCGTATGCATCATTTTACTTTTCTCTCGTTGGCCGTGTAACAGTTGCATAAAATGGATTATCTTGTCCTTTCTCCCCTCTCCTTTTTTTTTCCTCCCTGAATGCCATTGAGTTTTTTTTTTAACGCCTTTCAGTTTTTAAAGTAAAAAGGACCCTGCACCTAAAATCATCGTGCTTATTCCCTATCCCTTTCCTTCCTTCCTTCCTTCCTCCGCCTCTCTTTCCTTTCCTTTCCTTTCCCGCATCTTGGGTTAGATTGTATTCTCAATAAATTACGATCAGCTCTTTCAATTGTGCAACCTCCCTCGTCATAATGTAAAGTTGCTCTTCTGTGGCCGTTACACATCATTGACATTTATATGTTTATAAATATGTCAATTGAATACCTGTAAACTCATCTGAATTTGCTGTGCCTCATTCTCGTGAATAGAAATTTCACGCTTTGCGTTCCACACTCAGGAAATATAGAATGGTAAGACTAGGATATGTCAGCAAATTGAAATGTAACTCTACACCCATTCAAAGGAGTAACACACACACACACCATACACATATAAAATAAAATAAAATAAAATAAAATAAGATAAAAAAAAAAACGGGTGCGTGTATTTACATTTTGTACACTCTTGTACCTCTATAATCTTTTTTTTTTTTTTTTTTTTTCTATACATTAATGTTTGTGTATTTGTGTATGTTGGTCCAAACACAGTTCAGAATGGGTCAGAACACAGTTTGGAAGAAAAGAAAAGAAAAAGGAAAAAGAGGGCCGGCTTTTACTTTGGTCTTATTTTTTTTTCTTTTTTGGTCCGAGAGGAAATGAGTTTCGAAAAGGGTTTCCCAATGATTGAACAAATGTCTGCTTGATCTGCCATCGGTCATCACGGAAGTATTGCCTCTTAATCTGTCGGAGGAAGGTGAAGGGGAGATTGAGGGAGAAAGAGGTAAGGCCTTTTTTTTTATCAGACGACATAAAAAAGAGCGCTTCAAGGATCCTGATTATTGTCATCAGGAACAGGAAGCGTGCCTGAATAATTACGTCCATTTCAAACTATAAAGAGTGAAGCAATGTAACAAAGTCGCAAATAAAGATGGGGTAGTGCGTGGGAGCGATATTTCGCATATTTGATTACCTTTTTTTTGGGTAAAGTTATCATAGCTGCGCAACTCTCAAAGAACGAGCTAGTAAAAAAAAAAAGTACGTTATACAGAAAGTTGAAAACGGGGTGGAGAACGAAACAGGAAAAAATAAGAGAAGGAGGAGGCTAAGAAAGATGTATAGAACTCAAGCCAATAGCAAAATAGCAAAAAAGGAAAAAAAAAAAAAAAAAAAAGGAGCGAGTGAATAAGAGTTTGAGGATAAAAAAGGTGTCTTCATCCTTCCTTTCATTGCCGTTACAAGCTTGAATGCTTATTACAGCCACATGCTCAGTACCCTGTCCAACTTCCCTGGTTTCCTGGGCTGCTTTGTGCTGTCGTAATTCATTCATCCACAGCCTTCAGTTGTGCTGTAATGTGTTTCCTTTTTCTGTGTGCAGCCGATGCATTCATTCTTACTATCCCTGTAATCAAAAGATGTTGACAAAGATCCATTCAGTATCGTGTCATCACGCAATTTGGACACTTTGTGACCATGCCATACCCTTAAAAAGCTCTTTGCCTTGGGTAAACATGGCGGTAACCAAGGAGCAACAAGTTTGTTTTTGTTTTTATCACTTTCCTCAATGCATAATTGAATACCTGCATACCGCCAGTAAAAAAAAAAAAAAAAAAAAAAATGGTCAATTGGACATTGGAAAATGTAACTTTGATCCACAATCCATATACATTCGCCGCTCTTTCAAAAAACAAAAACAAAAACAAAATACGATCCTTTAGATTATGTATACCTTTCCCTCCCCGATCTTCCTGTGTTTGTCACTCACCTACTCTTTCACTCTGTCTTTCTTCTGCCTGTCCTGTCCCTCTCTCTCCCTCTCTTCCTGTGTCTCCGTAATTCTTTTAATACATGCTACCGACGGTTCACGCTCATGAACCTTCGCCCTCAGCTGCTTCAGCGAATCAAAATTTGAATACAAAGATAACATCATTGGTCTGGTTGGCATCGCCATTGTCCAATCCTACTACATATATCCTCCTATAAAGAGCATTTTTCCATCCTTTTAAAAATTTCCTTCTTTTGAATTTATTCTTTCTCCTAATTCTACTTTTATTTATTTTTTCTTACTATTGTTCCTATAGTTTGCTCTTCAACAACGCGTTGTGATCTCTCTTTTTGTTTTTTTTATCGATTCGTGAATCAATACAAAGACATGATGGATAGGGTTCCTAATCCCAATCCATATTCGGTCGCTGCTCCAAGAGACGATGCAAAGGATGGCAGCGGCAGTGGCAACAATAGTGGCGCAATTGGACGCGGACATGGACATGGATATGGGCATGGGTATGGACGCAGAAGTAACAGTCCTAGCTACCGTACATTCGGTACAGGAAACATCACAGGAACAGGGCCTACAGTAGGCCTAGGTGGTTTGAACAGCAGTGGCGACAACAGGATGGGTATAGGTGCTGAGGGCGACGACGACGACGATCCAGAGAATTTGCCGGACGACGATCTACTCCTCTGGGCGAATTCCCAGGCATTCGGTAATCAGACAGATAAAAATCTTGAGGATATGATAGCAATCAAGATTGCTCAAAGCCAACAGCAACAATTCCTAGCGGCGCAACAACATCTCCGTCGTCAACATTATCCATTGCAACATCCTCACTATCATGCTCATGCTCATGCCCATGCTCATCCCCATGTTCATGTCCACCCTCTCTCTCCTCATGCTCAAATTCATGGCCAGGATAATAACAACCCATTGATACTGCAGGGCCTTCAACGCCATCATCCTATGATGCAAGTTCAATCATCTTTGCCTCTTCCTCATCCTCACCCCCACCCTCATCATCTGCATGCACATGAGAATCAACAGGGGCATCCTTATCAACCATCTACTCATACACCCCAGTTTCATCATCAACCTGTAGATATACAGCGACAGTTGCAGCAATTTGACGCCATCCAGGGATATCTTGATGCAAGCTCTGAAGGTACAAATGCAGATCTCTTTTTATTTATTTATTTGTTTATTTATTTTACTTTAAGGGTTTTTTATATATATATCATATATATAATATATATCTTTTCATTTTTTCGATTATTGATATTCAATCATGCTATTACTTTATCACCTTATATTTTTTGGGGGGTACAACATGCATTTTGGTTGTACAATAGATTCACGATCGAATTTACTAGTAGAAAGGTCGCGTCAACGCAACCCTGTCTCAACCGCAGCTACCATCCAGGACTTGCATCATCATCAACAACAGCAGCAGCAGCAGCAGCAACAGGGATATTTTGATCCTAGTGTTCATCATCCTGCATATGCCACACAGTTCCATCATCAGTCTCAGCTCCCTCAACAGCAGCATCCTTTCCAACTACCTCATCCTACAGGTGCGTCCACTCTATCTTCTCCGACTGTCACCCGTGATTTCCATCGCCTTCAAATCCAGCCACAACAACAACAGCAGCATCCTCAAAACTCTGGGGGCGCGGATGATGCATCGCCTACTTCTGCTCAAAGGCCTCATCATGAAACTATCGGGGGGGACATACCTTCTCTCTCTCCACCTTCTTCTTCTACAACCACACATGGAGTCTCACATGAAGAAAAGTTACAGCGACTTGAAAATGAACTTCAAGGATACCAGACAGAACTTGCAGAGGAGCGCCGCTTGCAAGAACAAGAGCTACAACATCTACACCAACAACAGCAACAACAGCAACAACAGCAACAACAGCAACAACAGCAACAACAGCAGCAACATCAACAACATCAGCACCAGCACCAGCACCAGCACCAGCAGCACCAGCACCAGCACCAGCACCAGCACCAGCACCAGCACCAAAGAGACACGTCAACATCCCCGTCATTTGCGGCCATGGACACAGACGACGGTCCTTTCTCTGCAGCTGGCTCCAATCATGGTGGGGACGACGACAGTGCCAGTGTCGGGAGCAACAGCAACAGCAACGCCAGCAATACCAACCGTAGTTCTCGCAGTCGCAGCAACAGCCTACTCTCTGCATCTCATGCCCATGACGATCCCGAATACGCCGCCAAGCTCACTGCTGCTGCTGCTGCCGCTGCAGAGGAAGACAAAAGACGAAGAAACACAGCTGCCTCTGCTCGATTCCGCCAAAAGAAACGTTTGCGTGAACAGATCCTTGAGAAGACCGCTAAAGAGATGACCGCCAAATCCGAATTACTCGAAATCAGAGTTCGTGAACTAGAAATGGAAATTAAATGGCTTCGAGGACTTATCGTTGACAAGGATGCTTCCAGAGCATTGCTACGGACTGGAGTTGCTGCTGCTACTGCTGCTGGTGCTGCTGGTGCTGCTGGTGCTGCTGGTGCTGCTGCCGTTACTACCGCCGCCGCCGGCGGCACTAACAGTAGCGGTGGCAGTTCTCAATTGAAGCCAAGAGCTAGAACTATATCTTCCACCATTTCACCTTCACCTTCCTTATCAGGAAATGACGTGTTCAGAACAGTAGCATCAAGATCACTCGGAGGAATGATTATTTCCACTTCTGAGGCGGGGGGTGGAAACAGTGGTGGCACAAGGCCATAGACCAAGACGTAGATTTAAAATATTTTGAGAAAAAAAAAAGGGAAAAAAAGAGTATAAGAGGTAAAAAAAAAAAAAAAAAAGGTCGGTTCATACTTTTATATAGATGAGATAGATATACTTTACAAGAGGAAAAAAAAAAAAAAAAAAAAAAAAAAAGGGGCTAGATCCATCTATATACTTCAAATAAGCCAGACCATGGAAAGCATTGTTACAGGGATGACCAAGTTATCGTTTTGTTCTGAAACCGCCTCCAGCATTGCTGCCACGGAGACCGCCATACCATATCGGACGATTCCCCAAACAGACCACGTTACTGACGACCAATCATTCCAAGTTGAAAAGGATAATAATGAAGCCGGTGGCATTGAAGAGGAGGACAATTGCTTTGCCTTGTTCGATACTAGAACAAGGGAGGACGATCGAGGCGATGTTCCGTCTCCAAACACAAAGCTCATCAACCACATCCCCACAAAGACTGCACCGGCTGCCACCATCATACTCGCCACAAACGCAACCGTTCCCTCAACAGTCTTGATCGTACCAGGCCATCGATGCCTTCCAAATCGTTTCCCAACAATCGATGCCATCGCATCCCCTACTCCCAACGCAAAGATGCCCGATAATCCCGCCAGGATATGTTGCTCCGCCAGCCATACTGGTGCTGCACATCCCATCAGCAAATACAAATGGCTCAGAATAATCGGTCCTCCATCGCGAGCATCCAGAAACCCAACCAGGAACAAATGAATCTCTTTTCCGAATGGCACAACTGCGAAGCAGCGAATGTACTCCAAGAAGATCAATGCTGCCAGTGCTACAGAAAACGCAATGTGCATGAATGGTTCCTAGGAAATACAAAATAAAGGAGAGAGCATGGTATTTAGAAAATAATGTTTTTTTTTTTTTTTTTTTTTTTTTTTTCTTTCATGAAAGTAACTCAAATATATCTATAACAGCCGTTTCAAACTTACATCAGCAAGATATCCAGGAATAAACATCACCACTGCCAGGGCATGATAGAACTTTCTCCGATTGTTTAGTGAACCCATGATGGATCGTCTCCGAATGGAGGTGTTGATCCAATAAAAGAATGCAATGGAACAACCGATCGCCAAGACCCAGTATAGACACAGCGCCAAACGGCTCCAGCCGATCCTAGCTCTCATCAATGTCTCCAATCCAAACTTGATATCCAATAGATTGGCCTTCGTCTCAGCGCTTACTGGAGATTGACCCGGTTGAAGTAGCTCTGGAGCTGATGATGAAAAGATGCGGCTCATCAGAAGGAACTCGATCACCCATACAAATGGGTTCTGGCCCAAGATACGCTCACACAGTGGCATGAGCACTCCCAACACGATAGCAACAAGACCCGCATAGACTACACCAGCAGCAATCTTCTTCTTCAGCTCTCGTCTCTGCAGTGTCGATGCACTCGTGCCCTTTGCGGGCCTCTGTGCAAGCGTTCGGCAGCACACTAGAGCTGGCATAAGTAGGACTCCGATGAGCAGCATTCCAACCACAAGTGTCAACAAGAACATGAACTGAGGATGCTCCAGGATAGTTCCAGGACTAGATGGTGCCTTTATAAACGCCATGATCAATGCCTCGCGGATCAGGAGCATAACGGCTTGAGTCAAGATCACCAATTCTCCAAACGTGAACGATCGTCGGAAAAAGTATGCAAATCCAAACAGCAAGAGCTGGAATACAGAGTGGGTCAACATCACCATTCCGGCTCCAGTGTCCTCTAATCCCGGAAGCCACTTGAGTCGTGCAAGGAGTGCCACTAGACAATTGTAAGCACCCCCAAAGCCCAGAGCAATGATCCAGATCTCTTCACGATCGCTAGCCTTTTCAAACTCGGAGGTTCCTACGAGTAAACTTGGATGATGCAATTGATCCGCTGAAAACATGAATAGGTCCGGAATCTCTTTTTGTTTCTGTAGACCATAGGGTTGTTGTACTGCTGTGGATGGTGTGGACGATGCAGCAGATAGAGTGGGTGAGGAAGGCGAAGAGGGCGAGGATACGGCTGAATTTTGGGGTTTTGGGTGTGAAACTTTGGTGCTAGTACTTAGGCTGCTAGTAGATATGGAGGCTAATGATGTTGAAGTGGCCATCATTGGTGAAGGTAAGGCTATGTTATCAAGGATCGTACTCCGGGTCGCACCCATAAATTTTTTCCGCCAAAGTTGTTGTTGCTGATGAGTACGTTTCGATGATCCTGTTCCAATTTGATCAAAGGCTTTCAGAAGTAACATGTGCACAAGAATTGATGTTCCAAAGATTAGCGAGAACGCCATGTTTGACAGAACAGATTTGGCAGTATAAATGCCATTCACCCCTGTTGATAAGAAATGTTCATCCGTTACGGTCTGTACAAACTTTGCAGCTAGCACAATTGGTACTAGCACTGTTGCGAATATGGAACCATTGTCTGCTCCTCGTCTAATTGGAGGCAGTAAGATTTAATAAAGTTGGTAAAAATAAAAAAAGGAAAAGGAAAAGGAAAAGGAAAAAGAAAAAGAAAAACTTTTTAGGACAAAAAAGCTCTACTTACCGATACCAATTGGCTTCTGAGCCCCAGACTCTCCATTGTGGTGCAGCAATCTCAGCAGAGCGACAAATGCGGTTTTGCCATTTTACAGGAGCCAAAGCATGTGGACCATCTGTATTATTAGTACTGATACCAGCCCGAGTGCTCTCTTGACTTTGCAACAGATTTTCTTGCTGGATCACCGCGGCAATATCCTTTTGATGAGCCTCATCGTCTTCACTCTCTTCATCGCTTTCAGCAACAATGGCAGCCACAATGTCCTGCGACGCATTCACATTTAACTGTCGACTGGCTCGTTTCCGAAGAGGTTGTAATGGCAGATTCTTATTGTGAAGTGGGAACTGAAGTTGATGATCATGTGCGGTCAAAAAAATTGCATGGATCGTTGCCAATAGGATGAATCCTAAAGGAAGAGGAAAAAAACAGATATTCATTCATCCATGTAATAAACAAATGAATATAAAAAGAAGGAGGAGGAAAGGAAAAAAAAAAAAAAAAAAAAAAAAAAAAGGAGAATGGAAAGAATTATTAAATTTCGTCATACCCACATCCCCCAACAACAACGTTTTCCCTTATCTGTGTAACTCATCTTACCAATGGCTAACGCCCAAGCACTTTTGGCCAAATCCGACATGGTTTCCTGATGGCTTTGGTTCTGGTACCGTTGTTGTTGCTGATGATAGTGAGGATATTGTTGTGGATATTGATTAGTTGAGTCCTTCCATAGAGTCTCTTTCTGATCCTGTAACTGTACCTGTGACTGTGGTTGGTCTAGAATGGTGTTACTGTAATCAAGTGTCATCATCCGGTAACCTGCAAGAAGAGCCATCCCCACCATCAATCCACGTTCAATCCTCAAACGCAAAAGATTTGCCCACATTCGTTTTTGGACTGGGCTGTAATTTTTGTTACTGCCTTGCCCTGATTTCTTACTACTGGTCGGAAATGATGCCCCTCCAAACATTCTATTGATTCTTGATGCTGTTGCTGTGGAAGATGCAGTTGTGGTTGTGGCTGTAGTTGTAGTTGTAGTTGTATTCTTGTGATGACTATGATTATGAGTATGAGTATGAGTATGACTGTGCTTATGGTTATGGCTATGAATATGGTTATGATTGTTGGCTGGTGTTATTGCTGCAACAGTGCTTGAGTAAGAAGAAAGCTCTGTGCCGGATTTGGAGAGTGAATGTTCAGAGAAGTGACTTGAAGTCCGTTCATGGGCATGACTCTTGTCCAGATGGTCACTGTCCCTTTTATCCTCATGGCCATTGCTTTGTTCTTGTAACATGGTCAATCCTCTGTGCTGTTTGACATAAACTGTCCTTTGTCTATTGTCTGTTGTCTCTGTAGTTTTCTTTTTTTTTTTTTTTTTTTTTTTTTTTTCTTAAAAAAAAGTAAAAGGAATAGAAAGATGTGAATAAGGGAACTTTTTGATCCTTGTAATGAATGGAAAGAAACTATGAAAAAAAAAAAAAAAAGTGAGTCTCACAATTCTAATGGCAGAATAAACGGGATGTAGCAGTTTTTGATTGGATGAATGAGAGGATGTGGTGTGGTCCAACTTGATCGGAATCAACAGATAAGAGGCAAGGCAAAAGAAAAGTAAAAGAAAAGTAAAGAGGAATGAAGTTGGGTCGGATGAATCCAAATGTTTATATTAAGCTTGTGCATAATCACTTGCTCTATTTTAATCCAAGGTCGATCATATCGGATTTCACATGCCATCGAAAAATGAATTATCGAATTATCTTTTTCATTTCGGAGTGTTGCAAAAGAAACATAACCGTTGGGGGGCTCTGATCAAAGATGACGGAGCAATTATCCCTCTCTCCTAGGCAAATACATCATGTATCCATCTGGAACATCATCTCGGACCATGAAAACATTTATACACACACATGTACATACATATACATCTATATAAAGTTACAAAGCATCAAGCATCGCTGTCAAGGATTGAATTTGTATATTTTTTATTTTCTCTACTAGTAACGCAAAATACATGTAATCCATGCTGTGCCATGCTTTGCCCTGCCAGCGTTATTTCCCAATTAAGTCGTACCGCAAGTCCAGCCTTGCCAATGCCTTGTTTGTCTTGAGCACATCTGAAAGTGCCAGAGCTCCTTCAGGTCCAATTGGGTTGCTTCTCAAGTTCAAACTTGTCAAAGTTGTGTTTGTCTTGAGCGCCTCCGAGAGTGCCAGAGCTCCTTCTTTCCCAATTGAGTTACTTCCCAAATTCAAATTTGTCAAAGTCACGTTTGTCTTGAGTGCCTCTGAAAGTGCCAGGGCTCCTTCATCCCCAACTCTGTTGCCCCAAAAGATCAAACTTGTCAAAGTCGTGTTTGCCTTGAGTGCCTCTGAAAGTGCCAGAGCCCCTTCTTTCCTAATATAGTTGCACGACAAGTCCAATCTTGCCAGAGTCGTGTTTGTCTTGAGTGCCTCTGAAAGAGCCAAAGCTCCTTCATCCCCAATACTATTGCTGCTCAAGTCCAAGCTTGTCAATGCCTTGTTTACCTTCAGTGCCTCTGACAGTGCCAGAGCCTCTTCCTTCTTAACTGAGTTGGCTTCCAGGTTCAAATCTATCAAAGCCGTGTTTACCTTGAGTGCCTCTGAGAGCGCCACCGATCCTTCTTTCCCAATCGAGTCGTATCGCAAGTCCAAACTTGTCAAAGTCTTATTTATTTTGAGCGCCTCTGAAAGTGCCAGGGCTCCTTCATCCCCAATTCTGTTGCCCCAAAAGATCAAACTTGTCAAAGTCGTGTTTGCCTTGAGTGCCTCTGAAAGTACCAGAGCTCCTTCTTTCCTAATATAGTTGTACGACAAGTCCAATCTTGCCAGAGTCGTGTTTGTCTTGAGTGCCTCTGAAAGAGCCAAAGCTCCTTCATTCCCAATTGAATTGGTTCCCAAGTCCAACCTTGTCAATGCCTTGTTTGCCTTAAGTGCTTCTGAGAGTTCCAGAGCTTCTTCATCTCCAATTGAATTTCTGGTTAAGTTCAACCTTGTCAAAACCGTGTTTACCTTGAGTGCCGCTGAGAGTGCCAGAACCCCTTCTTTCCCAATGTTGTTGTGGTACAAGCACAACCTTGTCAAAGTCGTGTTTGTCTTTAATCCCTCTGAAAGTGCTAGAGCTCTCTCTTTACCAATCGATCTGTGCATCAAGTACAAACTAGTCAAGGGCATGTCGGTCTTGAGTGCATTTACAAGCTCTCGGAAATCGCTGTCCCCGATCGTTGAAGGATTCATCTCGAACGATAGCTCGTGAAGGTGTGGCGGTTTCCTGCTTGATAGATTGGTAAGCTTGATCAGATCTGGAGATAGTACTATACAAATCGATTTCATTTTGCGTAGTTCTATAATACGAACAAGCTGTTCATATCGTGTAGACATTGAAAGTAGTTTCCAGATAACACTCTCTTGAGGCTGCCCAAGATGAAGTCGAAGAACCGATACATTCGACACTTTTAGAGCTTTCTCTAACGCTTTAAGATCTGTCCGAGTCCAGTCCCAGGATAATGTGATATCCATCTCGTACACATGTTTTGCATTGGTCAGAGCATTGTAGAATTTTACTGCTGTGGTTCTGGATCTCAATGTGATAGTCACTTTGCCAAGGTGCGACTCATACTTGCCAAAATGCCACTCCTCGTCTTGGTTCATCTCCACTACATTTTCAAACACCTCCTGTTCTCTCTCGTTATATGTCAAGCGGTAGTGGTCGATGCAAACCCATCTGACATGGCCTGTTTCTGTCGTAATCCTGTACAAGTTGCCAAGTTGCCAGTCTTCATCCTTGGTTTGAAGGAGTTTGCTCAGTTGGCGAAGATCTGCTCCTTCAAGTGCCTCAAAGTCATCGATTGTGTTGATGTTGCTCAGAGCTGGATTCGCTTTAGAGAGCTGCTCCATATACTTGATTGAATAATCAATGCCGGCATCCAGTAGATTTGGGACTGATGTCAGAGAAGTACCTGAAGCTGCTCCTATCCCCAACTTCAACCACTGTAAAAGGATAACTATATATTTTCCATACTTTTGAAAGAACTCTGTGCTGTTCCGGATCTCATATCCTTCATGTCTGGCAAGGTGGATTTGGTCGTGCCAATTCTTATCTGTCTTTGCAGTGTTATCCCCATGTTCGCATAAGAAATGAAGGCGCACCTTGTTCCTCAAGACATTCATTGGGTCCCACTTGGTACGATCGGCAGGTAAAATGATAAACAGTCGAGGAACTGGATACTCGTGTGGCTCAAACTTCTGGACAAGGATAGCTTCAGCTTTCTTTTGCAGGATGGCAAGTCTGCCGAGTGCTTGCCGTTGCATTTCAAGCATTCTTTCGTCCTTCTCCTTGGCCTCGAATTGCAGTTGAAGCATCTTCTTCTGCATTTCAACCATCATGTCGTCCTTCTCCTTAACCTCCAACTGCAGTTCAAGCATTCTATCGTCCTTCTTCTTAGACTCTAATTGCAGCTTAATCCCCTCATTACTGGCCTCCATCAGCAATTTCTTTGTCTCTTCAAAGTGAGAGTTGAAATTCTCGTTATTAGAAGGTTGGACAAAGTTTGATAATGACAAAAGAAGGTCATGAAAAACCAAGTTTTTCGACTCTCCCAATGTCGGCAAATGGACGATGGTGTTGCTACTGCCGCAGTTGCAGCACTGTGGTGGTTCTGTAATGATGTCCAGGATCTTGTCAGGATAGAATGCAATACGCGGAGGCTCGATTCTAAAGAGACAAAATAAAAAAAAGTCGTGTCAAATTGGGATTCCCTCATTTTTCTATCCATGAGCAATCAACAAGGCACCAATGATAAAATAATATACCTGTTGCCATCAGCATCCGAAAGGAATGGGATGGGATGCTCATTCAGCTTGAAGCGCAGTGCATCCGGAAACACATCTCGAATGTCTTGCAAAAGTACGAAGCACGGCGGGCAGTCATTGGTTGCCTTGGTGGAAGCAGTTTTAACACAAACTTCTTCAACGATGTTGTCCTTTCGGAATCGTTGGTATTGAAGCTCTGCCATCTCGGTGATGATTCGAAGGATGAGGAAGGAATGTTGACAAGATGCAAAGACCCTTCATTCCTCTTCTCTGAGCAACAGATGCTGTAATACAGTCGAGTCGACCTTCAGCTTCGCCACTTAAGGTCATATTGGTGTGCTCTACTGACTATAGTTTCGTCCACGAGTGCTGTTTATTTGCATCCGTCGGCTGAAGGTGTAGTAGCCACGTTTGGAAGGGAGGTGCTCTTGAATGGTAATGACCATGGTTGCAGACAACCAATGTAGAACTCAACCTACATAAAAGTGCACCTTGAAATCATTACTCAATCGAGCCTATACCGGATCCAAGTATCAACCCCATTCCCGATGTCCAGATCAAAGGTATTCATAACTATATCCGCTCAAAGAGCGTAGGAGAGGTCCACCAAAACCACGAAGATATCATTCACCCATCATCTCACAACATCACCGAATATCGTCCTTTATTCCTATCACAAGGTCATCATCGAGATATATGGAAAGATAGTCAAGATGGCGCATTTATATCCACTCTGAAAAATCAGGACTAATAGTCATCTGAACAATTATCTGCACAACAATGGGCGAACGCGATATCGTAACCCTTTTATGAAACCTCTGGTTACGCAACAACAATGTTCTTCCAGATCAACAAATGCATCAAGACCTGTCGCTATTAGTTTACCACAGTAGTCGTCACCATTCATTAATGCGTCGAGGTCTGCATCAGTCTCAGGTACATAACGCAAAGAGCTGTAGTAACATCGCCAACCGAACTACCTGCAATGCCTCCATCCATAGGCATATACATAGTAGCTCAAACGGAACGAGCTTCACCACCAAAGACTTCATAAGATTCATCTGCTCCAGCCCAATGAACGCTCTGCCTACAGCCAATGAACGCTCTGCCTACAGCCAATGACCAAAATAGCATGTGTAATGGATGGATATAACGAATATAGCAAGAGGAGAGTGTACGAGTAGACACCGAAGTATGAATCGACAGATGAGCCTTCTTGAGAGAGAACATGGATAACAACAATGATACTTTAGCTGCGTGGAGAGCAAGGGTCCGCCCCTGCTAGCCATCTTCAAATTGAGATGTACAGTCCATGTAACAGTTTTATTGTCATTAGGAATACTGTACATTGGTTCAATCCTGACTATAACATTCATTTTTGTTTCTGTTCCTGGATCGACGATATGACATGGGATTTTAGCCATAAAATGGACCGGCTCAAAAAGGAGATGCAAAAGAAGATGGAGGAGATCACACAGTAAAACATCAGACAGCCAATCCCAATCAAAGCGGAGCAGTGTATACTAGTGTTTCATGGCAATAGCAGTAGCAACAAGGAACGCTCTCACCACCTGCCATCACTCAAACCTACCTCAGCAACAACATCGAGAGGAGTCAAGTCTGAGATAGCGATTGGGAGAAGTGGGTTGTGATTGTACGCATACCACCAACGCATCAAAGTCGGATAATCCATCAAGCATATCCTAACCCACGCACAGTAGGATACATGCGAGTGTTTGAAAAATCCAAGTACTGCCTTCTAATTGGAGGGCACTCCACGATGACAGTCTTTTCTTTAGGGCCCAAATAGGTGCCATATAACCCGCATACAGGCGAAAGAGGGCGACCATCGATTTTCAATCGGTTTTCTTTTCAGACTCATTATGAAGGAATAGCTCTGTTCAGTTCATATAATGGGTAAGGCTGTATATCCATCCATTCATATATTTTTTCAAATATATTTAACGAAAGAAAGAGATTTACTAGTTCTTGTCTTTTTGTTTTAATTAAAGCACCAGAAAGCATTCACTTTGGGGTATCGATGCACAGCTGCTTTTTGTTATATCACTTCTGGTTAAGGAAAACCGAGTGATTCTATATGCGAGAAGCGCTTACATGGGCTAGAGAGTATATGTTTGTGACGGCAAGCCAATTAAAAGACTTTCAAGATCGCCGTACCTACATAGCATCATGAAGGAGCATTATTTAATCGTTTGGAGGGACGCAGAGGAAGGGGTCATTACTACTGGGGGGTACCCGATGGAATAAGGTCGATAGTATTGGAGGTTAACGACCAGGATCAGGGCCTAGACACAAGCGATGTACGATTTGAGATGAGGCTACATATACATATAGTAGCATTGGCATCAATGACTGCAAATGCCGTAGCTGGATGTGGTGATAAATAATACAGCGTTTTTAATTGTTTTATCCATTTTAAAAAAACATTTATCCATTTTCAATTTGCATTGCTCCGATGGGAAATAAGCTTTATCCATTTAAGCTAATAAAATTATCCTATAAGTTATCCGAATGTGTCTGGAATATTATCCATTTTTTCAAACATAATAACCGAACCGACTGTAACAAATATCCAAACACCATGTCCTTTTCCATGTCCCACAAAAGTCATGGTTAATTCCGCATGACCACTTGGACAAAATTTGCAAACACTTGGATAAATTTCTCAGCCCTTTTCGGCCAACTTTTTAACTTACCTTTGGATAAATTTTTTTATTCATTGGAACAATTTTAAAAAAAAACCGATAAAGTTTATTTTAAAATGGATAAAACAATTAAAAACGCTGTATTGTTGTTACTATTACCGGTGAGCCATAGCCATAGCAATAGCAGCATCAACATTTTCTCTTCTACGAAGCAACCACCTTGAAAGGTCAACCTATCCAAGATCGTCCAGGAGGATTGACTCTGATCGTGAAAATAGAGAAAAAGTGGTACATACCTTTTAGTAGAAATGCTCATTGTCAGTATTTATCACAAATGAATATCGTGAAAGCGCAGAGGGGGAGGGGCATCAAACATTACTCTTGCGAATTGAAATCATTTTTATTTCCTACTAATAATGTAAAACACATGTAATCCAAGCTGTGTCATGTTTGTACTTGGATTGAGTATTTCAGATTGTACCAGAGCTACTTTTCACTTCAATATTGCAAGTCCAAACTTATCAGAGCCTTGTTTGTCTTGAGTGCCTCTGAGAGCGCCAGGGCTGAATTGAGTTGTATCTCAGGCTCAAGCTAGTCAAAGTTGTGTTTGTTTTGAGCACGTCCGAGAGTGCCAGAGCTCCTTCATCCCCAATTGAGTTATTATGCAAGTTCAAATTTGTCAAAGCTTTGTTTGTCTTGAGTGCCTTCGAGAGTGCTAGAGCTCCTTCATTTCCAATTGAGTTATTGTACAAGTTCAAATTTGTCAAAGCCTTGTTTTTCTTGAGTGCCTCTGCGAGTGCCAGAGCTCCTTCTTTCCCAATTGAGTTCTTTCCCAAGCATAAACTTGTCAAAGCCTTGTTTGTCTTGAGTGCCTCTAAGAGTGCCAGAGCCCCTTCAGGCCCAATTGAGTTGCTTCCCCAAGCTCAAAGTTGTCAAAGTTGTGTTTGCCTTGAGTGCCTCTGAGAGTGCCAGAGCTCCTTCTTTCTCAATTGAGTTGGCAAACAAGTACAAGCTTGTCAAAGCCTTGTTTGTCTTGAGTGCCTCTGAGAGTGCCATAGCTCCTTCTTTCTCAATTAAGTTGCCTTGCAAATCCAAACTTGTCAAAGCCTTGTTAGCCCTGAGTGCCTCTGAGAGCGCCAGAGCTCCTTCGTTCCCAATTGAGTTGCTTCCCAAGCTCAATCTTGTCAAAGTTGTGTTTGTCTTGAGTGCCTCTGAGAGTGTCAGAGCTCCTTTCTTTCCAATCGTAGTACCCCATAAATCCAAAGTAGTCAAGGCCACTTCGGTCTTGAGTGAATTTACAAGTGTTCGGATATTGTTAGCTCCGAACACCCAAGGCTTTACCTCAAAGGATAGCTCATGAAGATGTGGCAGTTTTCCACTTGGTAAATTCGAAAGCTTGACCAGATCTGGAGATAGTACTATACAAATCGATTTCATCTTGCGTAGTTCTATAATACGAACAAGCCTCTCATATCGTGTGGATGTTGAAAGTAGTTTCCTGGTAGTGCTTTCTTGAGACAACCCAAGATCAAGTCGAAGAACCGATACACTCGACACTCTTAGAGCCTTCTCTAATGCTTCAAGGTCTGTCTGGGTCCAATCCCAATATAATGCAATATCCATCTCGTACACATGTTTTGCATTGGCCAGAGCATTGTAGAATTCTCCTGCTGTGGTTCTGGATCTCAATTTGATAATGACTTTGCCAAGGTGCGAGTCATACTTGCCACGATTCATCTCCACTACATTTTCAAATGCTTCCTGTTCTCTTTCTTTATATGTCGAGCGATAGTGGTCGACACAAACCCATCTGACGTGGCCTGTTTCTGTCGTAATCCTGTACAGGTTGCCAAGTTGCCAGTCTTCATCCTTGGTTTGAAGAAATTTACTCAATTGACGAAGATCTGCTCCTTCAAGTGCTTCAAAGTCATCGATTGCGTTAATGTTGTTCAGAGCTGGATTGTCCTTAGATAGCTGCTCCATATATTTGATCGAGTAATTAATGCCAACATTTAACAGGTTTGGGACAGGTGTCAGAGAAGCACCTGAAGGTGTTCCCATCCCCAACTTGAACCACTGCAACAGGATGATCATGTGCTTTCCATACTTTTGAAAGAACTCTGTGCTGTTCCGGATCTCATATCCTTCATGTCTGGCAAGGTGGATTTGGTCCTGACAGTTCCTCTCTGTCTTTGCGGTATGATCCCTATGTTCGCATAAGAAATGAAGGCGCACCTTGTTCCTCAAGACATTCATTGGATCCCACTTGGCGCGATCGGCAGGTAAAATGATAAACAGTCGAGGGATTGGATATTCATGTAGCTCAAAGTTCTGGACAAGGATAGCTTCAGCTTTCTTTTGAAGGTTGGCAAGTCTGTCGAGTGCTTGCCGTTGCATTTCAAGCATTCTTTCGTCCTTCTCCTTGGCCTCTAACTGCAGTTTATTCACCTCCAATTGCAGTTCAAGCATCTTGTTTTGCATTCCTCGTGTCTCCTTTTGCAGTGTAAGCATCTCGCCAGCTTTCTTTTTGGCCTCTTGCAACAATCCCCTAATCTCTTCAAAGTGAGAGTTGCCATCCTGAAGAGTAAGAGATGAGTTGGCAGATTGAACGAAGCTTGATAATGAGAATAGAAGATCCTGAAAGTCTATGTTTTTCGACTCCCCCAATGTCGGGAAATAGGCGACGGCGTTGCTACTGCTGCTGCTGTTGCTGTTGCTATAGCTGTTGCTGAGTTGTGGTACTTCTGTAATGACGTCCAGGATATTGTCAGGATAAAATGCAATACGCGAAGGCTCGATTCTGTAGGACAAAAATAAAAAAAGTCACGTCAAATTGGGTTCCACCATTTTTTTTTTATCCATGATAAAATAATAAATATACCTGTTGCCATTAGAGTCTGAGAGGAATGGGATGGCGTGTCCATCCAACTTGAAACGCAGCGCGTCTGGAAACACATCTCGAATGTCTTGCAAAAGCACAAAGCATGACGGGTTGCCATTGCTTGCATCGGTGGAAACAGTTTTAACACAAACGTCTTCGAGGATGTTGCCCTTTTGGAATTGTTGGTATTGAAGCTCTGTCATTTAGATGGTAATTCGAATGATGAGTATGACGAGATGAGAGGTTTCTTCATTTCTCTTTTTAAATAAGGAGTGCAGTACAGTCAGCCTATTTCATTTTTTTTTTTTTTTTTTTTTTTTTTTTTTCAGCTTCGCCCTTTTTTTTTTTTTCCTCTGCATTGGCTGAAGGTGATGGTTGTTTTAGAGCTCTATGCATTTTGCCGCCCTCAAATGAGAGATCTCTTGAAGTTGAGCCTTGGTATATATCTCTATCTGTCTCTGTATTTCAACCGAAAAGGTAGAGCCGTAGAGAGTTGTCCGATGGATCCAGGACCAGCCAAGATACTCCTGAACACGAATACTTTCACGATAGTCAATAGTTCATTTACGAGAAAAAATAAAATAAAATAAAAAAAAAAAAAATAAAAAAAATTGACATCTGGAGAGAGAGTTGATACACTTTTTTATAAATAAATATATATACATATCTGCCCATGAACGTAGTTACGTGCTGTAGCAGAACAATGGAGGCTTTCCTAAAACGTTTTCGCGCTTAAAGTCAGTAAGTTGGACGTCGCAATGAATTGTCAAGTGCAATTTATTTTTAGAGCACTGTCTGTTCTTTAGCGTTAGCGTGAATATATAGACACAAGACAAACCTATCCTCATTTGTTGTTAAGAAACGTCAGCACCGGGGCTTTGGAACTCCAGTGGCGTTTCTGTTGATTTGAGAACGTTCGTCAATTGGCTATAGATATAAAAACGCGCTCATGTTAGGGCTCAAAAACCATACGTTAAATGAATGAACGCTCTTAATTTTTTTTTTTTTTTTTTTTTTTTTTTATTTCATTTGTACACAGCTATAAATACAAAGCGTGACTACAGCGCACACGCCAAACAATAGGAAAGAAAAAAGTAAAATAAAATAAAATAAAATAAAAGAATGAAAAACTGGACTAGGAAGTCTCCATCTTGATTCTCTTGGCCACCAAGGAATCATCTTGAGACTCTGCATATCCATGTTTCTTGCTGCTGCTAGCTGTCAAGATCCGAGCTGCTTCCGCAATCGACTCTTCCTCCTCCAACATAAACCTACTACGGCTCGAGGGTGAGACAGTGCTGGCGCGGCTGACACTCACTGATGGTGGAGGCGAAGGCAAATGAGGTTCATAATCAGACTTCTTGGACTTTGTGTTTGCGGTGGCGTTCTTGTTCTTGTTTTTAGTAGAGCCGTTCTTGCCCTTACCCGTAGTCTTGTTGGGCAAAACATCATCTATGGATGTTGTAATTGTAGCCAACTTCATCTTTTCATGACGATCAATGAACCGTTGTGATGGGGATAATTGTTGTTGTTGTTGTTGTTGTTGTTGTTGTTGTTGTTGAGGTTCTTCTTCTTTAGTTTCCTCAAGACGAGAAATTCCAGTCATTTCCTCATCATCCTCATCATCGCATACAGGCATAGAAAGCGATCCATCAGCATAGAACGAAGTAGCAGGGGAGATCAAGAAGTCGATTTCTTCTGCACTCTATAATACACAAACAGTAGCACAGTAGCAGGGCCAAATAAATCGTTAGAAATAGGTTCTACTAAAAGCGCGACCTTTTCCTTGATTTTTTTTTTTTTTTTAAAAAAAAAAAAAAAAAAAAAAAAAAACTTACCCTTGAGAGCTTTGGATCAGCCAAGAGTTTTTGGGAACGGGTAATGTAATGGGTCATCTGTCGCTCAAAGACAATAAGTGGATACTTGGCTGCAAGTTGGACAAGATGGGTCTCCATAGTAGTATCAGACCAAGCCAAAAACTATGGAAATCACACACCAGAACGAAAGCAACAAGAAATAAGTAAACATATTCAAGACAAGGTGAAAATAGAAAAGGATTGAGGATTGAGGATTGAGGATTGAGAAATGCTTAAAAAAAATAAAAATAAAAATAAAAATAAAAATAAAAAAAATTTCCCTCAAAGCACATCAAACATACCTCTTGCAAACGCTCATCTTTAGCCTTCTTGAAGGCCTCGTACTCTGGTGTCTTTGCAAAGAGGATAGCTTCCTCACAGTCGAGTGCATACGCATCATCAAGAGTGTGTTCCTGCTGCTGTTGATTCCGAGAATCCATTGACTGTGTGTTCTCAAGGATACTGTCGTGTGATCCTTCCTGGATTTCAAAGTCATCGCCATATGAGAATACATCCAAGACCGTCTCTACTCCGGAGATTCCGTCACAAAGATAAGACTCGATCACTGCCTGGGTCATCATCTCGAGCAACAGTCTGTACCAGCCCTCAAGTACGCGGGATTGGCTTAGGTCCTTGAGCTCACCCTTTTCGACCATGCTCCTAGCAATATCGCTGTAGCTCATAGCAGAGCACTTCAAGAATGCTGGGATGGCATCAGTCAATCCAGCGACCCGTTGCTTCTCAAGTTGACGCATGTTGTGAGCATGATATCTGCTGTTCATCTTTTTCTGTTCCAGAGCAAGTTGTTGCTGTTGTTGCAACTTTGCGAGCGTACAGCATGTGCGTTGACAATCCTTACGATGGTGACGACGACAGAACAATGATGAGTGGATAGAGTTTGAGAAGAATGCACGTCTCTTTTGTCCCTGAGGATGATCGGTAAGATGGCGTTGGACAGCAGCACGAGAGGCCTTGTGGCGACGTGAATGGAAGGCAGAGTAGATGTTGAGGCCTGCAGAGCTGTTGGTGGATGAGGCGACATCAAAGCGACCAAACACCATCGAAGTGAGCTGACAGAGGTGCAGACGATGCTTCAAGTGCCGTGGCAGGTTCTGCAATGGGCCACTAGAGCGATGTGACTTGAGGATGCCTATCGGATGAATAAGGAATGGATGACGAGTAAGATGAGTAACACTCTATACAAATGTACACACACAAAAATATAAAACTTTCTCCCCCCCCCCCCCTCCTCCCTCCCTAACTGCACACTACGCAACCGATGAAGTAAATAAAGATGAAAGGAATGGTGTTGCTGCGCTTGACTATCCATGCATGACAGATATTGTCCAAAGCATCGAGTAGATATTATTATTATTATTATTATTATTATTATTTTTTGCCTTTTTCGGAAATTATAGTACGCGTTGAGTTGTGGGATCGGAAAAGAGATGGTTTGAGAGCAAAAAAAAAAAAAAAAAAAAAAAAAAAAAAAAAAGCGAAAACAAACGGATCCAGAAAAAAAAATAACATGTGGAGAAAGAATGGACGGAGATAAGGAAATGTTGAATGCATAATGCAAATGAAGATCCTTTTGTATTTCTCAGACCAGTTTCTCTACTGGGAAGGGGCCATGAACACATACCATCGACAATTGCCTCAACATTCGATCCCTTTCGACCAAGGACGACGGCCTCATCTACAAGGGTGCGTTGACGACGGAGCCATTCGCCTTGATGAGGGGAAGGTGCGGGTGACTGATGATTCTGCTCTTGGTCCTTGATTCGTTGTTCAACCGCTTGTTCCTGTGTTGAGGCGAGGTATTGAGCTTCAGCCTGCTTCAAGCGAGTTTCGATCGAGAGATGGAAGCAATGGTCGAGAATACGATGATGAGTTGAGGGTGTGGAAGAGGGTAGGTTGTTGTTATTATTATGGATGCTTAGGTTCCGGAAGGTGTTGATGCTCGAGGTAAAGGGTGGTGGGGAGGAACGACGAGGGGAAGGAGGGGAGTTGATGGCTGTGGGAGAGGAAGGAGGGTGTGGAATGTATGTGGCAGAAGGTGGGAAGAATGTCCAAGAGGGGAGTGGATCGTTCTCGAGAGCAACGGCTAAAGAGGAGAGGCCTTTGTGAAGGGAGTGAGATTTGGTATGGTTGGAGGAAGGAGAGGAGGAAGGGGTCACAATGACTGTGGAGACCGCCTGGACTTCCATGTATGTTGAAATGGGATAGAGTAAAGAATGAAAGGAAAGAAAGGAAAGAAAGGAAAGAGGAGTGTCAATTAAGGAAAGGGATGGGGAGTGGAAGTAGGAGTAGAAACACAGGAGTAAAAGTGGGAGTAAAAGTAAAAGTAAAAGTAAAAGTAAAAAGTAGAATGAAAGAGATTCAGAGAATGAAGAAGGAATGAAGAAGTAAAAAAAAAAAAAATAAAAAAATAAAAAAAAAGAAAAAGAAAAGAGCAAAGAGCAGATATGAACGAGAAGAGGACTGATAAGAGTTTTTATAGACGTTATCCATGCACACATAATGAAGACAGGATGCATTGAAATGAGGGCATACAAGGCATAACAAGAGGGGAACTCTCTCCGTGGCAAAAGATGATACTCCAGGGAGTCCGGGCACGGGGTTGTCCAAAACGTGCCCTGTGTCCTATCTCTCTATCCCACAGCGACATGGAGGAGGGCCAATCAGATGGCAACCGTAATCTGCATTCAATCGAAAATGGTCCGAATGTATTGTAAAAGACATGTCCATCTACATATGTATACATATAATATAATATACAAGTATATATATGTATATATATATATATATATAAATATTTATTCACAACTCTTTTGTGTTCCTATGTAAACTACTTATGCTTTCTGACTCGCTGGCCTTTAATTTTTTTTATTTATTTATTTTTTTGTCCTACGGCCACGTCCGAAAAGTGTGTCCGATTGATTTGCTTGTGCTCATCTTTTTTTTTTTTTTTTTTTTTTTTTTTTGTATATCCATGTCACTCAAAAAAGCGATAGGAAAGCAAGGGAAACGGCGTTCTGTCAGCTTTCTTCGTTTGTTTGCCCGCATGTGTTGCTTCCTCTCTTTTCTTCATCACGCAATGACATGAACATTCCTTGTGTTTATTCTAACTAACATCTTGGGTTGATCTGTCTCTCTTATGCTCTCCTACTGTCTTTACTGTGTTCCACATTCATTCATCCATCCATTCACTCACTCACTCACTTTTATACTCACTTGTGCATACGCTTAAACAGCAATTGCGTAGATATATACATATATATATACATACATACATACAGAGATAAAACCATCGACTTCCGTGCTGTACCACTGCACTTATGCAAGCCGAGATTTGTCGATAGATTTCGTTATATACTTTCTTCCCACAAGTAACCCTTTTCATTCGGAAACCCTATTTGCTAAACCTTTTACATCTTACTGTACATGTGCATTCCTTCCCAGCTACACAACACAAATCATATTTGAACATTCGTATATAATGAGAAGCCCCTCACAGTCCATGTTTATATAGTTATATAGATATATATATACATCTTTTACTAGTCTACATCCGAAGGGACTCTATACCTTCACGCATATATATACATGAACATTTCTTTTATTCCTCATTGCTTGCGCGTGTTCATTTATGAATAGACAGCTGTTTACTGAATAAAAACGATCTTCAGGTCTCCAACACACATACACTTTGCTCAATCACCTGCATGTCTGCATGTCTGCATGTCCGTTCACAAAAAAAAAAAAAAAAAAAAAAGCATATTCTTACCCTCTCTTTCTCCCTCCTTTCCTTTGTCTAAAAAAACCTCCTGATTGACAGTTATTTTACCGCCTGTTCCTCCTTTCATGTCACCAATTCATCTCGTATCTGCCCTTCCCCTAAAAAAAAAAAAAAAAACATTGGCTAATGATTATGGTTATGATTATGATTATGATTATGATTATGCTTGTGCTAGTAAATGAGTGTAACACTATGGTCTTGCATATCCGTGATCTTCCTTGTGCTTTTTGTATTTATTATATCAAGTATATGGATACAAGTAGAATAGAGTGAAAAAAAAAAAAAAAAAAAAAAAAAAAAAAGAGGACGTGTCATCCATCCATATCCTATCTTTCGGGGGAGGGGGAGGGGGGGACAAGAAGCATGTTGGAGCAATGCTCTATACCCATGTGAATAATCAATAATAGCAATAATACAATATAATAAAAAAAAGGTGTATTGTGCACGCGTTAAAAAAGAACAAATGCTCATTACTTGCTTTTTTTTTTTTGTTTTTCCTTCTTCCATATCTCGCTTACTATCCTATCCGACAGTCAGAACAATCAACAATCCTTCCTTGATAAAGAAAAGGAAAAAAAAAAAAAAAGAAAAAAGAAAAAAAGAAAAAGCATAAGATATAAAGAACATTAAGCAAACGAAACAAACACAAGGTGATCATCCCTCCTCATCTCTCCGTCCCGAATTACTCGATTCTTCTTTGCCCTTTTCCCTTTTTTGCTTTTTTGCGGGGAACTCGAAACCATATCTGATCATCCTGTTCCTCTTCACATGCAGAAAAGAATTAACTAGGTGTAAAAAAAAAAAAAATCAAATTAGGTGTAAATATACACAGTAAAAGGTCAGAAATAGAGATAGCACACACATCTTTGTGTCTTTGTACAACCAGACAAAAGAGAAAAAAAAAAAAAAAAAAAAAAAAACGGACGGGTGACAAAAAGTTACAAACTCTTGGGACTAAAGACCTATCCCAATCGTTTCTAAAAGAAAAAAAAATAAAAATAAAAAAAAAAATAACCCACAGAACATAACCAGTCAAGAACGAAGGCATAGAATTAAATTTTAAAAAAATCTTACTGCATCGGCTCATTCGCTCAATACCTGGTAATGGGTCCGTGTCGGTCCTGAAACTGAAAGTCAAGCAAATAGAATCCATCGGAAAGGAGAAAATCACTTTTTCTCATCCCCCGCAAGGAGAGCATCATCTCCTTCATTCTACTTAATCATTCCTAGAACATCAAGAAAAATATATATATATAAAAAAAACAAATGTTGTTATCAGTTATCGGATCTTATGAACTCTCTCTTCTCCTCCTCCAATTTGTATTCTGTAGGATTTATCCAGGAGTATCATTTCGAATAAATTATCTAATCTCGTCCTTATGAATTGTCGAATTGCCATTTATTAAGAAAAAAAAAAAAAAAAAAAAGAATAACTAATAGTAAGTTACTATCGAATAAGTTCAGATGAGTTGCCCGCAGCTTCGCGACATCCTGTTCACCCTACCGTGGTATTATCATTGTCGTTGCTGTTGTTGTTGCTACTGTGGTTGTCCTGTTTTATATGCACTGTCAATAGAAAAGAAAACGAAAAGTCCTTATTTGACTTTAGATTTTGATGATCTCTTGGAGTTGGAAGGGCCAACACTTGGAGCCTCTGCTTCATCTTCCTGATCTCCTTCCTCATCTTCCTCATCTTCTTCGTCTTCCTCCGCTTCTTCATCTTCGTCTTCGCCTTCGCCTTCCGAGGACTCGTAATCTGACATGTCATCCCTATTGCATAGTTCATAATGATACACATAAGTAAAACTGTACTCTCTCTCTATCCTTCCTTTCAATAAAAATGAATAAAAATAAAATATAGCATAACAACTTACCACATTCCAAGTTTTTTAATCACAGGCTTTCTTGGAGCAACCTCCTTTGCTTTTTCTTTTCCTTTTCCTTTTCCTTTCAAATCACCGATATTTGCTGCTGCTGCTGCTGCTGCTGATGATGATGATGAAGATGAAGATGGAGAGGAAGACGAGGAAGAAGAAGAAGAAGAAGAAGTAGATCCTGATGGTGATGGTGGGGATGTACTCCTAGACTTCATGTTTGCTTTGATGGCCGCAGCAACCGCACTCTTCACCTCCTCCACCTGTTCCTCTGCCTCATCAAAAAACTTTGAATCATCAAACCGATGTTTGCGGGTCGGTCGTTCTGCCAATTCCAACTTTTCTTCAATCTTGCGCTTCAGACTTTCTTTCCTTGCCCTTTCTCTCTCTGGTTCCTGTTGAACATATTCCGCTATTCTATATTTGGAATAATATAGTGAGTGGGTGGGTGGGTGGGTGTGAGAGCGAGAGAGAGAGAGAGAGAGAGAGAGAGAGAATGAGATTACGAAGAGAGAAAAAGAGTTAATTTCAAGTCCTTTGCTTTTTCCCGCCAATTTTTTTTTTTTTTTTTTTTTTTTTTTTTTTTTTAAATCTTTCCTTCATTTACCTTTTAGCCTCGTTGACAGTCTTGATACGACGTCCGCTCAAATCACGACAAGCATCTGTGTTGGTGGACTTTTGAGAAGACATCCGACCTCCTTGTGCACGCAACATACTTCCAAATCCTCCTTTGCCTCCACTCATACGCATCGTCAGTCCAAAACATCGGACCATCGGCGCAGTCGAATCCTCTCCTTCTTGTCTCTCAAACAAAAGCACATGTTCATCATCCTCATCATTCCCTGCCGAAAGGGGTTCGCCTCCCGCTGTCTGTATTCGCTGATCCTCAATCGGAATCTGGTACATCTCAAACAAATGTTGCTTGAGATCCAGTAAACTAGGCGTCGACGACGCTGGGAAACTGATGGCCACAGAATTAGAGCCGAAAATCGAAACAATGGCCTCCATGATTTATTACTATTGTTATTGTTATTATTATTATTATTATTATTATTATTAACAGTTTTTCTTTTGATTGTTTGAATTGAGGTGATATGAAAGGTAGAGAGAGAAAGGATACAGAAATGTTAATGTTCGGGATGATAGAGATGATAGAGATGACAAGAGATGAAATTTTGCTTCGCACACACCACACTCTTCCAGAACTTTTTGTTCTCGTGAGCTGAGCAAGGCTCGCCAGTCTGAGGTCGAAACCACGTGCAACGAATGAAAGTGCTGCAAGGCATGAGTTGCCAATTGAGCCAATTAGTGACCGCTCTTGCAAAAGCTTCCTACTCCCTGGCTGTGCTCACACCATGAGTACTACAGTACCCTATAGGCCTACAGGCTTGGTTCTCGTTCTCTTAAGCAGGACAACTTCCAACTGCTTTTTTTTTTTTTATTTTTTATTTTTTTATTTTTTAAAAAAAAGTTTATTCAAGTACATTATAAAAGAACGAAGCTATAAACATGAGAAGAAAAAAGAAAACGATCAAGATCAAGGTTAAAAACTCGAGCTCACAAGCAGACCATGACTGAGAAGTACTTGCTTATTCATCCTCCGCAGTAGTGGTGCGCCTGCGGGTCACAGATTCTTCCTTAAACTCTGCGTCGTCCTCTGCAGCAGCCTTGATGATCTCATCTTCATCATCTGGAGTCACCTCGTCAGTCTTCTTGGCCTTGGCAGCTGCCTTTACGCTCCCTACCTTGGGAGCAGCCGTCAACAGCCCGACAAAGATGAGAGCTAGACCCAATGTGGCACCAACAACAGCTGCAATGGCGGCAGACACAGCAGGTCGGCTGTGAATTGCGTTCACGGGATCCTCACGCGCCAGCTCAATGAATTCGCGGAGATGTTCAACAATAAAGCCCACGGGATTCTCCTTGAATTCAGGAAGTCCAGTCTTCTTGGGCGGGGGATTCACGAGCTCCTCTTGTTTCTTTTCCGACGCATACTTCACTTCCCAGGTCTCAGCCGCCAATGCCTCTGCATCTGCGATCGAATGTCCAATGTAGATGTTATCAAAGAGAATATCCTTTTGCATTGTCCAAATCTCGAATCCAACTGCTCCAATCTTGTCAAAGTTCGAAGGATGAAGATCTTCAAAATAATCTGGATTAGGGATCTTACGAGGGGCCCAAACGCCCTTGTACTCTGGGTTATCAATCATGGGAGGAGACCATTTGCCCTTATAGGCAGGGTTGGCGATGTAAGGACGTTCCCACTTGCCACATCCATGGTCTCGACATTTGGGATTAGGGATTGTGGGTGCGATCCAGTCACCGTCCTCCTCATCATCCCAGTCCTCGGGTTTAACAGCCTCTGGATCAGGGATTTCTGGCTGCTCATCCTCCAACCAATCGCTTGGCTTCGTTGCCTTTTCGTCCAAAATACGAGGTGGGGCGTCCTCATCCCAGTCATCAGGCTTGGTTGCCTTGGGATCAGGGATCTTTGCCTCCTCAACCCAGTTAGCAGGCTTCGTATCCTTGGGATCATCAATCTCCTTTGGTGGGTTAACAGGGGGCTGGAAGCTCTCCAATAACGATCCGCTGGATACAACTTCTTCATTGATTTTAATCTCGAAAGTCTGATCAGGCCTAAATTAAGGCAATAATAATAATAATAATAATAATAATAATAATAATAATAAAAAGACAGCAATGTTAGTAGCCTAGGCTGGGTAGATGTGAATACAAGTATTTTTCAAGAACCAGATCAAAAAGCACAACGTACTTGACAATTAAAGTGTAAAGGTTGCTAAAGTGATTGAGCTTAGTCATGGGTGCTGATTGGAGGTGTTTCTCCTCATAGACGCCCGTCTTGGGATTCCTATGGCGGAAGATGAAGTGGACTTTATTGGTTTGCCCACACTTGTCAGGTCCAAACATGATGGTGTAAGGTGTCTCGTTAGAAAACTCTTTGAACTTGATACCCTCGGGTGAGTCTGTCAAAAGCTTCATGTAGGCGCCACCACACTCCAATCCTTCCTGAGCTTTGACCTCGTACCTGATTAATCACAAGGGAAAGGAAGAAGGTCATTAGTGTCTATCAAAATGGATTTGATTCCCACAATCAGTTTTGTAGAAGAAAAAAATAATAATGTCTTACTGAACAACAAGGGTCTTGTCCTTGTTATCGATAACCTCTGGAAGGGAAGCTGAAATAGCGTGATGTGTAGCAGGAGACTTTGCAACCAGTCCAAAATCACCCTTGATGCCGGGAAGAAGAGTAGGTTCCTCAACGCTCCATTTACCAACATAGCTAAAGACTTCGCCCTGGGCAGTTGTTTCTTTGGTGGCTTCACTGGCTGTCCAACGATCAGCCCAGTCCTGGGTAAATTGTTCCAAGAATGGAGCCTTGATCGAAGTTGCCTATCAAAAAAAAAATTTTTTTTATTAAAAAAACGCGAATCATTAGTATTAAGACGCGTTGGCTCATCTACCGATTTGTAGAACAAGTCCCTTTCGGTCCTTTCCTTCTCTTACCTTGAAAACAGGAAGTTCAGGAGCAACATGGCCACCAGGCATGTTGAATTGTTTTTGCTTATCATCATGAGCCGCGACCATAGTCACGGCGGAGGAGAGAGCCAGGAGGGTGACAAGACCCAAAGAGATGCGTGTCATAATTGGGAAAGCGAGTCGTTGAGTGCGAATGAATGAATGAATGTGAGAGAAGAAAGGGTGAAGAAGAAAGGCGTGGAGGAAAGTAAATGAAGGGGGAAAAAAAATAAAAAAAAGAAAAGGAAAGAAAACGAGAATAAAAAGAATGAATTCTAGTTGGATTGGATTCGAATGGAACAATAAGAGAGGAGTATGTGAAGAGAGAGGGGAGGAGAAGTCAATGTTGCTGCCCAATCTGACGTGGCAACTGCTCAACCGCCACCAAAAATATCTTGTGTACATGGAATAATGTAAACTGTACTGTGATAATTTAATCTCGCCTGAGACATCTGACATTCCGTCCCACAGAATTGCAAACCGTCATTTGCCTACCCACCCTGAGAGCCAATGCAGCTCTAATCCAGAAGAAAGAAAAGAAGAAGAAAAAAAAAAAAAAAAAACAAAGACTAACAGCGCAGCATTGTCACTAAAAGCATCGGCGATTTCCATGACATCAACAAACGACAATGAGGCATACTCTTGTCCCATGTGCCACGAACCCTTTATTGGTAACCTCGCTGCTTTCGAGAGCCATGTCCAAGGTCATTTTGAAGACTCTACTTTGTCAGGAACATATACTCCCCCCGGATTCTTGGATGAACCCGAAAACAAAACGGCTACCATAACCGCAGCCTCCTTATATGATATTTATGACCAAACCTCATCCATTTCCCCCTTCACAGTTGAGTGCGATGCTCCCGGCTGCGGCATGATGGGTAACAACTTGACAACTTAGACTTGTTAATGGATAAATTTACCATAGAATTACAGCAAGGAACCTAATCAAAGTTTAATGAATTATCAACATCAACTCCTTCTTAGTTAATTTCGAAGAAATGGCAGAACATACAGACAGGCACCTAGCAATGCGGATTCAGGATCAAGAAAGCGCAGCTATATTTGAAGAGGTAATCAACCTAACGAATGTACCTTTTTTTTTTTTTTTTTTTTTTTTTTTTTCTTTTTTTCTTTTCTCGTTTTCATACTTAGCAGGGTTGACAATGAATTGATGCAATTATACAATTTGCAGGTAAATAATAATTCCACAAAGCGATCAAGAGGTCATTCACCCAATATATCAAGTGTGTTCAATAGTGCAAAGAGATCACAGGGTGATCCATTTACTGTAAAAACCACACCCACTGTCCAGTCAAGAAAGAAGACTATACCAATAGGACAGGCAACTATGGATGGATTCATCACGCGTAGCACGCGAGACCAAATGCCTTCCAAGAATCAAATAGAGTACAAACAACCTCAACCACAGAATACATTTGCCTCTATTAGTCGGACAGACCAGACAGAGCAAATGAATAATGTCACTGGAATCAAGGGCTTAATTGCGAAAACGAGATTGTTGCTTGATATTTCACTGGATCAAGGTTTCACCAAACAAGCATATTTGGCTGATCCATCTGTACTCTTTTGTCAGGGCGATAAAACTGATCGTGGCTGGGGATGCGGCTACCGAAACGTACAAATGATGTTATCCTATGTAGCCCAGCAAGCGGCGCCTCATTCTACACCTACATCTACATCCACATCCACATCTACATCCACATCTACCTCTACTACTCCCTTGGCTTCCGACCACATTGATATTCCTTCTATTCCAGATCTACAGAAACAGCTAGAATATGCTTGGGCCGCTGGTTTTGACCCGGCTGGGGCCAATCAATTGGGGCACAGAGTCAAGGGCACTCGAAAATGGATTGGCACTACAGAGGCCTGGTCTATCTTGTGCTCCCTCGGCATTCGATGCCACATTCTCGATTTTCATACGCCTACAGGTCCTAATAGTTCACATCCCGTCATGCTCTCAGCAGTGCTTAACTACTTCCGAACGCCTGATTGGTCTCCTCTAACGGCTCCAGAACTGCATAGAGTCGTAGATTATGAGCTGCATGAAGAAGGCCCCAAAATCATCCAGACACATAAACCACCACTGTATATGCAACATCAAGGCCATTCACGTACCGTCATTGGGATAGAGATCTTGGCAACCGGAGAATTGAATTTACTGGTCTTTGATCCTGGACGATGGCTTCACAAGGCCATCCCGATGTTACAAAACCAACAAGTCTCTAGAGCTCATTCGCAAACCTTGGGTACCAAAGTGAGGACAAAGGATGGTTTATTGGATGCACAATATTTGCTCAAGGCATTCCGGCTTCCAGTGAGCGTGGGAATATCTAAATCGCAGTATCAACTGCTTGGTATATCTGGCCTGTATCAGGAAAAACCACACCCAAGTCAAGCACCACGTGACCGGATCAGACTTCAACTCTGCACGAGAAACCCATCGCTTTCTATCGGTTGGGATGATGAAGAAGCTGAGCAGAGTAAACTCGTAAGCAGCACTCGTGTCCCTTGAACTGTCGGGACGTGCTACATCACTTTCTTTATTTAGTATCAATATATCCATTGTATTTCTAAATATTAAAAGGCAGCAAAAAATTTAATGCTTGACTCTTGCTAAGGCTCTGTATATATATATATATATATATAAAAGAGAACTCGTTACTAAGGTACATGTACTAAGGTATTGGATGCGCTGGCCATTTTTCAGCTGGGACGTAGTTAGTCCATATACCACACTTAAATAAATAGCTCAAGAAAGAAAGAGGTGACTGGATCCTATCAAGCATTAGTAGCTGGTCTTAAGGAAGAATGGAATCGAGTGATTTAGGCCGACGGGTCATCCTTTGCAGTCTATGAACACCTTCGTTACACATATAAGGGCTTTGCGTACGACAGAGAGAAAGTGCAAGTATGGGTTGCCTTGCGCCAAGTTTCCTAGAGTGGTAGGACATGGGACATGATGGTCAGAGAAGCATACATAACAGTGATTGGCCCTATCGCTCACATATCACATAGTACATAGTAATCTAACTATTAGTCGTAAATATTCCATCATCCACATTTAATGACTCTAGTAAATGATCATAAACACTTTTCAACATCTACAACGCCCCTTGGTTGATTGTAATTGGACATGGTCATTGAGTTAGACTATGTTTCGTAGAAGATGTATACAAAGGCGAAATAGCCAGGTTTACAGCAGTAAAAAAAAAAAAAAAAAAAAAAAAAAAAGAGGCTCCATTCTCGCGGATGCGCTTCAAAAGTACCGCAAGTAGCTCAAAGAACCTTCTAAATCTCACAATGGCTCCTTGGTGAGGAGCGAAACAGCTTACCAGAAGTGAAACTGGGAAACCTTATTTAGTCTACATATCTCCACTAGCCTGGAAACTTTGGGTGGATGGCTTGCTCATCAGTAAGCGCACACACTGCTTTACCCATTCATATAGCGCGTCTCCAAAATCTTGATGAATTATACTATGTTAACCTCTTTAAACTGATTTGTAAAGTTCCGTGTTAGTTGACATTTCCTCATTGGCCCGCACGTGACGGGAGATAAAGTTTTCTTGATCCCTTTGAAAACGGCTCTCTTGAATGGTGCCAGATGTCTTAAAAAGGAAAGAAAAAAAAAAAAAAAAAAAAAAAAAAAAGCCGTTTGATATGTGGTGAATGACGATGGTTTTTTTTTTTTTTTTTTTTTTTTACTATTTGATTCCTGGACGAATCTTCCTTACTCATATATCTATAAAACATAATTAACGGTGGAACAACAAGTGTCTACAGCTGCATGATCGCCTGATAGTTCGTACATGTAACGTTTACAAGTCAAATGAACGATTTGAGCTGCGATTTTACTGGACAAGTTCCGAAGAGAAGGACCTTCTATTAGTTCTTGGTACAGGTCAATGACCAGTCCCCTTCGCAGCCTCCCCTCTCAGTTTCCGATCGATCTGTTTTGTCATGGCTACTAACAAATCACGAGGACCAAGGCGCATAAACACATGCAATCGTAGTATTTGACCTGGGGTCGTTATGACACTCAAACATATTTCGTTGTTAGTCCTGGGAGTATCTCCACTTGCGAAATCTAGATGCACATATCCAATCAATCATAAGGAGTCTTACAAAAAAGAGAAAGGAAAAAAACGCGACTTTTTTTTTTTTGTTTGTTTGTTTCTCCTGGTACCTCTGTCTTCTTGTAAGGTCTTAGTGTCGCTTTTTTTCAGGTTCTCTCCTCTTACTTTTCCATTGTATATGTTTTTTGTTATTGTTTTATTTACTAATTTATCTTGTTATCAGTTAATAACATACATTTATACATTTAAGAGTCTTTATTACTATTATTATTACTATTATTATTACTATTATTATTATTTCTTTGCTGTTAAACGGTGTATCATTTGCAGGTTACCAACGTCTGTCCTTAATTGTACTCTATCGAGGCAAAGCGGCAAGTCTTGCATACATGCTAACGAGAAAAAGGAAATATAAGGATCGCTTCAGTCATCCTTCTCCTTTGTCATTCTTTCATATAAAATCCTTTCCCAAATTCCACATGTTCGTCTTTCTTCTAATCAAATTACTCACCTGATAGTTATAGAAAACAAGGAAAAAAATATATATATACATACATACATACACCCTGATTCTTCTTCCGGATTCTTCTTCCATTATAATTACCTCTTCCACTTTTATTTTACAAAGATGCAGCGCTTTGATTTGAACCCAATGTTGACTCGTTTATCACTCTTGTCTCGCAACCTCAGTGGCGCTTATACAAGATCCCCAAGAGCACTGTCATCTACCCTGCCAACGCCTTCAGCAGGACAGCATAGATACTTGAGTACAAAGGGGCCCTTGCGGTTTAATGTGTCTGATAACCGTCCTCAGGAGATGACATCTTCTGTTACTGCTCCTCATCTTAATTTCCCTCATCCACTACCACCGCCACCACCACCACCACCACTTTCTCATGCTCCTTTTTATCCATTGCAAGGTATAAAAAATAAAAAAAATAAAAAGATTAGTTTGGGAAGAATCAGGTCTTTATCTTTGGATAAAGTGTGCTTCGCCCATCCAACCCAAAAAAGGAAATCAAAGAATGTCTAATTAGGGCTTTTTTTTAATTTTATCTTAGGCTCAAAAATTAGTATGGCAAAGAATAGCAAAGCTATCAATATAAAACCAAATATCTCTTGGATGGAGAAGTTGGCTCAAGATCATCGAACTACTTCCACCTCAAAGACCTCAAACATTACAGGTTCCAAAGCCATTGAAAACAAGAATCCATCTCCTGAGGTTCATCCTCCACCCAAGAGACGCCAATTGGCCTTGAAGACCATGAAAGATTCTTATACAGAGGTTGTCATGCCCTTTACAAAGGACAAGAGTTTATTGGAGGAATATATCAACGTCAACGGCACCGTTAGGTAAAAGAAAATAATATATATATATATATATATGATTGGCATAATGTTTACCATTGCTTGATTAGCCCTATCTCTCTCTCTTTTTATATATATATATATATATATATATATATATATATTTTATGTTCTTTATCATCAACTTACTGATTGATTTATATCCAACTTTTTTTCTTTCTTTCTTTTTCTTTTTCTTTTTTTTTTTTTTAAAAAAAAAAAGACATGGCAAAATCATGGAGGATTTAGATGCGTTAGCAGCTGCCATTTCATATAAACATTGTGGATATGAACTGGCAGATAGTTCGGATTTGACGATCGTCACCGCCTCTGTAGACCGGATCGATTTCCTAAAACCGATTGCCGCTAATGATTTGCGGCTTTCTGGACATGTTACATATGTCGGATATAGCTCTATGGAAGGTAATTTTCGCATATAAATATAAATATATTTATATTTATATTTATATTTGTGTTTTAAAAGAGAGGGGGAAAGAAAAATGAGAGAGAGACCAATCATCTAAAATATAATATCTTGACCATTGCATCCTATATATCGTATATATATAGTCCAAATGAAGATGGAAGAGATATTTCCCGACCATCCCGAGAAAAAAGCTACCATTTTGGTGGCACTGTTTACCATGGTGGCAAGGGATGCAACCACAGGCAAGGCAGCACAAGTGAATCCCTTGTCACTTCAAGATGACAATGAAAAGAAGCTATTCCAAATGGGAGAAGGTAAAGATGTCTTTTTTTTTTTTTTTTGAAAGAGAAAAAAAAAAAAAAAAAAAAAAAAGAACCAATTTAACATCGAGATGTTATCTTTTTCTATTTCTATTTCTTTTTTTTTTTTTTTTTTTTTTTTTAAAAAAAAAGACCATAAAGCTAGAAAGCGCACAGAAAGTGAAAGGGCACTCACAAAACGTCCTCCGACTGAAGAAGAGCGTTTCTTGATTCATGATCTTTATTTGGAGTATTCCAAATATGAGAACTCTCAGCTGAATTGCTCAAAGCCAGATGATGTCCAGTGGATGGGTGATACAAAGATGAGTTCCGTTCAAATCATGCAGCCGCAAGACCGTAACGTCCATCACAAGGTAAATAAGAATAATGATAAGAATAATAATAATAATGATAATAGCAATAATAACAGCAACATTAGCCAGTTCAATGTTGAAGAAGGAGGAGAAAAAAAAAAAAAAACATCCTTCTCCTCGATATGATACTAAGAGTCTTTTATTTATATATATAGATTTTCGGTGGATATCTGATCCGTTTAGCTTATGAACTTGCATTCTGTAACGCTTCAGTCTTTATCAGGAACCGACCGATATTCTTGGCTCTGGATGAGATTGCGTTCCGCAAACCAGTGAGTGTTGGCACCACCTTGGCCCTGGATTCACAAATTGCGTATTCAGGGGGAGGAGAACACCACTCGTTCCAAGTGATGGTCAAGGCCGATATCCTTGATATCAAAAACAATACTCGAGAGACCTGCAATACTTTTTGGTTCACCTTCAGTGATCCTCGAAAGGATCATCTTACCCCAAAGGTCTTGCCCCGAACTTATGCAGAATCTGTGCTTTACCTCGAAGGCAAACGTAGAAGGATAGAAGGCGCCAAGCTAGCTCAATTGAACCGCAAGAACTTGGGAATGTAAATCAACAAACAAACAAACAAATTATTTATTTATTTATTTATTTATTTATTCATGTTCATGTACATTTCATCGGGTTTTTTAAACTTGAACGTTTGGCCAAATAAATAGGGCGCCTATTTCTAAAAAATAAAAAAAATAAAATAAGGTAGCCAACAAATAGGCCATTGACACATCAGAAATGCGGCTCCAGAATTGCCATATTTCGAGTATCCCTTGGTGGATTTCACTCAACCCAAAAGAAAAAAAAAAAAAAAAAAAGAGGATCCTAAACCCCTTTAACAAACTGGATGCGAAGATCCAGGGGGGAATGTATAAAATATAATAAAATAAAATAATTAAGGGGATTGTCTGTCTTATTTCAACGACGTATTTGATGTAGCCGATTTATTTTCAAATCCCTATTATTTCCACTCAAGGACACTAAAAATTATAATGGAGAGGACACCAACACATCGTTTTGCAACAGTAAAAATAAAGTAATGTGAGATGATGAGTGAATGATATCTTTGTGACTTTAGTGGACTTCTCCTACGCTCTTTGAGCGGATATGGTTATGAATACCTTTGATCTGGACATCGGGAATGGAGTTCTATTGAGTAATGATTTCAAGCTGCAGGTTGAGTTCTACATTGGTTGTCTGCAACCATGGTCACTACCATTCAAGAGCACCTCCCTTCCAAACGTGGCTACTACACCTTCAGCCGACGGATGCAAATAAACAGCACTCGTGGACGAAACTATAGTCAGTAGAGCACACCAATATGACCTTAAGTGGCGAAGCTGAAGGTCGACTCGACTGTATTACAGCATCTGTTGCTCAGAGAAGAGGAATGAAGGGTCTTTGCATCTTGTCAACATTCCTTCCTCATCCTTCGAATCATCACCGAGATGGCAGAGCTTCAATACCAACGGTTCCGAAAGGGCAACATCGTTGAAGAAGTTTGTGTTAAAACTGCTTCCACCAAGGCAACCAATGACTGCCCGCCATGCTTTGTGCTTTTGCAAGACATTCGAGATGTGTTTCCGGATGCACTGCGCTTCAAGCTGAATGAGCATCCCATCCCATTCCTTTCGGATGCTGATGGCAACAGGTATATTATTTTATCATTGGTGCCTTGTTGATTGCTCATGGATAGAAAAATGAGGGAACCCCAATTTGACACGACTTTTTTATTTTTGTCTCTTTAGAATCGAGCCTCCGCGTATTGCATTCTATCCTGACAAGATCCTGGACATCATTACAGAACCACCACAGTGCTGCAACTGCGGCAGTAGCAACACCATCGTCCATTTGCCGACATTGGGAGAGTCGAAAAACTTGGCTTTTCATGACCTTCTTTTGTCATTATCAAACTTTGTCCAACCTTCTAATAACGAGAATTTCAACTCTCACTTTGAAGAGACTAAGAAATTGCTGATGGAGGCCAGTAATGAGGGGATTAAGCTGCAATTAGAGTCTAAGAAGAAGGACGATAGAATGCTTGAACTGCAGTTGGAGGCTAAGGAGAAGGACGACATGATGATTGAAATGCAGAAGAAGATGCTTCAACTGCAATTCGAGGCCAAGGAGAAGGACGAAAGAATGCTTGAAATGCAACGGCAACCACTCGGCAGACTTGCCATCCTGCAAAAGAAAGCTGGAGCTATCCTTGTCCAGAAGTTTGAGCCACACGAGTATCCAGTTCCTCGACTGTTTATCATTTTACCTGCCGATCGTACCAAGTGGGACCCAATGAATGTCTTGAGGAACAAGGCGCGCCTTCATTTCTTATGCGAACATGGGGATAACACTGCAAAGACAGATAAGAATTGGCACGACCAAATCCACCTTGCCAGACATGAAGGATATGAGATCCGGAACAGCACAGAGTTCTTTCAAAAGTATGGAAAATATATAGTTATCCTTTTACAGTGGTTGAAGTTGGGGATAGGAGCTGCTTCAGGTACTTCTCTGCCATCAGTCCCAAAGCTGCTCGATGCCGGCATTGATTATTCAATCAAGTATATGGAGCAGCTCTCTAAAGCGAATCCAGCTCTGAGCAACATCAACACAATCGATGACTTTGAGGCACTTGAAGGAGCAGATCTTCGCCAACTGAGCAAACTCCTTCAAACCAAGGATGAAGACTGGCAACTTGGCAACTTGTACAGGATTACGACAGAAACAGGCCATGTCAGATGGGTTTGTGTCGACCACTACCGCTCAACATATAACGAGAGAGAACAGGAGGCGTTTGAAAATGTAGTGGAGGTGGAGATGAACCGTAGCAAGAATACGTGGCACTGGGACAAGGATACGTGGGACTGGAACAAGTATGAGTCGCATCTTGGCAAAGTGACTATCACATTGAGATCCAGAAATGCAGCAAGAGAATTCTACAATGCTCTGACCAATGCAAAACATGTGTACGAGATGGATATTGCATTATTCTGGTATTGGACTCGGACAGATCTTAAAGCATTAGAGAAAGCTCTAAAAGTGTCGAATGTATCGGTTCTTCGACTTAATCTTGAGCAGCCTCAAGAAAGTATTACCATGGAAATACTTCCAATATTACTTCCAATAACCATACCATATAAGATGCTTGTTCGCATCATATCACTTCGCAGAATGAAGTCAATCTGTATTGTACTATCTTCGGATATGATCAAGCTTTCGAATTTACCGAGTAAAAAACTACCACATCTTCATGAGTTATCCTTTGAGATAAGTCCTCGGAAGATGGGAGCAAATGCTTTTCGAGGACTTGTAAATTCACTCAAGACCGATGTGCCCTTGACGAGTTTGGACTTAGGGGACAACGCAATTGGATATGAAGGAGTCCTGGCGCTGTCAGAGGCACTCAAGACAAACAAAGTTCTGACAAGTTTAGACTTGCTCGCCAACTCAATTGGGAAAGAAGGAGCTCTGGCACTCTCAGAGGCACTCAAGACAAACACGACTTTGACAGATTTGAAGTTGTTCAACAACTCTATTGGCAAGAAAGGAGCTCAGGCACTCTCAGAGGCACTCAAGACAAATAAGACTTTGAAAAATTTGGAATTGGGAGGCAACTCAATTGGGAAAGAAGGAGCTCTGGCACTCTCGGAGGCACTCAAGACGAACAAGACTTTGGCAAATCTGAGCTTGCTCGCCAACTCAATTGGGAATGAAGGAGCTCTAGCACTCTCAGAGGCACTCAAGATAAACAAGACTTTGGCAAATCTGACCTTGGGATGCAACTCAATTGGGAAAGAAGGAGCTCTAGCACTCTCAGAGGCACTCAAGACAAACAAGGCTTTGACAGAATTGTTATTATTTCGGAACTCAATTGGGAATGAAGGAGCTCTGGCGCTCTCAGAGGCACTCAAGACAAACAAGACTTTGACAGAACTGGACTTGTGTAGGAACTCAATTGGGCAAGAAGGAGCTCTGGCACTCTCGGAGGCACTCAAGACGAACACAACTTTGACAAACTTGAACTTGAGTGAAAACGTAATTGGGGATGAAGTAGTTCTGGTACTTTCAGAGGCACTCAAGACAAACATGACTTTGACGAGTTTGAACTTGTATTACAACTTTATTGAGAATGAAGGAGCTTCGGCACTGTCGGAGGTACTCAAGACAAACATGACTTTGACAAATTTGCACTTGGGATACAACCAGATTAAGAATGAAGGAGCCTTAGCATTCTCAGAGATGCTCAAGACAAACACCACTCTGAAAAGGTTGGAGTTGAGAGGCAACCAAATTTGGGATGAAGGAGCTCTGGCACTTTCAGAGGCACACAAGGCAAACAAGGCTTTGGCAGATTTGGACTTGCAATATGAATTTTGAAGTAACTCTGACCCTGTCAGAGGTACTCAATCCAAGGACAACACGGCATAGCTTGGATTACATGCGTTTAACATTACTAGTAGAAAATATAAATGGTTTCAATCCGCCACAGTAATACTTGATGCTCAGCCTCTTCTCCTACTCTGCATTTCCACAACATTCATTTTTATTAAATACTGACAATAAGCATGTCTATTAAGAGGTATGTTTTCACTTTTCAGAAATAAAATGAAAAAAAAAAAAAAAAAAAAAACATTTACATGTATATCCAATCGGGACTAGGGTCATTAAATGAGTCTCCTACCCGCCATGGTTACCCCGGCCTTTGCATCATTGGCTTGTGTGCTTCCTTCTTCCTTTCTTTTCCCCTTTTGCATATTTACGTTGCATGGGCAAAGGTTGTTTTTTTTTTTTTTTTTTTAAATATACAAACTTTGCATTGATTCACGGCGGACACTTGATCGTTAAGCACATCGGTCCTATTCGGAGACGTAATAATCTCGGGGGAGAAAACATCCAACACAGCCTTTATTCAAAACCAAGTAGTGAAAACCTCAGGGGTTGATATCTCTTAGTAGAGAAGTCGTTTCAGTATTGCTTCAAGGTGAGTGAAACCTTCTGGAGTGATGGTGGAGGGAAAGATATGATTCTTACATGTCTTTAGAGAGATCTTTAGCTATTCCGCATCAAAATTATGGCGGGATTTCATTGGCAGGGGTATAAAATACAGACGCGTTGGTCCTGTCAAGAGCCTAAATATATAGACCACAATAGTTACAACCCTCAATTCAGCCTAAGGATCATTAAAATTGAGAGGAGGGAGGGATGGTTTGGATTTTTAGTCAGGATTGATGATGGTGGTAGCAAGTGACATCGAGGAACTATTCCAGCTCCCTTCATTTGAAGGATTGAAGAGTGGTAAAAATATATATACAAAAAAATAAAGAAGAACCAAGAGCGAGTACAACATTTGCTGTTATTAAGAATAAAGTGAAGCAGCGAAGAATGGGAAGGAATAAGCCCAATAATGCGGTGATGAAATTCCAAACGTGTCTTTATCAATGTTATAAACAGAACCATATTACCTGTTCCTTGTCGTCTTTTCAACAACAGCAATAACAACAACATCAATGATTGCCAAGAATGCATCTACATTAATTAATAATAGATTTAAAGATGTAGTGGCTGTTCGCTGCAAGGGGAGGGGAGGGGAGTTGTCCTTGCGTTTAACGGAAGCACGGAGATGATCCGTGTTACGGCTATAGGAGATATTAATACCTGTAGCATAAAGTATTGATATGGTGCTCTATGTAAATACAACGTGTATATATTATACATATATACATTTGTGAATTCTATGAATGTTAATGCACATTAGTATAGACATTTGTTTATGTAAAAAAAGATGTGTTGTTATTAATTACAGCCGTACTAAGCGAATGGTATATAAAATGTCAATATGGGTATTGGAAAAAGAGTATAGAGATGTACATGTACAATTATTGATGCATAAATTTGGTCGTCAATAATGTATCCTTGTCATGGTAAGAGCAATTGGGTTAGTTGCTGCAAGGTGACAAAGATGTGTATGAAAGAGATGCATTCATGTTGAAAGGAATAGTGCATCGTTCTCTGGAGGTGATCGAAAGACTACAAAAAATGGATATTACAAAGATGTATTTATTGTATATCCATACGAATGTTTGGATGTGTACTCTGATACTTGGTCCTACATAGCCCCAAACATGCCAATCTCCTTGGCCTGCCACCTTTGCCCATTTATTAAAGCTGAAGTTGTATGGTTTGGTTACTAAAGTGCAGTTACACAAACGCAATTTTGCAAATAAAAACCGTATTCATGTTAGACGCATTACAGGTGTACTCCATCACCTCATCAGTTTATGAAATTCATTTCTCATCTCATTTCTCTTTCTCTTTCTTTCTCTTTCTCTCTCTCTCTCTCTCTTCTTCATTCATTCATCCATTCATTTATTCACATTCATTCATTCATTCATTAATTTACAAGTGCTTGTCTCATCCTTTTTTTTTTTGTATGTATGTTCATCCTTTGAACAAAGCGACTTGTCTTTGTTTCTGTTTCATCTGGGCTCAATAAATGTCCTATACACTTGAGAATTGAACTTCACTCTTGCCACTTTCTCTCTCTCTCTCTCTCTCTTTTGTACACAGACACACACTTTCTGTCATAATCCTTTTTTCCTTACTTCGATTAATTGCCAATGTTAGGCCTCTTCAAGAAAAAGGAGGATCCTTCTGCCTCCAATAATAATCAAAGCAATAGTTCAAAACAACGGCCACCACCCCCGTCCAATGGCTTACATGGGTCCAACAATAGTTCGAACAACCATGGCAATACTTCTGGATCTCCTCTCACCGGTTCAATGAGTCCAACAGGATATTCACAACAACAACAACAATATCAACAGCAACAGCAACAACAGCCATTACAACTCAATAACCCTAATCTAGTGCAGACGCAAGCATCATTCCTTCCATATACCGCGGGCGGTCTTCCTTCACCACAGGTACATAGTGCAGCACCATTACAGGCAGCAACAGGGTCAATGCTACCAACCCCACAGCTATATTGGACACAACGTCGTATCCTCGGCACCAATCCATTCCCTCGGTTCCAACATACGAGTTCAGTGATCACGAATGGAACAGATATCTATTTATACGGTGGCAGTCAAGATGGGAACACTAAAGGCGATCTCTTTATTATTGATTCTAGTAAGTCAATTGGGGCATAGTTTTTTTTTTTTTTTTTTTTTTTTTACGTCTGGCATGTGTTATTGCTGCTATTATTGTGTGCGTGTGTTTTGTACCCCCATGGCCCTATGTATGTTTATATGTTCATCTAGTCCTGTGTCCCTAAGGAGAGAGTGGGAGGAAGCATCTGGATGAGTAAACATGAAAAACAAACTTGGCTAGTAAAGAAAGACTCTTTTAATGGGCTCATATCCAAATGAATGGCACCAAAAGCCTTTTTGAACATGATTGGGCAGTTCCTTTTTTTTTGAGCCCTCCAGCTTTTTTTTTTTTTTTCTTTTTTGAAAAAGGGGAGAGAAACAAAGCAAAAACGTGGTTGAAATGGAAATGGATCGAAAAGGATGTCTAATTCAATTTTATGTTTTATTGATTAGCCTCGCTTGAGTGTCAGCTCATAAATGCAGCAGGGGATGAACCATCTTTGCCCAAGAGCGGACATTCTGCTGTCAACATTGGACAATACCTCATCTGTAAGTACATCAACCATAATTTAGGGTGGCGAAGGCATTGTTCCTGAAATGGCAGAATGAAAAAACGTTTCATGTCACACAATTAGGGGTTAAATGTATCACATTAAATTTTAGATAATCAGAAAAGCAAAAGAGAGTAAGAGAAAGCGGCGGGAAGAAAAGAAATACTAATGCAAGTAAAATTCCTCTTGTAGATTTCGGTGGTCAGAATGCAACAACAGGTCAATGCGATGGCACCTTGCATGTGCTGCACACTGGAAGGAAAGAATGGAACAAACCTCCGATTCAGGGACCTTTGCCTACCCCACGTCATTCTCACACCGCTGTCAGCATTGGCACAATCATGTATATATTCGGTGGTCAAAACAACGACTTTTATATGGACGACATCAATGCCTTTGATATGATGACAAGTAAGCAACACCCTCTATTCGTAAACATCACCCCTATTAAAGCCTCAAGTAAAAGTTGCTTAAAAGGTTCCTTCACTTTTTTCTTTTTTTTTCTTATCCTCTTCTCCCTATAGTCACACAAAACCCTAGATGGGAGAAACTAGAGCCTCAGACAGAATCGCCTCCTGCGCGTTCTGGCCACTGCGCTTGTGCGCATGAGGGCAAAATCTATGTTTTCGGAGGAGCAGATGTAGATTATTTCTATAATGATATCTGGTGTTTCGACCCAAAGGCTCTGACATGGACTCCAATCCCCGCCTCAGGATATTTACCCACAGGTCGTCATGGCCACTCTTGTACAGTTGTAGACGGGATCATGTATATCTTTGGAGGCAACAGTCCCGATGGCTCTGAATTGAACGATGCTTATGCCTTCAAAATTCATGGTAAAAAAAAAAAAAAAAAAAAAAAAAAAAACCTAGACAAGTTGGAAAACATATTAACTCCTACTCATGCCTTTCTACTTTATTTTATTTTATTTGTATTGATGATTAGAGCGCCGATGGTATCTTTTCCAAAACGTCGGAACAATTGCGAGTGCAAGGAGCGGTCATACAATGTGCACTGTCAAGGATAGGATATATGTCCTCGGAGGAGCATCAGAGCAGACAAAATTGGAGGACTCGGCACTGATCTATTATTTGGAGATTTGTAAGAATGCGAAAAAAAAAAAAAAAAAAAAAAAAAAAAAAAAAACTGACTAAACTACGAATGCCATTTTCCTTATCTTATCTTGTCTCTTTGTTTTGTTTTGTGTACATAGCCAAGATCCGCTATCCTGATCTTCCACAAATGATTCCCCCTCGTCAAGCATCATCACAAAGACTCTTGATGAGCAGCCCACCACCAGACTCTGTACACAGTGACTCTGACAGGAATTCAGGCCAAAATCAACACCAACAACAACAGCGGGGACCACCAGAACGTCCTGATCGACCTGACCGACGTACTACACAGCGTCCTACATCCCCTCCAATGTTTTCGCCTTCAGATCGAAAAGGATCTTTCTCAAACCCTACAATCTCACAACATACCAACCAGTTAATGAACTCACAGATGGGACAGCATCCTATGACCTCGTTTGCTTCCCCACCGCCCCCACCACCGCGTGGAATCAGTGCAGGCGCAGGATTCTCACCCGCCAATAGTGCTAATGTCGGTCCAAATGATTATCAGGCTGAGGGACTTTCTGTCGCTACGAGGCGTCAAACATTAAGGGATGATTTCCAAGGAGGCTACGGTGGAGCTGTCATCGGGACTGCCAGTCCTATCAATAGCCCCATCGCTAGCCGAAGAGCGATCCATCCAATCCCCTCGAGCCCCAGTATGGGCGCTAGCCCATCACCGCTCAGAGTTATCAACGTCTCTCCGACCAGTCCTCCACCTTCCTCCCGATCATTTTCTGATATTGGGGCAGACGACACAACCAGCCCCATCTCTGCACGACCCAACAAAGATCATCATAGCATGGACTTTGTTCCTCCACCGGGAACTGGAAAGGGCCCGGTAGAGGACATTAACCCATATGCAATGGAGGCCATTACACCTGGCAGTACTATGAGTCCCATGGTTCAAAGTCCTAGCAGCACAGCGTCTCCGAGTGCATATATTCCTCCACCTCCTTTAATGACTTCTTTCTCTGCAGCAGTCAGCGGCTCTGAGGGTCAAAACATCATTGCTAATTCATCCCCCCGTTCGCCTCTCTCTGGGGTCAATTCACACCTGCCTCCTTCGACTAGTGCTGTTCCTGGTTCAGACAGAAAGCCAGGTCAACCTGCGCAAGCCTCTACTCCAATTCCAGGACCATTAAATGACCGTTCAGCGTCGCCTATCGCTGGAAAAAATATGACTACACGTGGTTCTGGTGGCTCAGCATTTGCATTGGGGCTCGGCACCGATGGATCGTCCACACCTGTTGTTACATCCGTTCCTGAAAAATCTGCCCGTCGTGTCTCTGTCCAACAACAACAACAACAACAGGAGGTGATGAAGATGAGCAGAGTCGTTCAGAGTGAGAACGAGATGCTGAAGCAGGAGGTTGAAAAGTTAAGGAAGCGAGAGCAGTGGTTAATGGCAGAAGTGATCTTGACTAGAGATTCATTACCAGCACCGACGAGTGGACATGGCAAGAAACAGGAAGGAAATGATGATCCATCCTCCCTGAGCTTGCAAGAAAAACGATTGTCAATGGTGGATTTGGAGCGTGAGTTGGCCAGTGGAGAACTGGAGGGTCAACAACTCAAGATCATGAAGGCCTTGGTCAAAGTCAAAGAAGAGCTCAAGACTGCCAAGGTAAAAGAAAAAAACACTATGCATATATGCACAACTTTGTATTTGTATTTTTGGATTTATTTTCTGATATCTTTTCTTTTTTTTTTTTTTTTTTTTTTTTTTATAAAAAACAGATGTCAATTGTAACTCAGGCACAGACAGCTTCAAATAAGATCAAGGAGGCGGAACGGGTCCGAACAGCAGCACTACAGGAAGCGGCGTATTTAAAAGCAAAGATGTCCTCAATGACCAATGCTCAACAGGATCCTGGTGCCCTTGCTCGTGTAGAGATGGAGCGCGCAGCAGATCTGGAAAAACGGCTGACCAACGCTCTTAATGAACTTGATGCAATGGAGATACAGTATCAAAAGGCTCAAGAAACACTTGAACAGGAGAAACGATCTCGAATTGCTGCAGAGGAACGGTCACAAGGATCGATTCTTTTGGCAGATCAAGCCCAATCAGCTCATACACGTGCGCTTGCTGAGATTACTTCACTTCATAGTCGAGCCTCTAAAGCCGAAGCTGAATCTCGAGAGTATGCAGCTCAGCTTGCAGAGACCCAGGCTGGAGTGTCAGGCCATCAATCTCAATCCTCGGGGTTGCTTCAAAAGGTCCAGAGCTTGAAACAGCAGGTGGAGGAACAGGAGCTGGCATTGGAACGAGCTCAGGTGGCCTTTTCGGTCGCTAATGATCGTGCAGCTCGTGCAGAGGCTCGGTCCGAAGAAGCAGCTCAAAAGATTGACAGGCTGGAGAGTCAGCGGTTTGAGCTCTCGACTGAGGCAAACCGATACAAAAGTGAGGCTGAAAGGTTGCAATCCAAGGTGGAGGATCTGGAGAACCGATGGCAAGTCTCGAAGGATGAGGTGGCCACGCTTAGAAAACTGGTAGAGGATGGACTGGGCGCGTTCAGTCCACGGGCCAGGTCTGAGAAGATAACACCGGAACGGAAACATGATAGCATTGCGATCCTTAGCACAGTCTCGAGGGTTTCAGAATTGGAACATGAGCTCGCGTCACTGAAGAAACTCCACAGTGTCTCTCAAGCAGCAGCTACCAAATCATCCTCAGAGCTGGCAGATGCCATGATCGAGCTCTCGCGTTTGGAACAAGCATCCATGCAGGCCCGCACCGAGACTATCTCACTTCAAAAGCTGTTGTCTCATGAGCGTGAGGCTGCAGCCCAATTGAGAAGCAATCTGGTCAAGACCGAGCAGCAGCTGGAAGAGAAGGTCAAGGAATTGGAGGATCATGAAGTGCAATTGGGATTGTTGCAGGATGTGATGCGTGAGAAGGGTATGATTGCAGAGGATATCGTTGTTCATGCTCGCGCGCGTGGAACGCCCGAATATGCAATCGAGTTGGAAGGAAAGGTTCGTGCAGCACAGGAGAGGATTGAAGAATTGGAACAAGAGCTGAAAGAGGTTCGTAGCCGCTTCAATGAGCAATCAGTTGTACTTGAGAACCAACGCCAGAATGCAAACCAACAGGCCGAAAAGATGTCAATTTTGCTTCGCAAGATCAAGAAGGACCTGGAGGAGACCATCAAGGAGAAGGAAGAGGTTGAGATTGTATTCAAGCAACTTCAGGAAGACCATGCACACTGTGATGATCACGTCCAGGAGCTTTCGACCTCGTGCGAGAATTTGAAGGAGCAGGAAGAGGAGCGAATGATGATGCTAAAGATGCATTGGGAGGAAGAGCATCAGGAGTTGTCTGGACAGATTAATGATTTGCAAAAGAAATTGGAGGAGTCGGAGATGCAATCCTCAGAGCTATCTCAAAAGGCCATTTCAGCGACTGAGCGACTTCAGGAGGTCGAAGCTTTGAATGAGGCGATTTCAGATGAGTTGGAGAACCTTCAGGGTCAGATGGAAAGCATGAAGAAGAAGGCTGCTAAGACTGAGGAGCAACTCAAGGCAGATGTAGAACGACTTGTGACAGAGATCCACCAGACTCAAGAGAAGCTCCATGCCAAACAGAGCGAGTTCAATGAAGCTTCGGAGCTGAATGAGCAGCTCCAACGTGAACTTGAACAGGCTCTGCAGGCACAGAATCAGAGTCAGAATACGAATCAAGGGTCCACTGCAGCCATTCAGCGTTTGGAAAGTGAGCGTCAGGATCTGGAACAGCGGTTGAAGAAGGCTCAGGAAGAGATCCATATATTGGAGGGTGACAACTCAGTTCTGGAGGCTAGGTTGGCAGATGCAGAGAAGAAGGTGGCTCTTTTGCTCGAGGACATGCAGAGCAGCATGACTGATGTTTCGAATTCGCCTCCTAGTTCAGATAATCTTGCAGGGATCCACCAGCAATTGACCAATCACCTTCGCCTTAACCTCAGCAACCTCAATAGCCAGACCACATCAGGCTCTGCTAGTTCCTCTCCCTCAATTTTGAAAAACCAGCACCATCAACAGAGCTCGCCCGTTTTGACGAATGCACAGCGTCTGATCAATAATGCCAGGAGCGCTAGTCAAGGCAGTCGTAGTAGCCAAGGTAGCCATAGCAACAGCCCAGTGAGCCAGAATGCTACCACTACTCTTTCTCCACTTGGATCCCCTACATCCAAGATTTATCATGCGACAAAGACGATTTTAAACAGGACAAAGTACAGTAACCAAAACAGCACTATTGGCACTATTGGCACTATTGGCAAGCAGCAGACGCCTCATGTAGGCGAATATGATGCAGGCGAGCATGTTAAGCCGAGTGAGCACCAGCAACGAGATCTGGACCGTGATTCTGTTGACTCGATCACCCGTGAGTTAGAGATGTTGAAAGTCCCATGGAACAAGAATACGCCGGCCTTTATGCAACAGCAGCAGCAGCAGCAACAACAGCAACAGGTTCCTCAGACGTACCAATACTCTGGCAAGCTGAATGATCACAAGAACCAGTTTTATAACTATAGCGATGAAAGTAGTGAGGGAGATAACGAGGAAGAATATCTGGCGCATATGAAGCAGCAACAGGAACAACAACAACAACATTTCAAAGATACCCGATCTTTCAATGAAAAGAGTACTTTGCGATTGAAAGAGTATGAGCAGATGATAGATGAGATTGAGAACTCTAGATTACATTAAGCAACATTTTAATCATTATCAAATAGTAAAACATAATCGTACATATATTTTCTTTACTCTATCAATGATTTATTTGTTTTTCTTTCAGTCTATTGTCATGTCCAATCTATCTTTCAAGGGGTATGGATGGAAAGGTAAAAAAGAATCAGAACAAATAAAGGGGGGGGGGATGGGAAAGAAAGGATGTGCAAGCATGACGAGGAATGACAGGTCATTGTTTCAAAGAAAGTGAAAAAAATAAAAAAATAAAATAAAATAAAAAAAATTCTCTAGCCGTTAAAAGACATCAACAATCTACAAGTGTGGAGGGTTGGAGGCTACCAAAGCGGAAGTTTTGCTGTTTGTACCGTCGATCTAAACGTCGTGCCCAATGAACGTCTGGATAAAAAGATATCGGGTTCACTTCTGCTCACGATCTCAATCTTCTTTTTTCCTTTTTCGTTTTTCTTTTTTTGCAGATCATTCATGATGTACTAACTAGGGTTTTCCATGATAGGGTCCTTTTTCCCGTGTTTAGATATGAGCGAATCCCTGGTCTCTTTTATATACTCGATAGTTAACCTATGGGATAAACCTTTTTCTTTGTTTGTTTGCTTTGCTTTGTTTCCTTCCTTTTTTCTTTATCCCTTGAAAATCTTTTTTTACCATTTTTATATTTTTTACATGTTACAAGATCTCTTTTTTCTTTGACTGGACACGCAAAGCAAATAGATCTTCCCTGCATGTTCTTTATTACAGGGAAGAAAGAACAGGAAAAAAGGAAAGAAGCCCCGAGAACGAATGAAACCATTACATTTATGAGCAGGAGAACAAAGAAAGAAAGAAAGAAAGAAAGAAAGAAAAAAAAAAAAAAAAAAAAAAAGATGGAGTGGTGTATTGGTGCATGCTCTTGTGATGCAACCAAATAGTGGACATAACCTTGCCTTACGCTTTGTCTCTTTTCTTTTCTTTTATATATATATATATATATTCTCCTGCTGCTCCTCAACATCACAAAGACATTTTTAGTCTGACCCAATGTGCCAATGTGTCAATGTGCCAATGTGCATGTGGCCTCTTCATTAGGACGTTCATTTGCTTTGGCAAAAAAGCCATGCACGATTTGCTCCACAACAAAAAATAAAAGAGCAAACAAACAGGCCAACGGTCCAATGGGTGGATCAATTGTAATTGCATAAATATGATTTCCTTTGCTTACAATGTACAATGTACAATGCACTTGTCCATCATCGTTCCAACAACCTCTTTCCTCTTCCCATTTCTCTCCTCTCCTCTTCCCTCTCCTCCTTTCTCTCAATCGCAATCTCTCTTTCTCTTCTTCCTTGGAATCAAAAGGATAACCCCGTTATTTTCTTCAGATTTACTTTTTTATTTTAATCCTCTACCACGATTTTGTCATTATACTTATTCGCTTTCATCTTTCATCTTTCATCTTTCACCTTCCATCTTTCCTCTGTATATACTAAGGAAAAGAGCTATAAAAGTGGACACATATATCCCTCCTTCCTCGTCTTTTCTTTTTTGTGTTGTATCTCTTTTCTTTTCTTTCTTTTTCTTTTTTCCTTTTCCTGTCATCCTGACACCTGCTTGTTACTCCAATTTGGTGCGTATCCATGAACCAAAGAAATTAAAAAGCATAACGATCCCTTCATCCTCGTCCTCTTGTCTATGTTGGTTTATTTAAGTTTTAGATACATTTATATATATATTTGTGTGTGTGTTTGTCTGAACGTCTTGAACTTTTAAAGTTTCTTGTTGGCTCATGTGCGTGTGTCCATGGTGTACATGCACATTTTTCTTTCACTTTAATTCTGTAACTGGATGAACTTCATTCACTCTTCGTACATTCATCTTCTTCATTCGTCTTATCCACTCTTTCATTCACTTGATCGGTTTATCACCCAAAGTTCATTCCCACTCGTCTCTAACTCTCCATTAAATTGCAACCCCATTCGTGCTGTTCAACCGTTGGGCTCTAAGCAATCGTGAGGAAAAGTTTGCCCTCCACTTTTGCTCATTTTTATTACTAGTGCACTTTTGCCAAAAAAAAAAAAAAAAAAAAAAAAAAAAATTTACACGGTCAAAGGATTCTCTTGCATGCATTTCCATAATCCGTTTTTCTTTATCATTTTCTCTTCCAAAATAACAATGTCCATACTCACAACCTAGCTCCTTCTGGTTTGGTCCGTCTCTCTTTTCCTTTTTTTTTTATATATATATCTTTTTTAATATTTTGTTGCTCTATTACATCCATCAAGGCATCTTGTATTCTGGATCTAATCCAAACCCCCCTTGATGACTTCAACCTATTGCTCAGCCTTCTTCCTCTTCTCTTTTGAATGTTAAGTCAACCGTTAGGCATTGGGCTCCCCCCCCTCCCCCCCCCTTTTTTTTTTTTTGTTAATCCCCCTCCTTTTTCGTCTTTAAAACATCTCCCCAACTTTTTCACTTTTTTTCTAATTTCCTTGTTTAACTTCTTCCTTTGTAATGTACTTTTGGCAGGGGATAGCCAAGGATACATTCATGATTCTATTGCAATACTAAAGGTCCCGATCATAATCACTAACTCGGAATTCACTTCTTTCCTTTTTTATTTATTTATTTCTTCCTTCTCTAGTTGAATTTGCCCAAAAGTACTTCTTTTATTTTAGTATTCCACTTGAAAAAATATAGATATACATTAATAATAATGGGAGTCAGCTGCTGTAAAGAGGATGCCATCGACTTTAATTCAGAGAGTAAGCCTTTTTTTTTTTTTTTTTTTTTTTTTTTTTGCTGTTGTCTTCATAAAATGCCTACAGGAATTGCCAAGCAATCAGGGCTCCATACAAGGACAAGGAATAAGACACCTCATTTATTAACTTTTAACACGTTACTTACTGCGTTGATACCCCCATTGGAAACCTCTCTCTCCCTCTATTCTCTCAATCGTTCAATAATAACAATTAATCCTTGATCACACCTAAATCTATAAACTTCATCACTATTTGCTTCTTTACACCTAAACTCATGTCCTCCTTTTCTCCTCCCTCCTTTCTTCCGTCTATATCTCTCTCTCTTTCTCCCTTTCATACAGTTGAGCTTTCACATTTTCATCTCCTTCGATCAGTAGGGAAAGGATCATTCGGTAAAGTTCGAGTGGTCCAACATAAGCGAACAAAGAAAATCTATGCGCTAAAATATATCAACAAGGCCAAATGTATTCGTATGCGTGCAGTTGAAAACATCATTCAGGAACGTCGACTCTTGGAAGAGATTGAATACCCATTGATCTGTAATCTGAGATATGCATTCCAGGACGATGAGAATTTGTTCATGGTCCTGGATTTGATGTTGGGAGGAGATTTGAGGTTTCATCTCGAGAGAACGGGACCCATGAGAGAAGATGTCGTTCGATTCTATATTGCAGAAATAGCCTTGGCACTCGATGCACTACACACACAGAATATCATTCATCGGTAAGGAAACAAGAATGGAAGGAAAGAAGGATTGGGGAAAATCCGTGTGTGTGTGAAAGAGAGAGAGAGAGGTATATATATATATAGTACGGCGGCGCAGCAAAATCTGTCTTACGTGATTCGACACGAGACAAAATGACGCGTCATGTAGTACAGGGAAAATGTCTTAACCTTACTGTCGCCACCATCATTTTACATCTTTTTCTTCCTCATTCGTGTTACCTTGACTTCTGATACTATATGTTCATACTGAAATGTATTACGATGGTTCAATAGAGATCTAAAGCCAGATAATGTCCTGCTGGACGAACGTGGGCACGCCCATTTGACAGATTTCAACATTGCGGTCCGTTTTAATCCAGCGAGGCCATTGGGTTCAATAGCAGGAAGCATGGCTTATATGGCGCCCGAGATGCTATTACGGAAGGGATATCTTGAGTCTGTAGATTGGTGGAGTTTAGGTGTTGTCATGTTTGAGCTGCTCTTTGGAAAGGTACAGAACGTATATATATATAATGCCCTTTTTCTTTTTCTTTTTTTTTTTTTTTTTTTTTTTTTTTTTTTTGGACTTATTAATCTATCTTTCTTTTTTCTTCGAGTAATCAGCGGCCATTTAGAGGCAAGAATAATGACCTATTGACCAACTCAATATTGTATGACCCTCTGCCAATACCAGAGAATGCCGCTGTGGTTATCAGCCGAAGCTGTTTAGATGTCCTCTCTAAGGTACTTTTTTTTTTTTTTTTTTTTTTTAAAGCCACGTATTGTAACGAAAACGAAAAAGAATTAAAACATTTTTTGTAATAGCTCTGCGAGCGAGATGTTAGTAAACGCATGGGATGCACATCTGAAGGGATAAATGGGTTAAAGGAGCACCCTTGGTTCCAAGGAATTGAATGGAATGAACTAATAACAAAGGAAGCCATCCCGCCATTCCAGCCAAATGTAAATTCTGATTCCAACCTTTTTTTTTTTTTTTTTTTTTTTTGGCCACGAAATCTAGTATCTTTTTCAACTTATTAATTTACGTCGCTATTTGCTTCCTTAACCTCTAATCAAAAAAAAAAAAAAAAAAAAAAAAAAAAAAAAAGATGAAGCACGCTAATTTCGACGCGACGCATGAGCTGGAAGAACTACTAATGGAGGACAACCCGCTCAAGGCCAAGAAGAGGGCCCAAACGGGGCCAGAGACGGAACTTCCGATAGAGATGCAGATGATGGAGGATCAATTCCTTGTGTATGACTATACCAAAGTTCAACGGTCCCATGTGCCCATCAAGCAGATCTCGAGCAGCGGGACTGAAAGCCTCCTTCACCTTGACCCCAAGGAAGAGCTGAGACAAGGAGGGGAGGGGGGGGACGGAGGGGACGGAGGGGACGGAGAATGCAATGATAGTAAAGTCAGTTTAAGCTGTACAACATTGGAGGGAGCCTTGACAACAAGGGATAGTTCTGAACAGATTGAAAACATACAGAAAGATACCGCCGCTGATACGTCAATATCTTCTGTAAAAGCACATCACCAACCTGAAAGCACCAGTGGCACGATTAAGCAAGAGAGGCTCAAAGAGGAAGAAAATAATGACCATGATCATACGGATATATCCTTGATCTATTCAAGCAAAATGTTACAACGTACCCATAGTAAAGAGAGCACGGATAGGATCCAAAAGCGAGGAGCATCTGCGCAAGACGAGCAGCAGCAGCAGCACCAAAATCATGAAGAAAACAACAAAATAGACCTCAGAACCATTTAGGTAGTTTTTACCCCGATCCCGCCCACGGTGAATTAACGACACCAGTATCTCCTTCCAACTCTTCGGGTCACTCAACTGTTTCAATACCCCCCGCAGGCTTCAATGACTCACCGATATCACAAAGACTTGGAGCCACGGCTCCAGGAGCAGCTATATTTCCGGCGTCGGGCCCAGAAATGTTAGTTTCAACCATAAAGAGCCTCAATGCTGCAGGGCCCGGTCTATCTACGCAGGCTATAGAATAACGCGTAAAAAAAGAAGAAAATAAATTTTTTTTTTGCTCTATTGGCAGAAGTCAATAGCAAAGAATAAGTAAATCTTTTTTTTTTATGCCCACATTTAAATAGTATAAGGTGAACAACAAAGGGATGAGCGTTTCTCATTTACTTTTCTATTCGTACGAGTAAAATTGATCTCCCATACTACTCCGCTTAGTCAACCATGGTTACCGTCTCAAAACTATACACCAAAGTACTTCAAGGGACTCTAATTTTTTTTGTTTCATCCTTAGAAGGTCGACATCTATTGAATAAAGGGTTTCCGCATAATGCATTAGAAATATCTCGATCCAGACATCTCCTGTCTCCACCCACATACTCATGATACCGTTCAACCAGGCGTTCGCAGGCTGTAAATAAACCTATATCCATAACTCCCATAACTCCGTAAAGCACTGGCTCTGGTCCCTCAAATTCCGAGGCAAGATCCTTAAATGTTTCCCCCCCCTCAATGAAGGTCCTGGAATGCTGCTGTACATGAGGTCATGTAGTCGGAACGCAAGAAACCGAGCAGCAGGCAAGATGTTTGTGCGGTTCACATCATTGGATATGACCATAAGGCCAGTATACTGTTCCAGTTGGTCATCGTACTCAGTATCTGTACTGAAACGGTACATGTACAGGAACTCAGTGGCATTAACGTTTTTTTATTAAAACACGCGTTTGTGAAACGAAGGAATGTCACGTGCATAACTGAGCAATCGACCTTCAAAGTTCAAAGTATCCTTCGAGAGGAGGAACCAAGTGAAGCCAGGGCTTTGTTGTCATCATCATCTCCGTCTCCATTCTCTACCAATCCACTTCCTCTCCTTTCATTTATCCTATTCCCTTTTTGGTGACATTTCTTTTTTTTATTTTTTTACCCCTGCGTTCCTCTTCCCTCCCCTTTTTAAGAAACAGAGCTCCTCAGAATGAACCTCGATGTATTCAAACCCAAATTCTTTGCCCCTAGCACTAAAGGTTCGCTCGTTAATGCCTTGTTTTCATCCTAATCCTTCTCCACCCCAATGGCTATTCAATAACCTCGTCATTCCGTCCCCCACCTCCTTTCTCCCCTCCTTTTTTTTTTTTTTTTTTTTTTTTTTTGTTTTTTTAATCAGGCGAGAATGCCGAGTTGCTTGCGGACCTGAACAGTGAATACCGCGACAGACGCAAGGATGCTGTGAAGCGTGTCATCGCAAACATGACTGTTGGCAAAGATGTCAGTTCCTTATTTCCACATGTCGTGAAGAATATGCAGACTGAAGACTTGGAGATGGTAATGAAAGAATTGGTTTCTTTTTTTTTTTTTTTTTTTTTTTTTTTTTTAAAAAAAAAAAAAAAAATAGTAGAAACACGACTCAAAAGTTGGTTTTTTTTTTTTTTTATGTTTTAATTAGAAAAAACTCGTCTATTTGTACCTAATGAACTATGCCAAATCAAATCCTGATCTGGTTATCTTGGCCGTCAACACATTTGTCAAGGTGAGGCGATGTTCTTCTGAAAATAATGGACTTGTAGCATCATGATGGCTTTTCCTTTACTTTTACTTGCTGACTTTCTTTTTATTTTCGACATCGGAAACTGATTGGCGTACGTGACAGGATACAGATCACACCAACCCATTGATTCGTGCCTTGGCTATCCGTACTATGGGATGCATCCGTGTGGATAAGATTCTGGATCATCTATGTGAACCTCTTCGCAAATGCCTTCAGGATGATAATCCATATGTTCGTAAGACTGCAGCTCTCTGTGTTGCCAAATTATGGGATCTGGATCAGGAGCGTGCAATCGAGAATGGATTCGTCACCATGTTACACGACCTTGTTTCAGACTCGACACCTCTGGTCGTGGCCAACGCTGTCACGGCTTTGGCGGAAATGCAGGAGTCCTCTATGAGCAAGGATATCTTTGTAGTGAATGTGGCGATCATGAATAAGATGCTGATGGCGTTAAATGAATGCACAGAGTGGGGACAAATTGCAATTTTGACATCACTAGCAGAGTACAAACCCCTGGATTCCAAAGAGGCAGAAAATATATGTGAACGAGTCATTCCTCGTCTTCAGCATGCGAATGGATCTGTGGTCTTGTCAGCTATCAGAGTCTTGTTGATCTTAATGAGATATATCAAGAACGATGAATTCTCAAAGGCTTTGATCAAGAAAATGTCACCACCACTTGGTACGACTGGGTTCGTGAGGAGCAAGCTTTTATATGCTTATTTTTTAAGGAACATGATAGACAAACTTCGTTTAATGACCATTTTTGTTTACAGTATCTCTCTTGGCATCCGCACCCGAGGTTCAATACGTAGCGCTCAGGAATATCAACTTGATCTTGCAGAAGCGTGCAGATATTCTTCAGAACGATGTACGCGTCTTCTTCTGCAAGTATAACGATCCACCTTACGTCAAACGCGAGAAGTTAGAAATCATAATCAAATTGTGCAATGGCAGGAATGTCGACCAAATTCTCTCAGAGCTGAAAGAGTAGGTCCAAATATATCTGTGTTTTTGGAAGCAGCTTTTATATCAATGGACTATAAATCAGGAACTGTAAAAGTATGAACTCAGAAACGATACTTTTCCTTGTGTCAAACTTAACCAGGTACGCTTCAGAAGTCGACGTTGACTTTGTTCGTAAGGCGGTTCGTGCAATTGGGCGCTGTGCCATTATTATTGACGAGGCATCAGAGAGGTGCATAAACGTGCTCTTGGATCTGATTAACACGAAGATCAACTATGTCGTTCAGGAGGCTATTATTGTCATAAAGGTAAGAAGCTATAGAGTGCTGTAAAAGATGTGAAAGATGAAAGCATTGAGGCAGCACTTTCAATTTTAACAGATTGATTACTAAAACAGCGATATGGGTTTAATTTTTATAACATCTCTTTGCTTTTAAGGATATCTTCCGAAAATACCCAAGACGATACGAGGCAATCATCCCCAAACTCTGTCAGAACCTCGATTCACTTGACGAGCCTGAAGCAAAGGGGTCTCTCATCTGGATGGTTGGAGAATACGCAGAGCGTATTGATAATGCGGATGAATTGGTGGAAAACTTTTTGGAGACATTCTTGGAGGAGAATCCTCAGGTTCAGCTGCAGTTGTTAACTGCAACTGTCAAGCTCTTCCTGAAGAAGCCCTCACAAGCGCAAGAGATTGTCCACAGAGTTCTTCAGACGGCAACACAGGAAGTGGATAACCCTGATACGAGAGATAGAGCCTACGTCTACTGGCGTTTACTTTCAACCGACCCTCAGGCAGCTAAGACCGTGGTTTTATCGGAGAAGCCTCCGATTTCTGCAGAATCCGATCTGAGCAAGATTTCACCAGTATTGATGGATGAGTTGATCAACAATATCTCGACATTGGCCTCAGTATATCATAAGCCCCTTTCAGCGTTTATGGGCAACAGAGCATACGGAGCAGATGCCGTTCGTAAGGCGGCGATTGCTGAGTAAGTGCCTTATACCAACTTTCTTTTTTTTAAAAAAAAAAAAAAAAAAAAAATCAACCTTGTAATCATGATTTATGCTATTGTAAAACTTTTGTCTAAAACATATCCATATTTCTTTTTTCCTTTTTATTATGATTTCTTTCTTATTGCAGTGCAAGGGATGAAGAACAGATTATGGGTAGTGATGAGTCGCCTGCAAGTTCAGGAGTTACAGGAACGGAGGCACCCAAGAGCACAATGGCTGACCTATTGGATTTAGACTTTGGTTCATCAGAGCCTGCATATACATCACCACCAGTTTCTAGCAGCAAACCAAATACTAATGGAGGACCCAACTACAATGCGGATTTATTTGACATGTCATCTGATATAGGCTCTTCAGGAAGCGTATTTGGAGGCATGGCAAGCATGAATGGTACTGGTGGAGGAGGTATTCAGCAACAACAACAACAACAACAACAACAACAACAGACTCAGAGTGCGAATAATCATTTTGGAGACCTAGGTGGATTGGGAGGATTGAACTTTGGACAGCAACAACAGCAGCAACAACAGCAGCAACAACAGCAGCAGCAACAGCAATCATTTCAGCAACCTTCAAACACACAACCATCGACAGTAAACGATTTGCTAGATCTTTTTTAATATATATAATATCGACTTTTATAAATAGTAGAAAAAGTAGGAAAAATAATAAAAGTAAAAAATAATACTCGCTTTATTTCATTCGAATCTACTTTTTCCAAGATTGGTGCCCTGTCAAAGATGATATTGGTATATAAAGAATTGCCTGGATCTGACTCTGCCTTGTTCTAACAATCAACATTTTATCACTTGTACAAGGCCATGGTCCTTTGTGTAGCTCAAGCACTTTGTATCGTAGTTTAGAAACAAACCAAAAAAAAAAAAAAAAAAAAACCCAACACAGTAACATCACTCTTGCTTAGAGTTTCATTGCTCAAATAGTCGATGCATTCACGGCTTAACCCAAGACTTATCTTCCCATTGATTGGTTTATACCTTTTATGATCAAGGGTGGGGTAAAAAAAAAAACTTGATGTGAATGGAGATGATTGACATATGAAATTTCAGCCTTGTCAACGCCTTCAATGGAACCAAGGAGGGGGGAAAAAAGGAGGAAGAGGAAGGGTGGGCTGTTGCGGTACTGCGTTTCAATGCATCGTGTTTGGACGGCAAACCTCCATGATAACACCGCAGAATGTGGGAGTAACAATGTTGGTAGATAGTTCAGCCCCATTACCATATGCACCCTGGTTTTCACTGGGGTCAATGGTAATATAAGATACAAGAAAAGAGAGAAAGCGGATTTGTGGGATTAAATCCCGATAGTTTTATCTATTGACGTAACAATATCAAATATGACTGAGAATGGATCTATGCGATCTTTTCCTTATCATTACTCATTGCATGTGGGAGACAGTTTAAATGGGATCAAGCTAATATGGCTATGAGTGATAAGGTCTACAACACTAAAACCTGTCAGAAAAGAAAAAAGCGTGCATCATGTCATCCCTTTCGGCCGTATCTTGAATCTCCCTACAAAATGTAGCAAATATGAAATAATACAGCCAGAAATAAGCATAATGGTTAATCAGGAATGGCCATCCGCTGTTGCGTTACCGTAGTCCGGCGATAGGTATGTCGTTCAACCAACATGGACATTGCACTGTTGCGAACTGCACCCCTTTTTCACTTATTTGGATGTAATAAAGAGTCAAAGAAAATGGCAAGGATTGGAATGTGAAAAAAAAAAAAAAAAAAAAAAAAAAGACATCGAATTCTTCTCGACCCCTTCTTTTTTTTTTTATATATCTGTTCACTCTCTCTCTCTCTTTCTTGTCCTTATTTCTCAGCTCTGTTTATAAACAGTTCATTTAACCTAGACTTCATCCTGTCGTTCATTGCACGTATCCGTATCAAAGTGTCACCAAACTTAAAATTTAATAAATTTACTTACACAAAATGACACAAGTTTCAAGAAACAAGAGACAAACATCCTCAAGCATAAACACAAAACTTCTTTTGGGAGGGCTCTCCATCCTCTTGATCGCGTCGCATTCTCATCTTTTTGTAAACGCACAGCAAACATACAGCCAGGGTAAATAGAGCCCATGTTTCTTTTTTTTTTTTTTTTTTAGCTTGTTTGTTTGTTTGTTTGCTTGAGTAAAAGTGTACGTACATTCAATAGAATAATAACTAAGTTCTTCTTCTCTGTCACAATCTTAGGAAATAGCAATAGTGGATACAGCAATAATAATAAGAACAATAATCAGGCTTCATTAACAGCAGAAATAATTTCACCAGTAGTGGACAAATCATCATCACCACTTCTTATCAAGATCCCAATTATTAATGGTGTAGCTACGCCTTTAAATGCGGACGAGATTGTAGCCATCTTGGATCAGAACCGACAAACTCTATCCGACAAAGAGCAAGACAACAAACAAAATAACAATGACAAAAGAATAGAAACAGAAGGAGGAACGGTCTATTATGAATTAGATCATAAGGTGCCTTCAGCCAACGTCTTTGAAGCTATGTATCTGAGCCGAGGTAGTACAAATACCAAAGAGAGGAGATCAGACATTAAGGAGAAAAGGCGAACGTTAAGACGCTCCTTAGTAGACGAAAGCTTGGCTGGTATGGAGGCTAAAGTAGAGAGAAGGTTATTGATTAGCAAATTACTACAACAACAGCAACAACAACAGCAACAACAACAGCAACAACAACATCAACAACAACACCAGCAGCAGTACCAGCAAGGAAGCCTTTCTAATCACATCTATAAACATAACTTGGGGCCAGAGCCAAGCTCGCAGGATACCATACCGGAGAGTAACAACGGTATTAGCAATGCTGGCCTCAACAGCCCTTCTCTCAAGGATGTACTTGTTGCTGTGGATGAAAACCCACTTATCCTTCAAGCATCTGGGAAACATGGTGCCGTCGAAAGTAATCGAAGAGCTAAATGGAATTGGCTACCATTACTACAAAGTGATCCAATTCTTGTTGAATCAAATGGCGGAGCAGTGGAAGGAGTGGGAAGGAAAGAAGGGAAGGACAATGATGACGATGATTTTGAAGAAATAATCGTCCCTGAAGGATTTGAAGGTGATGAGGGTAGCGAGGAGACCAGCAATGATGATAATGACAACAAAATCAATGTCAGAGCTTCTTCTGGTTCGATTACCTCGCGTGGTTTGATCCCTTCTGTCTTAGGAGCACACCATTGTACACCCCAATTCTGTGTCAATGTCTCATTATCAGACGATGCCAAGTTCGCTACCTTCCATATCGAACGCCCACTAAAAGAAACTGGATGGATCTCTCTCGGAATAGGATATGCAATGACCATGGCAGATCTCTTGATCTTTTGGCCCAATCCTTCAACAGAAAACGGGGGTGGTCCTCGAGGAGTCACCTTTTCACGCCGGACAAGCCATGCTTATGTAGAACCACAGCCGGTTGGTCAGTCAAGCCACCGTCGTGGAGATGATGACGACAGCACCAACGATCTAGGAGATAATGAAGCAGAAGCAAGTTTATACCCTCCAAACGAATATATTCTACATAATGCAAACTCAGTTGCTAATTCAGAAGCGATCAAGATCTTCCCCGACAGCAATCGATTCATCGTTCAATTTACCCGTCCAGTCCAGATTAAAAACACGGCCTTCAAGCTGACACCGGGTGAAGAACAGGATTTCTGCTGGGCTTATTCTCCACAACCAATCTCTCCTGATTCAGTCGCAGATCCTGCAGCCCATATCTCTCAACATTTAAGTGTAGGAACTTTCGCATTGGACGTAGGCGCAAACCAGCCGCAGCTGAAGGATGCTATCTTGATCCAGAAACAAGAACAAGAACAACTGGACGCTGCTGAGAAGGAACGCACGAGGAAAGAACAAGAAGCGGCCAATAGAAGAATTGAAGGACAAGAAACTGGAGCTGAAGCTGGAGCTGGAACTGGAGCTGGAGCTGGAACTGAAAAGGATAGAGATTACTATTCAAGCAAATATCGTCCTCCTCATGGTTCAACAATGGATAGCAGCAGATCTTCTGATGCTGCCAGTTTGACAGCTTGGTTAGTGAGTCTCGGCAATGGGCGCTCGATGGCATTACAAGCGTCCTCATGGCTGATAGCTTTGACCCTAATGTACCTTTTTCGTTAAGTGCATTTTGTTGTTTTTACAGAGACAACTTATTGCCACGCAAACTCAAGAAGTCCTTGTGCTACGTCCGTTGTGAAGTTATAATAGCGAGAAGCAATCGTAGAATAAATTAATTTAAATAAACAGATACGCACATTATTTTTTATTATTATTATTCTTATCGCTATCCTCCATGTATGTTTATATCGAGTTGCGACGGATACGTTTGGTCTGACGTCCTTTGTCGGTTTCGTTAGCAACCAAGATGTGGTTCAGTTTTCCTTCTTTAGTCCACTTTTCCAGCATCTCTTTGCCATACTCATACCCTACTTCACAAATTTCCAAGAACCTAGAAAACTCCAGAGTACCATACTCTTGAACCGGTGGCTTTATGTAAAACACTCCTGGCGTAGTTTTCGCAGCCTCCAGTTGCTTCACACTCGAGACATAAGCTAACTTGGATTGCAAATCCGCCAAATTAGGGATGTTTCGGTACATGGTTGAGAACGGATTCCAACGATTCAACAGAACCAACCATCCTGACAAACTATCACCATAATGCTGTAGCGTGGTATCATCATCGCTTCCTACATCTACTGCAAAGACAGTGTTGGCTCCCAAGGATTGCATAAACTCGACCGGCAAGTTATCCATATATCCTCCATCGACTAACATGTGTCCATTATCGCAGAGTGGCGGCAAGAAGCCTGAAAGAGACATTGATGCACGAATATACCGCCATGCGTAGCCCGCTTGATGAATCTCCATCCTCGAAAACGTAATGTTGGTTGTGTTACAATAATATGATAACCAAAAGTCCTGTATTTGTGTGTCACTAAAGCATTTCCAGATACCTCGGTTGAATGCATGTCCTGTGGTCCAGGAAGTCACTGGATATGTGAAGTCGGCCACCATTCGCCACTTAGCTGCCATACGACCCGCGAACATCTTTGCTCGTCCAAAGATAGCCACATTGTCAGACTCACGTGCATACAACCCTCCAATAAATGCTCCAATACTTGTACCGCCCACAATGTCAATCGGGATCCCGGCTTCTTCCAACGCTCGGATCACACCAATATGAGCAATACCTCGAGCGCCTCCACCTCCAAGAACCAATCCCACTGTTCGACCTGTCAACCGTCTCGCCAGTCTTGCAAAATCGCTCCTGTTCCCTGTGAACGCTGGGCTCTTTTGAACATTATTGTGTCGAATGTTGGTATAAAACTTTTCAAGATGGTCCTTCAAGTTCATGATCGTCTTTTTTCGTGATGTCTCTCCAAGCATTGTCGGGCCTTTGACTGACATTTGGACATGATGATGTGCATGTACCCATATCCTTGATTTCAACCAAGCTGCTGTAGATCCTGGTAAACAATGTCGCTGGGCATGCAGCAACACCAATTCCTTTCGCGCGGTCGTTTTCATACTAACCAATAACCTCTCATAATCACCCACAGTAGGATCTCCATCTCCATGGCCCACCAACAAGATGCAATCAGCTTGTCGGATACATGTCTGAGTCCAGGGTGAGGTCAATCCTCCGTCTGCAAGATACAGCACAATTTGTGCAGTCTCTTCTTGCTCAGTCAACCAGTTATCTAATTTCAGCTTTCCAATCTTTGCGAAAGCATGCTTCCCCAACAAATTCATCACCGTACTATGATTCAAAAGCGTACAAGTCGAGCCAATTCCAACCAGAGCAGCCTTCAGGCGATCTGCAAACTCATTCACGGGCACATTTGGTGACACAGGCAAGATACCGATCGTCCTCAAATTCGAGTTATTAATTGCAGAATCAGGCGTCACTCCCACGGACTTTGGATTATTAATCAGCGCATCACTAGCACGCTGAGCAATCAATCTTGAGATCCGGATTGTGATCTCGGGATGACGATATGCCAACGCATTAAACAAGGTTCTAGGCATTCGAGCCACTTCTGAATCACGAATCGCATGGAGAGTTGAAGGAAACGGTGACCCCATTAGCACTTCCATCTCCCCTACAGATTCTCCTTGACTGTATTCATTGAGAATTTCAATCTTGCCAGGCTCCTTTTCGTTGATCGTACGCAAACGACCATTCAAGACAATATAGATCGAGTCGCAATCATCACCTTTCCGATGGAGCACCTGACTTGCAGATACCTGCATCCACTCCATTGCATAATCCAAATGTAATACTAAAAAAAGGAATACAACATTAGAGCGAATGGAAAAAAGGAATTGTACAGCTGTATGAAATACTGCAAGTAGTTGAAGATATCAATTTTAGTGACTTTTTACTTACCAATAGGAGATACCACGGTGATCAGACGCTTGGCAAGTGTCAATAAGATTGTGGGGTTACGTTCCATGACACGATCCAGTGCTACTTTGGACAGATATCCTACATAGGCATTTGTTCGAGCCGTGATCGTCACGAATGATGGATATCCAGAGAGTGCAGACAAATAACCTGCTAACCCTCCTGCTTTGATTGAGAATAGTGGGTGTGGTTCATTTCCGCCATGACGATGAGTTCCTGACATGGACGTCCGCGAGTTTCCATTGCCATTAGGCTGATTTTGATAGCGTGGCGACTTCTTGGTCGATGATGTTTGAGAATGCACAGCGGACGGTCTAGGGATGTGAGCCTTCAAGTCAAGCGACGAAATATGGTGTCCAAACATATTTCTTGGAGAATCATTAAGGTGGCTACCACTGATATTGCTATTATTCATTCCTGGAAGTTTAGCGTCTTGCTTAGGACTTATTGAGACGTCCAGTACACCATCAATCACAAAGAACAACCCTGCATTTCGCTCTCCTTCCTCGACCAGCTTAGCTCCAGCTGGGAAGTACATGATCTCAACATCATTCTCCACTTCACTCATGACTGATGGTACTGTCGATGACGAGTTGGATGTTGCAGTAACATCATCTGGACCAACACTCGCTGTATCCGAATTAGTGTTGGAGTTAGTCTTCCTCATCGGATACCCTCCTCCCACGAAGCCAGTGTTCGTACCAATACCTCCTCCCCCATTTATATTGGCTTGAAGGACTGCAGAGAAGTAGTCCGAGTTGCCCAAGGGCTTTGGATCTGGACGTAAGCTAGTATTGCTGGGCTTGTGGGAAGGCATCTGAACAAGGCCGATACTTCGAGAAAGACACTCCATAACTTGGTCACGCAGATAATTATCCTCCTCTTCGTTGCTGTCTCCCATCAGAGCCGAAAATCCTGATCCATGGCGCACATGCTCGCTACTCTCGGCAATAGACGACAGGGAGTTTGGACTGGGGACAGCTGGTGAGTTATCGCCCGGATGTTTACCATGCTAGGAAATCAAATTTATACATTTTTTTTTTTTTTAAAAAAAAAAAAAGAAGATTGCCAGATTAGGTTTGTGGGTACTTGAATAAAGAATGCTCATCAACGTGCATAAATATTGTAGTTTAAAAAAAGCATGAAAAAGCTAAATAAAACAAGAACCTGCATGCCAAATGAGGTATAACAATGATAATTATGATAATAATGTGTATTTTACCAAATGACTGGCGGCTCCATTGCGCGATTTCCTAATTCGGATCGCAATAGGCTGGTCATCATCCTCATCACTCTCCTCGCAAACAGTGCTAAACTTAGCTTTTAGATACTCCATAGTCCTGGGTCTGAAAAAGTTGGGCGGTAGACCATAGCTTCCAATCTCATTGATGGATCGTTCCATCCGCAATAGTTCTTTGGTCAGGCCAAGGTACTTGTGTCCTGTCAATAGGGTCACGCGCTGAAAACGAATCAAAATCACCTGCACAATATGAGCTGCAGCTTGCGGAAATTTTTGTGTCAGACGATGAAATGCTTCTGCAGGAATGACCGCAAGCGTCGTATCGACCATGGCCTTCGCCACAATTACCCGGCGCTTCATTTTGGATGCTTGGTACTGTCCCTGTCCTTGCCCTGATGTATCTGGGGAGGTGAGCTTAGGAGAGCGATCTCTGCTGTCTCTGTCCTGTGAATTTCGTCTATCTTGTTCTATGCTCTCAAAGCCGTGAATATACCTCTGGCGAGGGGTCTTATCACTACTCTCAGGTGATTGTAAGTTTCCTCCCATGTACTGCTCGTCACCATCGTCTTCGCTTTCATCGTTGTTTTCAAATACGGTTATGTGATCCGGATTAGAGAGTGGACTGGTTGCTGTGTGGATGGTGTTCTTGGCTCGAAGCCCAGGTGAGTACTTCCATTTACCGGAACCAGCAGAGCTTGAGCCTCCACCATTTCCACTTGTACAGCCCTCACACCGCTTTCGTTCTTCTGAATGGGATAGCTGTTCTCCTGAAGACATCCCAAAAGCAGTGGCAGCGGGGTTAGTGTTAAGATCCTCACAGGTGCAGTTTGGATTGTTACCGGATCGGATTAACCTTGAATCTGAACGCTTGAACTCCTTCAAGGGCTCATCCTCATGCCTTAATTTCACATTTTCTGTAAATAGCAACAAGATTGTGAATAAACTGCTGAGCGTGCCGCCGTTTTTGACTTCATTCAACAGTTGATAACCGTGATCTGGATCATCATCCCAATAAGTCGTGGCGTGATCTTCGTCCTCTCCATCTTCCTCCCTAGGTATTTGTTCATACACTTGTACACAGCCATCGACCACAATATAGAACGATCGTTCCAAATCCGGGCTTTGTAAAATGGTATCTCCAGCAAGCATGCGTCGTGTCTGAAGATGCCTGGCCAATTCGTGGAACACAGGTTGCTCGAGATATCCGAAAATTTTGATGCTGGAGAGAAAAGCGCTCAAAAATTCGTCCGGGTAGCTCATCCCCCCTTTTTCTTCTCGAGGACTCTTGAAAGGATTATCTGGATGCAAATCGAAAGAGGACACATGCTTGCCTGGATTCGTCTCTGGCAGACGTGAGTACTTTGTAAGGATTCGATAGCGGATCACAGCCCATATGACAAAGCAAAGGATCGCAATGGCGATCAGAACTGTCGTGAAGGTCAGGTGAAGTGTAAATGACCATGAGAGAAGACGGTAGATATAAGTTGGCAACGTAATGGTCATGAAACTAAGAACTGAGAATGAGAACGAAAAGAGCGATCGCAACAAAGGCAGAGTGCTAAATGAAGAGACAGATTCGACCGAAGCATGGGGATGAGATGGATGATATGGATCTGTGTGTGCGTGTACGTTGTTGTCTTTGGAAGGACCATGATCAGGCAAAGAAGAGACAGCTGCAGTTGCTTCTACAGCTGCAACAGTGAGAGTTGAGGATGCTTTTGCAAGGATCTCAAGGGCAGTATCGGATGCTTTTGCTAGCAAGCTACTGATGGCTGTACCATCGTTGTGGACCATCCGCGACAGTGATTCTGGCGCGGTATCCATGGATGAAGAGAAAGGTTTGTGTTGTGTTAGGGGTAAAGCGAGAGAGTACGTGCGTGGAAGCGTGGGAGCGTTTGGAAGAAATTGTGTGAAGGAGAAAGAAAGAAAAAGAAAGAAATGAAGTAAGGAATGAATGAGCAATGGAGAAATAAAGAAAAATGTGAGGTTTGAACATTGCTCTCTTTCTTTTTTTTTAATTGACCCCCCAATGAACCATGCCATCATTCGGTAGTACACGCTCTCCCACAAGCACAAATGGATTGGTAAAGTCAAAAAATCAAAAAAGCTGTGAATTAAAATCCAAAGCAAGGCCGTTAGACTCAGGCACACACACCATTCGGAAGAAACAATTATTATAAACAGACCCGCACTATTTCACATTCGCTACTCATATCGTATTCATGTTCACGGATGTTGATCCTCATTGATTTATTTTTCCCACTCACCATCTTTTCAGTCTCAGAAACTCTTACCTCTTCTGAGACCTCTTTGTGTTCCCATATGACGTAACTAAAGGTTTCCTTTACCAGCATCAATTCAATCATGATGATGAGTATTCTGGCGATAAATACTTAATACCCATATCCATATTCATCTTTGACATTTCTGCTCATGATACCTCTTGATCTTCTTGATCCGAGTAGGAGTAGCGTCAGTGGAAGTTGATGTTTGAAGACAACACCTTCACGAGCTTGCCATTAATTATTGGGGAATGTAAAACGAAACTTAAGGGTGGGTGTGCATACAAGGTACTGCCATTTTTATATCGTGACCAAATGTCTAGCACAGAAACAACCTACCCAAGCCCAGCAGATGACACCAGCAAACTACTCCTAGCACAAGTCTTTTCCTTTTTATTCTCATTTCAACAGGGACTTTGCAAAATTAGTCTCTGGTCCGAAGCGTCTAACCAGAGGCAACTGACCTACAGTGCAAAGTGCAAGTATAGTAAAAAAAAAAAAATCGATTGAGCTTAAAATAACAAATCACCACACAGTCCCACATGTCGACATCGGCGCCTATGCATGGCGATTTCGACTACCGTCAGGGGAGGCAAAGTAATGCCTTCTCACCAACTTCTTCCGACTCTTCTTTATCATCGAATACGTCCTCATCACCCTCCATGTCCGAGCTCGCTCTCTCACCCAAGACCAACCGCAAACTTTCCTTACAAACTTATCTCGTATCTTTGCCAGAGTGGACTAGTACAACACGTCTGGTCTCACTCTACTCTGAATTCGACAAGCTCAAAGAGACTAATCCTTATGGGTATGAGGCTAATATCAACTGGTGGCGCTCTGTTATTTTGGGCGCGGCCCGGAACGGGTTCCTTTCCAATTACCAATCTTTTTCGCCAGTACTCTCTCCGCGTTATTTGCAGCAAGATCCCATAGCATCAGGAAGCTCGTCCAGATCCAATCCTACTTATGAAGCCACTGGAAACGCAATTGGTATTCTGGAACTCGATCTGGACCAGTTGGGCATTAAGTTTCAAAAGAATGGAAGGCGGCCAAGCTCGCTTCAAGCAGTTATGACAGAGATGACGAGGTTGGGCGAAGTTGTGCCACGGTCCGAATTTTTGCCTTGGGCAGGGGTTGGCTGGACAGGTTGGGTCTTTCATAAGGTTGTCAAGGCTCCGTTACTATGGAGCTTAAAACAGCTGAGCCTGTCGGATTCGAGCTCGTCACCAAGTTTCTCTGCATCGCCCACATTAGCATCAACAGGCTTTGGCAATTCAGGAGGCGTTAGTGGTGGTTCCAATAGTAATATCAATATCGGAGGCAGTGCTAGTTCAACTGGGATGTTGTCTAGTAGCAATGGCTTAGGTTTAGGCCTTACATCCTCAAGCTCAACCTCGTCCATTCGCCGGGAAACCTACGTGATTCTCCCATTCGTGAAAGAGGCAGCAGCCAGGATCATTAAGCTTCAACAAGAATCAGCAGGCTACCATGCGTCCGAAAACTTAATGACTTTTACCGAATTTCGACAAAGGTTTTCCCGGACAGCGCTCTTGCCTCTCCAGAGGAAGCTTTCTAGAGACGAAACCACGGGTGCAGGATCCGTCCTTGTACTCACGGACAGGGATCTCGAGATTGTCATGCGATATATGCAGTTTGAAATGAAAGTTCTCATCACAGGAAAACTTGATGTCAGTAAACATGACAATGAAGTACAAGAACACGAAATGGTACTAGGTTCTTGTCATTCAAAACAAAAGAAAATATACCACATGACTTTCTTGCTCTGTAAACCTATGATATATTATTTTATTAATTCCACCATTTCATTAATGTGTACTTCATCCTTTACTTTTTTCTCAACCTGTGCATCTGCCAGGTCATCAAATTTGCAACAAAGGATATTATTCGGAACAAATCCAAACAAGAGATTACGGCAGCTGATCGCGGTATTATTGAGCTACGCGAGACATGCAAGCGACTAGATACTCAAGTTCAGGATATCGAGGCTCGAATTATAGAGTATGCTGCTATATATTGTGTTACTGCATCTTGACATATCCAGACGCTGTATGGTTTGCTGACTCCTTTGACACATATTCCAATAGGCTAACTGAAAAGGCGAGATCTTGCGTCAGGAAGAATCAAAGGTCACAAGCAGCTTTTGCTCTGCGCCAGCGCAAGAACCTGGACGATGTTCTGAACAAACGAATCAAGTCGCTCGACACTATTTCATCAATATTGTTCAGGATTCAATCCTCAGAAACGGATGCTGAAGTTCTACAGTCATATAGACTAGGTGCTAGTACTCTGGAATCAGTTATGGCGTCCAAAGACCAAAATGGACGACAGTTGCTCAGCAGAGACAATGTCGAGTCTACCATGGATCGTCTTGCCGATGTCTTTGCAGATCAGGAAGAAGTGGACCAAGCAATGAATGAGGGAACTGAAGTATTACTTCAGAGTACAGCATCTAATGGTATGGACGAGGACGAATTGATGGCAGAGCTGGATGCATTGATGGAGCAAAAGACTACGCCTGAAACTGCTAAGGATACAAAGAATACGGCAGAGGCTCTTAAGCATGTCAATTCTGAAGTGTTGGTGCCAACAAGCAGTACATCTCCTCCTATTCCAGCAAGTGAGTTCATGCCAACCTCGCCATCGCGTGCACACAGCTCCAGTTCCATACCTACTCCAGGCAAACGTGTTGCCGAAGTACCGGAACAAGCCTTTGTTAAACAGCGCAAAGTTAGTCAGTCAAGGGTGCACTCGCAGCGTAGGGACAGCAACGATCACAATGTTATTTCCACTGAAGATCAACCTAGTATTTCTGTAACAGATAACGCTGGTGCGGAATATGTAGCAGCTGGATCGCCACATGATATTAAGCATTCGGAACAAGAGCCAAGTGCATCTTCGAGGATGGAGACTGACCACGCGCACGCGTCTGACTCGGTTACAGGCCAGCTACAACGACCAATATTAAGCCAAGTTGCTTCCGAAGGTTTGTCGACGCAAGAGGAACGTGATTTGGATGCAATGTTGAGCGAGCTAGAGAACATTAAGGCGCCTGAAGAGGACATCCAGATGGAGAAACCGCTTTCCAGTACTGAGAATAAGACCACTGGAAAGGAGCCACTGAAGAAGACAAACCAAGAGAGAAGGGTGATGGAGTATAGTTAGAAAATTTTAGTATTGTTTCAATAGTGTTGTAGTTTTGTAATCAATTGTAGAGTATAGTTTTGCCCCTTAAAAAGCTTTTCCTTTTATTTTTTTCCTTTTGGATCTGACGAAGCATTTGTCAAAGAACACAATTCTCTTCATTTCAACTGACATCAACATGGAGCCCTCAAAGTTTGAACGCGCCAAGGTCGGAGCCATGATGGGTGGTGCTGTCGGTCTCTGCATCGGTCTTGTCTTTGGCGGCTTCTCTGTCCTTCGGTATAGTAGTATATTACGTGACACATATATATAACGCGACTCGATAGAGTATAATAATCAAACATCATTTTCTAATTTTTTATTTTTTATTTTTATTTTAGAAACGGACCTGGATCGCGTGGATATGTAAACACGCTTGCCCAGACCATGATTTCATCGACAGCTACTTTTGCATTTTTCATGGCTATCGGATCAGTGATCAGGAGTGAAGAGGCAACAGCGATCGATTATGCAGCACTGGATCAGAATCATGGGAAAAAGAATCTATTTGGTGGAGCCAAGTGCTTCAGAACTCCACCCATCGTTATCCTTCAGCGACAGCAACAGCAACAGAAACTGTTGGATCAACAACAGCATCAGTAGTAATTTTTGGAGAAAAGCAGAAGTAGTGGTAGCCACTTGAAGTATTTGTACATAGACCTCTCTGTTTAAAAGGATTAAAAAAAAATAAAAATAAAAAAAAAGAATGTCTTCATATTTAGCATTAGAAGCTTTTTTCAAGACCCCATGTTCTGCCTTCCGTACATACGTTATCCGTTGAGAGGCAACGGGATGAGGGCCTTTATGAGATTAAACATGGCAAAAATACATGAAATATTGATTTGAACTAATATTACGGAACATTGGCAGTGAATAGGAGAATGGTCTTCCTTTTATTTCCAAGCGTAATAAGAACAATAAGATTAATAATAGTCTTAGTAATGGTAGTGTAATAATAAAAGAGTTTCTTTTATTTGAATTTAAAAAGCTATGATTTACTAAGGTTGGAGAATCCATTACTTTTTGAGTTAATTGCGTTAATATTTTTTTTCATCCCCTACTTATTTCTCTGCCTGTTCACTTGGTATACAGGTCTTCTTGTGATGCTTCCAGTCAGCGACTTGGCACGTCCGGGAACAATAAATTGCTTTCTTGCATTGATTACATCTCTTATGTCGTTCACCTCGTTCAGGGATACAACAATCTGGATGAGCACACTCCTTGAAGCCAACTTCACATCCTTCCTCTGATAAGTAGAACGTGATTCCAGCCCCTTTCCCTTTCTGAAAATCATCAAGGCTCACTGTAGGCAACACATTGCTCATGGGTCCACGCATAAGGCTAACGTCGTATTCTTGAGCAAGGTTTCTGATGGTTCTGTCAAATCTCTTGACACAAATGGTTCGCGTCTGTCCTGGCGTAGTATTCTCCAACACATCTCGAAGCTTTGTCTCTCGGTGTTTGATATAGTTGGGGTCGATCCTCATCTCTGGCGTCGTTGCTTCTTCATTCATCCTCTGGACTCCATGAGGAATGGCTGCCGTAGGTGCTGAAGTAGCTTTTTTATCTTGACCCTTATTTACCTCGATACCACCTGTAGGATGATTCACTTTGGTGGGGTCAATTCCATATCGCCTCATAAAGGCAAACATTGTTTTCTCTGAGACCTTGTACCCAAATCCACCAAAGGGGTAGGTGTTTAGATCAAAGTATGCACCATCTCCAGTCGAGCAGACCTTTTCACAAATACTATTGACTTCTTCGCTCGAGTTGCCCTTCCATTTCAGGCGCTCGTCATAGACAGATAAAAAATATCCTAAAAGTCCATCGTCATAGCCCCATGCAATCTTGATGTTCCCTTCCTTCATTTCATGTCGAACCATGATGTTTACTCTCTTTTATCGCTGATATTAATAACCAGAAAGTATTGTTAACATTCGATTAAAATGAAGTTGCAGGCATTAGGATCATAATCAAACAGGGCTATACCTTGAAGATATTTTTGTCAATTAAAAGCAATGAATGAAGGGAAGTTGTAGAACAACAACAAAAAAAAACTCGTTGAATATATATGTAAAAATTTTACTTCGCCAACAACTTCACGGAATACACTTGAAGAGGCGAAGTCAACAAGTCTGTTGACTTTGTGACCAGATAACAATTGTGCATTTCCACATCCCATCCAAAACATGTGATGCTTATAATTTGAAATTGATTTATTTCATAGTCTTTGGTTTTACAAAAATATTTCACATGACATGCACAGATAATAAGACACGGTTATCTTGTTGCATGTTCGGCATGTTCAAAAAGGACAAGCTATACATGACCACGGTAAGCTAAAGACTACTTCCATTCAGAATCCTTGCATGATCACTTTCGGTATCTTCAGAGGTTCCCCATCTACAGAACAGGCGCGCACAACAGTAAAAAACAAACAAACAAAAAAAAAAAAAAAAAAAAAAAAAAAAAAGTTAGAGGCGTTTGGAGGCAACACAAGTCCGTAAAATGCTTCAGAATGCTCCATTTGAACCAAGCTACTAACATCCGGATAGTGTGATCATCACTTGCAGACGCGAACATCGTTGGATTGGCAAGGTTCCATGAGACAACTGTCACTGGCCCAGTGTGTCCATCCAGTGTCTGGATCAAGTTTCCGTTCTCGCGGTGCCAGATATAAATTTTTAAATCTTCGCTGCCGCTAATCACAAATCGCTCGTCCCATCCTCCAAAACAGGAACGGATAACATAAAGCCCTTGCATATAGCCAGAGTATTTACGCACAATCCTTCCTTCAGTTAAATTCCAAAGATGCACTTCTCGGTGTAGTGGATGTTTTGCATGCTATCAAGTTGTTAGTCGTATTACAATGGACGGATTAATCAAATTATTTGCAGTAATCGCCTTTCGCTGAAGATAATTTATAATAAAAGCAAAAAAACAAAAAAAAAAAAAAAAAAAAAAAAAAAATATACCTTAGGCGTAATGTTGGCAAGGAGGAACTGACCATCCTTAGACAAACTAATAGCTGTAATCCCATCCGTTTCTTCAAGGGTACTAAAAATGATAAGAAAGTATAAGTACTTAAGAATGTATTTTCTTGATGTGTGTTTCATGCTCCAAAGATGTCAAAGGGACTACAACCCACCTGATAGTGCTCATGTCTTCCAGGTTGATAATGCGAATGACAGTACCACCCATGACTACAAGAGTCTTCCCATCAGCAGAAATTGCCATGTCACGAACTGCGAATTGCCATAATCGAAGTACTTCTCCGGTAGTAGTCTATCAAATCCATTTAGATTTTATAGAAAAATAGTATCCATTAATGTCACTGTAAGTGGATAGGATCGACTTACAAATTCACCAATACATAGATTTTACCATCAAAAATAAATTCCTTCCGCTGCCAGATAAGAAACGTTCTCCATCCGGGAGCCATCCGAGGCAATTGACGGTATCATTATGTCGGTTAAAGGTTGATTTGCACGTCGCAGTCTATTAGCGGAACAAACAACAACAACTGTCAGCGTGCATGTCCGGACGCAGCTCAATTACAGTTCCATTTCCAGACAGCAAGTGACATACTTGTACATCCCAAAGCTTGACCATTTTATCAAATCCTGTTGTCAATAATTGGGTATCGTCTGGAGACCAAACACACCATGACACCTCCTTCTGATGGCCTTCAAGAGTATGAATCGCCTCAAATGTCTAAATTGGCAATAACTTGTGTTCATCAGCTTCACTCGTAGAGCCTTACATCAACCATCATCATCAGTGCCATTACATCTCATTATTAAGCCTCATACCTCCATGCTCCAAATGATGACCTTGGTATCTTGGGATGCTGACGCCAGGTACTTCCCATCATGTGAGAATGAAATATACCAAACCTCATTGGTATGACCCCTCAGCACTCCGCGCGATACTGAAGGAATTCCAGTTCTATTTCCGAAAAAACAAAGCATCATACGTATCAGTGGAGGAAATGAAATATGCAGCACCAACTTAATCCATGGCCAGTAGATTTAAAAAAAAAAAAAAAAAAAAAAATACTTTTCACAAGCATGGTCGCTATAGAGACTATTTGTTGTGTTTCGATGATTATGATAGAGACAGTTTTTAACTTGAAGCTCTATTGCTTGCTTCAACATAGTCTCTAGTCGATTCTCAGGGACCATAACGGCCGGTGATATATATTCTATATAGTAGCATGAAAAAAAAAAAAAAAAAAAGAAAAAAAAAAAAAGATTAATAACCTATTTGGCACGATGGACATACAATAGAGAGTCCAGTATGCTGAGCGAATAAATTTCTCATACTCTGCAGTGATGACAATAGTGTTTGCCTTGATGTGCCATTCGCGCCATCCCAGTCAGCTCTTTGCCTTAAATCCTCTGCACTCGAACTCATCATGTAGCTAGCATGTGTGTATAAAACGATTAGAGATTGGCTATACTATCTCAGGCATTAATGACATTGACAAAAGGATTATTGCCTCTAATACTCTGCTATACCTCGTTAAAGTGTGCACACGCTCCATATTATGATTCAATGGGGTCAATTCTGAACGCAAGACAATCAAAGCGTTCTTAATCTGTCTTGCTTCTAATAACTCTAAGAATTTTTGCTCTCTGATTAAGAACTTGACCTAAACTCCTCAACATTTACAGAAAGCAGATTTCATTTAGTCCATTGTGCTTTGACCCGAGGGCCAATGTATTGATCGAAGGCAAAGATACATAAACACACTCCATACCGATACATGATGCGCAGGGTCAAGCTCCAGCTGTTCGCTCAATTGTTCTAATTCGTCCCATGCTCCTTTCAGCACACATTCTCGGAAAAGTGTCACTGCAGGGCTCTCCAACTGAAATCCAGACTCGGCCTCGAGTTCCTGCGCTGATTTCCTATAACATTTAACACAACGCGGAGTTAGTCTGTAGATGCATAAACCTATCCTCCTGAAATGTATTATCCCAATTCTTGAGCAGGAGGCTGACTGGATAATAAACCAATGTGTATTCTCTCATATCACGCAGCACCACAAAACAGTCAAACACCCCCTATCCACGTAGTAAAGTCTAAACTCAAAACTCACCTGTAACCTAAACTTTGCAGTGATTGCACCATTAGACGCACAAGCTCATGACGATTAAATCCAAAAGGAGTAGTTGAACTGGCTTGCAAACTATCCACGCTCATTAATGAAGAGGTCGTTGCACCGTTCCCGTTCACATCCTCTGCAGAGGAGGAAGAGGTATGAGTGCCATTTTGATTAGGGCGAGGGTCTGTGTCGGGCTTCATGTTAACAGAATTATTAGCGATTTGACCGGAAGTACGTAATGTATGAATAGAAGATGATAGGGACGAAGAAGAGTTGAGACAAATCCGTTTAGAATCACTGGTAGCAGGGGAATAAAAATCTGAGGACGATACACTCCGCGAAGATGATAGCTCTGGCACTTGGCTTGCCAGTCGAGTGCGTGTCGAAGGCGAAAATGTAGCAGCGGACGAGGAAGTTGTAGAGAGAGTTGAGTCGGAGTGCTCCTGCTGCTGCGGCGGCGGCGGCGGTGAGGATGAAGCCAAGTCCGGGGAGGCGCCTGGTGGAGGAGATGCCACTGTGGAAAGAGTTAATGTAGGGCAGAGTCGAAACGGTTGTCCAAGGAGAGAGGGCTCCTTTGTGTAGAAAAGATGGAGGTAACTACTTTGTTGGCAGTTGAATTGGTGTTGGTATTTCTTTTGCTCAGTCGACGCCTTTCTAAAAAGCACAGGAAGAGAAGAAGGGAAAGGAGGTCAATAAGACGATAGCCACGGGTCTTTTTTTTTTTGCATATTATGTCAAGAGTCGGCTGCATTACAATGCATGCACCATGGAATACGTGTGAGAGCTTTTATTGTTTCTGGTCCATGCATGTAGAAGGGAGTGACCGTTTGTCATTCTGTTGTTGCAATAATGTTTTACCTTGGCACACGCAAACAAGCGAGAATGAGAAGGCTCAACGATGAACAAAGGAATGATGGGCGTCTGAAAGTGTAGCAGTCAGCAACAAGATTAGAAATGGCAGAAACAGAACAGTTGGGGTTTTAAAGGTTGGAGGAATTATGAAAGACAAGTCGGCATTCAAATGCGAAAGCGCGTCACACACTTCGGGTCAGAATTGCTACACAGCTCTGTTCTGGTGGGAAATGTTCATGAGGTTCAGCTAGAGTGAGTGCATCAAGGCGAAGTAGATTTACTGTTGGCTCAATTGGCTATTTAGTTATCGGATTTGCCATGGCTGTCCCTCTGACTTCCTTCCATTCCTCACGAAACATGAAATCCTTTTTTTTGCAAGGCTGGAACCAACCTTACTTTTGTTAACGTCTTTTTGTCGCAGGGGAGTGATCTCTATGTCTTAGTACTTCTCACTGGAGAAAGAACTAGAGCGCGCACCATGTATACCATCAATTATCCCGTTTCATCACGATCACCTCCATTCCTCCGTTATCACCCAATACCCATCACTATCACCAAAATAAAATTAATTGTACGTCGGTTGCTGACTTGGAAGTTTGGTCCCAGATTTTCAACGGACGAACCCAATCTTCTGTATTGTACTATTGTAACATTTTCGGTATTTATGATGGACTGAAAGAAGCCTCCGCTGTCATTCCTTCTTCTTTCTTCCCCTTCTCCTCTCTGTCTCCATCCTTGTCATCCTGGACTGCTGTAGAGAGACAAATCTTAAAAGGACGAGAGATATCGCTCACTTTTACCTTGCAGACATCATTTAAGCATAGATTAAACAAATCTCAATCAACTATCATTGTCTTCATTATAAATCATTCAACTTTTCTTCTCTTGTCTTTGTTATCATTTAGAGTCAAGGCAGTTAATGAGATGTTATTTTGAAATTGATTTTAATTATTACTGATGATATTTAAAAAAAAAAAAAAAAAAAAAAAAGACTCTTAAAAGAATGGCTTCAAATTGTCGATAGAAGGGGATATTTCATTTCTGTTGTTCTCACTCTGCAATTTCACCTTCTTATTGATGGAATGAGAAGTCTTCCATTGTTGTAACTTCTCCTATTTACCATTTCATCTCTCGCTATTCTCGAAAAGCAACATGCCTAAAATAACCTCATAATTTTGTTTCAGCAGTTCGCTGTTACTCAAACTAAGATAGGCAGGCACATCCAAATGTTCGTTATTTCACAATATCCTCATCGTTCTGTATCTGTGTGTTCATTGTGCATTCGATAAGCGCCCACTTGAGTGTCCGTTATAATCCGTAAGACTTAAAGCAGGCCGGTACTTCGTCACCTTCCTCCATTCGCCTTCTTTTTCTTGGTTGCACTTGTCGTAGTTTCTCCAGATTCGCAGTTTGAGTAAAATATTAAATCAAATAAACTCTCTTTCATAACTACGTTCCAAATAATCTTTGCGATGTCGATTGCCGCTTACAAACCTCTGTGTTCCTCAACTCAATACTCTTTTGCTTAGCTTGTAGATTCAACGCTTGTAATATTGCGATCTATGATTGAAATAAAAGAAAATAAAAAGAAGTTAGGGCTTCTTACTAATGATAATGCAAAAACAATTTTGAATGGTTTCTTACTTGGCATGACAAAATGGTGGCTCAACAACAATGTGGATGGTTTTTCTAGACAGTAGTGTGCCAAAGACATTTGGGACCTCGCTTATTGTACATAGTTTCTTTTGATTACTCTGGTTCTTTAACTCAATCGGTGTGTACTCGTCGTTTCCAACAGGAGTGGAGACACTTCAGAGTGTAAGCTCATATGTTGCGAAGCCATCAAACTTAGGCTTCTTCTTTTCCTTGGTGAGCTCCCTTAGATCACTACAATGGCATTCTCTGACACGATAGCTGTGAAAGGCGTCTTTCCCCCATCAGTAGCGCAAAATAGCGGTGCCTTGATGCTTAGACTGTCTGGTGAAATCTATTCAATGAGTCGCCTGCAACGTGTGGTTGTTCCTCAAGTAGACCATCGAAAGGTGGTTTCACTTTAAAAAAATGTCTGTGCTGAATAGAGCCTACAATTGCGCGGTTCGTACGGTCACCACACAGTTTCAGACACGTACAATCACTGCATTGATCACTTGATCAATAAGTAAAATATGTGAATGCTGCTTTCCCTTACCTTGCAATCCACCTTCTCACTCTACGGTCTCTTCATCTCTTTATTGTATATGGTATGTATGTATTAATCCTTGTAAAGCACCTCCTGCATCCCATAAACTTCTAATACTTTGAAGTCAGTGGCAACACGCTTTTTCAGAGACTTCATCATCGAAAACATGTATATTTCATTAATAAGCCTAAACAAGTGAAATAGCTTTCATTAAAACTACTGAGTATTAAAACTTGTAACGCTTATACATACCGACTTTTCTGGGCTGTTGCCTACTAGGTCCTCAATGACATCGTCTCCGAGGGCCAAGTCCTCAGTAATAGTCGGCTCTTTGAAACACTGTAGGTTGACGTCGCATTGAATTCGTATTTCATAGTAAATGGGAATGCAAGTGTATGAGACACTATCGCTTGACGCCTAATAACAGTCATGGTCAAGTATGTCAGTTAACTTTCTACTTTGGTCTTTACAAATAGAATGCAAATACAAAAACGCCTTGGCCAGAAAAACCAGAAAGAGTATTGAGGGCAAGGGGAAGAGAAAAATACCAAAAGAGATGCAAGGAGCATGATTAAGGAAGCTGAATCTCGTAGCACCCGGCCGCCATAATGCTCCTGACTATGGCAACAAAACGGGCCCAGTAAGTGTCTGTTTTTGGTGTGAATGTTAAAGACGTATGCTTCATTTGATAATGGCAGGTACTAACTAGCGCAGGTATGCCTGCTTCGAAATAGATTACTTTACTTGGCTAACCTGACAAGTAACGGATTTATGCTTATTTGAGATATTCTCGCTTAGCATCATCGATTTAATAAGCGATGGAGGATTTATGGTGTGTTTGACAGATGACGAGGTTGACTTTGCGCTTGAAGATAACGCCTTCAGGCGATTTAGAATTCAGCTATATGGGCCGAGTGAGCGAAAGAATGCAGGCAAGGACCCAGTAGTGGGCCACCAAATCCGGGCACATACGGCAGATGTTGTGGTAGAGATGGTGGATGGATTTCAGCTGATAACCTTGGAGACATCCAAGATGTGAGATCCAACTTGCGAGAAGAAGGCCATGGTCCATTACAAGTTGGCTCGAGCTATGCGGGATACCTGGGTCGACATCATCAAAGAGAAGGTGAAGGATAGAAGGCAGCCCCAGCCTTACTGCCTTTGGGTTGTAGGTCTTTGAGTGTCACAGTATATAGTCTTAAGTCTATAAAAGACTTGTAGTAATAATTTAATAAATCACCTTTTGTCTTTACTATCTATTACATTGAAGGATGACATTCTTAGTCATGTATCTCCGGGAATGCTTTCAGCTCTATGGGTTAAGCACTGTAAAGGTGCCCAACTTATAATAAAGTTGTGCCACGATTAAATTAACGATATCAATTTTATCTTTTTGGTGGCTGTGTTTTCAGTCACCAAATCTAGCTTCTTTTTTTATGCCAAAAATATCCTTTCTGTTTTCTATCAGCCTTACAGCCCAGAAAATAGCAACCGATAGTCTAGCCATGGGTCCTTCTCAACCTTATCATCATCTTACAAACCAGCAAGCTACTGATGTGGCTGATCTTACACATCTCTTGTCTGCTGAAAAACACCTGGGCCCATTATCTCCAGCTCCAGAGCTGTATGCAGCTTCAGAACAAAAATATAGTCCTGGACTTTGTTCAGAAATCCGTGTAGAGCCCTCGTCTCCGCAACACGAGGAAGTTGCAGTCGTACCAGCACTAGCTGATGTTTCCAAATCCTCAGATCACGCAGATATGCAGCGGCAAGCAACTCTACCCATTCCTGAAGAGGCCATTGACTTCAAGCTTACAGAATATAAGCCATTCAATCCAGAGCCATGGGCAAGGGCAATTGCAGAGCATCAGGCACGGACCAGCAAGAATTTTCAAGGTTCATTGTCTTTTTTGTACTCTGGGGATGAAAAATAGACTTTATTTTTATTCCCAACAACCTTGATTGACTTACTGACACGACTCTTTCATTTAAAAAATATTCATTTAAATGGTGTAGCGATTGCTCAAACGCTTGACAGTATCAACGCTGAGTTACAGTTCATCCTTTCTGAGTTCTTGATCAGACAGTACGAGAAAACTGCAGAAACCTTGAAGTTGGACCATGAGCTTATTACTCAGCAAGAGCAAGAACAAGGTAAAGAAAGTTTATCTAAGAGAAAACAATGAACATAAGTCTTTTGGAGTATCTTATTTACTGTGGTATTCAAAGTATACTCAACCTAAAGTGAGGTGAAAAGCTGAAAAGACGTTATTCTACCTTTGAGAATAAATATAAAGTGCTTTTTTTCCTTTTTTTTTTTTTTTTTTTTTTTTTTTTTTTTAAAAAAAAAAACCATTTTATTCATAGAACGTATGCTAGCACAGATGATGTCCTTTATGAACGCTATGAGAGATGCCTTCCAGATTTTTGATCAACCTGGAAAGTAATGTGCCAGCCACTGCATCTTCATCTCTCAGCAGTCGAGTAATAATAAGGATTCAGTATACGAATTCATATACTTGATACGAATAAATATTTGCCTAAAAGAGTGCAAGGAGAAGTCTGTCTTCATTAACGGTTTCGCAGCTGATTCTGAAAAATCCAGGAACAGCGAAACAGCTGCAATCAGCGTGGCATATCATGTGACTACTATTTGCAGATTCAGGACAACAAAAAATGTTTTGAAACACCGAATGACTGCTTCCCAAGTTTTTTTTTTTTTTTTTTTTTTTCTGATGTGGACATAAAAAACTTTCTTTATCTCTTCTCTTTGGATTTCTTCCTTCATCCTCACCTTTCTCTCTTTCCCCCGCCCTTTGCTTTCACTTTATCCTTTATTCTCGCCATTTCCTCTTCTCCACAGCCCTTGTGAAAGCAATATCTCTCATCTGATCTCTTTTTACTTTATTTTTATTTTTTTTATTTTGTTTAAAAGATCAACCTCCCCACTCATCCCCTTTATTATAATAGAATAATTCATAATGCCTTCTGTAGAGATGCAAAACGGCACTACTGTCGACTTGGATGAGCTCTCTAACTTGCTCTCGCAACTTTACACTGCCCCCACTTCCGAAGAGTGTGATACTATCGCCAGAGATCTCTCTGCCAGGGTTCAAAAGGAAGGATTCATCACTCTCAAGACCAAGAATATCCTTTCTAATCTTGAGACAGAAGCAAAGAACAAAAAATCTGGTCTTGCCCGTGAAGGTGCACTGATCGGTCTCTGTGCATTGGCTGATGTCCTCGGCCGTCCTTCTGAACCATTTTTGCTCCCATTGCTGCCTATGATTCTTGACCTTTATGCGGATAAAGGTCCTGTTGTCCAGGATGCTGCCTCTAGAGCTGCCCAGGCCATTATGGCCAACATGCCTTCCCAGGCTGCACCCATCCTGTTGCCCATTCTTTTTCAGAGCATTGGAGGGCCTGGTAAGAAGTGGCAGACCAAAGTTGGAGCCCTCCAACTCTTGGCTGATCTCTCGAACGCTTCCCCTATTCAAGTTGGTATTGCTCTTCCAGAAATTATCCCCGTTGTCAAGGACTGTCTGTCTGACACTAAACAAGAGGTAAGACTCGACTACATTACACATATTACATCAAAATAGTTTAAAAAGTTATTTGTGTCCTCGTTCAATGTATTATTTTCAGTACCGACCTGCATACCCCTGTTGTGCGGTTACACACCCATGCCTCAGTCGCATGCTTTCCTATTGGAAGATAATTCGTCCTACCTCCCAATTCCCTCATCTATTTATCAGTTGTCAGTGTCTGTGCCCTGTCCGTTACTCCTTTTGTTCTATTTGCTATTATCCAAAAAAAAAAAAAAAAAAAAAAAAAAGGAGGCATGGATGTAAACAAATAATTATTTATATTTTTGCACATCAAACATTACCACTTGCTTGCATTTGCTGACTTTGATTATTGTTCCCGCAAAAGATAAGGCGAATTGAAACTAACCACTGTCATGTGTGAACCTTGAATTAGGTCGCAGACCAAGCTATGAAGACCATGTTACGTGTTTGCAACGTCGGCGGTAATCCCGATATTGCTCGTCACCTCAAGGATCTTTGCGACTGCATGGCTCATCCTGAGAAAGTCCCTGTTGTCATGGAGAAGTTGTCTGCAACCACGTTTGTAGCCGACATGAACGGCCCTGCACTCGCCATCATGGTCCCACTCTTGGTTCGTGCCATGAACGAGCGTTCATCCCACATTCAGCGTCAGACCACCGTCATCGTCGATAACCTTTGTAAGCTCGTCAAGGACCCTGCTGAGGCCGGACAGTTCTTGCCCGATCTCTTGCCTGGTCTTGAGCGCATCATTGATATTGCTGCCGTCCCCGAGATTCGTGCCCTTGCTACCGCCGCCAAAAACACTCTCATCAAAGCCGGAGGCGCAGTCAAGGTCGATTCTTCCACTCAAACTGACTCGATTGTTCCATCAGAAGCTGAAGCTCGTACTATTCTCAACAAGGCCATCGCAAAGTATGGATTCTTTCCTTCGTTCTTTGACATCGTCAAGGGTCATGTCTCTCAATTGTCTGTTGTTTTGGTCAAGGAAGAAAATTTGTCTCCTCGCGAGTGGGTTAGCATTTTGGCTCCTTATCTCACTGTGTTCATGACTTCTGCTGACGCTAATGCTGCCGTCAACGCGATCGTGGAACACTATATTGAGCTGGATCGCAAACTCAATGGCGATACGAATGTCGAAGATGATGAGGAGGGTGAAGAGCTCTGCAACATTGACTTTTCGCTTGCTTATGGTGGTATGATGTTGCTGAACCACACCAAACTTAAGCTTCACCGTGGTCATCGTTATGGTCTTTGTGGACCTAACGGAGCTGGAAAATCTACTTTGATGAGGGCTATCTCTCTCGGAAAGTTGGACGGTTTTCCTTCGCCTGATGTGCTCCGCACAGTATTCGTAGAGCACTCACTTCAGGGAGATCAGGGACAAATGGCGATTGTAGACTTTGTTGCCTCGGATGAAAAGCTTGCGCAGACACCTCGTGAGGATGTTGTCAATGCTCTCTTAAAGGTCGGATTTACGGAGGAGATGCAAAAGAATCCTGTTGCATCATTGTCCGGAGGTTGGAAGATGAAGCTCGAGTTGGCCCGCGCCATGTTAATGAACGCTGATATTCTCTTGTTGGACGAACCTACTAACCACTTGGATGTCGCCAATATCAAATGGCTGGAAGAATACCTCATCAGCCAGACCAATGTCACATCGATCATCGTCTCACACGACTCTGGATTCCTCGACAATGTGTGCACCAACATTTTGCATTACGAGCGCAAGAAGCTGAAGATGTATAAGGGTAATCTTTCCGAGTTTGTCAAGGTCAAGCCTGAGGCAAAGTCCTACTACACCTTGGCAGCTACTTCTGTCAAGTTCGAGTTCCCCAAGCCCTCGTTCTTGGTTGGAGTCAAATCCAACACCAAGGCCATTATGAAGATGACCAATTGTACCTTCACATACCCTGGTGCTGCGAAGCCCTCGTTGTATAACGTATCTGTTCAGCTCTCACTGTCGTCTCGTGTGGGTGTTATTGGACCCAATGGAGCTGGAAAGTCGACAATGATCAAACTCTTGACTGGTGAGACCGTTCCTCAGGAGGGTACTGTCTGGAGACATCCTAACCTTCGTATTGGCTACGTTGCACAGCATGCTTTCCACCATTTGGAGCAGCACTTGGAGAAGACTCCGAATGCTTACATTCAGTGGCGTTATCAAGGTGGTGCTGATCGCGAAGTATTGGAGAAGGCCACAGTCGCCATGACGCCCGAAGAATTGGAGCAGATGGAGACCTGGGTTATTGGCAACGATGGAAGCAAGCGCCAAGTGGAGCAAATCATGGGCCGTCAGAAGCTCAAGAAGTCATACCAATATGAAATCAAATGGAAGAATCATGTTCACAAGTTCAATACATGGATGCCACGTGAGAAGTTGCTGGAGCTCGGGTTTGATAAGTTGGTCCGTCAATTCGATGACCGTGAGGCCTCACGTGAAGGTCTTGGATACCGTGAGTTGTCACCATCGGCTATCCGGAAGCACTTGGAGGATGTGGGATTGGATGGTGATATTGCGGATCACAATATGATCAGCGGATTGTCTGGGGGTCAAAAGGTTAAGGTCGTGATTGCAGCAGCTATGTGGAACAATCCCCATATGCTTGTCTTGGACGAGCCTACTAACTACTTGGACCGTGAGGCTCTTGGAGGATTGGCTGTTGCTATCCGTAACTGGGCTGGTGCAGTCATCATGATTTCCCACAACGACGAGTTCTTGAGTGCTCTCTGTCCCGAGACCTGGACTGTGAATGCTGGTCGTCTTACGATCAATGGCAAGACTGCGGTGCAGGAAAGCAATTTTGACGATACTGAGAAACCGATTGTGGTGGTGAACAAGAAGAAGAAGAAGTCCAGGAACGAAATTAAGGCCCAGGAGGTTCGTCGCCGTCTTCGCCACTTGGAGTGGTTGGCATCCGACAAGGGCACTCCCAAGCCCGCAGATACCGACTCGGACTAAAAAAAAAGTCAAAGATTTACTCATAGACGTATACAGTACACAGCGTTAGATACCTCCGCATTTTTTTTATATTCATCATTCTCATTGCATATCATCATATCCTGTTTACTTCATTCCCAATCATCATTGTTCAAAGAAAATTGTATAAATAAATTCATTTAATGGGTTGTTTTAAAGTTGATTACAGAAAAGTGGCAAACGAATGGTTTATTTTTTACGAGCTCAATTAGGGAGTAAAGGGGAGACTTTGAGAAGTCTGCTGAAGATTGTAATACTAAGATCGTCCATGAACGACATCCACTACATTTATTTCTAGACTTACAACTCGCTTCTGAGGAAGAATAATTTTTTTTTTTTTTTTTTTTTTTAATTAACAGTGGTAGTAGTAGTAGTACCTTTTTTAGGGAGTATGCTTGTCCCTTGCATGTGTGATTCAAGAGGGATGCCTCAATTGAAAAATGTGTGTATGGAGTTACCCTGCCTAGAAATATATAGTAGCCAATGATCTCCTCTCTTACTTTCTCTTTTGACTAAATAGATTCCTAAGTGCCATTTTATATTTCTTTCCGTGTGTGTTCTATTTTCATATTTTTATTTAGTTTAAAAAAAGAGTCGCGTACAAAAGTTATTTCAGTAAGCGATATCATAGGCATTTTTTTTTTTTTTTTTTTTTTCACAAGTCGAGGTGGGGAAGTAATTAAGGAGAGTAAGGAGAAAGAGAGTGGGTGGGCGGAAAAGAGCGAGTGAGCCACATGGTGTCATTTTGCATATGAAATTGACTAGAGCATTGGGCCTTTAACGTTCATGCTGTCTGACATTCATTCATTCACTTTTCCTTTTTTTTTTTTTTTTTTCTTGATTCATCACATTGTCATGAATACTACAACGTCGCCAGATATTTCTGGGAACGATCCACAGCAACTGTCGTATGAATATGACGAACAGGCAACGGTTTGCGCGATCGAAACCTTTGCTGAGCACTGGACGGAGGCGCAGACCTTCTCGGTCGCCACATTGGCCAGCTGCGCCATCACTGCACTTGAAGCCTCGCACGTCGATACCCTACCCTGGAAACATGCATTCCTGCGCTCACTCTTTCGTCATTTAGGGATCCATTCACGTCAAGAGCAAGAGATGTTATTGCTCTTACAAGAAAATGGATCCTATCAGGATTGTAACCTCCAGGTTCTGGCAGAACCACTCATGCCAATCACCCATTTCTCTAACAACTTCGGACCTCAACCTGAACCTGGACAGGGACAAGGAAAAAGGTCATTCGAAAGCTCCGGAGTTTCCTCCTCCGTCTCATCTCCACCAACATCACCTACAAAACCAAGGAGGAGTTTACAGCAGCAACGAATATATGGAGCCAATTCTGTATCATCGCCACCCACGTCTCCCACGCACGGATCATTTCAAGGCCAAAGTCACCATAATGCTGATCAAAATGTGGAGATTGATATTCGAACAGAGATCATCAACGATCTCTTATACATCGGCCTTGGGTTCGAGCCCTCGAGCAAAAGTCGTAAACAGGTCCCTATCCAGACATTGGCTCAAGACCTTGCTGGACTTGAATTGGATGTTGATTTGAATAAAAGCAGTAGCAGTCATCAATACCAACATCATCAACAAAGACAACAACAAGTACAGTCATCTGATTTATATACTATTGGAGCCACAGATTTAGAACCATTGCAACCGTATCAGCAGCCACAAAATGATTCGCCACCTCCTAACCTGGCACCACGACAAATAATCCAACATCACCAACAAGATCAACTGTATCACGAAGAGCTCTTGGGAGTGACACCGCCTCAACTTCCACCCAGGGCGCCCAGTAACAACAGCGGGTCTTCTTCTTCTTCTTCACCCTCACTTTCATCTTTGAAAACGAAATCCCCAAGCAACACGGCAGCAAAGGGACGAGTTCAACCATTGGAATATGATGCTCGTGCTCGTGCAGTGATCTTCAAGATGTGTAACTACCTTCTTCTGTCATATGATACTTTTATGACGGTTGAAAAACGAATTGCACAACATCTTTATTTTTATCAGCAGGAACTGATTGATGCCGAAAAAAGGGAACTAAAACGTCAAGAAGATGAGAAACGTGGTCATTATCATCATCAACAACAACAGCAACAACAACAGCAACAACAACAACAACAGCAACAGCAACAACAACAGCAACAGCAGCAGCAGCAGCGACAAACAGGCAATACAGGGCCCGGAGCAAAAGTCGGAGCATTTTTTAATAATCTGATAGGCAGCCGTGGGAGCGATCAAAGTCCTAGTCATAAAAGTGTCAGTAACAGCAGCGGACCTGTGAACCAACATGGAGTTGCTATGCAGACACAGGCGCAATCCTCGATGCAAGAATTGGAAAAGAAGAAAAAGACTTGGAGATATGTAGCAACAGGGTTGTCGATTGCGGCGGGTGCGACCGTGATTGGTTTGACAGGAGGATTGGCAGCACCTTTAGTAGCTGTGGGTGCAGGAGTGATCTTGGGGTCTGGAGCTGCTGTCCTAGGTACTACTGCCGGCATTGCAGTAATGGCTTCGTTGTTTGGGCTGGTAGGACTCTCTTTTTTTTTTTTTTTTTTTTGTGCAATTGAAAAGATAAAAAGAAAGAAAGGAAATAATAATAATAACCAAAGCTCATTAAATGAACACAAGGCAGGAGGAGGGTTAGCTGGATACAAGATGCATAGAAGGACGAAAGGTAATTTCTTTAAAAGAAGAAAGGGGGTCGAGAAAAGTCTTTTTCTTATTTATCTTCGCTTTCTTCCAATGATCGTTAATTAACATTCAAATAAAATGCCTGTTATTTTAACTGGATAGATCTTAAAGTACTGTCGTTTACACCTATTGTAGAGGATCCGACACTCCCTCAAATCCCTTCTCTTCATGTAAATCACGAATGGAGACATGGTTATTACTGCCTAGGCTTCTTAATGCTTTAGAGATGTCTTAATCTTTTTACTTTCTTTTTATTTTATTTTATTTTATTTTATTTATTTTATAGATTGCGATAGTTATTTCTGGCTATCTATTTGATGAGTCTGAAGTGATTGATGCATGGCAAGATACTGCACAGCATGCACTACATGGCACCGATGTATTTCATCTGACGTTTGAACCACAAGAGTTGGTGGCACTCGGTAATGCATTTAAGGTGTTCTTGGCCACTGAGGCTGTCCGTGTGGTATCGACTCAAGTGATCCAACAGACAGTGTTTGCTGCTTTGGCTAGTGCATTGGTTCTTCCCTTTGGACTGATGCGTGCTGGTGATTTGATTGATAATCCATGGTAATGTAAATCAATCAATCGATCGATCGATCAATCAGTGATGAAAAAAAAAAAAAAAAAAAAAAAAAAATACTAATACCTGATGGAAGATACATGTAGGGTTGTGGCAATGGACCGTGCACGCAAAACTGGCTATGTTTTAGCAGACATTCTACAAGAACGTGTTCAGGGCAATCGACCGACAACCTTGATCGGATACTCGACAGGTGCAGTCGTCATCTGGGAATGTTTGTTGGAACTAGCAAAACGTAAAGAGCATGGTCTTGTTAACTCTGGTAACGTCGTCATTGAAAGTTGATTCGCAAAAAAAAAAAAAATTCTATAAATATGAATGAATATAAGATAGGAGAATTGATCCTTTGTCTTTTTCTTTTATATATATAAATGTATATATATATAAAGTGGTTCTATTGGGTGCACCGATCAAGACGGATATGACAGAAAAATGGCAGGCAGTAACGTCGGTGGTGTCCCATCGGTTTGTCAATGGATATTCCAAAAAGGATGTCGTTCTAGGCTCCATCTTCCGTCTTCATGCCCTTGGTTTAGAAGTGGCAGGTCTTCAACCAGTTCTGGTCGATGGATGCTCTAAAATCGAGAACGTGGACCTGTCAGATATTGTGGGAGGCCATCTTGAATACCGAGAGAATTTGAATATGGTCATTTCTCTCTTGGGGGTACTCTAAGAAAAAAATAAAAATAAAAAAAAAAAAGTTGATCTCAACAACAGTAAACAGAGGCAACGAAAGATAAATGCAAGATAAAAAATAAATAAATAAATAAAAGAAGCCTAAATGGGCTTAATCGCATCTTAATGGTTCAAAGATTTGTTATTAATTAAGTTTATTTTGGATTGTTTGTTTGTTTTTTCAGGAGAGGAATGAAATGCCTGTGGCTCCCTTGTCTAGCTAGCTTTAAAAAGTCTAGATCTGTTTTACAGCAGTTTCTTTTTTAATCAGATATATACAGAGATAGAGATAGAGATAGAGATAGAGGACCCTTGAAGGATGGAGTCTTTTTTTTTTTTTTTTTTTTTTTTTTTTTTTTTTAATAGATGATGATGTTTAATTCTCATTTTATTCTATATACTAGGATATAATATTAAATATATTACTTCTAACAAATCAAAACCGCCAAAAGTATTTTAGTATTTTAGAGCATGAAGAAGCCAACGACTGCGGACATTCCCAAGACCCAGGCAGTGGCCTTGTTCAAGGCAGCAGAAGAATCTTTGTTGGCAGGAGTCGATGGTGAAGGCTTGCTGCTGGCAGAGGGGCTGGTACCGGCGGCTGGGGGAACAACGGGGGCAGTGCCGGTGGGGACGGGAGCAGTTCCGGTGGAGTTGGTGCCAGGAACGCCGGGAACGCCTGAAGGAGTTGGGAGAACGGATGAGCCAGTGGCTGGGGGAACAACTGGAGGGACAACAGAGCCATCCAAGTAGGACTTCTCACCGATACATTCCTCCATGGTGACGAAACGGTAACCCTTTGACTTTACGAAATCAATGAGGACAGCGGTCAAGGAATCGACCGAGAACTTGTGGATCTCGTGTTGGAGGATGATGAAGGAATCTGTTGCGGGGTTGGAGTTACCGATACGGTCCCTGATCTCCTTCATGGAATCAGTGACGGGGTCGGAGCTCTTGGTGAACTTCCAGTCATGAGTATCAGCATTCCAGTGTGAGACGACCAAGCCCAAATCCTTCATGGTCTGCTTGCAGACCTCACTGTCGCAGCGACCCTCGGGTGCACGCATGTAACGGGGACGAACGTTAGCATACTTGAACATGATATCGGAGGTATCGGAGATCTCCTTCTGGATCTCTGACGCGCTCAAGGAATCCAAGTTGCGATGGTTAAAGGTGTGGGAGGCCAACTGATGACCATCTGCCATAATCTTTGGGAGTGCATCGCCATATTGTGCAACCATCTCACCACTGTTATGTTTTTATAACAAAAAGAGAATAAAAAAAAAAAAAAAAAAAAATGTTTTATTAGTTTGGATTTTCTGGAAAGTTTTAATGTGAGCATGGGCATGAGCATGAGCAACAGAGTAAAAATTGAACTCGCCACACACACATGTAACACATGCAGGTCCCAAAGTGAAACAAAATAAAAAAATAAAATAAATAAAAAAAATTCCTTACATGACGAAGAAACTGGCAACAACACCCTTGGCCTTCAAGGTTGCAAGGAGAGCAGCGTTGTAAGGACCTGGGCCATCATCAAAGGTATAAGCGACGACACCAGGCATTTTGCAGGTATCAATTCTGGTGGGCTCGTCATAGGCACCAGCAGCGACCATGGAGGCCATGAACAAGGCCGAGCAAGAAACGAAGGTTGAGATCTTCATGTTTGTTAGATATTAGAGTAAAAGATGAGAGATTAATGTGTAGTTTACAGTAGCTGTGAAATGCGTTGCGAAGGAGAGAGAGAGGGTTACGGAAAGGAGGAGGAAGGGAGAGGTAAAGGTTAAAATCTGGAAGGGGGATCAGACAAGATTGAGAGGATGAACAAAGAAGAAGAAGAAAAAAAAAAAAAAAGAAAAAAAGAGGAATAGGGTGTACCTTTTATAGATGCCATCTCAAAGGAGCTCAAACTAGTGGCATGTTGATAAACATCTGTGGATGAAATTCTTTATTTGCGTTTTGTTTGTTTGTTTGTCCTAAAAAAAGCTCTGTTTGGGTGAACATGAAAAAAAAGGACCAGAGCCGTTGGCTGAAAAAGTAGGAAAGGGAAAAAGAAAGTGGGCAGTGTTGTTTGGTTGGTATATCACTGTAGTTGCTCTCATTTCAATTCAATTTTTAAAGTTCCTGGTAATTGCTTAAAATAAAAACTATTCCTCTCCAGAGGCACATTAGGATCTGAAGGCGTATTGGTAATAACAATTGAGCAATAACCTTGAGCAGCCCATGTTCAATCTAATACCCGGTAAAGAAAAAAAAAAAAAAAATGCGTTGGCAAAAGAAAGAGCCCAAGCAACTCTTCATAAACATTTACAGTAAATGAAAATGGTAATAAAAAGTAAACATGCCAATGAATAGTGAAGAGGTCCTCAAAGTTGCGTAAAGCTCGTAAAACTCTTCTCTCCCAGTAATGGACGTCTATCTTGATCCTTGATTACCTTCCTCCCCCCCATTCCCCTACCCTTCACCCTTTTTTTTTTTTTTTTTTTTTTTTCCTTTCTTTTTCTTTTCTCACCTTCATTCTCTTTTCGCTCAATAACTTCGTTAGTGTATGATAAGACCATTAGAAAATGGTATGAGCGCTTCTTTTTTTTCATGCCCGCATCTTTCTAGATTGGAAGCACGTGTGAGCATCCCGCTTTGGTCAACTTGTTCTTCATCTGGCTCTTACCCCTTCCTTCCTCTCTTTCTCCCAATGCTCTTTTCAAAGATTCACACACTTTTTTTTTTTTTTTTTTCTATCAGCTAGTCTTACATGCATACCTTTATTATTGTTATTATTATTATTATTATTATTATTTCTTTTGTTCTTTTATTCCGTCAAAGTAAATATGCATGGCTCGAAATAGGCAGACAGAGATAAAAAAGACAAAAAAGAAAACGGAGACACGAACATTGAATAGATATAATAAATATATATAGTATAATATTAGTGTTAATCTATACATATTTGTATATAGTTAGTCTATAGAATATTTATATGAAAACACTAATGGTTATTGCTAGACTAGGCTGATCACCTTTATGATCGATACAACTGAATAAGACAGGGCAAGGAGAGGTACCTGGACCACAATTGTCCATTCCTTACTCAATAGTTCTATATTTGTTTTAAATACAAGGGCCAATTGGCTGGCCTGTGAACAAATAAACCAGTTTACGCCCAAATAATTTTTTTTTTAAATATCAGCAAGACACAAGACAGACATTCTCTGAATTCGATTCTCATAATTGCACGCCACACTCCATAATCATTTAAAAAAAGATTAACGAAACTAGTTCCGTCCTAAATATAAAACGTCTTATGAACACAAACACCCATCACTGGATACACATCCTCCTTGGGCTGTGGGTCATTTGGTACTCATCTGCCCCCCCCCCCCTTCCTTCCTCTACTATGGACTGTGAGGTTGTAGATCTTTTTTTTTTTTTTTTTTTTTTTTTTTAATACCTATTGGCTGTACAATGTTCAATGTTTATCTCTGCCATAGTGGCTGTGTGTATGTTGTTCTTGTTCTGTTTTAATCTTCATCGCCCTCATCCTCTTCATCGCCACTACCAACGTCCCTATATGTGGTTGTCTTTGACTTTGCCGCTCTTGATGCCATCCTGTAATAGGAAAAATACTTTGTCAGAACACTCTACTGATAATAAACAATAGAGAGTATGGCTCTTTTTATTTTATTTTTTTAACAATCTTACCTTCTTGATGGCTCTTCTTTCACACGTTCAATTTTGCTCTTCTTTGTTCGTTTGACTCGTGTGTTCGCAGACGCTCCAGGCTTTGCACCATCTGTATCCTCAATGCCATCCATTTCCATTGACGCTGATGGTGACCTCGAACGACGCTTGGATGCTTGGCCCATTTTCTTTTCTATGTCAGTAACACCTTTTGACTTGCGTTCTGACTTGTGCTCTCGTGCATGTACCCACTCCAAAGGCAGATAATACTTGCTTGAGACCTAAATATTGTAAATAAAATAGAATAAAATTGTAAATGAATTGATTAAATCAAAGCAATCAATCAGAACCTTGGGGTCAGTGCACCAATAATACCGGGTTTTTATTTCTTTTACCTCGTGAGTTAATTCATCACTACCAAGAGGAACAAAGAGCTCGCGTGGAAGATTCACTTTTCCAGGGTAACTGCTCAGAGTCCAGTTGTGCGCACGGCTCTTTTCTTGAATCACATACTGTGCCAAGTCACTCAGCACATATAAATTCTAAAATTTTTTTTTTTTTTTTTTTTTTTTTTTTTGCACGTACACATGGTACACACACGTGTGTTTGTTAAAGAATGAAAAGAAGCATTCAGGACTCTTGAACCACACCTGCTGATCGACTCGACAAACCTTTGTGGGTTCATTAGCGTTAGTAAATCGGACCGTCTTCAAGAGTGCGGCGATGTGGTAAATTAAAGAAATATTTTCCGAATTGGCCATGGTTTCTAGATAAAACTCGATATATCTTTGTTTGAGATCACACACAGTATTAAAGAACCCAATGTCAGTTTTTGTCCTTTAAGAAAAAAGTGCGTTCCTTCTCCCCCCTGACATATCAAAAATAACTCACTTCACACTCAGGTTCAGATCTTCTACCGTATGCACCTCATCTGACACCAAGGAATTACTATCGTCCGCTGCAGTCTTTAACATAAAATCTGGGTGGTTTGCCAAAAGGTGCAGTAACCTTGCAATCGTCAGTTCATTCAGCATCAACTTATTTTCGGCTATGGAATAGAAATAAAAAAAAAAAAAAAAGTAATTTTAGTCCAAGATCAACAGTGCATATTGATAACCTTATTAAAGTGGTATTTTATTTTTATCACACTAAAGATAAATAATAATAATAATAAACTTACCAGTATCTTGTATCCTTGATTGTTGTACCAGAAATCCGCGAACATGCAGCCTCCATTCAAGCTCAGGCTCATGAGCTGCCAGAAACAAAAAGGACAGATACCGGATATGTAGCTCCTTGGTTCGAAGGTACTTCATGATACGAGTCGCCAACCCCTGACGGACGCGATATACTGGATCCTGAACAATAAGCGACAGTCGCATAAAGTCAGGTGCCGTAACCATCTTCTCATACAAAGGCCTGCCACGTGTAAGCTTGAGTACTGATCGCGCAGCGTTCAATCTGAGATGACTCTTTAACACGTCACTGCCGAATCAGAAAACATTATAGTTAATGATACTGTACCATCATAACGCGAAAAAAAAAAAGAAAAAAAAAAAAAAGCGGGAAATATTATTTCGTCTTACTTTGTATTTTTTTCTTCTACAATCTCTCCTTCTTGATTTAAAATAGTCCAGAGTAACTTGAATACAGGACGAACGACTTCCTGCGCTGCTGTAGGGTCACTCTCTGCTAACGCAATGGTTCTATTAACCAGCACCTTAAGGCCCATAATCTATAGCCAATTGAATACCATCAAGAGTTAAAAATGGCAATAAGGCAGACATGCTACCTTGTAGTCTTGCTTGCATCCATCTTACCTTGGATAAAGAATATTCATCTAGCTCTTCTTTTTCGACCCAGTCTCGTCCTACTTCAAAGGTAGTCTAGATCAAATAGAATAAGCTGAAAAATTAGACTATGACAACAGACAAGTCATATTAACGTCTTTTCTATTATTATTGTATTTGTTACCTCCTGTTCTGATGTATTTGTCATCAGTAGTTTCCTGACAACGAATGAAGTCACAGAGCTGTTGATCCTCTCCAATGCCTGTGGCGAGTACAAGGTAAGCTGCGACAGCACAGCGAGATCTCTCAATAAGCCCGCAGATTGCACACTCAGTCTTTCGTTGATAGTTTCTGCAATGTCCTTACATTCCGAATCACTATTGTTAAGGCTAGCAAGGACAATAGCAGCATCTCTTGCTTGCTCAACTGTACCAGAGCCTATAAATGAATGAAGTGTCTCCTTGGCCTTGACATCGGTAGGGATAGATTTTGGGAATTGTTTTGCAAACTCTGCCAATGTTTGTAAGAGATCTGAGGCACCAGTAAAGTCACGTTGGTGAAGCAATGCCATGATCTCCACCAGATGATCCTTGAAGATAGCAGGGAAAATAAGAGAAATGGATCGAAGCAACTCTCCAGAGGCCTGTCCGTGCTCTTCACTCTCACCAATATTCTTCACCAATTCAGTGAGGATCTCAGAATTGATCAGTATAAGAGTAATGCGTTGGATAAGAATGGAGAACATCTCAGCTGCTGCCGGTAATACACTCTCAATACACGACAATGCTTCTCTCTAATAAATAAGCAGTATATATTAGTAGTCTACTTTTGTATACTAATGATAAAAAAAGCATATTAAAATGCCTCTGATTTACTTACAGCTGCATTCTTTAGGTCTTTCAAAGGAAGTCTTGAATCCATACAGTTAGAGAACAATGATTCACATTTATCGTCGTGGACTTGCACGTACTTGTACAGAAGTGACGAACTTTTAGAAGGGTCTGGTAGTCGATCTAGACAAAGCCAGTTTTCGTCAGTTTGAAAGACTTCATTTATATGCTAATCAATGTGTTTTCGCGATTACTTACCACAAAGGACCTTGATTACCGTTCTCAACTTCTTATCATAGTCTTCTTGGACGTCACTTTTAGCTGAAGACTAGCAGCAAACATTAGATTAACAGATACATAAATTCATATGCCAGTCATGTTCATTTCATTTCTCCTTTAAAAAAAAAAAAAAAAAAAAAAAAAAATCTCCCCCTGTTGAAATGATATTAGGTACCTCTCGCGATCTCAAAAGCTGCAAGAATGCAGTCATACATGTTCTCGCACTATCAAAGAAACAGTATTTGTGAGTATAACCAGGGTCTTCCTGAATCCAGGTCGCAAAGTAGTGCAGCACCCAACTTACTCGACACTTCTACGAAGTACGGAAAGGAACCCTGTACGGCCTTTGTCATCCAGAGCTGTAAATGTAATAAGGAGTCGCTGTGCCCTGGATGAGGGGCTCCCGTGTGGCGGAAACAATTTTGTAAATACCGCGTTGTCGACATAAGCGCTAGGGATTTTTTTAATTTTTTTGTGAGTATAAAGCAATAATGTCATTTGCCTTAATATAAATCATTGTATGTCATATTTGCTTACAATGTTTCATTGTCGTTAACATAGACCGCATGCAAGATTGCGGACGGCATCCAACCAAACTGTGAAATGCTTGTCTGAGTCCCGACTTCACTAAAAAACACCAAATAAAGTCTTTGGATTGGGATGTTGTCCGAAATATAAAAAGGTAAACAAAAGACATTGCTTTATCCAGAGCTAAAGCTTACATTTCTGGATATGCTTGATTATAAAGAACAGAAAGGGTTTGGATTGCTTCCCTTGATACCGATTTCTATCATGAAAATCAATTTTTTTTTTAAGCCCGTGCCTAGTACGTGTCCAAAAGGAAGGCTACTCATACACATTAGAATACACGACATACTTTCTTGTCTCTGCAACGATGACCGACTTGAATCAACGTGTTTTTTTGTATGTGATGTAAACTCGTCTCATAGTCAAATTCTCCAATGGTTTTGCAGGCCACTGCTCGGACTTTTTCATCCGGATCGACTAATTTTTCAGAAAGTCCCTCTAAATGATCAAAAGCGATAAAAGAAACGCTATGTCAATGAAATATACTCACCCACTCCTTAGATTGTCATGCCATGGGTCCATCGCTGAATTTATTGATCGCTTACCACTCAATTCTTTCGAAAGAGAGCCATGTGCTTTAATAATATTGACCAGTGATTCAATCCAGACGATTCTTACTTGAGGAATCTTGTCATTGCGTCTATAAATATTTAAAATTGAAGGTCATGAGTTCCACTTATGGATGTATGTAAAGGAAACCATACAAGTACTTGTCTAATGCGCCCTTTACCTCTGCAACCATGTTTTCCATGTAGATTCGTATTGTGTGACTAATTGTGAAGTTTTCTCCGCAAACATTTCACCCAGTGATTTCGTGGCTAAGATTCTGATGGTAACATCTGTAAGCTAATAACTCAGAATGTTTGATTTTTTTTTTTTCTCACGATTAGCTTTATATACAAGCGATATTGGCAGAAGAAGTACCAAAAAAAGGGGGAGTTTTTTTTTATACCTTCAGCTCTTCCTCTAGTTGTGGGATAACATTTAGTAATAAGGCCGATGCTGCTTTATTCAGCTCGATCACCAATTGATGGACGGTCTTGAAGTCTGCCAATTCTTTAGCAGAAAGCTCTCCATTCCCTGCAACCGAAATGATGTCAGAGAAATACTACAATGATGGAAATCATACGTCAGCATCACGTCCAAGCCAACATGCAAAGAACTGGAGTTTTTTTTTTTTTTTTTTTTTTTTTTTTTTCCTCAACAGCAATGCGAGTCAGCATGAATTTTCCTTACTTGGAAAACATATCTTTGGAGTTTATCTGCACAGTTGTTGCCCAAATCACACGCTAGCCGGTAAGCCGCTGGGTTATCGAACTAGAAACCAGCAAGAGCAAAGTAGTTAGTGAAGACGAAGCATCAAGCATAACCACTATTAAGGATGAAAAAAAAAAAAAAAAAAAAAAAAAAAAAAAAGATAACTAAGCTGCCATACCTTTTGTTTATGAAGAAATTGGGCTAAAATGATATCGACGATTTCCTGTGGTAATTGCTCAGCCTCGTCAATAATATGTTGAAGAAGTTCTGACATACAAATCTGTACATTTTTTGCTTGTTGCGGGCTAAAATAGTAGAATAGATCAGATGTTTTGTAGTAGTTTGTTTAGAGTTGTATCAAGTTTTCGCTTGGTCTCTATGGGATGATTCGCTTTTGCTAATACAAAACAATAGAGAACAAAAAACTGACCGAACGCTGTCAAAAATGCCCCTGAATAGATCAATCATAAGATCCTTTGCATTCCTCAATTGGGTGATCAACACAATGCTTTTGACTGCAGATAATGACTCCAATAAGTAATAGTACATGCCAAAATATGGACTTGAAGTCGTCGCAATATTCCTCAATTCGTTTACAAATAGTTCAAAGATGGCCTAAAAAAAAACAAAATAAGAAAAAGAATAATGGATGCATATAAGTTTGTGATAGCTTGACGATCATTACCGTCTTGTGCAAAAAAAAAAAAAAAAAGGGAGAGGGCTTTGTCCAACCTTGAGGGTATTATTGGTGTAAGGTGCATCCGGAGCATATAGACGAAGCATATCAGCAATACAACATGCGGTGTAAATTCTCACACCTTTATCTTTATGATTGATCAAGGGAGAGTCTGCTAACTGTTTCGTAACCGACGAAAGTGATTTAGTATTGACAGTCTCCTGTTCCATGCTTTTCAGCTCTGCTTGAAGTTCCTATGATAAAAGAAAGTGAGAATTAATGAAAAAAAGAAAAGAAAAAAAATCCGTATTAGAACCATTAAGTTGTTTTTCTCTTAACCTTGAAGACATTCATCAATGAATTCGGAATTTACTTTTAACTTCTTGACGAGGTCAGTCGCGCTCCCTGCCAACCTCTGCTTAAATTGCAAGTCTTGATTTGATGTCACCATGGCTAAAGTAGAGACGGTCGATGGTCAAAGAAAAAAAAAAAAAAAAAAAAAAAAAAAAAAGCCTGATATCCGCCTTCAAGCTCAAAGGACGCGTAAAATTGGTGGCCAAACGAAGTAGTCTTGTTTGTTTCCCTCATTAATTAAAAGGCAGTCCTCTGTGATCAAAAATAAAAACAACCGCCCAATACCAACGCGTAAGTACATGGAGTTATAAAAAAAAAGAAGCCCCATTCAACATTGTCTACATTACACTATGAATACAACGCCAGAAGCAGAACCAGCTACAATAGAACAGGTGCCAGAAAGAAAGATATTTTCTATCGAATTTCCAGGGCACGTTCAGAACCTCGACAAGGCTATAGAAGCCCTAGGTGGTGAAAAGGCCATTACGAATGTTCGTTTTTATTTTTCTGCGTAAAGGACATCCACGCGCTCAACTGTATCTAGAATAAATTATAATTTATTTGTACTATCACTTTCTGGTGTTTCCTTCCCCTTCATTGGCCCATGGAAAAAAAAAATAATCTAGGCATATCATGGAGGTGCTCCACTTGATCTGCGGTATAGAACCAAAGATCCCTTCTCAATACCAATTCATGGACAGACCATATCGACCGGAAACTTTTTACTAAAGGCAACTCGGCGATATAAAGTCAAGTGTCAGCCAGGATCAAAACGGACACTTCCGCCATATCGTGCACCAACTGAGGCCGATGTTCCATATAATGAAGACGAAGAGCCAGAGTATAGTTTTGAGATAGTCGGTTCTATTCCAAAAACCACTCGCTTCGCAGGACTTGCAGATTTTCAGCATATCGTCGATCCAAGGGACCCAATCGTCCAAATCAAGTCAGATCTTCAGAATGTTGAGTGTAATGAATGGTTACTAAAAAAAAAAAAAAAAAAAAATATGCATATTTCTATACAAAGGTCTTCCCTACCTCATCATTGGCATGTCTACTAATCAAACTCATGCACTGCTCCTATCTTTAAAAAAAAAAAATGTCTAGATGAACATCTCATCTCACTCCAGGTTGATAACAAAGATGCAACAGAGAATGTCATGACCATGCAAGTACTTCCTCCATCTGCTATCTCCAAAACAACCATTCCTAATGCTTACAGGTTAGTCGGAAGAAATGACCTTTTGTGTTCACTGCTTCGGTCAAATATATGATTATATGTAGCTTTTTGTATCTTTATACCTCGCTAATCGCTTTTTTTTTTTTTCCCCTTCTCATTTTCCCGACTTAGATACAAGGCTAGAGACAGGGACGATGTAAGTTGCTAATTGTTTGGGTGCCATTCAAGATCCTATATGATATAATTTGATGGTGAGACATCTTGATATTAAATGTTGCATCTTTTTTTTCTTTTTTTTTTTTAAAAAAAAAAAAAAAAAAAAAAAAAAAAAAAACCTATGATGGAAATTAGGGCGTCAAGGGCATTCGAGGGAGGAAACCAAAATCAAAGCATAATGCTCGACCACCAAATGCCTCAACATCCATGAATCCTGATAGTAATGAGAGTGATGGACTGTAAAAAAAAAAAAAAAAAAAAAAAAAAGGCATGTCTTTGTTGGGGAACAGGTAAAATAATAAAAATAATAATATACAGACTTTTTCAAGAGATGCTTTATTAAGGGATTACAGGGTTACTGAGGTTGTTGTTGTTGCTGGTGCTGGCTCTGTGGAGAAAACAATGGTGAGAGTAGGTTCATAATTTGCTGGCGCTGCTCACTTGCTGCATTAGGTTGTTGTTGTTGTTGTTGTTGTTGTTGTTGTTGTTGCTGCTGCTGCTGCTGTTGTTGTACTTGAGCTTGGAGTTGCTGTTGCTGTTGCTGTTGTTGCAACTGTTGCTGCTGCTGTTGAAGGCGCAAGATGGTCGCTTGTGCTTCCTGAATCTGCCGTTGATAAGCGGCCTGTTGTTGTTGTTGTTGCTGATAGAGTTGTTGTTGTTGTTGCTGCTGAAGTAAAAGTTGTTGCTGGATTTGTTGCTGTCGTTGAAACTGAAGCATGGCTTCTTGTTCTTTCAACATTTGGGTTTGAACTGGATTTTGATGTTGTGAAGTGCCCATCACGTCCTGAAGCTCTCGTTGTTGCTGCTGATACCATGGAACTGTATTAGGCCCTGCATTAGTGTGATGACCAGGGCGCGAAGCAACTCCTGGACGTTGCAAAATTTTATATCCATCTTCTGGCTCATCATATCGGGGATTACGAGGCAATGGAATGGGCTTTCGACGGTTGGAGGGACCCGAAGGAGTAGTGGATGACGATGATAGTTTAGGTGCATCATTCATGGCCGACGATGAAGCAGAGATATTGGCGGCCATGCCAGGGGCTTTCCGCTCCTTTGCTCCCCGCTTCTGAAAACGCTGTTGCTTTAACATCCGTTTATGCTCCATTTCCTTTTCATCATCGGAAAACTCCAACTCCACCTCATCCACTTCTTCATCAAATTTGTTGCTGGCATCGCTTCCTCTTAATGCCTTGAGCGGTTCCGTGAATACGAATGAGCTGTATTCTGGTACAGAGTAAACGGTACAGCCTATGGTGCAAAGAGCTGGAATCTCACTAGCATTGTTGAATCGGATAGAGTATAGCGGTCTTGCTACTGGACCGAAGGTTTCAAAAATCTAGCAGAGTAGAATTGCAGCATTGTATTTAGATTAGCTAGAGGTTTATGAAAAGGAAAAAATAAAGACAGAAAGAAGGAAATGATAATAATAATAACATACCTCTCCAAGAACCTCGCTTCCAGACTCGTCCTTCGGCTTCTTAATTGCAGTGATGGTCCCAGCATCTAAGACACGGACCTCGCCGCTGGATGCAGCCTGGACCACCAATACGCTGTCTACAATGGACATTATAGTGCCTATTGGCTCCAAAGTCGTATCCGGCCCTAGAACAATATCAGGTTTTTTGACCACAGGAAGCTGAATAATTTCATTGGCGGTATGCAATACCTCTGCAGGCACTGCATCCTCTTCATCATCCATAGCGTCGATTTCAATCAATGCCTTCTCTCGCTCTTCGATCGTCATTGCTGAATATCTCGCGCTTACATCAACATCTGAATCTGAGTCTGAGTCTGATGAATCCCTAATATCATAAGATGTAGAGAAGCCATACATGTCAATATAGTTGATGCATTGAGTAAAGAAAAAGATAATAGACAGGCCAGCATTAAGGCTCTCTTTACTTACGGTTCGTCATCATCATCATTATCACTCGACTCTAGGTCACTTGATTCATAACCATCCTCTGTGTCTTTCCCAGCTAAAGCAGCATCAATTCTTCCTTCAGTGGAATTCGTATTTTCTGTGGCTGTTAACGGTTCTACTTGGTCCATAGAAGAATCTTGATCTGATGAATGTTTTGGCTCTATGGCTGACTGCGGTGGAGTAAATGCTGGAACGGTGTGTGCTTCCTGATTAGCTATAGTTGTAGGCCCTGTAGGTGGTTTCTCAGAAGCTACAGTCATATGGCTGTCAAGATCCATTTTATTATTTGTTATTGTGGGTTGAACGTGTTCTATTGGTTGAGTAACTTGCGTCGGCTGTTCAGATACAGGATGCTGAATATTGACATGCCCTCCTTCCATGACTGTATCCTCCAGAACTGAGTTTTGTCTCTCACTTGTTTCCATGTCCATCATATTATATGTAATTGAATATTTGTAATGTAAGGCGGAAGAATAGGAGAAAGAGAAGGACAAGAGATTTTTTTTTTTTTTTTTAATGACTGCTACTAGATGTGGCTTTCAGAGACAACACAGATACACGTGATAAACCATCAAGGCTTCACACTGTGAGCGGAGAACACATGGATCTTAGTCTCTTCGGCATCAATCCATTCATCATGCTCGCCATTAAACTCGCGCGCCACGGCGTTAAAAACACTCCCTTCTTCCATATTGTGGTTCTGCAAAGTCGTTCCAAGCCTACGAGGAAACCCATTGAGCAACTCGGCACTTTCAACCCGATTCCCGATAAGGATGGTACCAAAGCAGTAACACTGAACTTTGAACGCGCAAAGTACTGGATCAGTGTCGGAGCAAAGCCAAGCGATACAGTTGCCCGTATTCTCACCAAGGTACTGTGATGGAGCATTCTCTTATAATGCTTGCGCTTATATCCTGGGGTACAACACTTTACAATAGAAGGAAACGCTTGATTTTATCAGACTAACACTTTTTCACTCCACACTGCCCATAACACATAGGCCGATATCATCCCGCCAAAGCCCAGGCCTGGCATGCCCAATCCTAGCAACTCTACCCCTATTAGACCACCTACTCAATCTGCATAATTTCATCATAGAACATCCGTACATTACACTTGTTTTTTTTTTCCCCTTTTTTTGTTTTTTGTTCATTCTTTCACTTGTATTAAAATCAATTGCTATCACAACGGATCAACGGATGCTCAAAGGAAGAAACAGAATCTGGATATTATTAATTTCTAAAGGAATTGACGTGATCTTGAATAAGTGGTGGAGGGCATCCCTTCCAAAGGCTCATGATATCTTGAAGTTGATCCAGGGGTATGATGGTTGTACCATTTTTGGAAAGTACAGACTTGGTTGGTGGCTTCTAAAGGGCTTCTTGGATCAAGATTATTTGTATCGTCTGTTGCCTATGTGAATGTTTTATCAGTGAGCACTATTGAAACAGATGAATGCTGCATTTGCCTCTTTCGCACGGCTCTCGTTTCTCTACAAGAAACTAAAGTATTTGCGAGCGTTTTTGTAGGCTCGTCACCAGCCAGCCTGAGGACGAAGTTCACGTGCACATGCACGTACTCAAAGGCAAATGTGGCTTGCTCTTGCAGACACTTCTCTCTCAGGCTGGGGACCAAGCTTGACATTTTGGCTGGAGGTCTCTTTTTTTAAATTTGAAAAAGTTTCCAAGTCGAAAACACGCCGCAGGAAAGGCTCTTTTTTTCTGCCATTCTCGCTGCAGAAAATGGCTTTTTTTTTTTCAAAGTCCAGACTAGGATATTGATTTGATCGAGAACGAACGAGGAATGAGAAAAAAGAATGGTATATTTCGCGTAAAAAGAGTCATCATGCTCTAATTAATCAATTATTTACCTTTAATTAAGATAGTGTGCTTAATAAGGTCAGAGAGATGGAAACGAGGATTGTGGAGTAGATCAAATGTTAGAATAATAAAATGTTAGAATAATAGATGGCAATGCAGATGATGGAAACAAGAGACGATTGGTAAAAATGAGGCTAGTGATTTGGGTGTGTGTGTAGGACCGTTTAAAAAGCGCCATCCGTTTGTCAAAAGGGCAAGTGGATAGTGATGGCTTCGTTCATAAAGGATGAACGATTGTAAAGGATACTCAATAGATGTGGTATTTTCATTACAGACAAAATTCCTTTCACTTGATTGACATTCGACTCTTTTCTTCATGCTTGAACCTCGGCGATCCTCCTGCATATGCGGTATTGATGCGAGTTTTTATGACATGCTGTCCCGCATGTTTTAAATATCTAGGTGTTGCCTTAACACTCTGATCGTTGTTGATAACGAGCTCCTAAACTTTAAGCTTGACGTGTATGTCGCCTGGGACCATGGAACGGAGGAATGTGATATTGTCACTTTTCTCCGAGGTTTGATCGGTTTCTCTTCAAGCATGATCCAGTAAATATTATCAATCATCTCCTTGAATGATGCTTGCTTGATCGGATGCTCCTCTGATGTGACCTGGAATGGCTTGTCGGGCCCCAACACACAACTTATGGGTGGAAAGATAGGAATAGACAATAGAAACAACTTGCCACTTGCTTGAGAAAATTCTGATGCAGCTGCGGCAATCCGCTTGGTGTGGTCACTTCTCCTTGCTCAGGTTTATTGAATAGCGATATTTTAATTTATCTATTAGTGCTATATTACAAAACTGTGTCTGTGCCATTGTCATAAACAATGGCGAGTAAAAAGAAGTAAAAGAAGCGATCGCTACTTTTTCCTTGGTCCCTTATCCCTGCTTGACCTATTGGGCTTGTCGTCCTCCGCTTGCACTTTTTCTTTTATTTGATCCGCTGGGTTTGCTCAGCTCTTCCTTATTTTCCATAGCTGTAGCTTTATCGACAATTCACTTGATGTCCTCCTTGCCTGTGGTTCTTTGGGCTTGCTTCCTTCTCCCTCATCCCCCACAACTCGGGTCAATTCTGACTTCTTGAAGGACTCCCTTGCACTTTCAAGGAAGTTCAACAAGCTAATATTGAGTACGTCGTTTCTATTCGTTTGTCTTTGATGACAGGGGCTTCTTTGACTTTAGCTACCGAATAATCGTCCTGTTCGTGATAAGACAACATGATAAGGCAGCGTGATAAGTAAGGCCTAAACAACAGCAACAAGGATATGCCATTCGAGCAAAAGCCGAGAGAAGACGGTGATGAGAGGTGTTCTTTGATGCAATTATGGCAAGTTGTATTGTGGGCATCCTTAATTCTTGACCTTATCGCCGATTTTTGATTGTACGGAACCAGGATAATATTTACCCTCCGATTCTAGTACAAAGACGATATCTGGTCCAGATGGGTTCTCTTTTGGAAACAAAAAAGAGCGAGATTAACTTGGATTCATGTATTGAGTCTTTGTTACAGTGAGTATCCAAGAATTCGTTCATTGTTATAATTCTGGAAGATTGAAATTAAACAAAGCGGGACTGAAATACTCAAAATGTGTGCCCTTTGTGCCAGACGTAGGGGAGTCATCGAGAACTTCTCGATATTCCTTGAAGCTTTGCCAGTTCTCTTAACCCAAGCAGGATCATAAATACAAAAGCCTATCCCGCAAGGAACTATGCAAATTCGTGCTAAATTCTCTGATAAACCCTCCAATCCATGAAAGAATGCTGATAATATTGGTCGCATAGTGTCGTCGTTATTAATAAACTGGTATTTAGCCTCCCCTCCCCACATCCTGCGCCTCGTTCAAAACAACCAAAAACATAGAGTTGCTTTGATGCCGCTCCGAAAGGACCCTGATTAGATTGTCGAACCAATCTTGCAGGAGCTTGTCAAGGCAATTAAAGCCAACTCCACCAAGCAATTCTGCTACTTTTGTGAAGAACGCTAGGAATAAATCTGTCCTGGATGGAACCGAGTTTCCTCAATGGACTTCTCCAAGGACCTGTGGACACACTTGCAATAGCATCCATTGGCTAGGCGTCATTCTACCTTCGGACAAGTAAAAAGGGTAAATTGGCCGAACATACAACTAATATGATCTCATTGGCCACAGGTTGCCATCCCGTGCACGCGCACCATGGGGCTAAAACGACATTTATGTCTTTAGAGTGGAGCTGTCATCCTAGCTCCCGGTAAACGTTTTGGCGCCCTGGATGATGATAATTGATAGGTCTTTCGCAAGTGGCAAGCATCCAGATGACAAAGCATACGAGAAAGGATAATTTCCTATGCCAGCTGTCCTGGTGATAATAATATGGTTTTGGGTCTCATCATCAGACTCTCACTGGGTTCTCCACAGGATTCTTCATCTCTATCCGTTTTTACAAAACTCTTTGATAATAGTATCACAAAATCCTGCCTTTTCTTGCACACAAGATCGCATAATGATCACAGCTTTATAGTTCTAAATGCCCCAGTAGAAGGGAGGACGGATTAAACCGCTCTATTTATTCGTCTAGAAGGTAAGTGGATAATGATGGCTTCATTCATAAAGAATGAACCATTGTAAAAATTTCTCAAGGAATGGGTATAATGCTTTTTTTTAAAAAAAGACAAAATTTCATCCACTTGATTGGTATTCGATTTAATTCTTCAGATTCGTACCGGCTGATCCTCCTGAATATGCAGCTTCGATGTCGATTTTTATGACACGCTGTCTTACATGTTTTAAGCATTTATATGGCTTCTTGACGACCGTATTTCTGGCGGTAAGAAAGTTCTGAACTTTAAAATCGTTATATACGTCTCCTGGCACCACAAAATAGAGGAAAATATCATCACTTCCCTTCGACTTTGATCGGTCTCCCTTCGACTTTGATCGGTCTCCCTTCGACTTTGATCGGTCTCCCTTCGACTTTGATTGGTCTCCCTTCAAGCAGGGTCCAGTAATACAATCAATCATCTCCTTGAATGGTGCTTGCTTGATCGGATGCTTCTCTGATACTGTGACCTGAAATAGCTCGTTGGGTCCCAATGCAAAATCAATGCACGGAAATTTAGAATGTTCTGGTACAAACAACTTGCCAGCTGCTTGAGTGAGCCCTGATAATTCCTCTGAAGTCCGGATAAACACCTCTTCTGGATTTGCTGGAAAATCAAGAACTCCTGTTTCACCTGACTGGAGATCCCTAAAGGGAAATCTAATATCACCATGTCGAAATAAGCGATGAGCATAGATTTCAAACAGTGGGCCTTTAGCTATATCCTCTCCGCCTATGACAAGTCTCGCCAACACATCGACCCAAGTGTTATCTTTTATTTTGTCCATAATCTGTGATTCGACCCAACGAGATGCCCATACCAGGTGGAAGTGGAGGTGGTCAGAAGTAGGAACTCTATGGAGTAAACGACTAAATCCACTCGCATCTTTTCCTCGTGCAAAGAGCCTTAGAAGATTTGCTGGTTTCTTGAGTGTACTAATGGCATCATTGACGCGGAATAACGCAGCTTCTTTAGCACGCTCAGTATTATTTTGATTTTTGGATAGTACATTGGCTGGACACTGTAGAACCTGTCTTGGCACGCCCCCCAAGTAGTAAAAAAGCTCCTCCAAAAATGCTTCACTCACTACATGAAAAAACTTTACATTGGTTCTACATTCCTTAAGCTCAGCCAGACTCCAGAGTGACATATGATAGTAGTTATCTGGTGTATTTTCCTTGGTGAGTTCATCGTAATGCCCATAGAGAGTTCTTGGCGATGCTGAAAATATCGTCCTGGCTTTACCTGGTTGAGGATTTTTACCACTATCAACTAAATACCACGTTTCACGTTGGTCAAGGAAATCTTTGAAATCTACTCTCTCCCCATAACGTTGGCAAGTTGTTCCTCCATAAACATAACAACTGGTATGCTGCTCCTCTTGGAAAATAATAATCGGTGGATTTTCCTCATCGTGTTCGGCAAGGAGGCGGATGGCAAAATAGACCAAAAAGGCTGACTTCCCAATTCCAGGCGTTCCAGTGATAAAGAGGCGGTTCAAACGAGGTACTTCATGACGGGTACTTAATCCGGATGTAATATGGTCATAAAGCTCTTTATACTCATCTCTGATATAAAGATGCCTTGTTCCGGCAACAGGGAAGACACAACCCTCAGGGGCAGTCAATATTTTGGAATCCTTGATACCACCAGAATTTCGGAGCTCGCGAGCCACGCTAATAATGCTGTAGTAAATACTATCTACTGCTGTCTTCCCCATGTACGAA